CAATTAATTATATAAAAATTAAAATTTTCCATACTATATATTTTCATAATGGAAGAAAGATAATACAATATCTTCTTTTTACAAATAGTTTGTATATCAATTATACAATTGATAAATTAAATATGTACTCTTTTTTTATCCTTGAAAATCAAGAAGTGCTTTAGAATATTTTGGGAATAGGCTGTCAATATATACAGATATATTAATATATATATATATATATATTACATTGTAGCTTGATAGCTCATTCATGCATTCATTTATCATGAGGAAAGAAAGCTTATGCTTTTATCTCTTTTTCTTATTTCTCCAAAGAAAACATGTTAATGATACTTGTAAAATAAGAAGCAAAAGAACTGGGTGGCGTGGGCGAGAGTTTAAAAGAAAAAATAGAGAGAGAGAAAAGGAGAAATGGAGGAGAGAACTTGATAAATAGAATATCTTTTTTTTATCTTTATACTTATTTTCTAAAAATATAAGAGTTAAATTTATCATATAGGCGTTACTTGAATATAAAAAGCTATTTCTAGATTAATATATTCATAGAAGTGCTCGTTTTAACTTTACAAATGATTAAATCTTAATATAGTAATAATAAAAACATTATATAAAAGGAAAGATTCTTCTGCAATATCATTCATTAAATGAGAAACTTCATAAGAAACTCGAACTGATCATCAATCATTCAAACATAATAGTATATCAATTATAAACATTTATACAAAAATCAATGTAAAGCTTCTGAATATAATTAGTTTCCGGATACTCTTACCTGTTCTTAAACAGGCCATCATTTGTAATGCATATATGAAGGATAAGTTACCCTCACCTAAAAATATCTCAATAATATATAAATACTGCGCTAATGAATAAGAAACATTCCCAAATCAGAAAAATTTATTCATAAATTCATTTCCGATTTATTTGGGTTAATAAAAGGTTAAACAAGTAACACAATATACAAGGGATGCGCATGATAAAAAAAAGTGACGTAAGCTTATCTAATTCACCAGGTTCTTTTTCACCTAAACCTTGAGAAAAATAAAAGATATATTTGGACTAAAATTGATAAGAGCGACAGTATTTTTTTGTTTGATTTAATTAGCAAATGTCTCTTATATAATTAAATAAAAATTTGCGCTAGCAATTGAGGAATGATGTCAATATTTCCAAAAAAAAATAAGTCCTATAAAAAGTCTTCTTAAGAGTTTCTTTACCGTCTAAATTTGCATAATAAGATTATTCTTCTTTTTTTTGTTCTATCAAAAGCCTACAAAATATACTTTGCATAGATAATTCTACTGATAATTACTTGGACAGTTATATATAAAATATCTGAAATCGATAATTTTATTAGAAGTACTAATTGGAAACTCGTCGAGGAAAGAGAGTAAGAGAAAGGGGAAAAAGGAAGAATTAATGAACGAAAGAGCAAAATAAAGTAGAGAATAGGGAAGAAGAGTAACTACATAAGAAAGTTATAAACCCTTTCTAATAAAATCTTGATTCTTCTATCGACTTAACAAGAATATTTAAATAAGTAAATAATAGAAATAGTTTGGAAGAAGAAAAAAGAAAGCAAAGATAGAAAAGACTTCAATTAACTTTAGGAGAAAAGAAAGCAAAAGAGAAGAAAAGCTTTTTTCAATCAATCAATCAATCAATCAATCAATGAAAGAATAAGGAAAAGAATTAAATAAAAAAAAATTAAAATTAATCATCAACATGACTAAATTATTTCTTTATTTCTACATTTTCTTTACAGTTTTAAATCTTATTTCAACATTTAGTAAGTTTTATTTTTTTTTACCATTTCTATTTTCGTTTCTCTCTCTTTCTCTTTCTCTCTCTCTCTCTCTCTCTCTCTCTCCTGTGTCTTTTCCATTTATATATTGATCTAATTTTATCATTATTTTTTTTCCATCTCTTTTCTTCCTTTCAAATTTTCTTTTTTGTTCTTTTTTGTGTGTTTTAGTATTCGCTAAATTCCTTCTTCAAGTGGCTTTTTTTACTATGTTTCTATTTATAGACAATTAGAATTTTTAACTGCGTAATAATCTAATCAATTTTTTTGTTTATGATAAATTGAATGGAAAATTGAGAGCAAAGAATTGAATAAAGATCCAATTCATTAATAAAACTACAGTTTTTATCGATGTAATAAGTGATTTGACCACAGGCCATATAGACAATGATTATCTATAAATAAAAAAGTTGACATAGAAGCAAAGAGAGGAAAAGAGAGAGGGAGGGAAGGGGGTGAGGGGGACGAAGAAAAGAAAAAGAGCAAGATTTACTGTATATATATGTACATACATGGAAAAAAACGGAAAAAAACCCAGAATTTTCTCCTTAATAAATATTCAAATACGACTAATAAATGTTATTCTTTAATAACATTTATTCAATGTTTATTTAATGTGAATTAAATATTTGCTTGTGAAAACAAAATATAATAATATGATATTTCTACAGAAACATCTGAAATCCTTGAAAAGGCCACTGGAAAAGTAAGTATTAATATATTGCTAACTACTTTTTATACTTGTACGAATTAGCTTCATTTCAATTTAAAAGTGAAATTAGCAATTTTATACTTGAAAAGAGAGAAATGAACGAATATTGTAGCAAAGCCAATTTCATATCATGTAATATGCTACTAAACTCTCTATCGCTGTTCTTATTCCAAATTTATATAAATTACCTTTATTTATTTATATATTTTGATAAGTTATAGTAATATATCAAGTATGTAATTAATAAATTTCTATCTTTCGCATGAATTCACTATTGTTTATTGTTTTTTATGCATGATAGAGATGAAAAATTTTTAATATACGGAGCTACCATGCAAAAATAGTCAGTAGCCTTGAGGAATTTGACCTTAAAAACATTTTTAGAAATAAAATTCAATATAGATTTGTCCATATTTATCAATTTCAGAATATATTTAACATTATTTTTTATTCCTCCTCCACCACCTCCTCCTCCTGCTGTTTCAGTAGCATAGTTATACAGTATAGATATATTGTATGTATACAATTTTACAAGATATCAATAGTCGTATTGCTATCTTTTCAAGTTGATTATTTGATATGTAAAATTATAAAATTACTCTTTTTTTTTGTTTTGCGGTTTTTATTTATATGGAAAAAGATACAAAACTGTTATCACCGTACTTTGAAACAATTACTTCCTTTCCCATAATCTATTATGACATATTTTTTTCTAATATCATATCTTTTTATAGACGGAATGCGAAGGTGGGATTGGAACTTGCGGTATTCAACTATTTTGCTGCGATAGAGAATCTGGAGGCGGTTGCTGTCCAAAGGATTACAGCATGTGCTGTCGTCAGACTAGAAGTTGTTGTCCTGGTTCAGCGCCTATATGCTGTACTAGTATCCTAAATGGTAACTATTGCTGCAACGACGAAGCATATTGCTGTTTAGGCGGATGCTGTTTTGAAGGAAACAAAGTAAACAAAAATACATTTAAAACCTGGAATAAACTATTCCAACTGCATTACAAACTAATGCATTTTTTTTTTAATAGTATAAATCAGAAATCATTAAAGCAGTTCTCAGACGAGGTTATACAAACAACGATAACGATAAAAGTTAAACCTTTCCAGCTTCTTTAATTAGCAGTCTCTGCTAATCCTTTCTTTTTTTTTATTTTATATTTGCATACTGTATAATTTTTGACTAAATGCACGAAAAAGCGTTTAATCCAATTGATTAATATATAATAGACAAATCTATATGATTATGGAATATTCTATGTTCTGAATACGTCATATTGTCTTATTATCATTGTAACAATATTTTAATAAAGATTTAAAAAATTATCTATCTATATTCTCTATCACACAAACGTGCTTGTTCCGTTTGTGGGACACTCTGTATCTTTAGCTGTATTCCAATTAGTGATAGACAGTATAATAATTATAGTAATAATAAAATTGACTATAAACAAAAGCAATAAATTGAATATGACTTTCTTTATCTTTTTAATATGTTTCTATTTTTTTAGTATTCATTTATTTAAAAGGATCATGTTCATAATTGACTATCAGACTGGTATTCTCACTTTTCACCATTTAATGACTTTTCTCCGAATATATAAAGCAAATAGTTCTATATAAAAGAAAATTAAATATATAATCTGTAACACATTCCTATTATACACATTTTACATATAACACATAATAATAAAACTATATTATGAACTGGTGATAATTTGCATTGCTTTTTTAAAGTTGATTATGAATGTTGATGAAAATGTTCGTAAATAATCTGGTATTGTAATGATAGGAAGAATATTATTTAAATTTGAAGGTAGCAACTGCAGTTGACATACTAACATAATTCATTTATCACTAAAATACATAGAATATAGATTGTACCGATTGTACTGTATAATACAGTATGTACTATATATACAATATATATACTGTATACATATACATAGTATAGTAGTCAATTTACAAAATAGATTTAATCCACAGTACATGTAATATTAATTTAGATGTAACATTTTTAATGATGTGAAAAAAATCAGTCTCCTCTTTCTCTTTTAAGTATAAAACCTGTGTAATTAAAAATGAAACTTTAAAAAGAGACTATAGTAAAGTAATTACGTAATGAAAATATACACTCTGATTAGTATAAGACTCTTACTAACTTTCACCATTAAATGATTGTAATGGAGAACTTTTGTGATTGAATGGAAAAATTGAAAGTTTTCACTCCCATTTCAAAAGATTATTGGCAAATAGTCTTTAAAACTATATTGAATTTCCAAAAAGAAAAAAATAACAATAACTACTTCTCTCCTTTCTCATTTCAGAAATTACTAATAGATAAGTTTTGTTTTAATAATGTATATACAGTATATACTATATATATATATATATCATGCTAATTTCAACAATCAATAGTTTTTTAAGTCACCTGAAATAGGCCACTAATTTTTTTTTCTTTTTTGCTATTTTGTTATCTATGCATATCTGAAAGAAAAAAACCTTTAATCTACGAGTTTTTATAATAAACAGCAAAATTTCTTAATATTTTAAGTGTGTTTAACAGGGGTAATTTATTTTCTCTCTTTCTTTATTTGTCTTTTTTTTATTACACCGACGACTAATTAATATAATTGGGTATTAATTTGATGATTTACAAGGTGAGATAACGATATATATCACCTAGAAATTAAACTCGAATTGTTTACTATTAAGGTTTCTTTCTTTTCATGTTGATAATATTAATCAGGATATTTTTTTCTATCAAACGTATATATTAGTATATATATACATTTATATGTATATAACATATGTACAGAGTACATTACTTTCTTACAAGCTTTTTTAATAAACAGAATGGAAAAATTATCCTATACATTCGGAAAAGTACCGACCTATTTTTCTACAACTTATGATACCCTAGCCTACTTTATAGATGATTATAACGAAAGGGAGGCTAACGAAGAGTTATTCGTCTTTTACGATAAAGAGCTAAAAAGAACCTCATTAACAAGGTCCGAGTGGAGCAGACTGTCCACTAATATAGCTTGTAACATCTTGAAAAGAGGGGAAAAGGGTGATTATTATTGTATAATAATGCCGAATTGCCGGGAATTTCCAATTGCTTTCGTCGCTTTACAAAGACTAGGATTTAATACGGTGATTACGTCAGAATTACTAGATTTAGAAATAATATTGGATAAAATTACGTTATGTGGACTGGTTGTTTTTGTCAGTGATTTAAAAAAAATTGATTATACAAAGTTATTTAATATTAAAAATATTATTTTAGTCGAGGACGAGGAGTTAGATACCAGACTGTACAAATATTTGGATGGACAAACAATTCTATTTTATCAAGAATTAATAAAAGACAGTGGGGACAGACCAAAATTTCCAAGAGTCCAAAGTGATGATAATCTGATTAGCATATTGACAAAAGATGAAGAGCAGACTATAAATATTATTCAAATAGATCAGAGATACAATATAAATTACTTTTTCAATTGGACTAGATGTTCTAAAAAGAGTTCATTAAAATGTTTTGTAAATATACCCCTATCGGGCTATGGTCTAATACACGTTTTCGGGTCTGTATTTGGAAATAAAGTGATTACAGTGCAAACTCCCCTTGAAAGCAACGCAGACGGTAGGAGATTTGAAATGAGAATGAGTAGTAATTTGAAATCATATAACAATAAAACAATAATAAATAACAACAAAGTCAAAATATCTTATAGTAAAATGTGCAAAAGAAAGAGAAAAACAATCTATAATAGTGGTTTTATTATTTTCTCATTTCGAATCTCATCATAAACAGAATTGATAAAAATTGCACAAATTATATGGAAGGAGGAATGTACAATTGTTGGGTTATTTGGTTATTCTCTCGATAAGATGGTGAGAAATCCAGATGCACTTGAATACTTTAAAGGTTATGTAAAAATAATATCAACATCAGGTTTGCCTCTACACAGATCGATGGTTAATCGCATTTGGGATGTTCTACCGTCTGTTTGTGTATTAGATGTTGTATATACAATGGAAATCGGATTAGTTTACTCAAAAATTTGGACGGCTTCCGATACTGAATCAAAGGCCCTTCTATTACCTCTATCTGAATTATCTATTAGAGACGAGAATGGGGATGTAGTCGATAGAGGTCAGGTTGGAGAATTGTGGAGTAGAAACTCGGCATTTCTGAGATTGATAACAAAGCACGTTAATAATTGGCTCAAAACAAACGACTTTGCGGTTATGAATCAGTCAGGCTCCGTTGAGTTGTTAGGCAAAAAGAGCCAAGTAATTACAGTTGGTAATTATAAAGTTTACCCACTTTCTTTGGAAAGAGTCATAGATAACTGCGAGTGTGTCGAGAGAGTTGTCATTACAGGTATAAAAGACCATCTTTTAGGCCAGCAGCTCTGCCTAGTTGCTAAATTGACTAAAGAATGGCAAGCCTTTGAGGATGACGCACGAAAGCAGATAATGAACTACTGGGAAGAAAACATGATCAGGAATGATCAAGGGACGAGTTACTTAAGGTTTAGTAAGATTCTTATCATAAAAGAATGGCCAATGAATAGTTTACATAAGATATACCGGGAGAAATTGTTGGACCTATTGGAGGTGGGACCGTTACAATAATAATAATAACAATACAGTATTAATAATGACAATACCACTGTTACTAATATTAACAACCATAATAATAATAATAATAATAATAATAATAATAATAATACAAAAGAAAGGCAAAAAGAACTAAGCCATCTTCAATCTTTTTTCAAACGATTTTAAGAACTTGTCCAACTTAGACAACTTATAGTAATTTGCACCTGTCACCGTTCGTTTCACCTCTACTCACCAAGACGACTTCCTCCTTGTCAAGAACTTTTCACCTTATGACGTAACGGTTCATCCTCAACCATTTACGTGTCTTTTTCACCAATAGAGTAATCATATGGCCTAGTGATTTGATAAGAGAATGAACAACAAACACAAATAGGTTTGCTGTTAGAATTCAAACTAACGTAATATGACCTAAATTGAACATTACATAGTATTATCACTATTATTAGTATTACGTCTAGAGAACAGTATATCATGTATCTTATCATTTTAGCATCCCTTTAAAAGATTTAAAATGCCGTTTATTCCCATACGAACCTCCTCTGCTCCATTCATTTGCTTCTAATTGCTTTAAATGCTCAATTAACACTTGAAAATAATTAAAAATCTTTTCTCCCCTTTTATGTAAAGGTAATAATGATTATGTGAACAATAACTAACGTTTAACGGGTGCTCTTTGAATGCTTGTGATAATCACCTACCTGAGAATTGGCTACCCGCGGTGTAATTTTATAATATATACTACGTATAAAAGTGATTAAGCTTTGGCATTTTTATTCTTGTTTGGTAAAGAATGCCTTTGTCAAAAGGAAAAAACAACACTTAACAGAAATTAATATGTATTATAAATAACTCGGGGAAGCATTAAACATGCTCATTTCATCTTTTCTTCGATAATAATCCTTGCATCATAAGGAAATATATGCCAGTTTCATTTAACTTATACGCCGACTTTCTTTTACTCTTACTTTCAATAAATTTTTATCTAGATGGCGTGGAAATCAGTTATATCATAAGGGGGGTTGGTGGGTAGGTGGGGGGCTTAGAAAGAGGATTTACAAAAAGAGAATTTTCGGTGAGGGGGATTGCAGCGCGGGGGGTTAAATTAGTAGGGGTAGTGGGGCCCTCTAACGGCTTATCTATAACATTTTTTTTCGCTAAGAAAACAACTTGAATAAATACAACTAACTTTCAGTTTTTCACACAACATTCGGGCCCCCGATTTACGGTCGATGAACGAACGTGATTTGAATACGTTCTATTTGATTAGTAATTCTTAGCGGTCGCTTGTCAGTTCCTAGCAGGAATTTTATTATTATAGAACGTTGCGGTTGTTTGGATTGCTTATATTCTCTTCGTTATTTAATCCTCTATTATCAAACTAATAATTTGGAAAAGAAAGAATGATTTTAGAATGAAAAACTCTTGTACAGGTTGGTAGTTAAGAGAAAAACAGAGAAAGGGTGGTTAACTTCTTTCTTTTTTTAAAATATACAAGCGCTTATAAATTTATATAAATTTATTAATCGCTTCTATTCACTTCTGTTTATTTTACTTTTATATATGTTCAAACACAGGGAGCGAGCTGTTCGAAGCTGTTGTTAGGAACGACGAAGAAGCAGTGGAGAGAATACTATCAAATAATTCCTGTAGAGTAGATCCTGTAGTTTTCCTATGCGCTACCATAGAACAAAGAAACTTGGTAATAGTCAGACAGCTTCTGCCCAGCGTTTCGAATGCCATTAAGCTCGCTTCAATTGTCCATATATTGACCGAGCCGATATCGAAATGGACGTTTGACAGAGAAAGGGAAGATTCAAATGCATACAAAGTCACCATAGAGATATTAAAATCGATGTCACATTATCGAGATATAGGCGTAATACTTGACGAAAAGCAAAGAAAAGAACAACAATTACTATTCGGGGATAATTACTGGCACGTTGAATTTGAAAGAAAGAATATTAGAAAAAAATTGGAAGAAATAGGTCTCATAGGACTCGCAATCTCCTATGGGAAGTACTCTATTGCATGTCTTCTCTATTCAGCCGCTCTAGACGTTGACGCTGGCAGAAAGATTCAAAAGAATCCAGAGATATATAAGGATTTTGTAGATAATGATTGCGAATTATACCCGATTAATTCCCCCCCGCCTCTCCTATTACTCACAAGAACTAAATGCTCCGCGTTTGCCCAACTCATCACAACTGACCCCGATTGCGTAACTTATGTTCAACGGATACGGATGCCGCCCTCCTTTGTCAAGTTTCTTCGAGAATTCTTTGATGACTTTCAGCCTAAAATATCTCTTAACTTTGAAACTGTCTAATCATTTGAACCTGATAATCTTTATTTAGGAAAATAATTGCTATTGAACAAGATTTTCACAAATTTCTATTATTTTTTTGTTGGATGATGAAGTAGTCCCCCATATTCCTGAAGCGCTTGTCGTAAGGCTTTAGAAACCTAGAGGGTAATTTCATTAATATCTTAATTGCAGCGGTAATTAAACCATTAACTTACTCTGGGGCACGTGGAAATCGTACAATCAACCAACACCGGGTACATATCAATCACCTGCCGCCAAATATCCTCATCCACATCAGTAACTTCCGATTTTTTCAAAGTCACCAGAAGCGTTGCAATGGCCTTAAGCACAGACGTCATCTCTGAGGTTCTTGCGCGAGGAAGTGGACATTTTCCACTCAATCTTTCATCTTCGACGTACTTACAAAGAACAGCGTGGCAACGTTGCACGAGAGCGGAAACGGCTAATTTCGTTAGGGATCCCTCTGCCCATGCTGCTTGTTTGCTAATGAAAGAAAACTGCAAAAGTGTTTCAAAACAAGTCTTTGCGAAATCTTCGCGTAATGTTCTAGACGATTCTGTATCTATAAAAGGTCCTTGGGCAGCAGAATGAATAGAACCTCTATTTAATAGATTCATTGCGTGCACAAGAAATGGTCTAGGCACAGCATCACTATGAGGTAGCACTTCATCTCGCAATAAACTGACAACTCGAACATCCAATGCTTCATGTTCTTCATGTTCTTCGGCTGTTAATGAAGACGGTGCCTCACTAAGATAAGAGAAAAGAGTGTCAAATAGGGATAATAAACAAAAACAACAACAGCCACTATTTATCTTATATATCTCTTACTTGGGGCAAAAAAGAAAGTTTTCCAAGCAGGGAGCTAACGCCTTCCACATTCCCGCAAACTCAGCTTCTTATAGAAAAAAACAGTTTTTCATTAAAAAGATCGTGCCTTATCTAATGAACTTACGATTTTTTAAAGATACGGGTATTCCGACTTGTAAAACATCTAATAAACAAGTAATTGCTGTTATCCATGTATTTGATCTAACTTGAGAGTATTTCTCTTCTAGTATTCTTCCGAATGCCTATATAAAGGAAATAGGAAGAGGAATTAATTAAGAATTACTTTGGTTTTCAGGGTGACGTCATTTGGAGCAATCTTGCCTCAGACAGCGGTTAAATATGACACGAAAACGTAATCGACGTTCGGAAATGTCCAAAATTATGCAAGATTTGCTAGGAATGCGCATAATTCGAGTGTCAAACTACGTAACAGCCGTCAATTTTTATCGTTGTATATATTTTTCTGATGGCGTTTAAAAAGATAAGCTAATGTTCCAAATATATGCAAATGAAGTAGGGAAAAATTGGTCTGTGAATGACGTTCGCTCTCAGGCAATTCACGTAACAGAATCGTTCAGGCGTTTTATGCACGATATACGAATCAGGCATTCTAGTTATATCGACCTCATTGAAAGAGATACCGACCAACGATAATGACGCAACTCCGTAATAGAAATTTAAAAGCGTCTCTCCAAAGACGGTCCTATTCCCCCACAACACCAATAAAACGGAAGGATCTTGTAGATAATCCTAATCTGCTTACGCAAACGACGGGACTGATAAACGAATAGTATAGATAAGGACGACATGATAACCTGGCAGTCTCCCCACTTAACGCGACGCCAACGTCACTCAAAAATTGTAATGACGTAAGCGAACGTTATGACGTCACAGCGTCCGCGACGTCTACGTGTGTGTATGCATGGTCGGCTTGATTAGCGATAACGTAACCTACTTCTGATGCTTTTAGGATTTTCTTCCGTTATTCAAGTGTTTAGGCTTAAACTTTCTCTTTGTTTCTTATCATCAATAATTTATAACGACAAATGGTTGTTTACAAACTATACAATTTAATAAGAGGCAGAGTTCACGACCGAGCCTGATTATGAAGCGATGAACGATGGATGATGATGTAATCATTACGTCATAAGACGAATGAGAGGCTGCAAGTGAGTAGTTGCAGAGAATGCGTCTCTATACTTCACTCCTATGCTCCTTCGTACGAGAGAAAAATTTCTTTTATAATTAAAAATTATAAGACACCCCCGAAGCGATCGTTCGACCGAGCCTGAGGCTCGAAAGCGGTACTTTGAGGCTAGTTGAATGCTCGTTAGTTTAATTAAGCAACACAACGTGGAAGAATCACGTGTGTTACGCAATTTAGCCTTATTGGCACAAGAAGAAATATATAGATGGTTCGAATTAATCGTTTCAAACAAACCTTCCATCGTTATGTAATATCTAAAAGGGACGTTCGTTTTTTAACAAACAAACCTGCCGTCGACTCCTCAGACTACAAACGCTTGCGCAATTCAGACACGTTGACCGAATTAAATATATGCTCGAAGGATTTTCGCACGAGATGTTTGTTTATTAAATAGGCTGCTTGAACAAAAATGAAAGTCTAGAAAACAAACAGTTATCCAACAAACCCATTACGAGGATAGACTTTCGTAGATAAGGGTCTTCTAATATGAACATCTAAAGCAGCTTCAAAATCGCTAAAAGCGAATCGCTAAGACATCAAAGAGCGTAAGATGACGTGAATTTTTTTACAGTCTCAAACGCCGCCGTCTTTCTCACGGAATTTTAATGTGAAAGTGACGGCTTCGATGAACGCGTCTATAATACCGTAGAAGGATTACACAACACCTATGTCGTTTAGAGAAAGAGACGTCAGAATTTAGTGACGCAACTTACGACAAAATGATGACGTCATGTTTTAGAATATTTCAACTTTTATTGCTCGAATAAGCTTAGTGAAAGTCGTTGCCGCACTCAAATGAAAAAGTCATTTTAAGACGCCCGACCTTTATAATTGACGAGGCGAACTATTTAGATTTATAGCTATTTAAATGTTCTTAGAACTTAAATGTTTACCAACCGAAAATAAAAGAACATTTATATGACATACATTTCAGTATCAATTGTCAACAATGCTAATAATGAGAGGAAAGAATAATAGGGAAAAATTGAAAATAATCTCATAAAACCAGGAACGAATGGGCGTGTTCATTGATTAAACCGCATTCTGATTGGCTCACTATGATAGCGACTACTATTCAGGCAATTATGTAACATTTGGTAATATTACATAATCTTTGCGATGCCTGGCGCGATGAGCGTGCTCCCCACACTCGGCCAACTGATGACTAGGACTCAACTCCTTTTACCAACCGAACGTGCTAAATTCCATGTGCAAAGTTTACTATAACTTTTAAAGAAGTTACTTTTTGATAGATACCTACCCTCTACGGCTGCTGTCCGTTGCAAAGAATACCGGTAAGGATATTGACCAATAGTAAAGTGTTACTTTAAAATTTATCTGATATGTTATGGACAAGAAAAGTTATATTATTATGAAAATTGTAATCGATCTTTTAAAATCACATTTCTCATAGCTAAGTAATAAAGAAGTTATATTAATATTAACTATATAAAGTATATATATATATATGTGTATATTTATATATGTGGATTAAAATAGATAAATCATTGCTAAAAATAGCTAATGTTTAGAAACTTGGAAACGCGCAGCAAAAAGGTGTAAACACTTGACGCTCTATAAACGCCCATCTTACACACTTCGCATTTAAAGAGACGCCACTCCAGAACAAATACGTCGCAAGACAGGTGCTGACAGCCACTCGGTTGGCGTAATTATTTTTTCCTTTTTCCTAATTACATTATGACCAATTATTTTTGCTTAATCAATATTTATAAAGTGGTGATTTTATTTCCGTGTTCTTTAAAATTAATTAAGACCTCTTTTCTTTATTTTATCCATTGTTAAAACAATGACACCTGTCACAATTTAACAATTAGGGAATAGTAGAAAAACGCTTTTATCTCCCTCTAGCGGATTAGCTTTTAGACAACCTCTCGATCATTACGCCACCTGGCGAAAACTCTCTTGAATCAAGACATTTGCTTTTGTTTAAAACAATATAAAATTGTATAGAAAATTGAACTTTTATGGACAATAGTCAATTGATAGATTTGAAAACTGAAACTCTTTGTGTTAAAATTACTTAAATATGACTATGGTAACGCTTCGCACACGCTTGCATGCATGCATGCATGCATGTATTATTAACGACGCCAACTTTCATGCATTTACTATGCATCCAATGCAAGCTAATTATGTAATGTTACGTCACCGTTACATCATACAATCTAATAGCAGGATGTTATAGAGGGCAGCTGGAAAGCGTGCTCGGCTATGTTGTGAGGTTCATTCTTTATTTTACTTCAATATTTTATTATATAGATTCTAAGTCATTCTCAATAAAAACGTGACATAGAGTAGTATATAAATTCTAAAACAATTGGTGAAAACAAGTCAAAGGTCACGTGAAACGGTTTTGTAACCAATCAGCGAGGCGTTCACGCCGACTTGACTCAGGGTTACGCGAGTTTAAAGTTGATTACGTAATCGAACTTTGCTGCCAACGCGCACTTTCCAACTGGTATTTCTACGCGTAGCTTTAAATGAACTGAGGACGTCGAAAAAATAAAGAATTTCTGGAAACGTTACACAATACTTCGTCATCATGTAAGTGTCTTACGTCAAAATCTATTCGAGGACGGTGGCCTAGTTGTATCTATATCTAACAACCTAGAACAATAAGACGCAATTCGTCGTAATTCGACGCCATGTTTGACTTTTCTTACCTGTAGTTGTCCTCGTTCTTAGTTTTATAATGCTTTATTTTTTTTCAGGTTTTTTGCTCAAGCTATTTTTTCTCCCAAGCGGGGTCGGCCAGCTAGCCTCCCCCGCCATTCAAAATGCTCAGCCTAATTCCGCGATCATCCTCGAATCCGAATCCGTCAGTCTACCCACCCGTGCACTCAGCAACCGAAAGGCCGTTTAAGGCATATCCACGATCAAACTTCACGACGTCTACCTTTTACTCCCCACACCTTAGCGCCATGGACCTAAGGCCCTCTTCTAGTTCATACCAAGCTTACCATCAGCCATCAGAAATGGCAACCTACCAGCCCATGACACCCGACTTTTCCTCTCTCCCTAGCCTACCTTTCAGCGCAACAATGACTTCTCTAAATGGGTCGTCACATATTCAGCCTACAAATCCAACATTCGCAGGAAATGTCCATTCAACCCATGGCTCAAGTATTTTAGCGGCAATAGATATTAGAAATAATGGTGTTTCTATGACCGCAACAACAACGACGCCTTCCTCAAACAGCATTTCATCGTCAAACTCAACAGCACCTCCAACTACGGACGTTCCGACGTCATCATCAACAAATGAGAATAACTCTAGCTCATTTTCAATGCCTCCGAAAAAGAGGCCACACTCAGTTCCAGAGGAATTAAAAGATAACACTTATTGGGAGAAGCGCAAAAAGAATAATGATTCAGCAAAACGCTCTCGCGATCAACGACGAGCAAAAGAAGAGCAAATCGCTATGAGAGTCGTTTATTTAGAGCAAGAAAATTTGCAATTGCGAACCGAAGTTGGAATACTGAAAGGGGAAATTGACAAACTGAGGTGTTTACTATGCAACACGTAGATGGCGCTGATATATCTTTTATATATGTTGAGACTTTTTCTACTGCATTTTACCGTATGTCTTAGTTTTTATATATGTTTTTAATAACCTCAGACCGTGTCTGCATTTCTTAAATCTCAGTATTTCGTATAACGACATGGCTCATTGAAATAATATAAACTTGAAAAATTTTGTACATTACTTACTGAAACTATCTTTTCGAGGACTCCTTTTTTAATTACAACGCCCATTTTAGCTGTCTTCTCGTATAAAGTAACTACTTGTTCCATACACTGTTCAGCCATAGCCACAAAATGAGAGCAACTAATCGGTGACGTCGAAGCTGAACTAGCTAATTTAGGTGAGTCAACGGCATAGAGAACGAATTTCAGCATTAAGTCAAATAATTCCGGCGACATAGAAAGGCACTCGCAATTCTGAAATATGAAACCCGTCAATCAAACAACTCCTTATAATATTGATGTTTCTTTACCTGCAGTAAGATTTTGAGTGATTCTAGGACAGACTCCTGTAATGGTGACATTGAATCGTCTGTGGGCTTGAGTAGAGGGGAAGTATCATTCGATATGGGAGAGGAGAGGGCCCGACGTAGAACTTCCGATAATTTGGAAAGGTCAATTGAGGCAAACCGACTTTTAACATGATCATATAAATGGGGAAATAGTTGAATGAGGGCACAAAGAAAAGCTTGAGAAGGTATAAACGAAACATCATGATTATCAGTAATTGATGTTCCGATCGTAAGCCAAGTTTTCCAAGCACTCGACCACAACGTTTTATCTTCTAATGGGCTCGTACGGACTTCTACTAGTAAAGATGGTACTTTATATGTTTACAAGAAAAATAAAAAGTGTCTAAAACTAACGAGCTATAGTATCAGTTTTAGGAGGTGAAGATTTTTGGGGAACAACATCTGGTTGTTGATGTTGAGAAGATGATATCGTTCGAGGTATGATTTCATCGCAAGGGGGTGCTAATCGTAGCCCCGCTGAAGATGTTCCAGGAAGAAGAAGGCTAAGCTCATCGGATACCACTGAATCAACAGCTCCTTCCAATTGTAAGATGGCCTAAAAATATTTTAAGCACATATATCAAGGATCTACGATATGAATGAAAGCTAAGCCATCAATAAGCCCACCTGAAAACTTTTGAGGGCGGCAAGAGACACTTCTGCATTCTTACAAAGAGCTGATTTTTCAATATGCTCCAAAAGTAAGGACCAAGCTCTTAAAAAATCCTCTGAAAAGTTGTTAGTACTATAATTATAGGTCAAATGAAGACTATTCACGTACCGAGTTTCTGGAGTAAATGCCGTTGAGTATTAAAAACTCTAGCAACGCCCGACAGCGATAGAACTCGAGTTTCAGCCCATTGCTTATGTGCAGTGTTCCTGGAATGATGCATTAAAATATTTCCGCTGTTAGGCAACTGCTTGGAACTCTTTTCGTCAGAAGCCTTTTCAGCTCGTTCGTTAACGTGCTCAAGTAGCGTGAAGAGCACCTTCCACAGGATATGATGCCAAGTGGATAAATCGAGTGAACATGCATGTGCTGAAATAGTGGAGAAAAGGGTCTGTCCAGCACTCTTTCTTACCGCCGGTCGCTCATCTACACAAATATCTTCTAATTTAGTAAACAATACCATCCATAATGCATCGTAGGGTGGCAGAAGTTGATCCTCGCTTTCTACCTTTAATTCCGATTCGATCTTTTCTCGATTATGAAATAAGTGATCAGCGATGTTCCACTGCAAAATAATAACAGTACTTTGCTGCCATCTAACGATCAAAGGCTTTAAGCCGATTTAGACACGTACCAATAAGCTGATTGCCGTCAGTGAAATATTTAAGTCCTGGTTCTGCTGACCAAATTTGGCAGTTACCTGCACGCATTCCTTTAGGCAGTTGCAAGGCAAACTCGACAAGAAATCTGCAACGACTAGCTGTAGCGACTGAAAGGCTAGTCTAACAAGCCCTTCGCTACAAAGAAAGAGCAAGTCATATATTATTATAAATTGAAATTTCCTATACCTCTGTTCCGTCTGTAAAGCGCCTACAACACAAAGCAGAGATGGCCAGGCATGATATAGTGTATCTGCATCGTTCGAATGAAGAATCGTTAATATGCACTCCAATTGTTTTGTTCTTATATCAGAGTGAGGAACGTTTGAAAGTTCCACTAAAGGCGACATGATCCAAGACAAGCATTTCTAATAAATAAAGGAGAAAGAGAAAATGGTAGCATTTAACAAACGATTCGACAAATAGCCCTACTTCGTTCCGATATTGATTTTGATTAATTGCATCTCTGACAAGCTGACAAAGTGCTTCGGCAGCATAAGATCTGAGACCATGTTGAGGATGCTGGCAGACCTGGTAGGGGAAGATAAAAGTAAACTTAGTAACCAAGTATTAATTTTAGACGTTCTTTTTTCGCTTTGACGAACTCTGTTCGTCGGTTAGTTCGCTCGCCCTTGCACTTAGATTATAGCTCTTTGCGAGAGAAAACCTACAGAGTCGGTCGTCTTGATTAACGAGTCAATCCAAGAGAGCCGCGTAGTAGTTCGAATGCGCTTTTTGAGGCTTTACAGAAAGCAAGAAAATTTCCCATCGGGAACATACTGGCTAGTTTTCTTAGTGTAGATAAACGGAAAAGAAGTAAATATTATATTGACACATTACGAGCAAAATCTTATATTATTTGTCAATAGAGATAAAAGGATATATGCATTATTAATTTAGCCGATTTCTGCAAAACGTTATATAGGTGTCAAATAACTTATGTGGAAAAAGAATACGTACAATAACAAAAAAATTGGGTTATAAGATGAGTTGGGTCACTCTACTTGTCAGGTTAAAATTCTACTCCATAAATACTCAAACATTATATATACTTAGCGCAGCAATTTAAGGAAAGCAGGATAAATCGCGCTCTTAGCTCGAAATTTATCGCATTCGAACCATTAGGACTAGCCATGGCGCTAAGCAGACTAGATGGTCGCATTTAGAAGACTAATCAAAACTTGACCTTTTTGTAAACTACATCCTCTTTAATCAGTTTGTACCAACCGTTGCTACATGCGGCATTGGCTGAGTGGACAATAAATAAAACTTCTTCTATAGCATTGATGAATGACGAGGACTTGTCCAATCATATTTATGAGTGTATACTTGTGTTTACTTGGCGTGCTTTATTAACCGAGACAATTTTTATGAAAAGAGATCAGAAGTCAACTATTAATAAATAACCTGGACAGCAAATCTACTCCCAACAAACTTGTTGATACAGCTGCATACGTAGGAGAAACGTATAATAACCCTCTCTTATCTCTTAATCCATTCCATGAATCAGTGAAATGAAATGGAATGAAACGGAAACGCGAACCGTAAAAATTGTTTAAATTACACACCTAAGTAAATGACTAGCAGTGCTTTACTTTTCATAATTGAATTGCTGGGAAAAAGGAGAAGAGAAAATCTATAGTTTAAGCTATGAATTGAACAATATGTGTGTAAGCAGTGAAATATCAATTTAACAACTTCCAATAGTGTGTCACTCCAATAAAATATAATAAAATCCTATATTTTTATTTATGAGTCTACATCATTTACTCGCGAATGCGTAGTTTGTCAACATATATGCGTCACTGCGCTCATTCAAAAGAGGCATTAGGGGCCGATCTTGTACAATAAATGCTATACATTGCTTTTATTCTTGTTCAGTTGCTGCAAACCAAAGTTTACACAATAATGTATAATTGAACTAGTTATTGTGAATGTCTACATTACCGGTTAAACACCATTGTTTACTAATATTTAAATACATTAATAACAGTATATAGTCATTATGCACTGCAAAAAGAAAAGCGAATCGAAAACATTTGCCAATATAATATCGATCAGACTCAGACTCGCTGATGCTGGTGATACTACTGCCAATTGTATGAAAGCTTGTAAATTGTCTCTTTCTTAGTTTCAATTCGGTATCCCGTAATTTATTAAAAATCAACTATCAGAATTGTGGCTTAAATGCTAGTCTAATTTTTTAAAATTTAGTCTCAGTTATTTATATTTCTTTTTTTCAAAAAAATTTCCAGATAAGATGGAAGAGAATTCCTTTGTTTTTTTACTTTTATACTCGGCTGGGAAGCGTAAAAAACTGGCCAGATTTAGCGGCCTGGCTTCGAAGAAAAATAAACATAACCTCTTCAAACTGCAAACGTCTACACGGAGAAACTGACAGCAATTCCGCAATTGGTCGCGCTAGTTCAAATCGGCCAATCAGCTTACAAATAGGTGGCGGTAGTTGCAAAAGCGCGCGTCATCCCGCAAAAAGATGCAGTTGGGAAGGCAGAGAGAGAGAAATTGTATGCAGTTTATCTGTCGTTAGCGGTGGAATAAGGAATAAAGTCACCGAGGCGGATTTTCAAGCCAAGTAAGTGTTTTTAATTAAATTAAATCAATTTAAGCATATAATTCGAAGGGATTTGAATATCTATTACGATTATTATAATTTGAAGTAAATTTGTTCAAGATGCGGCGAAAAAAACAAAAGATTCCCGAAATATTATTCTTCCATCTCGAACTTGTCATATTAGGAATATTAAATAACAGATTTTTTTTGAAAAACCTTCAAGTATTAATTACATTATACAAAAGTTGATTTACCACTGTTTTTACTTTTTACGTAAGCGTTACATCAAAGAGACGTATAAATACTACTCTATATACGACTAGTGCGATAATTGTATAGCCATAAAGCTATATAGCCTTTGCATCCGCTATATATAAAATTATATTGAACTGCTCTCAGCCTTCCAAGGATGTACATCAAAAATCGACTCTACAAAGTTCTAGCTTAATCCAGTTACTGATTGCACGGCTTTAGAAGCAGCTTCATTCCTCGTAGTTGCCAGTTTTATATTTCTTTAGCGCCTTTACGCCCATAAATCAGCAATTCCGATAAGGATCGTTTAGGTTTGGTGGTAAAGGAGGAGAAAATAGAGAGATGGAAAGTAGAAAGAAAAACAGCAGGTCGCTCATTCATTTCCTCCAGTAAGACCACACGCCATCGTTTCGGCGCCTAATTGCTATAAGAAGAGGAAACAGAACCGAAAACGATTTTCGGCACGACTTTCTAAGTAAACTTTATTCGAAAGACAGGTGCGCGACAGTTAATCGTTAAATCGACGTTAGCGTTAAACACTCCGTTTATCCAGTTGTCACGTCTGAACCGCAATCCTGTTTTCGAGTTACATAGGGTGAATAGATGAATGTAACTATATAAAGACGACAAATTAGCATATAGAATGTAAGGTGGACATTTCAATCGACGTTGTCAATTTCAACCGTCTTCTCGATCAATAAGTCTCGCCTACGACAGCATACAGAGGCTATATAGAATATCGGATACGAATAGCATAAAAAAGAAATCAGCTGCGAATGCCGAAGGCGTATGATCCCGTAAAGTGCTATAACGTTAGTTCCTCTTTTCAATGCTTATAACTCTTTCTGAGTAAACAAGCATAAATAAGTAAGAATGAAGAGGAGAAACGTCGTATTAACAAAACGAAATACATAATTGAGACTTATTTACAATCGGATAGGAATCGCGTGTGATGACATATTTTTCATACATAATCTAAAATTCACGATTATATGGCTTCGAAATCGAATACGAAGTAATTCATTAAAGTGTTCGTCACCAGCTTGATTTAGTTTTTCTTTCAAAACAGCATATTTCAAACAAAGGCGTGGCAATCATAACTAGTGTTACTGTTATTGCTAATGGAAGTTAATGAATATTACGTATAATAACGGGTTTAGATTGCTAATTCTTTTGTGAGGAAAGGGTGGCCGGAGGCGACTATCTGAGAATTAAGACGCTATTGACATGGATGCTACGACAGTGAATGCCAGCTTGTTATTTCTGAATGCTACAGACAATCCTACATGCGTTGATCAGCAAGGTTTGGAGTCTTTCAGGAGGGATTTTAACAAAGCTCATGGCTATTTATCTATAATCGTCTGCGTATTTGGAATCATTTGTAATGTTCTTAACATTATCGTCCTCATGCAGAAGAATATGATAAGTTCAACTAACATCCTCCTAACGGCACTAGCTTTTGCCGATCTCTTTACTATGATTGCCTACGTTCCTTTTACAATCTATGTGAGTATAGTGAAAATGGAGACGGCTCAACCTCAAGCTTGGATTCTTGTCTTCTTTTACTTGATAAACAGTCATTTAAATATAACCCTGCACACAATATCTATGTGGCTGACAGTGGCTTTGGCAGTGTTTCGCTATATAGCTGTCTGTCACCATAATCTCGGACCTAAGCTGTGCAACTTGAGAAGGGCAAAGTTGACAATTCTCGCTGTTAACGTATTCACAATAGCCTTCTGCATACCAAACTATACTATCTATAACATACAACCAGTGAGAAAACGACCTGGAAAGTATGTAGCTGGACAATTTACCTTCGTCACTGCATTTCATAAAATTTTCAATTTCTGGCTATTCGGCGTTGTACTAAAAATAGCGCCTTGCGTTCTCCTAACAATTCTCTCGACGTTGCTCATTAGGGCCATGCATGCCGCCAACAAGAAACGGCAGCGCCTAAAATCCCAAGGCCGAAGAGCGGAATCGGAAAGGACCGCTGATCACAACAGGCAAGTATCATCTTTTTCATATACCCTAACTACCCTCTTTACATAACGAACTTAACCACTTTACAGAACAACTGCTATGTTGGTTACAGTCGTCTTATGCTTCGTCTTGACCGAATTGCCGCAGGGCATTTTAGCTTTTCTATCCGGCATGTCGAATTCCATATTTGTTTGTATTTATACTCCTCTAGGAGATACAATGGATTTCGTTGTACTCGTCAACTCTTCGCTCAATTTTTGCCTCTACTGTACAATGTCTAGGCAATTTCGTCATACTTTTAATACTGTAATTCTTACACCATGTCGTTTCAAATTCAGAAGCGTCCGATCTTTTTCGATGTTTCACCAAAAATCCAACGAGAATAGCCCTCAAAGCATGTCCGTTGCAAAAGCGTCGAACGGATCAACCGTGCAATATTCCACCATACAAACCCAATGTACCAAATTGTAAAGCTCTCTATCAATCCAATTTCGAACGCTCATTACGCAATTCTCTCTCGTAAAGGCAACTTTGATCTTTAATAACGCCGACTGCCGTCTAAATGCAATTGGATATACTCAAAACTTTAATAGAGCAGTCGTGTACAGTTTGTAAAGTACCATGACTCTAATATTGTTTGGCTTGCTGTGCAATGTTTACCTCAGTCATATCAAATTGTAAAGACCGTATATAATAAATTCTCTTACAATGTCAATTTTGAGACTATAATACGTTAGGTAAAGTAAAGTTGTAAGCCTTTGGCGTTGGCACCCACAAGAAAGAAACAAATGAGACCGATGACGAACTGTCAGGATTTGTATTATTCTGAAAAACGTTTTATTGACTAAGCAGAACGGTTATACGTTATTTCCAACAGTCTTTATCCCATACAAAACCCCAGCAAAGAATTAGGATAGATTTCAATTTACTTTTATGGTCATTTATATTCAATCAGAAAGTATTAATTAAGTGCCAAGTTCTTATATGATTCTATTTACAATTTAAAAACGGACAGAGCGATCAGTTAAATGCGAGATAAACTTTTTTTAGTATGCTTATGTACTTAGCGACGAATGTCGACTGCAATTAAAAATGAAGGTACTTATTTTTAGATAGCTTTTCTTTATATATACAGTAAGTAGCTCGGGGCAACCTTATGTGAAGCGAAGTCGGAAAAACACTTGGCGTTTACAGCATAATACAATATAAGCAAATAAGACGGGTTACAAACCTCTAGAAAGTGTTGCGTCACAGGTCTCCACAGTACTTCTACTCTATTCATATTCTTTAACCCTGTTTCCAAAAGTTTAGCCACTGGAAATAGTGACGCTTCCTAAAAGTTGCGAGTCAATTTAGACACAAATGAGGTGTAAATAATATATTAACCTTGTTGGAAAACGCTATTTCCATAGCTTCATCGGACAATTCACACAGTGCATTAATTAAATGATGAAGAGCGACATCATTCAGGTATCTATACAAAAAAGAAAATTCGTCTTTAATCTTATCATACGGATTATGTTTGTCATAAAATAACTAAGACGATGACGAAAGTACTCGTCATTATGGTAACGAGAGCGTTCGTTTTTGCGCATGATTCAACGACAAAGTGCAAACGCTGTCACACAGAATTACGAGGTTTACAGACAATTGTCTCATATAACTGTCAGTTCTTATAAATTATTATGTTATGGCTTTTCCGGCAAGTATTGTTCATTTATGACTTCCTCATCCCTTTTTAATAAGAACGAACCTGCTACTTTCGAAGAGCCTACTCAGCATTGAAGATAAAACAGGTAAATCTGCCATAACAGCCGTCGTCAACACCGTACTTTCAGTTGCTTGCGGATGATCGGATTTTAGCGTCCCCTTATTCGACGGTTTTAATCCTAATATCCAAACAAGATGCTGTTGTATGGAAAAAAAACATTAGATGTTGTGTATTACCGTATAATTTATCTGGCCGTAATGGTGTAATTATGAGATACAAACCTGAAGCGTCGTTAAAACTAAGTGCCAGGATGTTCCCAAAACTGATCCATGACAATGAGCAACTCCCAAAATAGCTCTCATACATTGGATGTTCTTGGCAGTTAACTTTTACAATAAAAAGTAAAAATATTACAACGGCAAATTGATTAAACGATGAAAATATTTGCAGACCATGACTTGACTGTGTTGTACGGAAGCCGAAGGCATAGGTGTTCCAACAGCAACGACTTGTGAGCTGATTTGAGGAGAATCGCCCGTAGATTCGGAAGTTGGGGATCTACTAATTACCGCAGAGCCTGAATAGTATGGATAATTTCAGGAAAATTTTATTCGCACGCGACATGATTACTAAGCGAACCTTTCGACATAGCCGTAGAGTGCGACTGCAAAACGGCCAAAGCGTAATAGGACGGCAAAGACGCTTTGCAAAGAGCCGTAATGAAAGCGTCTCGATGTGTGTTTAAGCCAAGTTTTCCACATAAATGAACGTAAACTTGCTGACTTTTAAGAATTGTTTCCGTTGCACTTTCATCCGTGCTATAAAAGGAAACGCCATCTGCATTTTGTACATTACAATTTTCTATCAATTAATCGTACCTGGCATCTAAAAGAAGAGACAACGCAGCTAAAACACCACACCAAGTTGAATTCAGTAATTCCTTATATAAAATTTGGTGGTCTTCTGATATATCTGAACTATCTTCTGACGGATTAACAATCTTTTGAACTGAGCGAACAGTGTCAAGTAAACATAGAAAAGCCAGAGATAGAACGTATCCCTCTTGAACGGGAGGGGATTCAATTTTATCAATCATTTCAAGACTGTGTAGGAAAAATTGAAAGAATATATAGCTATGAGAAAATGCATTTAGAAGCATCCAACAAACTAGGTAAGCTTAAGAGATCCTTGAGGAGCTGAAATATTGACGACAAGTGGAATCCAAAGGTTTTTATAGGCAAAAGCCGGTTGTGGGGTAACGCCGCTACCCACTGGCATTCCTCCTACTAAAGCCGGTGGTTGCCCTTGTGTATCCACGCCAAGCTTAGATTCCTTAGATGGTGATTGAGAAACAAAACGGCTTTGTACGCAGCATCCAATGCCATTAACAATTTCTTGCAGAACTTTTGTCGAATGCTCTTTCATATCGTAACTTTCACAGAATTTACGAATTAACGAGGAATTGGAACAGAATTTATATAAAACTTCCAAGGCCAGTGCTCGTTGCCATTTGGGTTTTTCAGGATCGAGAAATTTTACGAGAAGGGACAAAAATATTTCGCATTCAGTTACAAGCAGAGGATAATAGTCGGTAATAAGTATTTGAACGATCCGCAATAGTCTCATAGTAATAGCGAAATATGGTTTATCAAATGGTGATGGATTAGGAGGTTGGGGAGCACCGGGACGATACTTAAGACTTGGCGAAAACAATTTGATAACTAAGGAGCAAACTCGGTGCTTTAATAATAATCCAAACTCTTCATGCTGGGTGATGACATTTTTAGATTAGATACTTAAAAAGCTAATTTTTTAATAAAAAATTTCACCTTTAAAAAGACATTTTTAAAGCTGCATAAAATAGACTCAATCAACTCCAATCCTAACGTTCGAGTCATTTCCGTCATATTCGTTAGCCAAACAGGCTGTTCTGCGTTTACCATAAAACAAAAGTCTTGGAAAAGCATATAAGCATCCGCTGCACAAGGTCTTAATGACTTTGGAGGCTGATTATTTCCTTCAACATTGGAAGCGTCATCTCCCGTTGTCATTGACTTTTTTGTAGTTTGCTCCGGATGATTGAAATCTTCGTTTACTACTCTTTCGAATACAACTGTAGCCAATTGCCTAACTGTTGCTGCGGCAGTATTATTAGTCCCAGAATCTTTCGAATCTTTCGTAAAGTGCAATCGAAAGCAAAGAACTAGTGCCTAAAAAATACAATCAGAATAACCATTTTTTAAAAGACATTTGTTCAATTATTATTCTTTTGTAGTCATAAATTTGGTATCAAATAAAAAACCTTAGCCAAGGAAGCGTGTTGAACGACAGGTGACGTCGTGATGAGAAGAATGGCCGTCTGTAAGAGTTTCAACTCCTCGACTTTTGATTCCATCACGCTCCATAGTAGGTTTACAATAGCTGAGGCGGCGGGCTAAAGAATATAACGATAATGATGAGATACTAATTCTTTCAGCCAATTATTATATTAATAGCTTTATTATATTTTATAATTTCCTTTATTCTTGATATCCGATTTAGTAAAGAGTATACAAACAAGTACAAACAAGTAATATTAAATAATATTTGTTCTAAATTGTGTGACGTAGAAAGTGAGTAAAAAATCAAGAGACAAGAATTGAGTCGATACTTTTTGTTTAGTCAAGTCAATATACAGATGATATACGATCAGAAACTGGATAAAATTGAACCAATCTAAGTATTTAAAGTCATTTATCAATTAATCATAAAAGGTAAGTTAAAAGTTAAATAAGATCATTTAGTAATTTTAGAAATCAAGACAATGACAATTCTTTTGAAAGATAGAGCTCAAGGCCAACAAAGATAAATGTGGTCGTGTTATTTTTATCCCAATTATTCTAGTTTGCGAACAACAAAAATCCTTCTCCTTTTAACAGCTCAATAGTAGATATAATATTGTGAAAAGATGAAATTCTCAAGAGCTGTATTTTAGTAGAAATGTTTTATTGATAGATACCGTAAAAGAAGAGGACAAGAGAGAGAAAACGATAGCACTTTATGGGATTCAATATTCGATATTTCTCATAGCAAGGCATGAAAGAAGTAAGACTTTGAAAGCATCTAAAGAGCAATTCATTGTTTATTCGAGGATTAGGAAAAAATACTATTGCATTGTATTGGAAGCTTAAAAAAGCCCCATGTCGTCCCATTTTTAAATATACAAAGTGCTATTGATTTCAGGTGAATACGATGAATTTTACGCAATTAGAAGCTAAAAAGTTTAAAAAATACTAAATTTCCACGTATAATTTTAGCTCAATTTGAAAACATAGGAAATAATCCAGAATATTTTATATAAAATACTGTAAAATATCGACTTTTGCTTCAGTTTGGTAACATGAAGCATTACATCTTCTGCTGTTTGTCTTGTAACCTTCACAGCCAAAAATTGTTGACTTTTTGAGAAAAGAGCCCTCAAATATAATTCAATGTTTTAGTTTTGTATGTTAGTAGGAAGTATATTAGATAACAGTTTAAGAGTATTGCAAAGAATTGAAGAGGCGTTTTTTCAGACACAAGTCAGACTTTAAAAATGGAATTACTTAGTCAGCAGGTTTGGACTTCATCAATAACAGATTCGTAGAGCATTCTCACAAGATTAGATCATTGTCCAACTCTTGCCTGACCCTTATAATGTACACAAAAAAGGTATTAACTAAGTACTTCGAAGCAAGGTCAAGTAGTAGATTAAAATAGATCCTTGAATCTCAAAAAAGTGAATATTCTTACTTCAAATAGATAAATATTATAGCGAACTTGAGATATGAAAAGAGAATACATGAAAATTATTACACTAAATAATATTTAATTAATTTAAAAGTATAAAATCGATTACCACATCTATAGAGCATTCAAAAGCACTTTTGTTAATATTCATTTTCAATTATTGATATAATTTACAATGTGAATAGTCACTTTTATTTCAGTAAGTTTTTAGATAATTATTGTTAACATCATTTAAATTAATAAACCTTAATTATAAATTGATAAACTCTTTTTCATAAATTTTTCTGAATTCTAACCTTGTAGATGAGTGGGCGGAAGTTACTTTACTAAAATATTTATAGTCTATAGTCCAGATATCGTTTTCTGAGCTTTGTTGCACAAACTGAATTGGTTTATATTGTGAAGTGAAGTACATTCCATAGATAAACTACTGGAAGTGAATAAGATCTGATTTTGCTATATACTACCGAAAAATGAAAGTTCATCTAGGGTCATACTAATTCCAGATGAATTCCCAAGGAAGTTTCAGAACCCACTTTACAACGACAGGAAATAATTTGAGTTAATACAGTTCTTTTTTTAAAAAAAAAAAGAAAAAATTATCAGAAAAGTTAATTTAAACAGTCGAAACAGGTAAGAGTAACAAAAACGTACAATTTAGTCGATAGCGTAGACTTACTCCTCCATCTTCTAAAAAAAATATCGTTGATTTCGAGGAACAATCTTCTTCACTTGTGTGGGAGAGGAACTAGCTTTATAAATATTAAGAAGCCTGATCATACTTCATTTTACATTCGAAATTGTCGTTTGTATGTCTTTCCTGTGATTTTCTCTTCAGAGCAACCATTATTATGAAAGTAAGGGAAACCGATAGTTACTCTAGCCATGATTAGCAGTAAAATATAATCTACTGCAGTATAAGTATTAGAATAATAATAGTCGTGCGCTAATTTAGTCAGTTGTAAAAAAAGCTCTCTCACAATTATTGTGCTTAATCTTAAATTCGAAATATCTTAATAAAAAGAGAGAAAAGTATAAGATAAACATCAGGCCTATTGTTATTCACGAGTTCTGCACATTAGACCGTTTTTAGCGCGAAAAAGGTTTACATATAGCTAACTATCGTTTGAGGGCAACGAAGATCAAAAACCAATTCGAACAAAGCTGCCCAGTGACAGCGAACGTCTGATTAAAGTATCCCAAGGCGTACTTTTTCTCATAGGGGATCCAGAATTTTATAAATTTCCTTAGTATGACCACTGTTTCATGCTTATATGTAAATTAGACATTATGTCGAAAAATTGCAAAACTTAATAGCAGACTATTTCGTAATACATCCCAGAACAATTATTGCCAATATGGACTAATAATGCCTACAAAACAAATGGAACCACGAATAATTTTGCCAAGAGCAAATTTCGAAATAGACGCAACATTTTACAAGAAACTTTTTCATACACCGACTTATGCTCCAGTGCAATAATTAATAACATAAGAAAATATATGCACATATGTGTCAACTAGTTTGTTTAATATTATGTAGCTCATAAAAGAAACAGATCACGAGTGTTGTAAATTAATGATGGGACTCGGGCGTCATCTATCGACTAAGTACAAGTAGGAGTTTGAGTAATCCTTTTCCAGAAACACAATCTCTAGAATGTTTCAATAAAATATGAACACTTAAAGTCCTTAAAGCTCAATAGTACTAGTTTTGGAAAACTGTCGGAGTTAATGATTTGTTAATCTTTAAATGAAACTGTTCGACTCTTATGAATAAGATATCTTTGTGCGTATTACCTGAGTTTCTCCAAGAAAGAATAAATCCAGAATTTTACAATTTTCGCCTATAGAAGCTTAATTATATTTAAGTATAAAATATGGAACACAGCTTCAAATCAATGCTACTTTGGTAACAGTCTCTAAAGATTTATTTCGATGAATCTTTGAATTTCGTGAGAAAATTTGAATTAACTGTCGAAATTGCTTATTAAAGAGAATAAATAGAAAAAAATTACAGGCTGCGTTCAAATCACAAAAAGTAAGCCACCCACATAACGTCATACAAAACGTGCCCACAAGTTCGACTTTCTTTCACGAAAAAACTGCACTGCATTCTACGAATTATCTTCCAAAGCTGTTAAATAGAAAGACTAAGTTGATTGTGATGAGAGTTTTAACTATTTCCTGTTTGATAGACTTAGAAGACATCATGATTTCTGATTTTTTCCTCAGGATTTTTATCAAATGTTAAAATAATAATTGTGAAGCATAGAACAACGATAACGAGAACGCTATATATAATTGTATATGCTGTAGAATAATAGATGTTACACCGTAAGGCCATCGGATAAACGTAAGCCTTTCCACAATCATCATATTTAAATATTATATTATATTAACAAACTCAAAGCATAGAATAATAAACAGCAAAAAATGAAAGAACGCTAAGGTTGAAAGTACCGGCGTTTTCTCTAAGTAAACCATTTCTTTAGCAAGAATAGTTTGCAGATAGCTAAATATCGTTTCAGTGTCACGAAAATTAGGAACCAATTAGAGGTCAATTGGGCAGCTACAGCCAAGGCTTGATTAAAGTATACGAAAGTATAAATTTCATCGAAAGACACGCTAAATTTTTACAAATATCTTATTTAGACAGCCAAAGTTATATATAATAGAAAGATAGAGTCAGCGACCTCCAAGCCAATTAAAAAAACAATAGTAGATGACCGTCTCTCCGTTGTAATCCATACAATTAATGATAAAGTTGGTGAGGAGAACCCTCTAAACAAATTACGCCGCAAAAAAATTTCCCCTTATAACAAATTCAAATTTTCACAGGATTTGCCTTCATTGAATAACATTTTATCATGATCTTACGTTGAAAACACAATCAGTCGTGTGAGTGACGGTTGATATAAGGTTGCATACCAATTACACGTCTTTCACAAATGAATAATGTATGCACATTCTTCATGCAAACATAAAGCGTTTGTTATACAAATTGCGTACACGAGTGAAGCATTGAGCAATTCTTGGTAACGTTAAAATGATTAGACTGCCAGTACCTTGATTCCTTACTTTAATTTTTTTTAGATGAATTAATTTCATTTGTTAGCACAGCCTTAAATGTGTTTATAAGTAAGGCATTCACAATTCAATTGCATTCAATCGTAATTTTTGTAGACTATAATAAATAAAAACTATGTAAATTGTCCCTGTGGGTCTTGTTACCACATAATATTATAATTAAGGAAGCAATTAGAGATATCCATAAAAAGATCTAGAGCAGCAGCTCTGGGAATGGAGTCTCTATTCCCAAAGGTTGTTCCCTGAATCTTTAGCATAATTATCTTCGTCTAACTACTTCTGAAATCCACTTTGTGCTGTTTGAATCTCGATAATAAGCACGTCCCAAGAGCACATATAAGAAGGTTAAACAGGAACAAACATATGAAGGCAAAACACAGTACCATCCACCAATCAAAACATTTTTTACTCATATAGACCTTAGGAAAGTTACATTGCGGATTACACTTATCATCGTTGCAAGTCATTATGTCTTCGTTCCTGTCGATTGATGCATTAAATTCCTTCTCTAGTTTAATTAGTCTCCATTCTAATACTTTGGAGATGGCGTAAGTTGTTGGGAATCTTTTATCTGCTGCAAAAGTTGAATAAAAGCAGGATCGAATAATACATGGTTCATCATCTGCGAAGAATACAGGAAGATTGTTTGCCGATTTTTTTTCAGATATGATAAAATTTAATTATCTTAAACCTCTTTTACAGGGGTAGGAAGCACAACCCTTCGGACAATTTCGAAAGAGTAAATGGTTGGTCAATTCTAATTCGCAAGATTCCTTGCCAAGACAATTGTGACATTGCACGGAATATCCACTATTTATCATGGAATATAAACATAAAAAAACAATTGTTTCCTTCATACTGAACGTCAAATAGAAACCGATATATTCACGACTCGTTGTCAACTGTACACAATTACAGGCGCATGATAATTTTATACTCGTAAATAACTTAAATATGGGCTATTTTCGCAAATTATTGTTGATGCCTATGAGGCTTATCACTGCTGACATAGCAGTGTTTGTCCAAAGCACATACTATTTACAAAAAAATACCAAGGAAAAAATAATAACTAACCCTAGAAATAACATTATGGCATATTAGCCTTTGAACAGATCCAAGACAAAGATGAACAATTTTTGCATTCTTTGTATCACTGCCGAGTATAAATGGTTGAATAATATCAAGGCTCTCGCTTTCCAAATCTGTAACAAATTTCAACATTTGATAATTCTCACATAAAAATCTATATTCAGTAATTTAAATATACATAAATTGATTATGTATACTGCGTGTATATATACTAATACTGTATATAATATATTGAATAACATGTATATAATTATATATAATGTGATATATATATATATGTAAATTTTGATATATAAATCGTCCTTAAGTGTATATGTCAATAAAAAAAAACATAAATATAATTACGTATGTGTTAAAGAAATTACAATCTTCTGATTACTAATTTACACGTCACATTGCATAGTATTAGGTCAGTACAAATAGTGACTTACTCTGAGATACATCCATTTTCTGCACAGCTATATTTTTTAATTTCGTCGTTACTGTCTCAGAGGCCTGGAAAATCGAAATCATTTTTTTCTTGGAATTTAGGCTTTCTCTCAAAAATAGATCTTACTTCTCTGACAGGAGGGTATTTACGTCGACATTCATTACCCAATACTTTCAAATCATTTAATAAGTTATCAATTAAACGGCGAGAGAAATCTTGTTGACTGCCACTCATAGTTTATTTTTTATACCAGAAGTAGCCAACAGTGAAAATTCCAAAAAAGATAATTTTCTAAAATATTTCCTTTCAATTAAAAAACGTTCGATTTTGTAATCAACGATTCTTTTTCCGATTCAGGCAACAACCCTAAATTCACTTACTTAAATTACGATCAATGATCACACAATCGATTCTCAAGTTATTTTCTTCAAGAAATATAAAATTATCACAAAATAAGGCAAAAAAAAGAATTATCCACGTTGTTGTTTTCAATGACGGCCATTTTGGCCTGAAACGCCATCTGTTTTATTTTCCTAAGAAAAATATTTCTCAAAACAATAAGAATGTTTTACTTAAATAAAACACCTAAATTTAATAATGATTACTTGTGCAATGTCGTTTAAAAAGATAACAGAAGTTTAATTTGTGTCATAGAAGTTTAAAAACTAAGTAAATCCCTTAATTTCGGTATAAAATTTAAAAACTAACAAGAGCTCGTTAAATGTTAAAATTAACTATGATACAGAATACCCTTTTCGTCTAACAATTAAATTTTATTTGCCCATAAGTAAAACATTTAAATATAAGTTAACACCGAAAGTTATAAGTCATGTTGACAATTGTCACAAATATTCTAGGCTCTTCTAATTATTTGCTCACATCCAATGAATACTTTTAAAAAATATATATTGCAAATACAAAACTCAAGCTTTTCGCTTCGTTAACCAAAAAGTTTCCATTTGTCCTTTTCCCTATAGAAAAAATGTTTTATTTAATAAATAAAAATCCATAAATTGTAAAATTTCATAATCAAACCTTTATTTCCAAAGTTCCTCGTGGAATTATCATTAAATTATCTAGTTTAAAGGCTTTTAGCGACTCGGCAGAAGTTGGCGACATTTGAATTTTCCCTGGTTCAGAGGTACTTTCCATTCGTGAGGCAACATTAACAGTATCGCCAAAGAGACAGTATCTTGGCATTTTAAGACCGACAATACCTGCCATTACAGGCCCTGTATGAATGCCAACTCTTAGAGCAAGATGTTCCTCCTTTCTATGAGGAAGCTGCATTGTCATGGCAGATTCAAGAAGTTCAACGGATAGTCTTGCAATCTCAACAACATGGGTATCGCAATTTCTTTTCGGTAAACCACTTATCACCATATAGGCATCTCCAATTGTCTCAACTTTATACGCATCAAAGGAACCAATTATTTTATCAAATCGTGAATATAATTCGTTTAATAAAGTAATAACTTGCATGGGAGTTGAAGATGATGATATCTCTGTAAAACCAACTATATCTGAAAAGTAAATCGTAACAGAATCGTAATATTCAGGTGGTACTGATTGACCACACGACAGTTTATCAGCTACATCCGGCGGCAGAATTTCGTGGAGAAGTGATCTTTGCTGTTCCATTACCTTTGCCAATTCTTCCGTTCTCTCTTCTACACGTTGTTCTAATTCTTTTAAATAGTTGTCTACCGCTTCCATCATGCAATCCAAAACTGATTTTCTTGAAGGTGCAGCTCCAGTCAACTCTTTTTTAATTCTACGAAAAGGTGGCCTTGCTTCTGGATTAGCGTCCCAGCTCGAACATAATATAGAAACGAGTTTTTTGTTCCAGTTGGGATTAATTTTTGGTCTAAGATTTTCATGGATGATTAATTCCAATATTTTTTGTGGTGTCTGATCCAACTCCTGATATGGTTCGTCCCTCGTAAAAATTTCAATTAATATTATTGCAAAGCTATAAATGTCATTCTGTTTCGTAGGAGTAGTTGATTTATGTAATAGCCTTTCGGGAGACAACCAAAATTTTCTCTTCTCTAAAACCTCTTCGCTAAGCTCTTCTTGTAATGGGCTTACTTGATTGTGAGAGACCTGTTTTCCGTGGAAAGTAATCCATTCCCAATCAGATATTTTTACAGACCATTTAGCATCAATGTAGCAACAATGCGATGATAGATGTAAGTGAATTATGTCAAGAGAATGGAGATAGGCCATTCCATTTGCAATATCTATTGACATACTATATTTGAAATTGTCATTTAAATTATACTTTTCATCTAAAAGAACGTCCGAGAGTGATCCCTTTGAACAATATTCACTAACAAACCAAACTCTTTCGCCTAGATGGCAAACGCCAAAAAACTTTTGAATGTTATTGTTTTGAACATTTAGCTTGAGCCACATCAACTGCCGGCAAGCGGATTTTTTCAATTCTTTTACATCTTTTAGTGTACTTGAACGCAAGCAAATCATTTGAGTGTCAAGGAAAGCAAGTTTTAAAGTTTTGACATTATTTACACCAGTTGAGTGAGGGGCTGAATAGGTACTGCCCAAAGACGAAGCCTCTAAAGTGTTTCCGGTAAGTGTTATTTTCTCGTTTGATATGAACCAATCGTTTCTGGACAACGCTCTACTTAGCTGATATTGCTGTACGATTATGTAGGACATCAAAAGCAAAATAAGGAAGCCAACAACAACACCGGAAACAATGGCAGGTATTCGCCAGACTTGTAAGGACAGATATTCAGAGTTTTTTTGGTCAGCAACTAATTCCGACACGGCATTCCCTTCACCACAAAACATTTTATCCAACACAATTTTTTTTACAAGAGCAGCTACTTCTCTATTTAAGGGTGTCATATGTTTGTTGATGCATTCTCTATGTGCAGCATTATTTGTAGTAAACCACTCTATGTATCGCCATAATTCTACTGCAGGATCGCAGTCCTTAAGGCCTTTCATTCTTACAATTAGATATGTATATCCTGCAATAGGATATGAACTTTTACCTCCTGCATTAGATAACGATATGGTCAGTCTTTCATCCATATCCTTGGAAAAATTTGTCATTGCTGACTGAACATTCTGATATCTTGCATCTACCCATTCACCGTCTTTATTCCTTAGCTCAGCATATTTTAAGTTTGCTTCTTTTGCGTCAGAAATACTAAGGTATGATATAGTATAGGGCAAACTTAAAATTAGGCCACTTACTCCCCTATTTCCCTGACCCTTCAAATATACTACGTCTTCTGACCAGTGAGAAGATCTAGCAAAAACGCCGTAAGTAGAATTCCACTGCGAACTAAATGATGCTAGTCCACTCGTAAATATTTCAGTCGTTCCAGATTTATCCTTTCGTACAATGACTCGAATCTTTTCGTTCGGTAATGAGAAGTTTCTGTTATAGTCTTGTATAAGAGAACTATTCCAGTTCTTGATAGTACCATTAAATATTCCAACAGCTATTTCTTGAGTTAGAAATAAGTCACTAACCCCGGGAAGATGGTAGACAATAACAACAGCCCTGTAAAGTAAACGGAGATGTTTAATTAAATAGGAAACTATAAAGATAGTTACATCTGAGGACATAAACGGCTCTAAGGTTATATCGGAAAACATGTATATAAGGGTTACTCCTCTATTTAAAATGTAATAAATCTAAATGCAGTCTGTTATAGTGATTTCAAAGAGCTGGTTTTAAAAGTTATCTAGGCATAGAAGATAAAATAAAGATTGATACGTATCTTGATGCAATACTTGACAGATTTATTTCTGATACTGCTACTCTGTTAAAAGTTTCATTACAAGGACTTGTATTTGGACATAAAAGTATATCCCTACATTCTTAAATTTCAAATTATCTTTAAAGATTTGGAGAGTAATATTTCAAATTCATTTTTGTCGTGAAATATTTTATTACTAACATTGATGAAGAAAGAATGAGCCAATAAAGAGAACTAGTGATACAACATCTCTCTGTTACAAATATGTATTATTATTGAAGGGATTTTAATGAATATAATGATATAAGAGGATTTGAAAAAAATGAAGGGAGTTTTTATATTAGTACGACGTCTTTGATATAAAGAGCTGGAAAAATTAAAAGCAGCAAAGAAAAATTCTTTTTTTCACTGTCTGAAATTATGAAATGAAAAACGAGAAAGCATAAATTAAAAGATGATATTGATATACTTTATACCATGTCAAATATCTAATCTCATTGTAATTATACAATTTTGTAGATAGTATACTTTTTATTAAATGTGAAATTCCATATACCAATTGTGTTAATCATTGATATATTAGTCACGAGAATCCACTGATGCCTAAATTAAAGAAATTAACGCTAAATTCTTTATTATCTTTCTAAAAATGAAATATTTGATAAATTTTCCTTAGCTTCGAAGAAAGTAATAAAGCTTAGTATAAAAATAGATCCTATTTGGAGGGGTTACTTTTGACAAGGACTTAAAAACATTAATATATAAGCAAAATATACATACTATTCGAAAAAGTACATAGGAAGATTAGTTCGATAACATGAAAAATATAATGAAGCAATTCCCAATATCAAATATTTATGACTAAAACGCTCAATTCTGTTTACTATAGATAATTTGTTTTAATATAATCGGATTGTGTTTTTGTAGACAATATGGTATTATAGCAAATTAAATGACAGATATATATGATATCTTCGAAAGAATTATCATCAAAAGAATCTTTTTTTAGATACTGGTTTAGCAATTTCTCATGTGGTGAAAATGAAATAAGAAAAAATATTTACCCCGCTACTGAAGGTAGCATATGTAAATCAGGGTAGGTTTTATAATCTTCTTCAGTGAGTAGGGAATCAGTTCCTGCGTAATGAACATAGCTATCTTCTTTACCTTTTATTCTATTTTTTCCGATTCCACTTCCTACGCTTTCATATTGCATATTTAGGGTAACGAATCGAGATCTCTCCGAGCGAAACATAGTAATCCACGACTAAAGTGTTTCGTAATAAAAAAAAGTAACTTCAAATTGCCAGTATATAAGTAGGAACTCTTAAATTCATTACCTGATAAACAAGAGCAGGAAATGTAGCGCCCGCTCCGATAACATTTATGGGTGATACAAACTTTAAAACAGGGAAGAGCCAAAAGAGGAGAGAGAGATACTTCATACCGTTCTCAACTTTTTTCTCGTAGACGTTTCTATCCCAAGCAATCACGTGACAGACAAACTGTTACCTTTTATGAGGAAGGAGAGCATTATGGGTAAGCTCGGAAGCTGTTCACCTTTCAGGTTTAGTTTGAAGGACAATTCGGTCTTCAAATAGGTTCTTCATAAATTTGCTTCTTTAAAATCTTGACTTGATAATCGCTAAAGGTTTTATTTAAAAGGGAAAAATAACAATAAAAAAAGAAGGAAAATATAGATAATTAAGAAAAAATAAATGTCTAATATAACAAGATCAGTCTCTTGTTTGTGTTCCAGTAGAATATCTTTACCAGTCGATAATGGTTTATTCATCGCACAAAAGACCATCAGTGTACTGTTAGCGAAAAGGGATATAATACATAGAATACAGAGCTACCTTTGATGATTACTATGGATGTACTCTCATATCCAAATTAAGAAAATTTTATTGAATTAGTTCAATTTAAGCTATTCATATATACGGATCAAAGATTGTGAATAATAAAATAAAATATATAAAAAATATGATGGCGTTAATTAACTTTTGTAGTTATTGTTTAAATATCCATTTCTTGTGGTCCTTCCTTATAACGTGCACACTTAAATTATTAATGATGATACGTCGACTAGCGTTTGATAGAAAATAAGTGTATTGTTCTATTTTTTTCTTTATTAAGCAAATGGCTCTTTAAGTTTAGTAGATAAAAGCTCGTAGGCTCCAACCTGCGTTTGAATGAAAAAAATGCACTTCAATAAGACGGTATTAATGAGCGATATACAAAGACATGAAAGATTAATTGAAAATGCGATTACACAAAAATTTACATATCGAAGTGAAAATATTTTTTTGAACAATATGCCAATTTTCGTATAAAAGTTTAATAGATATGTTAAGATATGCAGAAAATATGACATGTTAATAGCTTAAATATAATTTATTAATTACTCTCTATTCTACGTTGTTACTTTTAAATAAAACTTTTAACCTGCTATTGAAAATCTATCAAAGAAAAATTTATTGATTGCATTGGAATATACTTTTAGGAATATAATATGCCGGAAATATCCGTTACCAATTAACATATTTAGTAATCTTATTTATGTGAGATAAATGATCATCAAACATAACAATCTCCTTAGGTACTATAATTTACAAATATCGCCAATATATGCGTCTCTTTTGTAGATATCTTTTTATATATACTTGTATTTATCTTAAAATATCTTGTCTCTGCGTATTTTACTTGTTACAAAGATTTTAAATAGTTAATTTGGCGGTTTATATATTTTATAGGCAAGCATATTTTACAAACCTTCATATTATAGACGGATATTATTCTGTTGCTCGTTATAAATTTTCCAAATTTCGGTTTGGACTGAAAATATCTCTTGTCGCCATATTTACCATCCGTATCGCCCGCTTAGAAAAATCATGGATTAAAATTCGTATGCTTATAAATATGATAAATAACAAAACACAATTTACCTGGTTCGGAGAGGACTATTCCTATGTGAGTTCGATAATTTTTGGGCTCAACATATCCTATGAAAGCTACACAGGCTTCTTTTATTACTGGTTTACCTCCTAAATACAAAAATAAATATTCAATCTGTAAAATATATACCGTCTTAAACTACTATTAATGCTGACCATTCTTATTACTGATATTGGCTGTAACTTTATCTCCGATTGTGAAAAATTTCAAACGCTCTTTATCTGCTCGAATCAATCGAGAGGATAGTGGCGGTGATCGAGCAGGATTAGGTCTAGAACCAGGTGGAGAGTTTAGTAAACCTAACTGCTCATACGGTGAGTTTGGAAGAGATATTCTTTGAGCATTTGCCCTATGCGGAGCTGATTTAATACGTATTTTCTTGAGTTTAGCCGTATCCAATTTACTATCACTGGCAGTTTTAGGTCTTGAGCATCGTGCATCTTTTTTATTTTCGTCTGACAATAGAGTTTCTAAAAGACTTTCTGATTTTCTATCAGATACGCTGGTCTCGATATAAGTATTTTGGTTGGTTGAGGGTCTGGGCTCTGCGTTTTCGTCTATTTCTTTCAGTAACGACCTTTCAGCTTGCCCGTTCATTTTCCGTAATAAAGAATCCTTTCCGGCTAAAAGTCGACGTAAAGTGTTAATTTCAAGTTTTGCTCTTTCTAACTCTTCCTGCTGACTATTCTGCTCATTAAGATTATTTTCTAATCTCTGTTGACATTTGAATCAATTTTGTTATAATTAACTGATCTACTCTTACCTTAACATTTTCCCTATATTCTCTATTTGACAAACGAGAATGCTGCAACAACAAGTCCTTATTTTTAGACTCATTTTTTAGTCTTTCTATTTCATTATTCTTTTCTTGGATTTCGTCTTCAAGAATAGGAATTCTTGCCAGTTTCTTTTTAAAAAAATAAACAAAAGAGAATGTAAATATATTTTTTAAAACAAATGATGAAAACGACGTACTTGATCAATTTTATCATTTCTAAACAACTCCTCTCTTACCTGAGCTTTTAAGTCTAATATTTTGTAATCTTGATTCTTTAATCGAAGATTAGCCTCCTGTCAAGAATATATTTATCGTGTTTAATAATATATATATTACCAGATTAATTGTGGCAATTAACTTTTAATTTTTTCTGGCATGTCTCTAAACTTTTTTTTGTTGATCGCAGTTCAGCCTCAGAAGCAGATAAAGATATTCTAACGTTAAGACATTAAAAAAAATATTAAATATCAAAAAGGTGCTAATCATTAATTATTGTCCTTTATCCTTTTAACAGAAAACTACTTACTGTGTATTTTCAAGGTTCTTTTTCAACGAATCTAGTGTTATTTCTAACCTGTCCGTTTCACTTGAGGCTCTATTAGCTGTTCAATTAGATATACATTAAACCTTATACCATTTCTAAATATCAAAGAAATATATATTAAGTCAATGAATAAGGAATATTTCATGCCTTTTGCTTCAAGTTTTATAACTTTATCCTCCATTTTTTTATACTCAAACTCCATTTTATCAGTAGATTCAGTTTTTTTCTTGTTATCCGTGCGTAATTTATCATTGTTACTCTCGGCTCTATTCAATTTAGTTAATAACTCATCCAATTCCAAACGTAATTGTCTTTCACTGGTTTCTAATAACTCAATACAGGATTTTTTCTCTTTCAAGTCTAATCGAAGGCGTTCATTTTCATTCTTAACTAAATCTAATTCATTGTCCCTGAATAAAGAAGACTTGAAATAAGTATTATTCAATCTGATTTTCACAGCAAACTATTATAACATAAAACGTTATTATCATTTAATTAAAGAAAAATAATAATACTGTTTTTGTAAATCGAATTAAAGATAGTTTTTTACCTAGTACACTTATTCTGCTTGTATTTGCTAATAACCTGCTTAGCTAGATTGTTTATAGATGAGTTCAGTTTAAGCCTATTCTCAAATATGTCAGGACGATTTCCGACCGGCATAATAAATCTTATCGTTAAAACTTGTATAGAAAACTATAAATGCCAGTAAGAACACAGGAAAAAGTTATAGCGACATCTCCGCTACGTCGTAAAGTGAAAAGCTTTAAAAGTATCGAAACGTGAATATATTGAACAAAAGTAAACGTTTCAAGGAGCTAATATGTACACTTTTTATTTTTTATATACTTTTAAATCAATTTATGTACTCAGGTTGGTCTCTGAATTATGAAATATGCATATTAATCACTGAGAGGATTACCACTTCTTTCGCTTAGACTACTTTTACATACAATATATAATATATCGGTATATAAAATATGTTAAGAAATAGGAATCAAACAAGTTAGAAGTTGAATTCAGTCTAATAAAAAGAAATCTAGGAAAATATTTGCTAATGGAAATGTTAAAGCCGCTTCTTACGAACACATTATTGGCGGATAAATAAGGTTTAGGTCGATAGGTAAGGAAAAAACAAGCTCCTAATACAAGCAAAAGCGCCTTATAAGTCTTACTTTTCGTCAATTGACTTTATGGCTCGAATAACGTGATCCGGTACGTCTTCTTGTTTCTCTCCAGTAGTTCTATTTACCCAAAAAGTACCAAGTTCAGGGCTTTGCATTAAAGACCACTCTTCGTTCTATATTAAAATATATAAATATATCTTACAATGATAAAATATCCTTGATGAAAGTTCTCTTTATCTTATTTTTAAAGAAATAATATGCATCTTTTCCTTACAACTGATGTTTTTTTCTTTTTAATAAAGGTCACAGATTTTCTTCTGTTCATTCTGTGTTGTTTTTCTTATAAATTTCTGGCAACCATTTAACAATAAAGGATCGAATATAAATAAATCGCATTGATTGGATTTATAATCGATCAATATTGATATCAAGAGCATAAACTTGTACGTACTTCGGTATTAATTATAATTCTTCAAGATAATACCAATAAGGGATTAAAGCTGATTAAAATCAGATGAAAGAGATTCTCATATTTTTATAAAGTGGTATTAGAAATCCTAAACTCTCATTACCTCGAATTTTAATGTCGATTGCAAACTATTTTTTGATGTTGTTCTTGACACCGAGCGTTTATATTTTGCCATGTTAAAATCCTATTGGCGTTCAATCAAGCGGCCGACGCATAGATTTTCAACAAACTAACATTCGTTGAGTGATACCGCGCTTTTCATTGTATGTTGTCCTATGGTATTGTGAATCATTGAAATCAGTATTTACTTTATTGAGCTGATAATAAAGGAACGTATTTGTCTTGCAGTCGTAACGACTACTACTTAAGTTATTCTCGTTAATTTACACTCGACTTTAAAGGCTTATGAATTACAAGCTCTTCCGGAAGATATTTATTAACACTAAAATAACGATAACCAAGTGCCATTAATATTCAACATATTCAATAACAATATAATAACTAATTCAACATATACAATAATTAGGCACACCAGCGATTGTCTTGAACACATTTTCCTCTAAACCAGAGAAATAACAATTTATTTTTTTCCGACAATTTGTCAAAATACGTATCCTTCTTCCAACTTAGAGCATTTTTTTGATTGCCAAACGGCGGAGGGAAAACACGGCGCCATCTGTAGTTGATCAAGTAGTTAATTTGTGATAGATATACAAATGTCAATAACTAATTAACAAACCTATTCCGATTCATGTGTTCCTTATATGCTCGTTGTAGATCAGACGATATTTCTTGATTTAAACACCATTTACATAACTGACACTCCTATAAAAGAATAATTTACTATTTAAAAGTTTCTTAAGGAAAGTACAAAGGATGAAGAATGCAGCAACTCACAATGATAGCGCAGTTTTTGGTGCATTGAGGAGAATCACAATGTTCAATATTCACATGTATATCTCTTTCTGAAATTTGCATTTCGTATGCGTGCCTAGATCTGGAAAAACTCCCCATGAAACATATAAAACATTGGAAAACATTAGTATTTAATTAGCTAATTAACTTACGTTTTAATCCAATTATTCGCTACAGTTTTGGCTACTCCTGTTAAACTAAACATGCTATATAGAACTTGCTCATATAAAAGTCTATTTTGAGAAAAATGTGCAGTAGAGAGGTTTGGAGACATATTAACCTATCGGAGAGTAAACATTAAGAGAGTGATTTATAATTAATTTAGCATTCCTATGGATATATAAATACAGTTTTATTTACCTCCATTAGATAAACATTAAGATCTTTATCAACAACGAAATCAAAACGAACCATTTCGAAAAAGTTTCTAGAAATGATATAATATTTTGTTGTTTATTTTGATATAATGTATAAAGATACTTTTTCTACTTACGATGTGCCACCGTACGACGACATAGATCTAATAAGAGAAGATACTTTTGAAATATAAACGTTTCTGATAGCCTCATGTATTTGGTTAGTTAATTTTATGACGCTATCATCTATTTGAATTACAATTAGAGTTAACATTTGTAATCATGAATAAGGGTTTCCTTTAATACTTACTTTTACTTCTAACAAAATGAAAAAAAGATTCTCGATGTGTAAACATTAAATCAGTATAAGCCTTTTTTAGAGAAGGCATTTTCCAAGTTGGTGTATAGTCATCGCCCACGACATATTTTTTAACATCTGCAGCATCAAAAGGGTAATAATCTTTGGCGCAGTACCTCATTAACCAGTCTCCGTCAAAAATATATACTCGTAACGGATCGACTGATACTAAAGTTGTGTATATTCCTATATCGAATCTCCTTAACATTAAAAAGAAAACATTCTATATTATAATCTACTATTACATGCAGTATTTTACTGACTTTCCATCAATCAAATAGGGATTATCAATATATTCCTGAACAAATGTATTCCCAGTTGAGAAATCCAACTCATCAACACTTCTTATCCGTATTCCGCGATGATTATTACTCTTTTGTACCCATTTTTTTAAAGGATATTTCTTTGCATATTTAAAAAAAGCATCTTTTTCCGAAGGTATTTTAAAAGCTTTAGGAGCTTGTTTAATATTTGAAGTAGCAAGAGATAGTTTGTTAGTTATCCACCCTGAACCCGGGAATTTATTAACCATTTGATGGGACTTAAGTGAATCTAAACCTTTCACAGAACCAAAAGGATAATCATGCGCCCACAGTAAATCCCAATTGGAATTGTTAGTGCCTCTAACATAACCGACGCGTTCGAGCACTCTCATAACATGATCTAGGTAACCGGAGTCGATTTGCTTTCCAAAGATCCAATAAACTGGTGATTTCTTACTAAAACTCTCACTAACCGCTTCTGGATTTGCAATGTGTAAATTCAAGTGATCCATTTGCAATTTTCGAAGTTCGTAAATATTCAAGAAAGTGACAAAAGACCCTAAAACCAAGGCAACTATAACAATTTGAAAGAGTGCCGATGGTCTTTTTATCTTTTTATAAAATTTATTATATTGCTTATTTTCCATCATTTATCTCTAATATGTTAAGTCATACTCGAGCACCTACTTTACATAAAAGAAAAATAATAAAATATTTCATTTAGTTAGCAGCTTTATAAGATGTAAGACTTGAACTATTACCTGATAAAAAATGTATAACCTTCGTAGAATGAGCTGTCATGAAATAAGAGAAAAAGCCATATATATTGCCATTTATTGATTAAGTAATGTGTTTACCAAACCACTCTTTGATATCTATGGGTGCAGGGAAACCGTCTGTTAATAATAAAAGCGCGATCTAGCGGGGAATAACAACCAAGCACTTTCTTTCTGCAACCATATAGAACAGGATATTTACATATTGTTCACTAGGCTTACTTTTATAGTAATTACAGTATTCCTACAATAGTTACAAGATGTCTCTACTAGTGCCGGTATTGTAACCTGTTTCAATCATCCATGTATGCCTAAATATTAACTTAGTGAATCTACTATTTATAAGTAAATGAAACGGAACGACAAGCTATAAACTGTAGAATGATTTGCATAGTTTAATATCTGAATATGATGACATGATAGATGAAATTTGAAATAAGAAAAAAAAAAAAACTTGATATCTATGCTACAGAAAACAAAGCACAGATCTATTTCACCCCCAATTTCTTACACGTCAGATAGCTCGAAATGGATGAAAAAAGTGAAAGAAAGTAGACGGTTTCTGCTTTTACTTTTATTTCATATAGCTCCTCGTACCGCCTCGCGATTAGAGATAGGGAGTGAACCGGAATATAATGTATTAGAGTTGGAAAAGAATGAAAGATTTAGACTTGGGTCAAGATCTTTTAGTCGGATCGTTTCTTCTTATAGACTGAATGAAGACGAAGAAGTAGAAAACGATTACATAACCACTGATCGAGCTTTTGAAGCTGTCCAACAAAGAGGTCAAACAGATCTCCTAGAATTACTCATCCGAACCGTTGATGATAGTCTACTATACGACGTTGTTCGCGTTCTAAGCGAAGCAAACAAAGGAGAACATGCATGTTAAATAACTTAACAGAAAGGAATATAGTCTAATTAATTTATTCTTTAATTATATATCTCATTTATTTATATACGCAAAAAGTAACCATTTGCGTTTAGTTAATAACTTTCAGCTGTACAATCATCGTCTAGTTCCAGAGTCTATTTTAGGTTTAGATTTCTTTTTAAAATGTAAACTTTGGTTGAACACTAACTTATCGCCTCCATGAGCAACATGACCCTAAGATATTTTGTCTAGTTAATAATCCTACTTACGAAAGAATGATTATGATAGACTTTGCAAACCTTATTAGCCAAAGAACCTATTTTAGATTGCGCTTTATCCTTGAATTGGGTTCTTTTGTGAAATATCTTCTTATCTCCTCCTGCGGCTCTATGATTCACATTACTCATCGATCCCACTTTTGATTGGGCAGTTTTCTTAAAGTTTATATTTTTATTAAAGATCCTCTTTTCGCCTCCAAGAGGTCTATTGTAATTAATTAATTAATTAATATATTCAGCATAATCAGTTGTTATTTCAATAATATTAGACCGAAATTAGGATTATACAAGAAATATAATATAAACATAATATTGTCATAAAGTAATAATTAAATACGATACTCGCTTATGCTGTATATTTTTCAAAGAACCGATTTTGGATGTGACAGTTATAGTCCTAATATCAGTTATTTTTTTATTTGGCATTATCTTAATAAATTGTTTAGTCGTGTCTTAAACCTTGTTATTGTTCTATTTTGAGTATTATTTTTGCCCTTTTTTAAACATTTGAATTCGACATAATTTTTTTCCCCAGTCATAGGCTTAATAACCGGAAAATTTTTGTCGTCAACGAATATAACAAGCGCCCCCTGTTGAACAGTAAATTTTCCTTGTGTATACGTGAACAGGAACTAGTTTATAGTGTATACATCAGATAAATAGAGTAATAGACGCCCCTCTTACAAGAAAAAGACGTACAGATTTGCACTGTCCGCCAGCCAATCAGCACAGTCTAATCTTCTTAGACCGGTTCCCCCTACAAACGTCTTAACGAGGAACCGGAGTCCGTGTTTATTTTTACTGGAAAATCGACGCGATGAAAGAAAACTTGACGTTGGCTGATTTTTTTAAATGAGAAGTAAATGAGATAAGCCTTAAAGCATAACTTTAGTAAAAAGTCGTTACCGTCGATCGCTCTGGGTTGACGCTTATGAAAGATACCAACATTTAAAGACGTCGAGAGCCTGGACAACGCAAGCAACTGTCCACTGTTTTAAATAAGTAATAAAGAAAAAATTAGATTAAAGAGCTACTCTGAAATAATAAATTGGACATTTTGAAAGTAAAACAAAGACATTTGCGTTGCGCACATTGCAGGTGTGTCGTCTATTGATTTCTCCTCGCAGGAAGCATGGAACGGCAGCCTGAGCAGCCTGCCAAGTCACCGAGTACTCACTCTTCTATCTTCCATTTATACGGTTAGTAACAATCGATTTCGCCTTCTCTCTCTCTCTCACTCTCTCTCTCTCACTCACTCTCTCACTCTATCTCTATTTCACTCTCCGTCTCTCTCTGCTTATTGTTAGTCTTCTCTTTTACAGCATCTCGTGCGGCGGCTGCAACGATGAACTATCCTTGGTTCTTACCGACTCACCCTTCTCTACTGGCGGCCAATTTCAATGGGGGGAGCTTTCCAAGGCCTTATCTACCACCAACTGGGGATTTCTGGAGAGATTTATATTCGAATCAGTTTCTACCTCAAGCTTATCCTGTCCCTACCTCCTCTTCCGCTTCTCATTATGATTCAGAACCCGTCCAAGAAGAAAGTCAGCCTGTTAAAAGGGCAAAGGTTGAGGATTCGCCTTCAAAATCATCCTCATCTTCGTCAGAATCATCTTCCTCTAATGATGAAGAAGAAGAAGAAGAAGAGCAAGAAGAGGAAGAACACGAGCAAGAGCCGGAAAAAGAAGACCAGCAACAACAGCAACAACAAAATTCTCCTCCGAAGCCTGTAAGCGCCTTTGAATTACCACTCTCTCATGGTTGGAAACGACAAACGAAAATAAAAACAATCAATTCTCGGGGAATCGTTGGAGACGTTACTTACGTGACGCCTTGCGCAAAAAATCTGAGATCTATGCCGGACGTTACTCGTTACCTCCAGAAGAAAGGAAATGGGCAGTTAACTAAGAGCAACTTTACCTTTAGTTCTCGGGTAAAAATAGGAGAATTTTATGACTGCAGAGAACCTAATTCAGAGTCGAATCAATGTCTGACTGCGGAAGATTTCAAAAGTTTACTAGAGTCTATGTCTAAGCGAAAGAAATTATCAGCGAGAAGGGCTGACCAGCAAAGGAAATTAGAAGAAAAAAGATTATTGAAATTGCAAAGAATAGAGAAGCAAAGAGAACAAAAAGAGTTACGGGCTCAGCAAATCCTGCAAGAAAAAGCCAGGAGGAAAGAGCAGATGCACGCAGAAGCGTTGAGAAAAGCTCAAGAAAAGGAACAGAGAAGACAAAAGATACTACTAATGAAAGAGAAGGAGCGTGAAAGAAAGCGAAATTGCACGTTATGTTGTCGAGCTTTAGAAGCCAGAAAGAAATTAGAGGAGAAGGAAAGATTGAAAATTGAAAAATCCGAAGAGCATAGCAAAGAAATTCCCCGCTATGTTGATGACTTAACACTAAAAGATTCGAAGCCTTTTCCTTGCTTTGAACGAGTTGACGAGGATTTTACAGCAGAGACGTTCTCTTGTCTTCTTCAAATTTTCGAATTTATTCATACTTTTGCTGATACTCTAGGATTAGAATGTCTGCCTTCGTTTTGCAATTTAAAGGATATTTTAACTAAAAGAAATGCCTGCCATCCTTGCATTGTTCATCTGGTGAATTTTGTAAAAGTGGACCCAGGAGTACCAGAAAATGCAAAAATTACTAATGTTGAAGTCAATGAAACGAATGTTTTTGAAATACTGCAAACAGTGCTCGATTTGAGACTAACATCTTCTTCCCCATTCCACAACACCGGCAATTGGACATGCCTTAGTGTAGAAGAAAAATCGCGCGTATTGGCGTGTTTAATGGATGAATTACTTGTCTCTCGTGTTCTCATGGCAGAAATCGATCGCTCTGTAGAAGACGTAGCCATAGCTAGGCAAAACGTCATTTTATCAAACGCTCGCTTAAAGACTTTGAAGAATGGTGCTCTTAAACATGTGGCGGAAAGCGATCATGGATCTGACTCAGATTCCGACGGTAGCGAGGAAGAGAATGATGCTCAAATGAAATGGATGAGAGCGTGCCGAAGGGTAAGAGGTCTGGAATTAGGACAGGATAGATACTTTAGAAAATACTGGATTCTCTCCTCTGCCGGTGGAATATTCGTTGAAGGTATTGATACAGCCGAACCTGATTTATCCTTATCTTTCTCAAGAGATTCCTCTAAAACTGCTATTGGAAGTGTTTCCTCTCCGAAATCATTAAGTTCCGGTGAACTGACATCGAAATTTTTCGATACTCTTCAAAATCTATTTCCAAATATTGATACTGCCACTGAAATTAGGAACTGGTTTTCCCTTCTCCCAAGATCATCTTGCCAAAAGGAAAGTGATTCCTTAGAACCTTCCGACAACGATCAACCATTACCACTGACGGATAGTGTACGTAATGGTTGGTGGAGAATAGAAGATGCTGCGAAATTACACGAATTTATAAGTTGTTTAAATGAAAAAGGTGTTCGAGAGCATGGCCTGTGTTCAAATTTAAAAGTATTCGAAAAAGAAGCTTTTGCTTCTTTAGAACGTTCCTCAGCAGTCTTAAGTGGAAAATTGTCGAGCAAATTGCCGAAGCACAATACTCTAAAGAGAGAAATTGTCATATTAGAAGAAGTTGAAGCATTAGAAGAGAAAATTTGCTCTTCGTCTTTGCAAGTAAAAGGTTGGCAATGGCCGCCTAAACTATCGACTAGTCCTTTCCTCGTTCCTTTGGGTAGTCCCTTAACGCCTCGAAAACGATATGCACTAGATGTTGCTCGGGAACGGTTGCTTGCCCTAGAAGCAAATCTCGAGAAACGTTACCTATTGCCACCCCTCGGAACGGTTGCTCAAGATGGTGAAATTCCGGACGGCGATAGCTCAGCCCTAAAAGCATGGCGATCGAGCGTCAGTTGCGCTCGATCCGTTTCAGCTCTAGGCGTTTGTATAAAAGAATTGAGAGACTGTGTAGCCTGGCACAAATCTATAATGAGAGTGTCATGTCAGCTGTGTATGAAGGACGAGGACGAAGCGAATTTGCTGTTATGCGACTGTTGCGACAAAGGTTTCCATACATACTGCTTCATTCCACCGTTAGAAAGCATTCCAGAAAACGATTGGTTTTGTCATCATTGTAGAGCAGCTTCTAAACACTTGCCCAAAGTATGCATTGCTTGCGGTAAAAGCGAACCGAAGCTAGTTGCTTGCCATATCTGTTCTCGGGCTATTCACGCCACGTGCATAAGGCCTTCAGTTTTACGTCTTCCACGATCATGGGTTTGTCTTCCATGCGAACAAAAACGCTGTACGGAATCAGAAGATAAACCTAAGCCTCGACTGGCAGCCACAAAAAATCGATTAAGTAAAAGTGCCGATCTGCTAGACAATGCCGTTCTATCCGAAGAGCTGGACATCTGTAGAATCGTTTTACAGGAGCTAGAAAATCATAGTGACTCTTGGCCATTTATTAAACCAGTCAATACATCTCAATTCCCTCAATACAAGCAAGTGATTAAGAAACCGATGGATCTCTCAACGATGAAGAGTAAACTTTGTCAGGGGTTATATTCAAATCGAAATGGTTTTTTGGGTGATGTTCGACTGATGTTCCGTAATTGCAAGATTTTTAACGAGGATGAGTCGGATGTTGGTCAAGCTGGTATAAATCTTGCGCGCTTTTTCAAACGCACTTGGAAACAACTAACAAATACTGGTTTTTCTTAATCTTTTCTTATTACTGTTTATTATAATTGTACTCTTGTTAAGATGAAATTTTCTTACTTTTTTTGTTTTTGTTCTTGTAAACGAATGTTTTCCGAACTATACTTTTTCTTTTTCATTGAAGAATTAAATAGTCTTAAAATACTTTTAAGCGTAACTATGTTAAAGCTTGTTTTTATTAAGAAAGAAAATGCTATCTTTTAAACACATTTAGGGTTTTTTTCAAATTTGTCGACAATGTAGATCTGGAATCATGTACATCTGCCTTATTCAAAAGGAGCTTACGGCGAACACGCAAAGTACACATCTTTCTATGTTTCTCCCAAGCGACCTTAGTTTGTAAACATTCACGTAATTCTTCATCGTTCGGATAGGGAAAAATCTATGGGATTATATAGCGTAAATAATATATTAAACATTGCCCTTAATGAAAACAGTACAAACCTCTTTTCGAAGTCTAACTAGTAACTGTTCGGAGGCATGTTTGACAAACAACTTTTTGTTTAGCATAAAGCATTCAGCTCCATTGCTAATTATGCTGAAACTTGGTTGTTTACCAAATAGAATATCGGCTAATCCCTATAAAAAAAGACAATAAGCAAAGAATTTATCAAATGAATGATTCGCTTTTGTTTAAATTAATTATGTGGCACACACTAACAAACACGCTTCCTTTCGTCAGAGTTTGCACATTGACAAATTGCCAATTTAATCCTTGATACTGTTCAGTAGGGGAGTGGCAGGTTGCTATTTCTGTGATATGATAGCTCTTAAATATTATATCTTATGAAAGCCAAAAAAAAAGAAACCTATCTCGTCTTCATTCTCATCGCTATATTCATTGTCACTTTCTTCATCACTTTCTTTTGCACCTAAAGCTACGGCTCTTAGCGAGCTTCTAGTCAGCACTGGCCCCTAAATTATAAAAAGTCTAAACTATACATAAAAAGCTTTCTCATTCTGAAGACTAACTTGGAATAAAAGACTTACATTAGGAAATATTTTTACCACATTCTTTTCCATAAGAGATTGTTCTTCCTGCTGAGATTCGAGTAACGACATTCTCTTTTCAAGCTATAGAAAAATTAGCTTTAGTTAGCAACGGAACTAAATACATAAAAGTATATTTCTTTCAAACAAAGCCACAGCTTGTACCTTTCGATGTCTCCTAAACGCTCGGTGATAGGAACTTTGAACTGCAATCCGAATTTCCGGTAAAGGTTCTAATTTTTTACGTACTGTACTGAAGGACTCTTTTTCCTCCATTTGACGCTCTAAATTTTGCTTGTGTTCTGTTTGCCGTCGATTTGATAATAACGATCTACTAATTGATGTTTTTGAAAGAAGCCCTTCTTTATTCTTCTTATCCCCTAACCTCTTTAATACAATACAGCTACCCTGAAATGTTTTTAATTACGTCATTATATTTTATAATACGGTTTATAAAGGACAATAAATCAGTCATAATTTAAGCTCTGCTTAATACCTATAATTTATTAGTTTATTTACGATCAATTGATCGCTTCTGCCAAGTGTCCTAAACTCTTTGAAATCCCTTTTTAATAGAGAGATAAGGACGTTTGACAGACTGTAGGACTTAGGAGGAAAATACAGTCTGCTAAAATGAAAAAAAGGTTTCAAATGCAACATAGAGGATCGAGTAAATAATTCAATACGTTAGTTGTAATTTAATTGCAATACAACTACTTAACTCGAAGGAAATTCACTCGAATATGAACGGAAAGTTTATAGATGATAAAGTCTCATAAAAACAAAGCGTTATAAATTTCTTTTTAATGTATATGGGATTAAAATACTTTTGGAAGTCATTTTGCGAAATTTCTCTTGAGAGATAGCGTTGACGCCAGACTCGTTCTACCCAGTGGCCATATTGGATTATGTTACAAATACTTCATACAAAGAAAATTAGGAATGGTTATTTAATCTAATACCTAAATTTTCAGGTCAACTTGAGAGAAAATTTCTCGGTAAGTCTCTGAAAGGGCAAGTTAAGATAAAAGATATTGCATTGAATGATCTTTTGGAAACAGTTCAAGCGTAAATAATAGACCACTTGAACGAAAATTAACAGGCTTAAATTATAATAAAAAAATTACTTATAATCTCTTTTTTGCGACTTAAAATGAGCATTACTGAACAACAGAAATTTAAAAAATATAATATTTCGTATCAAAAAACAGAAACGTGAAAGAAAATTATTATTCAATTGAACTATTTGATATACTTGTATCAGACTTGAAAGATTAAAAGTAAAGGAAAACATTTTGCAGTACAAACCTTAAAAAATAATAAAAGTAGCATTTTAAAAATTGCATCTCTTTATGATCTTTGTGAGTAACGGCTATGTTGTAGACTTTTACACAGGATAAATAGTAAAAAAATTACGAAATAAGCTATTTAAATAGGTCTATTATTAAATCTAGTATGTACTAAAGATAATTTTCTTTACTTATAAAGCAATTAATAAACTTTAAATGAATAAGAATTCAGATAGCTGACTTACTGATTTAATGAAATACAACCACTCGCAGTCTCTAGTATCTTTTACAACTACTGTTCCTCTTCTGCAACAAAGAAGTAAGAATGTAAATTCTAACTCGTTATTTGAAATTTTTGCATTAGCTTGATACTCTTACTTAAAAAATGACGAGACAACTTTCTTAGGATTGAACTGTAGGATTTCAAGTGGCCAACCATGTAGATATTTTATGTTCCTGTATGTTTTACAAAGATTTTTGTTTTTAACATCCTTTTTTGTAAGTGAATAAGAAACGAAAAACTGATTGTTAAATTGCAGTTGAATTTCTAAAAGGAAATGTATGCTTACGAAAGGAAAGAATCATTGAGCTTAAGATCTCCACCTGCCATAAAAATGTCCATAAAATCTTGACTTGATAAGCATAAAAATTCTACTGTTTCTTTTGAAACAATTGTTGTAGATCTTTTTGCTCGATTAATTATTCCTAATTCTCCAAAGCTATCTCCCCTATTTAAGAAACATACTGTCTTATTAACATCGTCTTTTCTATCGTAGACGGTCACGAGAACTACATAAAGGGTAAATACAATTTCAGACTTAGTTTAATATTTCATAACGATTGGTAAACAGTTTTCTACCCGATCCTGATAATATGATATAAAAGCTCTGAGCTGGGTGTCCCTCTCGGAGTACGATTCTCTTCGCATTATAACTGTGAAATAGGCCTAAGGTTATTTCTTAAAGTCTTTAGTTTTCTTTATTAAAGCAATAAAAAAAATTTCTACCTCTCGTACCATGCCCTTCTAGCAATCTCACTTTGCATTGATATAGGATATTCACAAAGAGATTTATAATTTCTCATCAATACTTTGATCTGATTTATTATAAAAGATGTTAAAGGGGAGGAATAGCGTTGAATAAAGTTTTTTTACATAATGTCGGTCGTGTTCACTTCTTTCATCTTGCTTCAATTGCAAAATTCGTCTAGCCTCGGAAGATATATTGCTCTAAAGATTAACAAGATTAATTTATTATATTATCTATTAACGAAAAGAAAACATTTTTTATTTACATTTTTATGAGGTTTAAAAATAGAGGCATCAAATAAACCCTCTTCTGATTTGATAGATTCCTCTTCCTCTTCTTTTGCATCAATTATATTAAGTGAATCGTACTTGTTCAGCACGGATTCGACACTGATTTAAAGATAACAGAAGAAGTTTTTAAACATTATATTATAGGAGATAGTCAACTTAAACTTATTTACCCCATAGCCTGAGACTTCCATAAACGATACAGAGCACAAAATACTTTGACAATTCTTCTTAATTTCTTAAGAGTCTGCTTAGCTCCATCTCTATTACGTTTTCGCAAACGACTATTTTTCTTGCTAGTTGTGTGTTTCAAAGAGTCGTAATTATCGTCTAAATAATGGTCACTTTCTTCATCGTCTGTACTCGTGAATTGAGTGCTATCTCTTCGAAAAGACTGAAAGGGCAAATTGTCAACATACTCTCCACTTGTCTTCTTTTTCTAGTAGTTTTCATTTAAATTTACACAAAATGAGGTTTAGAAGATGAGAAAAATAAAAAGAAAAAACGTTTACCCTTTGAGCAATTGATTCTGGACCCATACGACGTAGTATATCAAGTAAATTCCTCCGCTTAATCTCATAGTCGTCACCAATGAAAGATAGCTGCCTATGACGATTTCCTCGCTGAGACATTTCAAATAAATATAAATTTTTAAAAATGTCAAGTAAAAGGAAACTAATTTCAAAGTAGAAATGAGTTCTCAAATAAAAGTAAACAACTGTGAAATGAAACTTGTTGCGGAGAGATTAGAAGATTAAGTCTTTTCGAAAGAATTAAACTTACGCATGAACAATTGCATTGTTTAAAACCGATCAACTACTTTCCTAAAAGACTAATGGGAGACGAATAATATGTCAGCAAATAGGCTTGATGAGTAATAAGGCCTAATACTGCTTCTCATTGGGCCTTAACACCTTTTTCTAATTAAGAGAATTATTAAATTATATAAGTGAAATGAAAGTGTACATTGTATTTTTATTCTTGATGCAATATTCGCTAAGAAGATTACTTAAGTGAAAGACGATACAAAATGTATTAATTGATTAAAATACTCTTATTTATTGTTATGGGGCCTATAAAAACGTTTGTCTTTATTAGTTTGTATAGTTTGTATAGTAAATAACCTTTAAGGTTAAGTTAATTCCTTTCGTTGCCCTAAAATCGATTTGTAGGGGAAAACGTACTTGATTAAGATTATAAGTGTCAAAGCTAGAGGCTACAATAGTCAGGAAAACACTGCTATAGGGTAAGGATTCATTGTCCTATATGTTGTAAGTATGATGCAGCATAAGGCACACGATTTTCGAATCCAATGCCATCTGTTGTTTATTAATTGCGTTACTAATATAATGGTTTATGTGCAGCCAATTTCGTCCATGGTTGTCTCTCGAAATTTTCGTCTAATTAGATCTTAATTCATGTTAGATTCCTGCCAAATATATCAATAATTAAATAATACAGGATATGTTGAAACTATCTTTGTTAATTTTGTAAATGGAAGCTGTTGTTAATGGTCAAGCGTGCGTTTGCTTATTTTTTGTTTTAAGTAGTATCAATAATAGGAGAATTTGATTTAATAATAATAAGAATAAACAAGTTAATTAATCTATTTTATTTTTTAGATAACCTTTTTGTGATACATGTATAATCTAATAATTTATCGATTTGATTCTGCATTTAGTAGGCGGAACCATACAACAACTAATTTTAAACTATTTATCGATATATAAGCATTAGAATTATTGTTAATGTGTACTAAATAATAATATAGAATTCATCACTACAAAGTTAAATATAATTAAAAATTGGCCTAAAAATCTTACATTAGGCTGAATTAGATTATACCCAATTGTGTGCTTGTTTTTTATCAAAGTGAGACTATCAAGAGTCAGAGCTATTTTAATTACATTTTGTCTTTGGCTATTGTAACGAATAAGATCTTAAATTAAAAATAGAACTTCCATTTTTAAATGAAAAAGATCAATATTGATTAAAATCAAATGTTTATTCATATTATTTTTTTAAAGCAGCTGCCAACATTTGAAGCCATTTAGTTTTTAAATATTTTTTGAATTCTACAAACTATGGCAGAGAAATGTGTCTTAGTAACTGGTGGATCTGGCTTTATTGGAAGCCACACCGTCATTGAACTTTACAAGGCTGGATATACCGCTGTGGTTGTTGATAATTTAATCAACTCTGTTGAAGGTAATCTAATTTGTACAAGAATACTTCAATTATTATGACTTTTGCTTATAAATCATCAAAAACACGTATAAAATGATTTTTATATAGAGAGTATCAATCGTGTCAGAGAGATTGTTGGTCAGAATTTCCCCTTCTACAAAGTTGATATACAAGATAAGGATGGTTTAATTGAGATTTTTCAAAAGGTAATTTACTTCATTCTAGATTGTTATATATCCTTTTTTTAGCGTAAGAAATATCAGTAGTTCACATTATATAACCTTCCAATCTTCAATAATCTTTACAAAAGCGTATCTATTTTTTACTTAAAGGAAATATTCATTTAAAAGCCTTTAAAGAAACTAACATATTATATATAGCTTTTCTTTTAATATTGTTTTTGTATAACCTTTAAAAACCTTTTCTTCTTCAAGGACTCCCTTTGAAAAGCTCTATTTCATACCCCGTCAAAGAGAGTTAAATATGCTTATGAAAATAGATTATTAAAGAAAATACAACATGTGCTCTACATCTGTGTTTTACTTTAAAATATAGTTTTATATTAGATATATATACTGTATATATAAAGATATTTTACATCCTGTACTTTTTTAATGATTAATTCATTTTAACTTATCATCTTTTTCTTGATTCTGATTTCAATTGTTCTTATTTAGCACTCTTTCATCTGTGTGATTCATTTCGCTGGATTAAAAGCAGTTGGCGAATCTGCAGAAAAACCACTTAAATATTACAAGAATAATATAACTGGAACTATCACTCTTTTAGAAGTTATGGAACAATTTAATCAGCAATCTCTAATCTTTTCAAGCTCTGCAACTGTATACGGAAATCCTCAATATCTACCGCTAGATGAGAAACATCCTGTGGGCGCTTGCACGAATCCGTATGGTAAAACAAAGTACTTTATTGAGAACATTCTGCAAGATATGGCTGCAGCAAATGATAAATGGCAATTTACTCTTTTAAGATATTTCAATCCAATTGGTGCACATGAATCAGGAAAAATAGGGGAAGATCCCCAAGGACCCCCTAATAATCTAATGCCTTATGTGGCTCAAGTTGCAATAGGTAAACGTCCTTTTTTGAGAGTCTTTGGCAACGACTATGATACGAAAGATGGAACAGGCGTTAGGGATTATATTCACGTCGTGGATCTGGCTCAGGGTCATGTGAAGGCTCTTAACCAATTGAGCAGTGGCTGTAAAGTATACAATTTAGGTACTGGCCAGGGTTATAGTGTTTTAGATATGGTGGAGGCTTTAGAAAAAGTAAGCCAAAGAAAAATTAAGTACGAAATTCACGAAAGAAGATCGGGTGACGTAGCTAATGTATGCGCCGATCCATCATTATCCGAGAAAGAGCTTGGTTGGAAAACAAAGAAAGATTTGAATGATATGTGCAAAGACTTATGGAATTGGCAAAGTCAAAATCCAAATGGATTTAGATCCGAGTGATTTTTTACAGATTATTTCATTCTTTTGACAATATTATCAATACTTTGTCATTGGAGTTTTGATTTGGTGGGCTTATTCGCATTTAATATTTAATATTCAATTGAAAATTCGGTTCAACGTTAAAATTTCGTATTTGGAAAAAGGAAACGCAAAATGGGGACATCTGCAGAAAACAAAAACTAACTATAATATTTCATTAGGCAAAAAATGTAATCTTTGTCATAGAAAATATAATTTCCATATAAATATATTATTTATTCCTCTTGAAGGCAATATATTTAAAAGTTAAATTCCATTAAAAGAAAGAAATAAAGAAATAACAATCTTAATTAATGTGGGGATTTACTGGCGTAATAGAGGATATTATAAAATGAGAAAGGGCAAAATCGCTTTGTTTGTGAATCACTTAGTTTAGGATGAGTAACAAAAAGCTATTTTGACAGTATAGATGGGGTATTATTCTGAGGAAAGATAAATATGATTACCCAGATCGCAAACGCCATCTAGTGTGTTACTATGAAATTTATGTACAACGATGACACAAAAGTTATTGATTTGCAGATTTCGCTCATTCAATTTTGACGTCAACACCCTATTGTCGCTCATTGGAACTTTAATTTATTACGACTTAGCGGTATTGAAAATCGTAAAGAATATTCCTTAGATATTTAAAATAGGTAAAATAATTCTGACTTATTTGAAGTATTTAATACGTCAAATAGAAATTAATAATCAAATCTCTTTCGCCAGTCACGCTACACATTACGAGCAGAACAGATGTACGATTTTCGAAACAGCAGCATTATCAATTTTTCGTAATTCTTGCAGCAATCTCAATTTAACACTAAATATGGGTTTTTTAAGAATCACGTGGAGAATAATCCAATTCTTACTGATCAGTGTTATATGCTACGACTGCTATGCAAGTCAGGGAATCTATAGTAAGTACAGTTAAATTATGTGTTAAATTGCTTATTTAACTAATTTTTTATTCAATTTCAAGAATCAAAGACTTATTCTATTCTGAAAAAGGCGGGTATAGTATCTTTTTGTAACGAAGGGTATAAATACGCCTCATCTTTAACATATAAAACGGCGACGTAAGTGTGAAAAATAAATCTTTCTTTGTGATTTATAAATAAATGTTTTTCATTGATTTTCCATATTTTTCGGATCAATATTTTTAATTAGGTGGTGCCAGAAAAATGTTCCACAATGGCTTAAAAAATGTACCACCGTTGTGACGCCTTATCTAAACGACTTTTGGAGTTGGTTACGTGAGACTTCTATACATCTCTTCCAAGTTTCAGCTCCCTATCGAAAAGTATTTTTCGAGAAGCTAGCTTTCTTTTTCTTATGGGTATATTTTTGATAAAATTATATAATATTTTCTTAGAATTTATAATAGAACTATGAAATTTCTTTTAATAGTTTCAAGAGAGTGTGCTCATTTTGATGGATCTTATATCTCCCTATGTGAAAATAACTCTGGAATTTCTCGAATATTATGGAAAGATTATATACGCCTACGTCAGCGATATTGTTTTCCATTTAGGAGCAAAATTACAGGAAATCTTTAAATAAGCCGAGAAAAATTCAATTCCAGAAATATTTTTTACATCATCCGAGAATTTTTTAGAAGATGCTTGCCATTATAAAATTTAACGAAGCTTTTATCTTAGACAGAGTTAACTATTATGAAGAGTTTTGGTGTATCAAAATCATTTTCTTTTGCTCAAAAACTTATATTGTTGTGACATATATTTTAGTTTTTTAGAAGAACTACAAATAAACTATATTTATTGTCCACCAAAAAGTTTTAATGTGTTATTATATATAATATCAGCCAACGAAATAATATCTTCCTTCCTAGTTTCTGCGAGGACTTCTAACACTTGGCTAATACGAAATTAACAATAAATAATTTGTTAATGAATGCAATATAAAATATATATTATAAATGGTTAACATACATAATATTGCAAGGTTCATTTCGACCCTTTATATGTAGACCTTTCTGCCATTTTTCTTTCTTTACTGACTTGAATTTGGTTTTTACGTATTGGCTGCTAGCATGAGTTGCTTTTATTTCGCACCATGGTCCATCTGTTAGGAAAACAATTAATTGTTGTTTTTCTTTTCAATAGTATAAAGTATGCTATTCAGAATTATTATTGTTAGTTAAACCTGTTTCAATCAATAGTCTATTGGTCGGAATCGTTAGCATTGCATCTATATTCTCTTGTAATTTTAGCGAGCTATAATTGACAACGCTTTATAAATATAAAATCTCTAAGAATATAGACATATATATATATTTTATACCATCCGTTAATGCTAATATAAAGATCTTCAGCTATGTAACTTGCAGCTTCCTCCTTTGTACCTGTAAACGAATGTACAACTCCACCAGACTTCATTTTATGTTTATTCCTTCTCAAAATAGTTAGAAAGTCATCGGCAGCTGCTCTACAATGTAAAAACATTGGTAACCCACTTTGTTCCGCTAAATCAAATTGCCGTTCAAAATATCTTCATTGAAAAGAGACATCAAATTAGGATATAGGAGGTACTAATTGTTTAAATAAGATACTCACTGTAATTGAATATCCTTGGGGCAAAAAAATAATCTATCATAATCTGAAACATAATAAATGAGTGAATTATCGAATCTTTCTTTCTATACTAATAATAAAACGAACCTAAACCACACTCTCCAACAGCTACAACTTTTTCCCTATTCTCTTTAATTAAATCTAATAGGGATTTAAAATAGTTATCAGGATCTTTTGTAAATTCTTTGCACCTAGTTGGGTGACATCCAACAGTACAATATAAATTTTCTGTTAATTTAATTAAAGAAATTACTTCATTTATCATATTAACATTATCTGCTAACAATACCATGAGATTTAGCTAATTCTAAAGCCCTTTTACTATCCTTCAATGATCCTCCGGTAATGTACATCTACATGAATATACACAAACAAATAAAACATATTGGATTTTAAATTTTCTAACGAACTTTTTGCATCCCATTGCTCCATGCTCTATCAAGAACATCTTGCAAATCACCTAAAAGTATAATAAGGTAACGATGCTTTAAAAATTTAAAACTATTTATAAAACTAACCATCGTGATGTTTCTTTCCATGATAAAAACCTTGGTACATTCCATCTATTGAATAATAGTTGTGCAATTATGTTTTCAACTGGTTGTGCAATTTTTATAAAATTTATAATTTAGTTCTAAAACTTAAGATTAAAAAAATGATAACTTAAAATAATATAGAATAGATTTTCAAACATTTCATTAATTTCAATTTATAAAATAATAACTTTATAGCCAAAAATAGCTAAATTTTATTATGAGGTTTTATCCATACCTGTCAAGTTTATTCCTATGTCTGAAAATTTGTATAAAGTTTTTAAAAATAGCTTATTAAACTAAATTTAATAGAAATTGGTACTTGCCAATGAATTTAAATCTTGCTACGTCTGACATGGCTCTCTTCATTCGATCTAGCAGAAGAAATTTCACAATAAATTTTCTCGAATTGTTCATCCTATTTTATCGTGAACACAGGGTTTTATATGATTTAGAAAACAAAAATACACCCTAACAAGATATTAAAATGTTCAAGCAACTTTACAAAATAAAAAGTGTATATTTTATATATGCTTAAGTTACAAATCCCTAAAAATATTATTAGTTAATTAAAGTTGAGTTTAGCAAGAAAGTTATGCACAAAAAGACGTACCATTTCTTATTCTTTACACTGATCTTTTCATATAAAACATTAAAATTCTTTTTAAATTGCTGAGATTACCGTATCTTTACTTTCTGTGAATTTTATGAAATTTGCTTTTAAATGTTATAAATAGACTATTTTTTCGGAAAAGAGAAAAAACCCATACGACGCAAATTTTAAAATTGTTAATTTAGAAAATGAAAATTTTTGTACGAAAGTAGATTAATTATGATCACTTCCTGGAAACGTCATTCGCGCCTAATTCAGCATCAACAATATTTATTCAAAGAAAGAAAAAAAACATTTCGCAAAGGTAGAGCTTTTTATGATTTTCTCCTAAATTATGTTTATAAGATAGAAAATAATTAATAGTTTTTGGTTATTATAAAAGTTTACATATTTGTGCTTTTTTAATTATTAGAAATTAGAAAGCGTCTAATTAGCCACAGTATTAGGCTTCTTGTATTGTAATTTAATACTGTTGAAAAGGACGAAATTTAAACTTTGTTATTTTTGTGCGTATATATTTTGAATTTAGCGGCTATTAAACAGCATTAGCTTAGTCGATCGCGATATATATAGAATTAATTTAATATTACCCAAAGCAAATTTGTACTGTCATACACGTTCAATATATGTGTATTCAGTAATTCTGAATATTCAGTATCTTTTTACAACGACTTCTGAAAATAAAACCTTGTCAAAGCTATTGTGTATTTAATGATTATTGAAGAAATATACCAAGGCGTAGATTATTAAGGGGCTAACCTATCCCTTTTTCAGTTCATTCACAACAGTTAATGGAGTAGACTATGAAATCAACAAATGCAAAAAAAGTATGTAATTTAACATCTCTCATTTGTGAATTAAATCTTAAAAATGCTTTTATAAACAGCTTCCTCAGTTGCCGAAAGTTCCTGTGACCGAGTTTGCAAGAAGTCCAAGCGATCGTTGGTGTTTTAGTTCGTTCGTTTAATAGATTAATCAATTAGCCTTTAAATTACAGTGTTTTGGTTAGAGAAGAGTAATACAGGAGCAGTTAATGCATGTCGACAATTAACAAATGTAGGGTGCTGTTTATCTACTTTAATTATATTGTATGCGTATCTGTAATGTTGACAGATAAAAAAAAAACAAGGGAGAAGAGTTACATCACTACCGGGAGGCAAATTACATCCAATTTTTAAAAATTATACTGCACCAGTATTATCTTCTTCCAAAACAGGTAAGAAATAATAAGAAAGTCTTTTATATACTGTATATTCTCTTCTCTTGATGAAAAATTCTTTTCTAGCATTACCCGAGATTGACCCTCCCAAAGGAGCAAACGTAAACTTTGATGATCAATGGAAGGACTTATTGCACGGAAAGTTTTCAAATATTCCAGAAAATACTCCCAACTCTGTTAGAATATTCTTGGCTTCTGATTTTTATGGTATTAAAAATTTCTATTTTTCAAAAAATTCTTTACCAATTATTTTCCATTAAGATATGAAAGATGAAAGGAATATAATATGGGAAAGAGCAGTACCTGAATTGATTAAATATTGCTCGCATAGAAATCTTCAATTTCAATTAGTTGACTTATACTGGGGTTTGCCAAACCATGACTTACCCTTTATACAATACATTCAAAAATTCAGATTAGATGAACTTAAAGATTGCTGTAAACAATCCATCGGACCAACATTTATTGTAAATTTTTGTTCTTAATATTATTTAATGATATGTTATATGTAATTTAACTAGGGTTTAATTGGAGAAAATTATGGACATTTTCAATTACCCATGGTGATATCTGCCAATATATACGATCTTTTCGTAAAAGTGTCACAAGAGGACGAACAAATTGATCAAAAAGATATTGAGCTGTTTAAGAGCTCTTATTCTCAAGACGAAAATTTCCTTGAACCTAAATTTATCTTGAAAGTTTGTACTACAATGATTATTAAATCATTTATACAATTGCTTCTCCACTTTATAACTACAGCTTGATAAAATTGAAGATGAATATGACGATTTAAAACTATTCGTTCTAAATATTATAAAGAAATGTGTTGAACTCAAATTATTGAGCGAAGATGAGGGTCAAGAATTAGTTATGTCAGGTCTGTACGATTTAATATTTGTTCGTATTTAGTTATATATCTTTTTATACATTTGTAGGCTTACACAAGGAAATAGCAGCAGGAATATTTCAAGAGAAAGATCCAAGAAGTAGCTCAATTTGCTATAGAAGAGAAATTACTGATAAAGAAGATGTCCAGCCCGCAATTAGTAAAACTTTCTTAGGCAAACTACTTTCAGATATTCAAAATCATTTAGGTAGCACTAATTTCAAGCAATATTTCATAAATAATTACGAAGCAACAAAAGAAGACTATCTCGAAAAGTTTATAAAGGACTTCCTATCAGATTGTAAGCAAATGATTAGTACAGCAGTGGGAGGATATAAAAAGTGCAAAGCTATTCAAGAGCCAATTTATCAAGAAATACTTTTTCATGCAAATGTATGGCAAGAAAATATGAAATATCACGTAGAATCAGAAAATACTTTACACGCAATCGAAAAGTTTTTAAAAGATCCGAAATGTTCACAATTTCCATTCATAATTTATGGTCGAGAGGGATTCGGCAAAAGCAATATTATGTCCCAAGTTGCACAAAAAATAAGAGAATGGTTTAGAACAGAAAGTACAGTTATTGTAAGATACTTGGGACAGACTTCGTCTTCCAGCAACATACACTCCCTTATGGAAGGTGTAACAAAACAAATTTGCCTCGCTTATAAATTAGATACTGCGAACAAGCCGTTTAACACTCTCTTTGAAACCTTGGAATTTTTTAAGGAAACTATTAATTTGGTATCCGAAAAGTATGCAAGTAGTAGACCAGTATTCTTGTTATTTGATGGAATTCAGAACTTACATCCTCTGGAAGAAAGTATGAAAGCACTTCACGCAATCAGGAAGTTTCCTAAGCACATTCATGTAATAATATCATCTGTTCCCTATGGTGAAAAAGAAGGAAGGTATTCAATGAGTAACCTATTGACCCAAGATGAATTTTCGACAGAGATTGAGAATATGTCGGATAAAAGTGCCCAATTGTTTATGAATAAGTATTTAACATCCTTCAAAAGAACACTTAAAAAGGAACAACAAGATGCCATTTTAAAAGTTTGGAATGAATCTGAGAAATGTCCACTATTTCTATCACTTTTAGTAAGAGATTCTTTAAGATGGGAATCAGATTTTAAACCAGAGAACTTACCAAAAAATATCAGTGAATACTTTGACAGACATGTTGATGATATCAAAAACAAATATGGCTCAAATATGGTACAATATACATTAAGCTATCTAGCCATATCTGTACACAACGGTCTCTCTGAAGTGATTCTTACTGATTTACTTGCACAAGAAGAGGCTTGTCTATCAGATGCTCATATTCACTGTCCAGAAGTGGTGAAGAAATCTATCATACCACCAATACTCTGGACAGCTATAAGAAAACTACTTGGCCCTATCTTGAAAACAAAATATATATACGACCAATACGTTGTGTCTCTAACACACGACATATTTACGAAATTAATTTCGGAAAAGTTAGAATTAGTTTGTAGTGGAACAGAAAAATCAAAGATAACCTCAAAGTCAACTGAAAATAGTATTCAATTATGTCAAAATTTGACCGATTATTTTACAAACGAAGGAAATGAATATTCGATGCCTCAGCCCACTATTTTTACAAACTTGAATAAGATTGTAAGATTGTCAAATATTAGTAAATTACTTATGCCGCTCAAAGGAATGAAAATGTTAAAAAACTATTTACATTTTAACTTCGAATGGTTAAATGCCGAACTTTGTGCGATTGGTCCTTTGAAAGTTATTGAGAATCTCCTTTCCATTAAATCTTTAGCTCAATCTCTAGCAGACAATCGCCTTTTGCTCGAACATGATATACAAAGCATTAAAGAAATTCAAATACTAATTGATACTTTGAAACTTTCTACCAAGTCTCTCCTCAACTCACCTCAAAATTTACCATTTGAAATCTTTGGCAGATTAACAGATATTGATAAATATCCTTCTCTCAAGAGTTTACACCAGCAAGCTTTAGACTATATTCAATCGCAAAAGATATTTTTCTTACAGCCTTTATACGCTGTTCTAAAGACACCTAATGAATACCATCAAAAGACTTTCTACGGTCCGACACATGTACTTTTTGTGTCACAAGATCAATTCATATATACAATGACAAATAAAAAATATTTATCTATTTACGATATCGAAACTGACAACCTTGAACAAAAAACAACCATAAAAGTGGAACAAAAAGAATCAAATCTTATTCCAGGAAGGAAATCAAATTTTTTAATTATATCCTTTTTCTCACATCTGGATAAAATAAATCAATTAAAAGTTTGGAGTGGTGATACAGGCATAAATGTTGTAGATTTTGAATTCAAAAAAGAATTTGAAGCATTAGATATTAGTAAGGATGAGAAGGTTTTAGCTGTTTGCACAATCAGCGATATTGACCATCGAAAAGATGTCAAAAGCATTATGGGAGTCGACATTTTCTCGAAAGAGATTTTGTACAGAATACCAGTTGATAAGTACCATGAATCGGTCTCCAAAATAATTTTTCATCCCCAAAATTCTAACAGAATGATTTCAATTGGTAGTAGATTGAAGAAAAATATCCTTTTATGGGATCTTGAAACTGGAAAACTATTGCAAGAATATTCCTGCGAGAATTTTCCTGAAGATGTATTTGTTTGCGGTAACAATATTGTTTGTGGAAATTCGACTTTTTGGTTATGTGTTATAGATATTTCATCTAACGATTTGAAATCTAGTAGTTTTGACCAATTTGGCTCATATACTACAATGAACATATCGAACGATGGTAGTCTTATATGGGCTGCTACTGAAAACAATATTGTTTCTATCAAGTTAGACTTGGCTCTCTTAGATAAATTATCATTTTCTTCATCAATATCTTCGTTTAAATTTAATGATAAAGAAGAATTTTTATTTATTGGTTATTTTAATGGAAATATGGATGTTTTCGATATAAAAACGAAGAAAACAATTTATAGTTGTTCACTTCATAATGATAAAATAACATCATTCATTTCTCAGAATAATGTGTTATTTTCGGCTGGGCTTGATGGTCTTGTGCAGAAATTCTGCTTCGAAAGTCTTTTCCAAAAGAATACCGAGAAAGATTCGTCAGATGTACAAACGAAAGACTTCGTCTCATGCACTGATATATCAGACGTGTTTTTTTCTGATAAACAAGCTTTGATAAGCTCAAAATCATTAAATTTACTACAGTATAACTACGAAAAAGGTATGTTAGTAGTAAAAATATCTTCCTAAACTGTTTCATATAATCTTCAACAGGTGAGATTATCAATAAATATCCGTGCCCCGAAGCTGTGCAAAGAGTGATTTTTGCGTATAAGGAAAGATTAATTATTGCACTTTGTGAGGGAGTAACAAAGGAGGAAGGGAACCATATAAAAGTATATCAGCCATTCTATGAATAATATAATTAAAAAATCGTTTTCAGATGTGGATGACCGAGAAAACAGAAACTCTTGAGTTTGAGGATCCTAAAATTTCTAAAAATGTATTAACTTTTACTTTAAATCCACAAGGAGATTCTCTACTGTTGCTTAACCAGGGTAAGTTTCACTTTTGTCTGTTCAATATACTTTAACTGTTGTCCTAACTTTAGACTTAGAGCTGCATTTAGTAGATCTCTTTGATAAAACTGTAAAGCTGTCCACCAAAATAACTCTACCCAACTTTAAGTCAATTGAGTTTGTTGGGTCAACAAATGGGGGTTCTGGAGAACCTCAAGAGTACTACGTAACACTTGGTTTCAAGTGTTTTCATGACACATTTACATCCTTCCTTACGTTGAAAATCACTTCAAATCAGATGCATTTAGTGTCTCAAGATAGACTAATTTTTGATATTCTATCAATGAAAAGTGTCTTAGTTTCTGAAGGAAAGATGCTAATTGGAAATATTCAAGGTTCCTTAATAGAAATTGACTTGGAAAGTCAAAAAGTAATTAACAGTTTGACTGATAAACAATTGTCAAAGCTCTTAAAACAGGGAAAAACAAAAAGTTTCAATTTAGTTGGAAGGCCCATTCATGACAATTGTATCACGAGTATAAAGATGAAAGGTGACTGGTTACTCACTGCATCATTGGATAAAACTGTAAAAATATGGGATAAGACTTGTCAGAATTTGCTTGTACTCAAAACGAACTTTTTAGTTAGTATTAAGTAGTAATTTATATTTTTTTATTAATTAATTAATTCCTTAACAGGTGGAAGATGTATACGTGGACGCAAAGAAAAAGCATCTTGTAGCAGTGCATAAAAATGGTCTCCTCGGTTTGTACAATATTGAATCTGGAGAGCTACTTTTTGAAAGTAGTTTAGAGGGGGAATGCAAAAATTTAATATGGACCGATAATGCTTTTGCTGCATTTTCTACAACTGAGAGTGTATCTGAAGGAAGAGTCGGATTTTTCAAGTCGATTGAAGCCTAAAGTTCCATTAATCAGTTCTTTTTCTTTGATATAAATACACACTGTAAATATGTATCAATGATCAGATGTAACGTATCTTTCCTGCAATATAATGTTTTAAATGGAATATTCAGATCTGATTTTGTTAACATATTTTATAAAACTACAAACAAAACTTCTATCCCTAGTTATTAAGGTCTTGTGAGGTACTCGTCTCACCCAAAAAGTTTAAAATATATTTTAATTATTTATCTGGATTAATTTGTTGAAAAGATCTTAAATTAGTTATCTCTTACTTTCAATCGAGATGGGAAATGCTTTATAACTAATAATTTATGAGAATACATTTGTACTCATTCCTTAATTTATTCGCAACATACGAAAATTATTTAACGACGACCTCCGTAGCTTGTTCCACTGGTTAGAACATTCTGATTTTGGGTCTGCACTTGAATTCTTGGCAGATTAGCCATATCGAGCATCTTCAACATTTCTTTAGTATCTGGATCGATATCAATAACATCTTGCTCGATAGCGGAGACTTCCGGTACGTAGTTATCTCTTCTTTCACGTTCTTCTTCTTGGAGCTTGATGGAAATTCCGCGAACTGGGCCACGTTGGATTCTCTTCATCAAATGGGTGACCTAATAGTGCGAAAAAAATCATTGGAAAGTTTTGAAGAATATTGAGTACTGTCGTTACTAATGAATACATACGAATCCAGCAATTTTGTTTCGTAGCCTTTTACTGGGAATAATGGCGATTTCTTCACATATTCTCTTATTAGTGTGAAAATCGAGCGTCAAGCGAGTGTAATATTTCTCAATGATAACTCTTGCCGCTTTCTTCACGGTCTTTGTTCGCACACGACCCATGTTTTTCGGAAAAACCGTGTGAGGATAAACAACGTGATAGCTTCGGGTAGAAAAGGACGTTCCGCTTCCGTTTCCGTTAAATGGAAGTCGGGCTCGTGAAAGATATAGATATTATACAATACTAAAATGGCTTGCCTATAGTACATCAAATGACGCCATTTTGTTTTTTCTGTTCAATCAATGCTCAACTTTTCTATTTAAGGAAATGTTAGAGAACTATTTCCGAAAAAATAAAAATGTCGGACATTAGAATAATACGTGCACCATCTTTATTTTTTTAAAGATAATATTCTCATCTGTCTCTATCTAATGATACTATTTATTTTTCTGTGGAAGGACTCAGAATATTCATTTGAATTCAACGATTAGAAAGCATAGCAGCCGCTTTAAATGACGGAAACGGCTGAAGGAGAACAGCATCAACCGACTACACAATCTGTAGTTGAAACGTCGGTTTTCGCTAATTATATTAAGCGAGCTGTTCAATTACATCTGGAGGATGGTGATGACACACCGGCAAGTCTGAATTCAATTTTGAAGGAACAAGCTACTTTGGAAACTCTAAGAAAGTTTCTAAGTGATGCTCAAGCACCCGTCTTATTTATTGAAAGAATCATTAGCAAAGGTTTAACAAAATAATCATAAAAAGACTTCATAGAAATTTTGTATTTTATAGATGAGGGAGAGGAAGAAGAAGAGGAGAAGGAGGTTGCATATAACATACATACTGATGTTCACTATACGAATAATAAAGTGAATAGGTTTGTTGAACATTGATTTTCACAGATGTTTTATTCATCAAGAGCCAGCAGTAGGCACATTGGTTCAAGCATCATATCTGAAAACGTGCTGACACGAACATTTTTGTCTGGCCATATTTTGGCTCTATTTTCAAATCAACTAACATCAGAACATAATTTTAAGTTGTACTCAGTCACAAAACATATAGCTAGACTTTGGAGCATAATATTTGCTTCAGTGCAACCTCAAAAACCGAACGTCATCATTCAAAGATGAACTTATAGAATTTTATTGCATAAGTATACTTACTTTATCGAGTTACTGTCTAACAAAAACTACATAGCCAACAAATAATCATGTTTTTTATAAAAGAAAATTAAATTTATCGAACAATCAATAACGCGCTTGCTTTTTAAGCATATTCAAAAAAGCACAATCATTAACTTTAACGCATCTGACGAAATATTAATTAAATTATTCTGACTATTAAAATTATAAGTCAATAAATCCATTATATGTTAAATTGTTTCGTGTGACCAATACCATTATGAATTACTTCGTTTATCTAATCTTTTGAGGATAAGACTGAGGAAATTTTTTTGGTTTCAGGCGTCTATCTGCGTTTTATCTAAGAATATGATTATTGAATAGATTTTATATAATTTTCACTAATTACCTATTTTCTCAAACAGCCTCTTGGTTATGAAAAGAGGAATAAGCGTTGAAGCCGATAAACCCCTGTCGACTCAATTAGTACTCATTGACTTACCTGAGGGATCACCATATGAAAATTTGCATGCAATTGTGACTAATGCAGTATCACCTTTCTTCAAATCTTTCATAAGGAGTACGGGAAAAGCTGACCGAGATGGGGATAAGATTGCACCATCCGTGGAAAAAAAATTGGCTGAGGTTGAAATGGGTCTTCTTCATTTGCAACAAAATATTGATATACCTGAAATAACTCTGGTCATACATCCTAATGTCTACCAAATGATAAAAAAGGCCACTGATGAAGGAAGAAGAGCAAAGGTAGCAGATTTCGGGGATAAAGTAGAAGACGCAAATTTCTTAAATCAGTTACAGAGCGGAGTAAATAGATGGATTCGAGAAATTCAAAAAGTATGTCAATACAAATTTCGTATACTAAGTTAATAGTGATTGTTTTAATAGGTTACGAAATTAGACCGTGATCCCGCTTCGGGAACTGCCTTACAGGAAATTAGCTTTTGGTTAAATTTGGAAAGAGCTCTTTTAAGAATTCAAGAAAAAAGAGAAAGTATAGATATCACACTGACTTTAGATATTCTAAAACATGGAAAACGATTCCACGCAACTGTATCTTTCGATACTGACACTGGATTGAAACAAGCTTTAGCAACTGTAAATGATTATAATCCTCTAATGAAGGATTTTCCTTTAAATGATCTTCTATCGGCAACGGAACTTGATAAAATACGGGCAGCTGTACAACTAATATTCAATCATTTACGTAAAATAAAAAACACGAAATATCCTATTCAAAGAGCTTTACGACTTGTTGAGGCTATATCTAGAGATTTGTTGAATCAGTTACTTAAAGTGCTTGGCACACGCCGTCTGATGCATATTGCTTTCGAAGAATACGAGAAAGTGATGAATGCTAGTTTTGAAGTTTTCTCTACATGGGATGATGAATACGAGAAACTGCAAGGTTTGTTAAGAGATATAATTAAGAAAAAGAGGGATGAAAGTATGAAAATGGTTTGGAGAGTAAGTCCTGCTCATAAGCGCCTCCAGGCAAGGCTGGATGAGATGAGAAAATTCCGCCATCAGCACGAGCAGCTACGGCAAGTTATTGTTAGAGTTTTGAGACCTGCACCTATACCAAGCACTCAAGATGAAGAAAAGGACATGAAAACTGCTGATAAACCCATGCTCCTTGACGCTTCTGATGCAAATGCAATGGAGGTAAGATTAACGAGTTTTACTGGAAGAAATTTAACGAGAGTTATATTTTTATTTTAGGAAGTTCATCTTGCATACGAAAGTGTCAAAGTTATTGACTGCCTCGATGTTTCTTTAGAAGGAACTGACGCTTGGGAAGGTGCTATTAAGCGGTAAGCTTACTTATCTTAAGCATATGGAATATATATATAAATCAATTTTAAAAACTCCAGATATGATGAAAGAATTGATCGCGTAGAAACCCGCATCACTGCTCGATTACGTGACCAGCTTGGCACAGCTAAAAATGCCAATGAGATGTTTAGAATCTTCTCTCGGTTTAATGCTCTATTTGTTCGACCGCATATACGAGGAGCTATCAGAGAATACCAAACTCAACTCATTCAAAGAGTTAAAGATGATATTGAGAACTTGCATGATAAATTTAAGAGTCAGTACTCTGGCTCTAAGGACTGCCGAATGTCTCGTGTTCGAGATTTACCTCCTGTGTCTGGATCAATTATTTGGGCTCGACAAATTGAACATCAATTGGACGCATACATGCGTAGAGTCGAAGATGTATTAGGAAAAGGATGGGAAAATCACGTTGAAGGGCAAAAGCTTAAGGGTGATGGTGATTCCTTTAGACAGAAACTCAATACTCAAGCACTATTTGAAGATTGGTCGAAGAAAGTCCAGCAGAAACAATTGAGTGTAACAGGAAGAATTTTTGCTATTGAAACTATTCGAGCTAGAACTGCCAGTGCCAAGAGTGTTTTGAAATTGAGAGTAAGTTTCCTGTTAATTCCGTATAACCATTATGAGATATGATGTTAAGATTATTCCATTTGAGCACTAAGCCTGAAAAAACTTTCGTTCCAAACTTGTCTGATAGACTATTTATTTTTCGAAGAAATAATATATGAAACACATGTTTATAGTTATATCTGTATTTTAGGTAAACTTTCTACCGGAAATCATTACTCTCTCGAAAGAAGTCAGAAATTTAAAATGGCTTGGATTTCGTGTTCCGCTCACAACTGTCAACAAGGCTCATCAAGCCAATCAACTTTATCCCTTTGCCATATCTCTTATAGAAAACGTTCGTACATATGAACGCACAAATGATAAAGTTGATGAACGACCTTCGATTAGCCTTCTTGTTGCTGGAATGCGAAAAGAGGTTCAAGTACTTATTTCTGAAGGAATGTCAATGGTATGGGAATCATACAAATTAGATCCCTATGTCCAACGGTATAGTATTTGCTATTTACTTTTTAGTAATTGTTGATTGATCGTACTTTTCTAGATTGGCCGAATCGATCGGTGCTTACCAGGATAAAGTGGATGACTTGCTAGTTATAGATGAGCAAATAGATGCAGAAGTTAAATCTCTGGATCGCTGCCAATATTCACAGTCGTTCTTTTGCGAGATTCTCAACAGAATTCAGAAGCTTGTAGACGATTTGAGCTTGCATCAGTACTCAAATCTGGCTTTATGGGTAAATAAACTAGACCAAGAAGTTGAGAAACGTTTGGCCAGCAGATTAGAGGCAGCTATTCAGGCGTGGACAAAATTATTGGCGGGTGGAGATAATGATGATGATATTGAAGAAAGTATGGATACAGATCAACCGACTGTTTTCAAAAGAGGAGGAAATCCACACATAAGAAGCATTGTGCATGAATTAAGAATTACCAACCAAGTAATGTACTTGAGCCCCAGTGTAGAAGAAGCAAAAGCACATATTTACGACGAATTTCAAGTTTGGATTAGTGTTGCTTTAAAATTACCAAGAATCCGTCATTCTCGATATCAAGTGGGATTTGAACAAAGTGAATCAGAAGGTGAAAAAACTTACCGACACCTTATGCGTCACCTTCCTGAAGGAATGGTTTCTGTTCAGCAGTCTTATTCTGCTATTGAGAAATTAATTGATCAGCTGGTTGATTATATCAATCAATGGTTTCGCTATCAAAAATTGTGGGATAGAAATCCTGATGAATTGTACGACATGCTGGGTACAAAAATGCCAAGCTGGATGAAAACTGTTGAATCAATTAAAGAGTTCAGAAAGACTTTTGATACTTCGGAAAATAGAAAAAATTTGGGTCCAATAATTGTGGATTTTGGAAAAGTACAATCTAAAGTTACACTTAAGTATGACTCTTGGCATAAGGATGTCCTCAGCAAATTTGGCCAATTGTTGGGTAGCAACATGCAAGATTTTTATCAAAATGTTTCAAAATCAAGGGCAGATCTTGAATTACAGTCAATTGAAACTGCGAACACAAGTGATGCTGTAAATCTCATTACTCATGTGCAGGGGCTTAAGAGAAAGATAAGGTAGGTAATTAAACGTGAAATTTCATAAGACATATATCAGTTCTTGTTCACAGAACTATGGAGAAAGAAGTCGAAATGTTTAAGGACGGTCAAAGGTTGTTAGAGCGTCAACGCTTTCAATTTCCTTCATCCTGGTTATACATTGATAATATTGAGGGTGAATGGGGTGCCTTTAACGATATGATGAGAAGAAAGGACAGTGCCATTCAATCTCAAGTAGCTTCTCTACAAATGAAAATTGTATCGCAAGATAAGACTATTGAAAGTCAGACAACTAGCATTTTAGCAGAATGGGAAAAGGAAAAGCCTGTGGAAGGTAATTTGCAGCCATCAGATGCCGTGAATGCACTAGCGATTTTCGAAGGAAAGTTGATGAGACTGAAAGAGGAACGAGATAATGTTGCTAAAGCTAAAGAAGCTTTGGAACTTGCAGAACCAGGAACTTTGAGTATGAGCGACGAAAGAATGCAAGTAGCTTTAGAGGAGCTTCAAGACCTAAAAGGTGTTTGGAGCGAACTAGGAAAAATTTGGGAAAGAATTGATGAAATGAAGGAGAAACTTTGGCTTTCGGTTCAACCCAGAAAGTTAAGACAGCAAATTGATGGATTACTAAATGATTTAAAGGATCTACCAGCAAGGTTATCCAATGTTATATCTAAAATTATTGAATATTTTAATATATTTTTTCTTTTAGATTGCGGCAGTACGCCTCATTTGAGCATGTTAAAAAAACGCTACAAGGATACGCAAAAGTTAATTTACTTATTGTTGAGCTTAAGTCTGAAGCTATTAAAGAACGACACTGGAAGATGCTTATGAAAAGACTCCGCGTATCTTGGATTTTGCCAGAACTAGCATTGGGACAGCTATGGGATTCTAACCTGCTAAGGAATGAAACAGCAGTTAAAGATGTTCTTTTAGTCGCTCAAGGAGAAATGGCTTTAGAAGTGTTCTTAAAACAAGTTGCTGGCATCTGGAAAACATATGAACTTGAACTAACAAACTTTCAAAATAAATGTCAGTTAATTAAAGGATGGGATGATCTATTTAATAAAGTGAAAGAGCATATAAACAGTGTCACCGCAATGAAAATGTCCCCATATTACAAAGAATTTGAGGAAGAAGCACTGGCCTGGGAGGATAAATTGAACAGAATCAATACTCTCTTTGACGTTTGGATCGATGTTCAACGACGATGGGTCTACTTGGAAGGAATATTTTCAGGTTCTGCCGACATTAAAACTCTACTGCCAGTGGAGACAAATAAATTTGCCAGCGTTAGCACTGAATTTCTAGCTCTAATGAAAAAGGTTAGCAAATCGCCTTTGATAATGGATGTGTTGAACATTGCTAATGTTCTAAGGCAATTAGAAAGGCTAGCCGATCTTTTGTGTAAAATTCAAAAAGCACTTGGAGAATATTTAGAAAGGGAACGTGCTTCGTTTCCACGATTTTATTTTGTTGGAGATGAAGACTTGTTAGAAATTATAGGAAATAGTAAAAATATCGGTAGATTGCAGAAACATTTTAAGAAAATGTTCGCAGGTGTTTATGCATTATTATTAAGCGATGATGAATTGTTCATAAATGGATTGGCTTCAAAAGAAGGTGAAGAGGTATATTTTACTAAACCAATTAACCTGAAAGAATTTCCCAAAATCAACGAGTGGTTAACGGAAGTGGAAAGGCAAATGCGTCTTACTCTTGCTGGACAGTTGGCTGATGCTGTCTCAAAAGTTAACGCATTTAAAACATCAGAGATCAAGCAAGAAAATTATTTGCAATGGGTAGACGCTTATCAAGCGCAGCTAGTTGTCTTGGCAGCGCAAATTTCTTGGTCAGAAAGCACAGAAGCTGCATTAGCTGCTGATAAGAGCTCATTGGATTCGGTTTTAGGAAATGTTGATGCAACGTTAACAGTTTTAGCAGACTCAGTACTTCACGAACAACCCCCTGTAAGAAGAAGAAAATTGGAACACTTAATTACAGAATTAGTCCATCAAAGAGATGTCACAAGAAATTTAATTTCTCATAAAGTTGAATCTGTTAAGTCGTTTGATTGGCTACAACAAATGCGTTTTTACTTTGATCCAAAGCAAAAAGATGTTCTGAAACGTTTAACCATTCACATGGCCAATGCAAAATTCCACTATGGTTTTGAATATCTTGGCATTCAAGACAAGCTTGTACAAACCCCGCTAACAGACAGATGCTATCTTACTATGACCCAAGCACTTGAAGCCAGATTGGGAGGGAGTCCATTTGGTCCGGCTGGTACTGGAAAAACAGAATCCGTTAAAGCTCTTGGAAACCAGTTGGGCAGATTTGTTCTTGTATTTAATTGTGACGAAACTTTTGACTTCCAAGCCATGGGAAGAATTTTTATTGGACTGTGTCAGGTTGGCGCTTGGGGATGTTTTGATGAATTCAATCGACTTGAAGAGCGAATGTTGTCAGCTGTGTCCCAACAAATTCAAACTATACAGGAAGCCTTAAAAGAAAACTTAGGCACTGGAGACGAATCAAAAAAATCGCTTTCTATTGAACTTATTGGGAAACAAGTCAGGGTTAGCTCTGACATGGCTATATTCATTACTATGAATCCTGGCTATGCAGGGCGCTCTAATCTACCAGATAATTTGAAAAAATTATTTAGATCGCTTGCTATGACACAACCAGATCGGCAACTGATTGCTCAGGTTATGTTGTATAGCCAAGGTTTCAGATCAGCTGAAAAGTTATCAAACAAAATTGTACCTTTCTTCAAACTATGCGATGAACAGCTATCTCCCCAGTCGCATTATGATTTTGGTTTGAGAGCTTTGAAATCTGTCCTTGTGTCCGCCGGAAATGTTAAACGAGAAAGAATAGCAAGAGTTAAACAAGAATTAGAAGCTGAGGGGGAAACCATAGATGACGTAGTTGTCTCGAATAGATTAAATGAGCAGGAAATTTTAATTCAATCGGTTATGGAAACAATGGTTCCTAAGCTGGTAGCTGAAGATATACCACTATTAAATTCGCTGTTGTCAGATGTTTTCCCGGGTGTAAAATATAACCCTGTTGAGATGAAACAACTCAGAACTGAAATAAGAAAAGTTTGTGAAAGTATGCATTTATCCTATGGTGAAGGTGAAGAAAGTGGCTCAACTTGGATCGAAAAAGTTCTTCAACTTTACCAGATTACCCAGCTGCATCATGGATTGATGATGGTAGGACCAAGTGGATCAGGAAAATCAATGGCATGGAAAGTCTTACTACAAGCTTTGCAAAAGCTAGAAGGAGTTGAAGGTGTGGCTCATGTGATTGATCCTAAGTCTATTTCAAAAGATGCTCTTTACGGAAGTTTGGACCCTAATACAAGAGAATGGACTGATGGGTTATTTACACATGTACTAAGAAAAATCATAGACAATGTTAGAGGAGAAATTGGTAAACGCCAATGGATTATTTTCGATGGGGATGTCGATCCTGAGTGGGTTGAAAATTTAAATTCTGTTTTAGATGATAACAAACTACTAACGTTGCCCAACGGTGAAAGATTAGGTATTCCACCAAATGTTCGGATAATGTTTGAAGTTCAGGATTTACGATATGCAACATTAGCAACAGTTTCCAGATGCGGTATGGTTTGGTTTAGCGAAGACGTCCTCACAACAGAAATGATATTTGAAAACTACTTAACAAAACTACACAAAGTACCTATCGATGAATCAGAGGAGGAGCCGAGAGCGTTAGGAAGTGGAGGTAATGAGGAAGACTTGTCACCAAGCTTGCGTGTACAAAGAGATTGCGGCACCATTTTAAATCCATATTTTGGATCTGGCGGTTTGATAATGAAATGTTTAGAATATGCATCATCTCTTGAACATATTATGGACTTCACTCGACTTCGAGTATTAGGATCACTTTTTAGCATGTTAAATCAATGCATTAGAAACGTTCAATCTTATAATTATACTCATTCTGACTTCCCAATGCCTTATGAAGATTTAGAAAAATATATCCCTAAATGCTTGATTTATGCCATTTTATGGAGTTTCTCTGGGGATGGTAAATTAAAAGTTAGACAACAGCTTGGAGAATATATTAGAAGTGTAACAACAGTACCTTTACCATCTTCAAGTCATGATATCATTGATTACGAAGTCACACTACCAGCTGGAGAATGGCAACCTTGGGCTAGTAGAGTGCCACAGATTGAGGTGGAAACTCACAAAGTAGGCGCTCCAGATGTTGTTGTTCCAACAATCGACACAGTCAGACACGAATCTCTTTTATATACATGGTTGGCTGAACACAAACCTCTTGTTCTCTGTGGACCCCCAGGTTCAGGTAAAACTATGACGCTTTTCTCAGCTTTGAGAGCACTCCCAGAGCTCGAGGTTGTTGGCTTGAATTTCTCGTCTGCCACAACACCTGAATTAATGTTGAAAACATTTGATCATTATTGTGAATATCGTAAAACACCAAATGGAGTTGTTTTAAGTCCTCTACAGCTTAACAAATGGTTGGTTTTGTTTTGTGACGAAATAAATTTGCCAGATATGGATAAATATGGAACTCAGCGAATCATTTCCTTTTTGAGACAGATGGTGGAGCATGGAGGTTTTTATAATACAAATGATCAGACATGGGTTCGTTTCGAAAGAATCCAGTTTGTTGGTGCATGCAATCCTCCAACAGATCCTGGACGAAAGCCATTATCTCATAGATTCTTACGTCATGTTCCTGTCGTTTATGTGGATTATCCCGGAAAAGTATCTCTTATGCAAATCTATGGTACTTTCAACCGAGCAATGTTACGACTTGTGCCTGTTTTAAGATCTTACGCTGATCCACTCACTCAATCTATGGTTGAATTATATACTATGTGCCAAGAGAGGTTTACGCAAGATATGCAACCCCATTATATATACAGTCCTAGAGAAATGACAAGATGGGTTAGAGGTATATGTGAAGCTTTGAAACATTTAGAGACATTGGCCATTGAAGGATTAGTTAGAATATGGGCTCATGAGGCATTGAGGTTATTTCATGATCGTTTAGTAACAGAGGAAGAAAGAATTTGGATGATTGAACAAATAGATTCGGTTGCTATTCAGCAATTTCCGAATTTTGACAAAAATTCAGCTTTAGCGAAACCAATCTTATACTCAAATTGGTTAAGCAAAGATTATGTCCCTGTTGAACAAGAGGAACTTAGAGAATATGTAAAAGCTAGGCTAAAGGTGTTTTATGAGGAAGAGTTAGACGTGCCATTGGTTCTATTTAATGAAGTTTTGGATCATGTTCTACGGATTGATCGAATTTTCAAACAACCTCAGGGCCATTTGCTATTAATTGGAGTTAGTGGAGCTGGAAAAACGACTCTTTCTCGATTTGTTGCCTGGATGAATGGCTTAACAGTATTCCAAGTCAAAGTGCATAATAAGTACACAGCTGATGACTTCGACGAGGATCTCAGAAATGTTCTTAGAAGAAGTGGAACCAAAGGGGAAAAAATCTGTTTTATCATGGATGAATCCAATGTTTTAGATTCGTCTTTCTTAGAACGAATGAATACTCTACTAGCTAATGGAGAAGTTCCCGGTTTGTTTGAAGGTGATGAACTCACGACACTCATGACTCAATGTAAAGAGGGCTCTCAAAAAGATGGTAAGATGCTAGACAGTCATGAAGAATTATACAAGTGGTTCACTCAGCAAGTCATGTACAACTTACATGTTGTATTTACCATGAACCCATCTTCGGAAGGTTTAAAAGACAGAGCTGCAACATCTCCTGCTTTATTCAATAGGTAAGCTTGAAATAGTTTAATATATTACGATGTCTCCCTCATTGAGAAACGACTTTGCATGTATATTCTGTGCAATATCGTGGTTTAAGGGGAGTAAATTAAAAGCCTGTTTTCAAATTAAGTTTTCATTTATTTTTTTTTGAAAATGACTTTTGAGATTAAGCTACAAAATATTTCAGATGCGTATTGAACTGGTTTGGTGACTGGAGCAAAGAAGCCTTCTATCAAGTTGGAAAGGAATTTACATGCAAAGTCGATTTGGACAACCCAAAATATTTGGCTCCTGACTATTTACCTTTGGCTTATGAAAATTTACCACAGCCTCCAACTCATAGAGATGTCGTTGTCAATGCTTTTGTGTTTGTCCACCAAACTCTACACAGAGCAAATGAAAGAGTAGCTAAAAGGGGAGGCAGAACAATGGCAATAACTCCCAGACACTTTTTGGATTTTATAAATCATTATGTTAAATTAACAAGAGAAAAAAGGACAGATTTGGAGGAACAGCAACTTCATTTAAATGTCGGTTTGCAAAAGATTAGAGATACTGTTAAACAAGTGGAAGATCTTCAAAAAAGTCTATCCAGTAAGAGAATAGAATTGGAAAATAAGAATCAAGCAGCGAATGCTAAATTAAAGCAAATGGTGAAGGATCAACAAGAAGCAGAGAGGAAAAAAGTTACATCTCAAGAATTAGAAGCTGCACTAAAAGCGCAGACTAAAGTTATTGGGGAGAAGCAAAGTGCTGTCAAAGCAGATTTGGCTCAAGTGGAGCCAGCAGTTTTAGATGCTCAACAAGGTTTGTAGTACTCCTATAAATTTAATTACATATTTTATTATCTCGCGAATATCTTGAAAAGTATGGTTTATAGCATAACGTCACAACGTGACAATGAAAAAACGATAGTTTTAAAGGTTTTATTATAAATATTATTCTCAAGTGGATAAGGAAAATAACTTTTTTAACACTTAAAAATGATTTTATCAAAGAAACAGTGATGCAAATAGTACTTTATGTTAGTTTAAGCCTTCGCCGCTGAAAAAACTGTAGGAATTTTTGCGGAATACAATATACAATTGTATTCTATTTAGCCGTAAAGGGTATAAAGAAACAGAATCTAGTCGAGCTTCGAGGATTTTCCAACCCACCCCAACTAGTTAAGGTCTGCATGGAATCTATCATGACACTTTTGGGAGAAGGAGATGTTGACTGGAAGTCTATACGATCTATGGTTATGCGAGAAAATTTCATAACGACCATCGTTAATTTTAATACAGAAGATATTACGTAAGCTATAAACATTCGCGTTTAGGCCGTTAACTGTGCTTTCTCTGTTTGCTTAAAATTAAAAATTTTCGCTTCTTTAATGCTTAGTACTATATTTTAATATTTAGCTGTCAAGTCCATAAAGCGTCAAAATTTAGTGGAAGTAAAATCGTTGTCAAATCCTCCTCCGCTGGTGAAATTGGCGCTGGAATCGATTTGTTTTCTTTTGGGTGAAGATACAACTGACTGGAAAGCAATAAGATCAATTATAATGAGAGACAATTTTATATCTACCATTGTTGGATTTGATGCTGAAAATTTGACGTAGGTTCCAGCATGTCGGTTTCAAATTTTACTGGTTGAGGAGGACTTAGATGTTTTTTTTTATTTAGATTGCATGCTTTCTGTTGTTTGATTTTCTTTCTGTCTTGTTTAAAGACATGAAAACTAATTACAATTATTTTCAGAGATGAAATAAGACAAAAAATGAAAACAAAATTCTTGACAAATCCAGACTATAGCTTTGAGAAAATGAATAGAGCCTCAGCTGCATGTGGGCCTATGGTTAAATGGGCTATTGCTCAGGTAAGCGAACATTTTTGTGTCTACAACATAATTTTTATACGTCATCATAATACTAGATTAACTATTCGGATATGTTGAATCGCATCGAACCTTTACGTAACGAGTTGGCATCTCTAGAACATGAAGCTTCAGAAAACCGAAGCAAAGATGAGGAGGTGAAAAATTTGATTGCCGAACTGGAGAAATCCATTGCTAAATATAAGGAAGAATATGCACATCTTATATCTGAGGCTCAGGCCATAAAAGCAGATTTGAGTGCTGTTGAAACAAAAGTGGAGAGATCTGTAGCTCTTTTAAAATCTTTATCCTCAGAAAAAGAACGATGGGAAGCTGGCAGCGAGACATTTAAAGCTCAAATGTCTACAATAGTTGGAGATGTGCTCCTCTCATCGGCATTTATGGCTTACGCTGGCTACTTTGATCAACATATGAGAGAAAGCCTGTTCCATACATGGGTTGGGCATTTACAACAAGCCAATATACAATTTCGACAAGATTTAGCAAGAATAGAATACTTGTCAAACGCTGATGACAGATTAAAATGGCAAGCTAATTCTTTGCCATCCGATGATTTATGTACCGAGAATGCCATAATGCTGAATAGGTTTGCTTTCCAAAATAAATCCGTATGTGATATATAACTAAGTTTTGTATTACAGATTCAATAGATATCCTCTTATTATCGACCCTTCAGGCCAAGCTACAGAATTTATTATGAACTTGTATTCAGACAAAAAAATAACAAAAACATCATTTTTGGATGATTCCTTCCGAAAGCATTTGGAATCAGCTTTAAGATTTGGAAATCCTCTACTTGTACAAGACGTAGAGAATTATGATCCAATTTTGAATCCTGTTTTAAATAGAGAATTAAGAAAAACTGGTGGTCGGGTGCTGATTACAATTGGAGATCAGGACATAGATTTGTCTCCAAGTTTCACTATTTTCCTTTCATCTAGAGATCCAACAGTAGAATTTCCACCTGATATATGCTCCAGAGTAACTTTCGTTAACTTTACAGTAAGTTGGTAAAATTACAAACTAGTTATTTAATTAAACATATTCTCTAAATAAAGGTAACTCGTCACTCTTTACAATCCCAATGTCTGAATACTGTACTTAAAGCTGAGAGGCCAGACGTTGATGAGAAGAGGTCTGACCTTTTGAAATTGCAAGGCGAATTCCGTTTGCGATTAAGGCAGCTGGAAAAGAGTTTGTTGACGGCTTTGAATGAAGTTAAAGGTAGAATTTTGGACGATGATTCCATAATTTCTCATCTTGAGATGCTGAAGAAGGAAGCTGGTGAAATTGCTAGAAAAGTGGAGGAAACGGATGTGATTATGGCAGAGGTCGAAACTGTTTCAGCACAATATGTCCCTCTAGCCCAGTCATGTTCATCTATTTATTTTACTTTGGAGTCACTAAATCAGATACATTTCTTGTATCAATATTCTCTCCACTTCTTCTTTGATATTTTTAATGCCGTTCTAGATAGTAGTCGTCTGAATGGAATTAAAGAATATGATAAGAGATTGAAAATTATCACCGATAACCTGTTCAAAATTACTTATGAAAGAGTGGCTAGGGGAATGCTTCATGTTGATAGAATTGCTTTGTCAGTTTTACTCTCCAGGATTCATCTCAAGCAGTCTGCAACGTAAGAATCTATTATTTTTTGTTTAATATTTGTTTTTTAAGTAATTAATCAAATTAGTTTTGAATAGCAATAACTAAATTTGATAAATGTTATTTTAATCGTTTGAAATTGTTTTCTCGTTTTTTTATAACTTACTAAAACAGTATTGAATTTATGGACAACGAAGAAAAGATCAGGTAGACAAACTATTCTGGGTTTATTTCTTTTATTGCTTAAACCTATATTCTAACATCCTTGCTCTCCATTCTTACTCCAAAGCCTCTATTCTCCACAACGCACATTGGAGGAACCTAAATATCAATATTCGCATTTGTTTTGTGCTATTTTGTATTATCAAAATTGCTGGATCTTAGGTAAAATGTTTAGATATATATTACCTTTATCTAAGGTCCTTTATAATTTTGATGCGTAATGTAACGGCTTGGAAGGATTTTTTGTTTTACGTGGCTACAAAGACACTCTTGCTCTACTAAATCTTTATTAAAGGCAGAAAATAACTTTTCAGCTCTGCTTTGTATATCCCTCTTAAAATAATTATATATCAATACGTTAATCAGAAGTTTGAATACTAATAATCCCTTTCAAAAAAAATTTTACTTATCAAATCTCTGGAAAGAAAAACTATTCGAAACTTTTTTCAATGAATCTAACATAATATCTGTTTTATTTCAGCGAAACGACTTACGAAAGAGAATGGCAGCATCTATTACGCGGAGCCGAAGCCATGATAGGTCAAACTAATATTCCGCAAATTCCTGGACTATCAGCCGTTCAATGTGAAGGAGTAGCAAAGCTATCTCGGCTTCAAGCATTTAAAGAAGTATCTAAAACTATTTCCAACAACCCAGATGTAGGGGCATGGCTTGAAACAATTTCACCAGAGCATTGTGTACCATGTCTCTGGCAGGGAGATGAAAAGCTAACACCTATCGGACGATCAATTCATGAACTATTGGCCATTCAAGGGCTTAGGCCAGATAGGTATGTTGCATTAAAAATTTGGTTTATTTTTGGTTTAAAATGTCCATAATATAACTAATTCATAAATATTAATTACTAGACTATTGGCAGCAACACATTTGTTTGTAAATGCTGTCTTGGGAGAGGACTTTATGGCTTCTGCAGAATCAGAGATGGATATGGCTCTTGTTATTGAAAAGGAAGTTAAAGCATCTACCCCAATATTACTCTGCTCTGTTACAGGCTATGATGCATCTGGAAGAGTAGACGATTTAGCAGCTGAATTGAATAAACAGCTAACTTCCATTGCTATCGGATCCGCAGAAGGATTTTCTCTTGCAGACAGGGCAATAAGCTCTGCGTCCAAATCTGGGCGTTGGGTACTACTGAAAAATGTTCATCTCGCTCCACAATGGCTCTTCCAATTAGAGAAACGTTTGCATTCTTTGACTCCTCACGCTAATTTCAGACTATTTTTAACTATGGAAATTAACCCGAAACTTCCTGTAAATCTATTGAGATCCGGTAGAATATTCGTATTCGAGCCACCACCTGGTGTGAAAGCGTCCTTACTTAGAACGTTTTCCTCTCTTTCCGCTAACCGAATGTGCAAAGCTCCATCAGAGAGAGCCAGATTATATTTCTTATTGGCATGGCTTCATGCTATTGTTGGGGAACGCTTACGATACGCTCCCCTTGGATGGAGCAAAAAGTAAGCCGGTGTATTCTTTTCTGCTCACAATTACATCTCTTTTTTTTTAGATACGAATTCAATGAGTCCGATTTGCGCTGCGCCTCAGATACCATTGATACCTGGTTAGATTCCGTAGCAATGGGAAGAACTAACTTACCCCCCGAAAAGATTCCTTGGGACGCTCTGAGAACCCTCCTGGCCCAATGCATCTACGGAGGAAAGATAGACAACGAATTCGATCAGAGATTACTCACTACTTTCCTGAAGAATACTTTCACAGCAGAAACGTTCAATCCCGATTATCCACTTGTGATGGACGTAGATGGAGTACAAGGAAAGAAAATCATCATGCCTGATGCTGTTCAAAGAGATGGATTTGTGAACTGGGTTGAGCAAATGCCAGTACAGCAAACACCGTCATGGCTTGGCTTACCAAATAATGCTGAAAAAGTTCTATTAACAACGAGAGCAACAACTATGGTTGGAAATCTATTGAAAATGCAAATCTTAGAAGACGACGATGATTTAGCATACTCTGGAGATAAGGAGAAGAAGGCAATTACAGATTCTCGGCCAGCTTGGATGAGAACACTTCACGCCAGCTTAAAAGCTTGGTCTAAATTGGTACCAAAGGTAAACCACTTACTGATATTTGAGAAGTCTTACTCAGAAAAAAATAGACATTCAATAACTTTTCTATTAGTAAGAAGTAAGATTAATGCATTAGGTTCGAGTATTTTCAACGATTGTTTTTCAAAATCATCTATTATACAACGTTCATTTTATTATATTTCCACCAATAGTTGGTAAGTACAGGAAAAGGCAAGGGATTTTCTCCTTTGTTAATAACAGTACGCTACCGTTAATAAAAAAAGAGAGTCAAAGAAGATAATGTACTCTTATATTTAGTCAAAATTAACGGTTGTTTACATAGGTGTCTGGCTGTACAGGTTTATGTAGTAAATTATATCAATTTTATTTTCATTTTGAAATTTTCTTTCTACTTGAATATTCTTGAGGAAAAGTGTTTCGGTTAACAGTTCATTCTTTTCTCTCTGTAATTTTAATCGATTTAAATTTTAAGTTTTATTAATCATAAAATTTCTCTTTTAGTCCATAGCTTCGATGAAAAGAACTGCTGATAATATTAAGGATCCATTATTCCGATTCTTTGAAAGGGAAGTTAAAGCTGGAGCAAAGTTATTGACAGATGTCAGACGGGATATAGAGGAAGTTATGCTAATATGTGAAGGAGAAAAAAAACCAACGAACCATCACCGAGAACTCATGGCTGATTTAGCTAAAGGTGTTATACCAAATACTTGGAGTCGCTATACAGTTCCACCCGGATTAACCGTAATCCAATGGATTAGCGATTTCGCTGAGAGAGTAAAGCAATTATCAGCAATCGCTCAAGCGTCACTGGCGGGAAGCGGCGCCCTGAAAAACCACAATGTTTGGCTGGGCGGTCTCTTTATCCCCGAAGCCTATATTACAGCTACTAGGCAGTATGTTGCACAAGCGAACCAGTGGTCATTGGAGGAACTTCGTTTGAAAGTGAATGTTATGGAAAAGACTGATGGAGTACCAGCGGCAGATGCGTGTACATTTAGTGTGATAGGTTTACAGTTGATGGGCGCGAAATGTTCGGGAAGTTCGCTTCAACTGTCGTCAGCTATAAGTACAGATATGCCCCTTACTAGACTCACTTGGGAACGATCGACAGGCGAGCAAACCACTGGTGTTACTCTTCCAGTTTACTTGAATGCAACTCGGTCGCATATATTGTTTACTGTGAATTTGGAAGCCTCCGGAAGTCATACTTTTTATGAAAGGGGTGTGGCAATTATTTCCTCGGTTCTGGGGTCATAACTTTATAGAACTTTATTGAAATGTTTATTCAGTGTTCTCTTTGCTGTCTCTACGCCCCCTTGCTTTTTAGATTAATATTATTACTTAGAAATACACGCTATATTGTGTGAATTCACTCTTATATTTGGCCATTGAAACGGATAGTTCGTTTGTGACAGAATCGAACAATTGTAAAAAGCATCTTATATATTAATCTTCTGGCTAAAAACTGTTTTAATGAAACAACATTGTTTATATAACTACTTCTTGAGATTTATAATTTTATATTAATACTCTGTCATTATCAACCATTCATTAAATATCATTAGAGAATAGGCTTGATGAAATAAATTTCGTAGAAAGGCAGACAAAAATAAGACAACTATTAAACTAGACACTGAAGAATACATTTAAGACGACCAATGTAGGATAGTTTTTTGCTCTGCCTCCAGCCAGACTTCTTCACCTCTCTTAGAATGAGCGTTTATACGGAAACGCTGGTAAATTAACTCATTATTTCCCTCTACATTTTATACAGCCTAAAGGCTTGAAATATTGGGCAGTCGACTCACAAACGTATGTTAGAACGAATAAACTTTTTAAAATCTGATTCTGACATAACTAATTCGATGAAAAAGCATCGTAAAAACGTTGCATCGACCTATTAGTTGTTCTGGTCTCTGGGTATTGTTAACTTTCTCTTTAATTTCCTACTTCTGAAAAAGGAACCCTTAGCGCGAAAATATAATTTACAAAGGAAACTGTATACGAGTAAACAATTGAAAGAATAATTGCTTCTATATTTTGTAAGACGCCTTTTTAATTGTCTCTTTTCTCCTGTCTCTTCGATCTGTCTACTTTAGCAAGATTTTCTGTAAAAGATAAAAAGATCTAATCCGAGTGGTTTCATCGAAATGATAAATCATAGTTAGAACAGATGGATTGAAACTTTTTGAGAACAGCTTTTAAAAAAAATTTTATTTTGCTTTGTGGATCTTTTTATAGACGTATTTTATGTCTCCTTTTATTATTTATAAGCTCTCTAATAGATCCAGTAAATTCGTTCATATCAATATTCTTAGTGTGAAAATGGATGAACGAATGCCCTTTTTTATATATATAACGCAGTAATATCGAATGATCATTAGAAATAGATGCTAGGGCATATCTGGCAGCGAATAGGACGCCTGTAGAGCTTCATTAGGACTTTGTTATACTGTATAATAATGTGCTATTTGATTCACATTTACGTCACTTATCAATTTTTCTTTCGAGATTTTTTCAATCTTGGCAGAGCAAAAATAAAGAAATATAAAAATTGTGCAACATTTTCTTCAAACCCTTTATTATTTAACGGGGCGATCGAAAAGCTTACATCACTGTCATTTCCGCTCTGATTACCTTTAATAATTTTCCTGATAAATCGAATCTCTTCCTCATATCTTTATCAATTTGACATCGGTAATTGAGAAAGGTATGAAATGACCTTAAGGAAATAAATTATTTCCCTGAGATAAGTAACTTATTTGAATGAAAAATTGCATAATTAACAGTTGTATCCCTTTGAGACAGAAAAATACGACTGATTTATATATGTGTGTGAATGCATCGTGCAGCCGTTACTTTAAAAGGTAACAATAAAAAATATTAAATTAACTGTAATTTCGCACTAAAGTTTTCTATTGAAATAGAGACGTCAATTTCATAAATTATAAGTTGTAAAGACGATAAATCCCATCTTTAATCGAGTGAATCACGCATATAACAGTTGTAGTTTTTTCTTTATCCAGTGCTTTATGTAAAGCCAGTTTAAGGATTCTGATTGGTACGTCTCGAATCGACGTCATCGCCCCTATGTAATATAAGGTCTGAAAGGCTACAGAAAAAATGAAAATTCGAAAGAGGATTGAAAAGTGAACTAACTGTTGGAAAGGAGGTAATTGATCATTGCTTAATTTTTATTCATTTATTCCAATCTATAAAATGGTCTAAAAATAATATAGATAGGCATAATGCTTTTCTCAGAATAAGTTGAAGCACATCTTCATTAATCTTACTATATTTATTGTTGTAATAATTTATCTCAGTAGATAGAAGGTGCGCTTAATAGCATCTGTGCCTAAGAATCAAACACTCTTATTGGTCGTAAAGCCACAGCCTGTCAAAAAAAAAATGATTTTGTACAAATTCTGAAGAATACGCTATTTCGTATTTTTCGTGCTTTCTTTCATTTTCTTTTCATTTATTTTCTCGTATATGGAAACACGAGGTTTGTTATTCTTCTAAGGTTTGGTATAGTGAACCCAAATAGCTCGTTAATGAGTTAGGTAATAAACAGATCGCATAGCACTGCCATTATTTATTAGGAACAAAATTATTTCTCTAACCTTTCCTGGTTAACTTTCTTAGTTTTTGTGACTTTTGTAATAAGGTAAATAGTCCAAGTGGAATAATGTTGGAAACTTCGTCTTTATTCAAATGGTCACGTAAAAATTCTAGTTTGAAGGAAAGGCGTTAAATCGAAGATTTGTTTAGACTCGCTAGTTTTTTTTTATTTGATTGGTTGACTGACAAAAGTCATCTCTATGATTGTTGCTTTTAGATTTAATATTTTACATACTTAACATATTTGCCTCTATTTCAGTAAAAACATGACGCATAACTCTACAAACGATACTAGTACAACGATGGACACTGCACAAATTATAATGTCAATAATACCGATAATATGTTCTTTTGGAATTGGAGGTATAATCTTAACTGTAATAGTTCTGAGTCGTAAACACATGAGCACAAGTACAAATATATATCTAACGGCTCTTGCTATCTCCGATCTCTTATATTTGCTAACGTATGCATCTACGGAGATTGGTGTGAGGATTATTGAAGATGTTTACAAAGATATCGCTCAAGCTACCATATACCATAGGTACCTTAGTCATGTTATACAGATCTTTCTGCTTAGTAGTGTCTGGCTTACAGTCGTTTTGGCAATTGAAAGGTGGATAGCAATTTGTCAGCCGTTTCTAGCCACAAAATTTTGTACCGTCTTCCGCTCTCAGATATTTACCCTTCTTATATTCGTATTCGCTATTCTCTGTCGTCTAACAAGTTTCTTTGATTATCAAATTGTTACATTTTTTGATAACACGACTAAAACTACAATTACATATGGAGAAGTTACGGATTTTTCCAGGAGTTATTTCTATCGAAAAGTATATCCCTGGACTATTGAAGTATTTGTATCGTCATTAATTCCGTTTCTATTGTTACTTACGCTAAATGTAAAGCTTATTCTGGAAGTTCGCAAGTCCACTCGATATCTGCAAAAGAACTTGGGAACGTCAAATCATAGAGTTCAAAAAGAAGAGTTACAAATAACCATTATGCTTATATCAGTTATTGTCGTCTTCTTTGTATGTCAGGTAAGAATTTTTTTTTCAAGATCTTAAGAGATAGACTCTTTTGGTTACCTTAAATAAGACTAGTTTTTCCTTCCCTACCGTAAACTCGTTACATTCCAGATAAAAATCATCTCTTTGTAGTACATTCTAATATAATATTATATCGTTTACTTTCATAGCATATTTACTGTTATTAAAAACTCACAGGCTCCTTATTTAATCTACGCCGTCTTAACAACAATAAAAAAAGAAACGACTAGTGCTAGCAAAAATTTTCGAGCTGTAGCTATTCTCCTCCTGACTCTAAAATCATCTGTCAATTTTGTATTATACTGCTGGTTTAGTGAGAAATTTTGGGCAACGCTCAAAAAGGTTTTCTTTTTACGCAAATGTCTAAGATATTGCCGAAAGAATGAAGAAGATATGACAACAACAATGCCGAGTGCATATTACAGTATGAGAAGGATGAGTAGTGGTAACACTAGAGAAACCACCTTTACAGTAGGAATTAATAAAATAAATGAAAAACTATAAATACAGTGTGGAGTGAAATTTACATTGCCAACTTATTTAATTCTCCTCAAGGAAGACAATTTAAAGAACTGAGAGATTTGTTTACCTATTATAGTCAGTTTAGATATTATATTATACAACGTTTAAAACAAGAACAACCTCTATAAAACAAAATAAACATACTAATCAATAAAATAACATAGAGCAAGTGAAATGTTCAAGAGTTTTATGTACCATATCTTTATATGTTCGTAAATGTATGTAAACATATGTAAATTATATGAAATATTGCAAAAATTATGAATTAATGTATAGAGTTCGCCATTAATTTTATTGTACATAACCTATTCATAGTCGTCAAACAAGAAGTCATTGTATAGTGGATATATGGTAAAATAAATAAATGATATTTTTGTCCATATTTATCAAGCCATTAATGGATGCGATGATGTGGTATTTGAGTATGAACACAAAAACATTACAGTATAGAGATGGTCGTTTTCAAGAAATAAGAAAATCATTTCTTTCTTGTAGCATGTTAATACTAACTACTTTTTAAGTTTATTTCGGTTTTATTTGGCTGATGTTGCCTTTTCTCACTTTGTCAAAGTTTTTTTTGTCGTCTCGGCTTTCACTGAACTCTTCGTAGTGATTGCATGAGAGATTGACGTTTCCGTTATACGTGCATTGCCTAGCCAATTTTTATGTATTAGAAACATTCGAATAGGAAACGCCCGAATGAAAATTAATCAATGTGGACGATCTTGCAGCCAAAGAATTTTAAACTAATAATCCGATTATCAGATAGATCGTCAATATAGCAAACGGACTAGTCGTATTCCTAACTGTCAATTTGACAATCCTATTTCTCCTAGAAAATATACCAAACGCGCAAAATTAACTGAACTTAAAATTTACCATTTTCCAAAGTGTGTGACGGTATGTATAGGAGCAGAACACCGACGGAGAAAACGCAGATTCCCTACAAAAGGCGCGACAATCTGTTCCAGTTAACGACGCGTCCTCCCAGCAAGATCGCTTCTTTTAATATCACGCGCGGGCAAAATCGAACAATTAACAGAGCACCTGGTTTTGGCACAACACTTTGCGACATGATGCAGAACGAAGACGTTAGCTTGAAGCCCATTGACGAAAAGCGTTTACCTAATAAAACTAAGCGTTACAAAGAGAAAAGAACAAGAATCAACCAAAGAGAACGTCAGCGTATGCATGATCTGAATGCCGCATTAGAGGGTCTGCGTCAAGTAATGCCCTACTCACAGTCAACTTCTCTAAGGAAACTTTCAAAGATCGCAACTTTACTGCTTGCAAGAAATTACATTGTTTTACTACAGCAAACTATGGAAGAACTCCGGGCTATGGTAAACGACGTTTACACATCGAAAACGCTTTCTCAAAACAGACTTCATTATTATTCAACGATGTCTCAACAAATTCCTTATCAAGGAAGTACATTGTACAATTTTCATGGATTAAATTCTTAGATATTTTTATTGATATGTGTTGTAATATTTTATTGCATCTTTAGATATTTACTTAAAAATAACAAAAATCATTCGAGGTCTTTTAAACAGAAATACTTCCTTCTCTAAAATTTGTCTTACCAATTAAGACATTCAAAAGGGAACTTTTTCCATTTTTAGAGTTCTCTTGTACTTCTTTGATAATCTCCTCTAATTTATCTACATTTGTGCGATCAATTTTGTAACCTTTACCACCATAACCATCCGCAACTCTCTCATAAGCAGAATATTCTAAATCGCAAGCTACACTTGACTTGAACATAGGTACTTGTTCTCTGGCGATTTGAGACCAACAAGCGTCATTTCCGACTAAACAAATAACTGGCGTCTTAAATCTTGTATAAGTGTCCATTTCAGCAACACTATAGCCTAAAGAACCATCTCCATAAATAATCCAAACCTCAGCATCGGGTCTAACTAATTTGGCTCCTAAGGCAAAGCCTCCACCAACACCTAACGTTCCAAATGCACCTGGATCCAACCAAGTTAAGGGAGCTCTAGGTCTAACTATATACGCTGCCGTTCCGACAAAATCGCCGCCATCTGCTACTAGAATAGCGTTATCTGGTAAGAGATTTTCGATACGATGAAGAACATTGATTGGATTTAAGTGTTTCTGTGTTTCTTCCATCCCTTTCTTTTCATTAGCGGTTTCCTTTTCCGTATCTCTAGCCTTCAACGTACTTGCCCAACTCTCATCTGCACGGTAACCGGATAATCGTCTTTGTAAGCCTACCATAAAAGTTCCAACGTCAGAAACCGCTCCTATAGTCGGTTTCCAAAACATATCTGTATTCTTAAATAGCTGCTCTTTTGAGCGATTTATGGCAATAATTTTACTCTTTCTTTTCAAAACTCTACCATAACTTAGACGGAAGTCTGCAACAGCCCCCGCCATAATAACAACATCAGCCTCGGCCAATGCATCTCTACGTCGTTGACGAATATGTATCGGATTGTTACGACCTAATAGGCCTCTTGTCATACCTCCTAAGAAACAAGGAATTCCCATAGCCTATCGCAAAGATAACAGCTAGACAAAATTCTTATCTTGTAATTAAGTACTTACTTCTAAAGAACGTCTGAGGTCATCGGCAGGTACAGGAGGCAACGTCGCTTGACTACCTAGTAGAATAACAGGTTTTTTACTATTCCTGACAATTTCAGCAGCTTTCTCTATAAGCTGGCTATCTGCCTTGGGTTGGTAAACAGGTAACGGAGATACATCTCTTTTCTCCCAAGCTCCACTGAAGATGTTTCTCATATACACATCCAAGTACCAAGCAGCAATTTTTTGAAATAAACCTTTTGCGCTCCCACCATCTTTAGCTCCAATTTCTCTCTTGACTAATTCACATGGGTAGAGGGTATCAATAGGAAATTCAACAAAAACCGGTCCTGGAACTCCCGATTGGGCTTCCTGTAATGCTTTTTTAAGTGTTGGAATAATTTCCCTGCAGCTTCGAATAGTTGCAGTGTATTTGCATAAAGGTTTGAATAGAACCATTTGATCGATATCCTGTAAGGCTCCCCTCCCTTTCAAAATTCCAGCTGCCGCTCCACCAATAAGTAAAATAGGAGACTCAGCCATTTGAGCATTCTTTATAGCAGTGACAGTATTTGTTAGACCAGGGCCGGCAGTCACAGCAGCTACGCCAACTGTTCCTGATAGTCGAGCAACAGCGTCAGCGGCAAATACGGATGATGCCTCATGACGAACGTCTACAATCTTTATTCCTTTCTTCTCTGATGCAACAAGTATAGGCGAGATGTGCCCACCAACTAAAGTAAATATGAATTTCACACCATGTGACTAAAGGAAATACAAAAACAGAAATTAGTTGCATATGTCCTACTTCTTATCTAGACAGAAATATGCATTTAAGGTTCATTTACTAGAACCCAACAGAAACAATTAGACAATATTTTTTTAAGATGCTGTACTAAAAGTTAAATTACTTTAAGAACTTCAGCAACTAGTTCACCACCATGTCTTGGAGATTTGATGTCAACCTGTTGTATAGAATTTATTAGTTTGAATAAATTTTCAAATTCAAAAAAATAATTTGAAACTTTACTTTATGAGTTAATACATAGAAAAATCCTATCCTGTTTAGAAAATAAGTGAGACCAATCACAATTGCCGTTATAAGTGTTGGAATGCTATATTTTAATAAAACTGCGCAAATGCACGCTTCCTCCATGATGCTCAATGAACCTAAGTGGAATGACTAAAGTTCCAATGTAACTTAAAAATAGTTCAACTTTGAGTGGGTTCAAAAAGCAAAGGCCAGAGCGGAAAAGGAAATTGCCAATTAGTAAAATATATTTCAATACCAGTTATTTATAAAAGCGAAAAATTCGAATGTTTGTATTTTTCTGAGTAGCACACTCTAAGAGAAATTGAACGTTACATAAAGCACAATAGAAAGAGTTTCTTGTTAATAAATTGATCTTTATTCAGCAGTATAGTCGGCATCTTCTGGATCATGGCTCGCTTCTGCAAACCTTACCTCATTCTTACCCATATCGAAAGTTGTATAAAAATTCATTAGGTATGCGTCTCCTAATATCCAAGTTGGAACACTATCAATATTAAACCTGTGAGCACAAATCCCAACAATGCATCTTTCATTGTAGCCACCCTAGAGAATAATATTTTCAAGATTCTTAATAAGCTCTATTATATTTAAATTCATTAGAGTGATATATGTGTAAAATATAAAATGTCGATCCATAGTATTATATAGTTACTAAAACATATAAGGGTGTTAAAAGCAAGATGAAATAAAGTTTAAATAAGAGGATCATCAAAACCGGTGTGACGATTATATTTCGGTATGGAATAGTACTCTTGAGCCATTCCGCTGGTTTTAGCGAAACCAACACTGTTACTTCCTAAATCAAATTTCGTATAGTAACGCCCGATGAAAACGTCGCCAAGGATCCAAAGGGGTCCTGCTGGTGGGGGAATATCCATTCCCATGAAACCGCTAAGGCATATTGTTTGACCGAGTTTAGAAATCTGTGAGATAAGCCAGTCGTAAGAAAGCGAGATTTTAAAAATCTGGTTCGGTTAAGAGCGAATTTATTACCTCAAGTACGTAATCTTTTCCCTGAAGGACGAATTCCCTTCCAGCTAGAATGAAAGATATTGTGGGTAGAGAAGAAATCTTGCTACAATCAATTGTGTATTCTCCAGCAGCCAAGGGAGTCGCACCTATTGCCTTTTGGATTTTAGCAACTTCGGCAGTTGGTCCTGCAATCAGGCTAGTTCCAGTATCTGCAATAGCTTGGCAACCTCCGACACAAGCCTCAGATGATTCCCCTCCAATCTTAATTCCGTCCATTTTAAATTGCCAGTAGCCTTGTCTGGTGACTGGTAGGTTAGTAAAGTTGCCAGTGTAATATTTTGGATCAGTTCCCCCAAAGAGTAGTTCACCTCCAACTTTAGAATCAGGATTTCTGTTTAGATAGAAAGAGAAAACAGGCTCATCTACAACTTTTTGTTGAACCATAGAATAGAACACTGGTAGAACGCCATCAACAGATATAGTCTTATATCCTAAGCCTAAAATACCATCAAATTTGGCTGCAACGAATGCCATACCAGGTTCACTAAGAGCCTCCGCAAAAACTTGATTTTTAACTTTAAGACCATTTACAGTAACTGTGTCGTCACTAAGAAATCCTGATAGGCTCCCCGAACCATACTGAATAGCAAACTTCGTTCCATTCTTTTGATACGTGCTGGATTTTGTACTATCATATTTGTTGTGTAACACTGATAAGAATAAATGAGTTTTACGAGGAAAGTTTTCAATTTCGTTTACTTACAACAAGCAATATTGCTCAAGTGACATTTCTTTGATGGAACCCATAAATTTGAAGATCCAGTATCGAAAACTACCTTAAAGTTTTGAGGGGGAGTTCCTATGCTTATCTCTCCATAATATTGAGCCTATTTTTCAATGGTGGAAGATAAGATACATTTAAAAAATAATAAATATACTCATACATCCAAATAGTTAGATAAAGGTTCAGGAACACCGTTGCCAACTGCAAATCTATTCCAATAGATATCTTTTAGTCCTTGGGAATTGGTGCCGACTTCCTGAAACCTTCTTCTGGCAGACCGAAACCGGTGTAATTGTACTCTGTAAAAATCGCTTTGTCATTCTAGTATGTGACAGAAAATGTATTTATACCTTTTAATTTCTGCACTGTAACATGCAGCAATTACCATCAGCAAAGTTAAGAAAAATAACTGCATTCTTCTATTCTCTTTCTGTATTTTTTGTTTACAAATAATCAAACAAATTTATGCAAAAAAGTACTCATTTACCTGTAAATGTAAATGGATAAAAACTAACTTCTATTCCACAATATGCGAATCTACAAAACCTAAAACTCTGAAGTCTTAATTAACAAGAATCTAAGAGATATAGCATTTATTTCTTACTGTTTTTCAGTTCTATGCAGAGTTGGGGCTGGAGAACTAATGACTAATACTCACAGAAAAAATAGTAACAACACTTTTCGACAGATGGCAGCATTATGCGAGGTATAACTAATTGCTAAACGTAAGCGACACAAAATCTTTTTATTGTACTATTACTCATATCATAGAGGGTCGTAAGTTTATAATGAAATCACCATTCTAAATTATTATATGCTATTTTTAGGCTGATTATTGCCAAGGACCTATGAGTCACTTAGATTTTGCAAGAAACTAGTGCGAATTTTACAAAATAATCATTTTATCTTATCAGTTGAATATAAAGAGAATAAAAAAGACTATACAACTAAAATTGCAAATATAAGGAATTTTTGATCTTTATTAATATTTTGTCAAAGTGACATTTTTAGGTCTGAAGACTAGATAATAAGATACTAATTAGTCAGCTTGCTTCCTGGTGTTCTTAATAATTTTTTTAAAAGACCTTGTCATATCATTAAGGAACTAAACGAAAAATATGAAGATTCATTTAAAATTATTCCAGTTTACTAAGAAAAAAATTCGTCCTATAAATTTACTAGTAAATGTGACTATGAGTCAGTAGTTGAATAAACATTAGGCAAAATAATAAGCGTAAAAGTTATTTAATAAGTACAAAAGAGTATAATTATAGAGCAAATTTTTCCAAAAGCGGATTTAATTAAAAACTAACTAAATATAATGAATATTAATTTAATAATGAGTATGTAGTTTCAATGTTATATATTATTTTGAAAGTTATGTCTTCTGAAGTTTTTATTGGAAAAGAACATATTGATCTCGGTTGAGATCTCTCAGACAATATTCAACAGAAAAGCGTGAGTCATTAGCATAGCTCTTATGAACATCAATCAATTATAGAGACAATATAAAATTCAAAGTTAACAGCGTATAAAAGTAAAATGCTGTTCGATAACTAAAACTATCAACTAAAATACCGGAAATTGAGCTTAACAGCAATTTTGATGCAACTTCAATTGTAGCCAAAAATGCATAATGGTTAGCCACATTTTTTGCCCTTTTGGATGACTGCATCATTAACGTAAAAGTAAAAGTAGTGATAAGTCCTCCTATAAGGTTCAGACAGTGAAGGATAATAAGGAGAAACACTGGAAATAACATTATTTTAAGATTAAATTCAATCTAGAATACAAAAGATACCGTTTGGCTTTAAACCTGCAGTATACGATAATGATATTATTAAGGAGGCCACAGTCCTTGTAAAACATAGCAATTTTAAAGTTCTTTTTATATTTTGCCGGTAAGCTAAATAACCACCTAAATGTATTTAAAAGTTAAACATTAAACTATTGTTCTAGTCGAGAACAAAATCAAACTTACCCAAAAGAGAACCTAATAAAGAGAAAAAAATTCCTAGATTCGAAATATAAATTGTTAAGTACTCTTTGGAGACGCCAGAATCTAAAAGAACCATAGGGACTAAATATAAAATTCCATTTTCTCCAACTTTATATAAAGATATGAATATCATTAGCCTTATCGATCCTTCCATCTTGAAGACATCAGTGAACTTTTGTTTAATAGTTATTGTAGTACTTTTAATAAAAAGCATAACATTCATATTTGGGCAAATGTTTTGTCTTTTCTTGCTTTTTGTCATTTTACAAGTTCTCCTTTCAATAAACATACAGACTACACCAAAGCACAAAAGATTAGTTACGGAAATTAATCCAAAACAAAATGATAGTGTTGCTCCGGTTAGGGATGATCCCATAATCATTCCAATTTTATAGCAAACCACCTGGGAATAAAGGCTAAAAGTAAATTATACGTAGCCCTTAGTTTTAGATTTTACTCTACCTGAATACTGTTTATATATGGAAGATACTGGGTGTCAGTGTAGGATATTGCCAAACCGTCCACGGCTATATCACTATTTGCAATACACAAATTTAAAAGGAATAGAAGAGAGCATGTAAACAATAGGTTTTCAAGACTTCCAAATAAGTGAAGTATGAAGGATAATATCACTGACAATCCTATTGTCAACCGTAGACTAATTTCGCACCTATCATCAACTTAAAATTTTTTTTTAAAGAATTTATAACATCGAAATTTTCATATTTTCCTTTACCTAAAGGGGCAGTAACTACTTTAAGAATCCAAGGTATAAGAAGCAAACGGAAAGTAGTTATTCTTGTTAATGATACTCCATTTTCTCTTAACAAAATTGGAAGACACGTTACTTGGAATCCATGTGGGATTCCTTGTACTACATATAAAATGATAAAAATCCAAAATTTGTTCATTATTTGCTGTGAAAAATTTGCTTAAATGATTTATTTTTCATAAATCATTGTTTATTAGATAGAATAATGATAGTTCTATTTGTTATTAACTTGCAAAATAGCAAGACTTTAGCAAATATCCTTGGTATAGGAAGCCTATTGATATAAAAATGTTCGAGACACCGCGTTTTGTTTGAATTGATTTAGTTCGAACCACTTTCGACTAGAAAAGTATGTTTAATAGTTTGTAGGACTTTTTTCTAATTTGAAGAGTTTACATTCGGCTCATGAATAAATATATGATATTATGGGGTCACAATATAATTCAGAAAATAATCAGGATGTTTTAAACGCCACTCTTCATAATGTTAGAAATTTAATAAATTTGCTAAAATCAATAAAGTTTACTGACTCTACCGTTCTTTTTGCAACTGATCAAGGCTTCAAATTTACTGTTGAAGATGGAAAATGTATGCAAGCGAATGCTTTCCTACAGAAAGATCTTTTCGACTTTTATAACATTACAGAAGAGTTTATTGTCAAACTACCTCTGAAAGTTCTCCTCCATTGCCTGTTAATATTTGGTGGAACAAGCTCGACTGTCATCAAATTTGTTTATGAAAAAGATGGTTTCCCATTGCATATAGTACTAGAGGAACCTGGCATATCTACTGAGTGCTCCATAAGAACGTTTGAACCAGATGATCTGTTGGATTTTCGGTTCAATGGACAGGATGTTATCAATAAGGTAATCATGCAGAGTTCAAAACTTAAAGAAGTTTTCTTGGAATTGGACGCAACAAGTGAGAGTATAGACATTACAATGTCTCCAGATGAACCTTACTTACGATTTGCTACCATTGGTAAGCATTCCATTCATATCGCTACATATTTCTGTTGTCTTTATTTAACTAATGAAGTTATTTTTTATTAGGTATAGCTGCCAGCACTGATGTATCTGTTCCCAAAAATGCATCTGCCGTTGAAGTCTTTCAATGCACTGAAGTTCAGACTTTTTCTTATAAGTTATCTTTTTTCAAAAGATCTGTTAAAGCTTTAGCTCTGGCAAATAGAGTATCAATCCGAATTGATAACAGAGGATTTTTGTCAATGCAGTACCTTTTAAAAACAGACGATGATAAGACTTCTTTTGTCGAATTTTATTGTGCTCCTAACGAAGACTAATGTGTTTTCAATCAACTTGTTTTCTGCTAAGTTCCAGTCTAATCTAAGTTTATCATTATTTTTTATAAACGTGCTGTAAATAGATGGCTTAACACAAGTATATTTTATAGTTATCTAAATGTGTTATAACAAAAGTCTTAGGCCTAAGGAAACTAGTGGTTTTTACCATGACTCATTATTGAATTACGGCCCATTTTTTAAACCAATCAGTACCTTGCTTTTATTTATGTTATTCTTGTAATGCTGAAGCTGATTGGTTGAACTCAACCGAAACGAAAATCGTCTCTATATCCGCACAAGCTGCAAAACTACGAGAAATTTCTGCCTAAATTTTTCAAAAATGTCGGAATCAGGAGTTGATATGATGTTTGATGAAGCCGACATAGATCAAAATATTCCTGTTTATGAAATTAAGTCAAAAACACTGCCTGACAGGTTCGTTAGATATTTTCCTTTCGTCAATAATTGAAACGCAATATAATCTCGATTCGTGAGTGTTAAGAGTATTTACTCATATTCCACGCTGAAATATTTGAAAATTTTATTGAGTATTCTAAAATATATCACATCTTAAAAGGGAAATAATGACTTAAGGGACCGGTAGGGGGCAGCACAGCTCCGGAAAAGGGCTTGATTCGAATTTCTTGAGGATAGATTGCGGGACGGGTGAAAAGTCGTGTCAGATTCTAACGACATGATCATCCAATGTAATCCAATAGCAAAAGAATATCCTACAATCGGCAGGAAGTCGTCTATTATTAATCCACTTGGAAATTTGAAAAATTTTTGTAGCTCCTGCAGAGTTTTATTGAAATTACAACCGATATTGTTTCACATAAGCCTTGTGCTTGCTCGCTTCCCCCCTGTGTAAAATACGTCGTCATAGATACCTGCCACAGTGTTTGTCTGCGGGTTATTTCGATGAGAAATTTCGGTTGCTGGGAGAAAACTAAACCTACCAAATACCTGTGAATGATGACAAATATTCCTTTGTGTCTCTCTCAAATGAGATTTGGAAGAGCAGATGCAAGCGGTCTCAATTCACCTTGCCCTTTCGCTCCCTTTGTCTTAATTTCCTCTAATACCACGAAATTTACATTCAGTTGCGTAACACTGAAAAAACGACATTTATCACTCCAGGAGACGCGAGCCGTGTTTGATGACGTCACCGCTTCTTTTCGCCCCAGTCGTTAGCTATCGTGACAGCTATTGTAATTTTTATGTCTTTTATTTATACACTAAAGTAAAAAACTAAAACAGTAAGAAACTGTTAATATAGAAATTCCTACACTCAACTAGCCAAGAAATTCCTATGACATCTTAATCTAGATCATCCTAACATTTCAACTCTGAACAAGTGTTGACAATACACGTTATCTTTCCATAGTCGACTTTAGTTACATTCAGCTTTTAACTTGCGCATTGAAGTCACCCTTGGACGTCTACTTATCTACTGTTGACTGGGGTATTTAGCTGCTCGTTTCTTTCTCACTCTTCCGCTTTTCCCCTCCTCTCTGATTTCAATAGCTTTGTAGTTATCTTTTTAAATTAACCCCTAATAGTAAAGGAATTTTGGAGATAAAAATGTAAAAAGAAAAATCTTAGCTTAGAGTAATTTAAATTAAGATATTAATTTAGAATACATTGTAAAAGTATCTACGAGGTTTTTCGTTTAATAACAGTTTTATTAGACAAAAATTTAATTTACCAATTTATGAAAACAGACAAAATTAAATAGAAAATTTAAGTTTTTTTGGAGATAACTTATGGTTCAGTTGATAAAAGTTTTTTTATTATGCTGTAGTTGTTTCTCTCTTTTTTTTTGCTTTGTCGAAATTTAACACCTGTCAAAATTGACAATCTTTCAACGCTGATTGGCGGTACTCTTTGGATACCTGCTGTTCAAATCCCTGATTGGCCCTTTAAAAAATTGTCCTAATACAAATTTCGCTTTTCTCTCTCGTTAGTAGTTTTGTTCCAAACGGGACATCTCCATTAAATGCATTCTACTGATGAGGAGACAATGAATGAAGTAATTTCTTACTCATCAAACAACAATTGTCAAGGATATTGGAACAATTGTGAATATGAATCCTGCTGGATTCCCCAAGGCCAATTATCAAATGAAGTTTATTACGGCCAATATGAACACTTAAATAATTACGCTTATCAAAACACTTACGAATCGAACAATTCTAATTCATATTGGTACCGGTAAGTTAGGCAATTAGACATCCTGTTATATACTTCATGAAAATTCAATTATGCGCTTTCCAATAGGAATGAAACTGACTTGAGGAATGTGTCTGTTTCATCACGAACTCAGCTTAAAAACTTGCTAATGAGACAAAAGTACCTAACGGAGGAAAGGCAAAGGCCATATGGAACAAATGTAAGTTATTACTATCGCTATGAAATGTATTACTAAATATTATGTCTTCGTTAATTTTAGGCAAAAAAATTTTCTTCTGAACCTTTAAAAATAGCCGCTCAGATTAAAGATGTTCCACCTGATATTCTACAAGTTCATACTAAATTACAAAATCCGACAAGAGGATTTCTTGAAGATAAACGAAAGGAACAAATTCAGCGTTACGTTAATGGTGAATTTAATAAAAATGGAGGGGTGGTTTCATCATCAGCGCATGCCTCATCTGCTGGAGCTGTTAAAGTCGTTGCAACAAACTTGAAAACTGGCTGCTCCAGTGCTCCAGATATAGGAATAGAAGAAGCTAGTGAAGTTGATGACACATATAATCTACTGGATGATTTAATCTCTTTAGACGGCATTGAGAACTCTATCGATCCGGAAGCAATTGAGCCATTCCATCTACAGGTATATTAACTAAGCATATGGCTGTATGCTTTTTTTACGTTGTGTTTTTCTTTCAGTTGGCTCAATCAGCTAATACATATGACCGAGATTACAACGAAGAAATGAATACAGCAACACATAGTTGCCCTGCAGACATTGAAAAAGATGTTAGATTATTCAGTGGGGGTCGCCGCAGGTCGGAAGTTCGTACTCAGTTCTCGGGCGAGGACGACATGAAAAACTATCAAAAAGAATTAGAGAGAAAATTTAACCACAATCAGAGTAAGTAATTTCATTGAGGGCTTGGAGCATCCACTTACCGTTTACATTATTCAGTTGAACGACGAAGAAGATATAATATTAATGATAGAATTAAAGAATTAGGAACATTACTCCCTAGACGAAATGACACGTATGTAAAATGAGGAGATTAAATATCTTTTTTCTAATCGATAATCCATTTCTCAGGACATTTAATGATTTAAAGCAAAATAAAGGATCGATACTGAAAGCTTCTGTAGATTATATACGCAAGCTACAAGATGATCAAAGGCGTTTAAAAGCAATTGAAGATCAAAATCGCCATATGGAAGCCACGAATAGAAAGTTAATACTTCGAATGCAAGATATGGAGAGAATGATGACAGTTCATGGAATTTCGAACGCAAGTGGGACAAGCAGTAATGAGATGCTAGAAGAAGTTCTGGGAAATATTCGAAACCCTATTCTAAAATCTGAACCCAAGGAAGATATATCTACTTCTGTAGATGAAATTATGGATGATCACAACCCACTATGCAGCAGTGACCCTATGTTTTCAACTTTTGATCAATAACTATTTTGTTTTTTAATGTGTATGTATATGTGTATATACTGTGTATACAAAATATACATGCATGTGTATATAGCATTATGTTTCTTATCTCTAAATACATACAATCAGTAGAGAATATACATAAATGATATGTAAAACGTGAACATCAAATATTTATACATATATTTATTAATATATATGTCTATATATATATAAATATATATATATATATAAATTTATACAGAATATATAACATATATACAATGGGGGAAAAATTGTAGCTAACATTTTTGCGTATAATTTATTTCCTGCTATTAGATAGAAAACACTATCACACAATAGTTATACAGTATATTATGAACAGTAAATCAGCAAAGGAAGAACTTTTTGTGATGCTTACATTTTTATATAATCTAGTTCAAAATATTTCTTTATTTACGAATGCGTACACGCCAGTCAAAAGTAGTTGGCGAAAGAATGCTTGCAATTAATTATAAAATTATGGTCATTGTGTTGTAGTTTTTAATTCTTCTGTGCTGTCAAGATTTTGCCATTTTGGTAGACAAGTTTGGTCATAGCTACCCAGACATGGTAAAAGCAGTTCTGTGAATCAGTGCCCTCGTCTTCTACAAGAACATAATCTCTTCTAAAAAGGGTATGACCTGATGGCACAAATAAATTGGACAAAATGCATTGGTGGTCTTCCACTTTCATCATGGCTATTGAATATTTTCAATTACAGATCTGATTCTCAGAGTTTCTATAATTAACAACGTATGCTTATGAAAAAAGATAGTGTATAGGCAATTATTTCTGCATATAGGAAATAGTTTGAACTAGATTTTACAAAAAATATAAACGCTTCAAAAATTTCTTCCTTGCAGTAGTAGATTTTTTGCTGGAAAGAGAAGACTACTTGATAATCATACAAATAGTGGGTAGTAAAAATTAGGTAGAAATGTTAGTGTAGCTACAATTTTTTCACCTACTATATATATAAAAGAATATTATATATATATATATATATACTGTATATTCTGTATATTTATACTGTATATATTATTATGCCATATATACAGTATAAGCTCGTTACTTTCTGTCATGTACGAATATAACAATATGGATTTTTTCTAAATCGCTTCCTCCTCGATGTTTGTTCTTCTATAATTGCATGAAGACTTTTTACGCTTAGAACTGGAGTTTCTCTTCAAATTGACAGGGTTTAGAGCGTGACGCATATATGGTAAATAGATAATATAGACAAACGCATGAAGGGTAAAAGATAAATGATAGGCATGGAGCGCCATCTGCTGAACTAAGTACACTATCATAGTTAACTCCACATTTGTAGGTCTAGTGACGGTGTAAAATCGTAGGAACTGCGTGGGAGAGGTAAATAGGAGGAAGACACCATTAATTGCCAAAGAGAGTATAACATCTCTTCTAATAACAATTTCTTCGTGCCTTGGAGAGTAGCGGCGTGTGGCTACAGTGCTCATCCTTACATGTAGATGATGGACGAAACTTGCAATACCTCTATGCCTATGCTTTACTGTAACGACCATAGTCATACTATTTAGAATAATAACAACAGAATAAGGAAGAACCACATTGAAAATGGCATCAAACCGGACAAGTAGAAGAGCGGAATCTCCATAATCGGCGAGCGGTATGCATGTCATCATATGATTGGAAACTGTTAAAGACAGGTTAACGTGAACCGCGATAGCAACTGCAACAATACCAAGTAGTACGAATCTTGCTCTCATCCTACTACACAGAGCCGCTCTCGCTGTATAGCACATCCGAATATGAGCATCAATCGCTATAACAACTTGAGTCCAGACAGAAACAAAATTTGTTAGATTACTAAAGAAGAAGAAGGCTTGACAAGCGACGGAAACTTGTGAGAAAACAGATAAAGGTGTCTGACTGTCTATCCAAGCTAGTAAAAGCGTGATTAGGAATATTACATGAACAGTTGTAAGACAACGGCAATAAACTGTTGTAGAACTCCGAGATTTATCGTTGGTCCTGAGGAGAATTGCTGCGATGAGATTTGCAAAAATTCCGATAGTTGTATAAACAGGGCGAACATAATAGTCAAGTATATGTAGAGTAAGTGATAGGCCTTCAGGCCCCGCTGATGTATTATTATGTTTATGTAGTATCATTTTCACCTAAATGATAAGAAAAATTAGAAAACTTCTTACACAAACCTCCAACATATTCGGAACGCACATATGCACTGCGTTTGCACTCGACGTCAAACGGCGCGTAGACGCCCTGACGTCGATATATAGTATTATAATACATTAGTACACAAAAAATACTTAGGCCTGTTTAATTCGTTTGAAACAAGAGATGGCGCACATTGTTCACATTGGACCTTGATAAGAGAGGAGAGGATGTCACTTAAAGAATTAAGTTTTATTGATAGAGAGAAGATAGAGGACGCTCGCAGAAACTTGGAAGGAATAGTGACAAAATCTCCCTTATTAAAGTTGAACACCACATTTATACGCCACAGTGAGTACAATTTAGAGGGGAAAAAAATCTATATCAAATTGGAAAATTTACAAGATGTCGGCTCCTTCAAAATTCGAGGAGCAGTAAATGCTTTAAGACAGAAGAAATTAAATTCTGTTCAGGGGGTCTACACTTGCAGCGTAGGCAATTTCGCTCACGCGTTAGCCTACGGCTCATCAAAACTTGGCGTTCCTTGCAGTGCAGTTGTTCCACCAAACTATTCTAAGCAAAAAATTATGGGAGCAAAAGCTTTCGGAGCATCAATAAAAGTAGTAGAATTTGATGAATTTTGGCAAGCAATGTCTACTGGCGACATATCTGGTATTGACGGAACATTTATCCATCCTGTGTGCGATGAAGATGTTATAGCAGGACATGGGACAATAGGCTTAGAAATATTAGAGGATTTGCCTGACGTTAATCAGATAATAGTACCATTTGGCGGTGGAGGCCTTGCGTGTGGGATAGCTTCGGCTGTAAGAGGTTATAATGTAAAAGTAACACCTTGTGAAGTGGATGTAGCGGCACCGCTTAAGGCATCTCAATTAGCTGGTAAACCTACAACTTGTAAATCACACACAGTAAACTTCGTAGATGGAATGTCTGGAACGAGAGTGTTTGACCCTATGTGGAATTTGATAAACAATCTTTTAGAGGACTCAATAGCTTTAAGCTTAGAAAGTATCGCGGGCGCTATGAAAATTTTAGCCGAGGGCAATCGAGTGATAGCAGAAGGAGCTGGAGCAGCACCAATTGCGGCTGCATTATCGGAACAAACGGCTCCAGGAAATATCGTATGTGTCGTTTCTGGAGGCAATATCGATTTGAATAAGTTTTGCACTGCAATGAGTGGTATCGTTCCAGAATAGGTTTGATTATCATGCAATAGAATACGTCAAAAATATCAGCCATTACTTAAAAATAAATTGATATATCGAAAATATACTTGGAAGATAGATTACTTAACTTACCGAGGTAATTAAAAAATCCCACTTCCTCTGAGTGTATTCTCCTTACCAAAAAGGATATTACTCTTTCGAAAAAATTAGTTCCTCTTGTGCTTACAATTCGCTGAAGATTCAAAAGAGAAAAGAAATGTTCGCCTCCTATCGAGAGAAAAATTACATACAGCGCACTCGGAATTTTTCGGGTGTCCTTCCATCTGATCAGATTTACAGGGCTTTACGTTAAAATTTTAAAAAATTTTATTTTTATTTATCAACACTCCCTCTTCACCTATTGTTAAATAATATTCAGTGCAAATTGTACAATATCACTGAGTTACCTTACTGGATCAGTGCTATTAGCTGCAGGAAATATTGATGCACTCGTCAAAACATTTTTTCGTTGAGAGGAAACTATCATACCTAAAAAAAAATTTAATTTCGCACGAAAAGCGTCAATTGTATTTTTCTATAATTCTACTTTTACTTATGTTTTTGCGGCGCCCTGAAATTTTTAAGTTATCCTAACTTTCTTTACTCCTATACACTTTATTTTTATAATCATACAGCTTTTAGACGTGTTGAGCTTCAGGAAACTAGATAAATAAAGCGGAGTGCTTGGAAAACGCAGGCCTATTTGCTTTTACCAATATATAAATCGTTTTATACGCAGTAAGGTGTCCTTTTGCCATTTCAATCTATAAATCTTTCCTCTGTTAGTTGAATTTTCTTTATCTTAATCAGAATCCTATAATAGTTTCATTAAGCGCATAAAATATTACGCTTATTTGTATAATGAAACGGCAAAAACCGGTATTTTTCTTTAGTTTGTGTTTGTTGAAGGATATATTTTGTGTATCATGACACCATTGCCTTTATTAATAACTGGCTTGTGCCCAGCAGCCATAATTAGACGAATAAAACTTTTTATTATTATATTTTCTCATTACTTATACAAAAGTTATTCCAGGTAAACTTATAGCCTCTTCTCGTTGTAAAAAGGACATAATTAAATAATTACCTGTAAATTTATTATGAAGTAATATCTTTTATTTCTATTGAAACTAATAATTCTTATTTCGTATAAAAGACCAATGATGGTTTATCAGGGTAACATCTAGCTTCTCAATGTTATTTAATGATATTACAAGGTTTTATTATAGTAATAAAATAGAAAAGAGAAATATTAGTCATTAATAATGTCATCATTATTAGTATACACATATTATTATTATGATTAATGTTTACTGTTATATTTGGCTATCTGCCTATTTTATTCAGTCCAAAATATGTTGACTTCTTATGTTTTGTTATAAGGTCCGGATAGTTGATTTTTACAAAAATTTTGTCTCCCTTCTGTAAGTCTGCCGATCCGTAAATATTACTGGAGCGAGTAAAGCCTTTTTTTTCCTCTTTGGATAGGGAGAATCCGCTCTATATAAAAAAAATAAAATATTATATCAATCGATTTTTTTAATCAAACCATAAAATGATAAATTTTACTTGGAATAGAGTTTTATCTCTTTCTTTCTCTCTTTTCAGAGCTACAATATGAGAAATTCTTTCTGGCTTCTCTGTGGACTTTTCTTTAAGTCTAAATTGGACCTATTGAAAAATTTCTCCTAAAATTAATTAGCAGCTGGATATTGCAAGATTACCTGACAATAGATTATGTAAAACCCGCTTTCTAAAATTTCAACATTTCCTGTCTTTATATCGTAGTGAAATCCATAAATGTATGAGGGAGTACGATCAAATTCCCACTCCTTGATAGTCTCCAGTTTACCAGATGGCTTGTTACTATTAATTTTATCAGTTTTAATGTAAAATCGCAAAGCAATAGACTTCTCAATAGAATCTGAAATCTAAAAAATATTTGTCTGATTGCAAAAGTAAAACTAAAACTAAAACTTCTGTAAATTCTTATTTATACCTATAGTCCTAGATAATTCAGCCTATGAATCACAGGTAGTATTCATTAAATCTTATTTTCTTTTTCTATATCCAATATTATTATATAATAAAAAACACGTAAATCAAGTTAGTAAATTTGATTAACAATTTGCTAAGAATAGATAACTTAAGAATAAAAGATAATTATATAATAAACCAAAAAGACTTTAAATAAGACTTTATTCTTCATTCAGTAAACTCATCGTTGCGCTATCACGAAAAATAATCTATTTATGGCGAATAATACAAATGTTGATGTAATTGCAAACTATCTTACGTTTCTATTCTGTCCGATAAGACTTATTTCTGGTTGATGTTCAGATAAAAGAGGAAAAAAGATGTCACCACGTTCAATATTATTGAAAGGCCATAATCTCTTTTCAAACGCCAGAAAATGATAGCCAGTTGCACTAATCAGTGATATTAACACGAAACAAAAAACTAGACAAACTTGGCCCATGTATCTTTGCCTTGGTTTCCTAAACGAAGTCTTTTCGCTCATTTTATACAAGTCGTCTTCGAAATTCGCGCTTAAATGACAAGTGACTAAAGAGTGAATGAAACCTGTTTTTATTTGGCAAGTTCTTCCTTAACGACAAGAGTGATATTCGAGAAAGCTATCTGTTTTTTTTTAAAAAAATAATATTGGTGCCTGGTTGAGATAAGGTAGAATATTTATTTGTAGGAAAAAACAAGACAATTTACCAAAATATCAGTAAGAGAACCTGATGTTATGAAATTTGAAATTTAATATAATGTGATGAGACAGATGATTTATATTCCCACAGCTTTGCTAACCCAAATTAAATTTCACTGTTATTTGCATAAGTAGAGGAAAATATGGTATTGACCCATATGTAGATTTATGTTCAGAGAATTGCACTATGTTCTTAGATTTTTATGTTAAATTTCCTAAAAATTGCATATCTGTTTATTATGGCAGTTGACTGAACATGGCTCCCAATGCCCAGCTTATTTCTGTTCCGGATATTTTTTTAGCTATCTGTAGCGAAGAACAATATTTAAATTTTGAAGAAATTATTGAAATAAATCACCAACATCAAAATTGTTTGTAGCATGAAATTTAAATCCTTCTTGTAAAATAGTTCCCAAGTAAATTAAATCAAAACACAAAAAGCGTTTTGGACTTTGGTTTAGCTTGTCATCGCATATTCTTTTAGCCATATCCAAGTAATTCTTCGGTTGAACTTGGGCTTCTAGACCACCTGAAAGAATTTCAGTTAAAGTTAATTTCCACATTGAAACGGCAGGACGGCTTTTAAGGGATTAAACTTTCATGTACAAGTAATTAGTCCATACAGCTCTCTAATTTGTTTTTCGGTGCACGTATAAGTAATATGTACTTACTAAATAAGTTAACAGAATTCCCTCTATCGTAAAAATAGGAAAGGAGCAAAAATTTTGTTCTTGAAAAGTCGGGATTTACGTAGATGTCGTCTCTTAAAACTTTATCTAGAACAAGCTGTTGACACTCCTGGAATCTTGAAGCTTTCGGAGCTTTTCCAGATACATTATATTTCGTATTCTGGTGCACCCATACTCCAGAGTACCCTTCAGGCAAGCACACGCTTGAGAATTTTGATGTTGATTCATGTCCCCTGAGCATTCTTAGGCGAGATGACATCAAACCGAGACCTAAGTAACTTTTTGTATAAGCTGTTATTGTGTAACCCATGGCAGAGACTTTATGTAGTAGGTCGGCCGAACTTTTTAAAATTTCCTGGGAAGTAAAAATCAAAGAAATTATCAGTAAAATAAAGTCCAAAAGCTAATTTCAAATCATTTTAGATAATACAGGATAACAAGATAGACAGTAGCATAATTGTTGGTCTTCCTTTATGACTTAATAATACATACTCTGTCTTTTGGCACATATGTGATTTGAATAGACCCTCCTCCTAAATCAATGGCTCCGATAGTTTGGTCGCCACCTAGTGTTTCTAGAAAAGACATTTCTCAGTTATTAGATAAAAGATTCCTACAAATTAAATACTTGCTTTTCAAGATATTAACTGTCAGCCAACTAAATAACCCTTCGTCTGAGGCATCCATGATTTTCACCGATTCATCATGAAATGCGAAAGGAAACTTTCTGAAAAGTTTTCGTACTTCTTCCAATATTTCTTCTGCTTTTCTCTCTGATAAAAGTCTGAGACCTGCTGTGGCATACAAGCTTATAGGAGTCTTTGTCCAATGCTTTTCAGGGATATACTCTTTAGCTCTATTCAACAAGTTCTCTAAACTTTTTGCTGCCTGGAACAAAAATACTTTTGTTCACGAACAGGGAAACTAAAATAGTCTTACGTTACTAGGATTTTCTGAATAGGCTGATAAACCGGGTAAAACATATTCAAAAAGTTCATCTTGAAATTTCCAATCTTCACTACCATATTTTGTAAATCTAAAAACATGAATTCTACTGCCTGTCGACCCAGCATCAAATATTATACCATAAAACTCTCTAGGCCTACTTCCTCCACGTGCCAATAGCATAATGATGAGGAAAATGATTATTATTGCTATCAAGCCATTTTTACTCTTAAGTCTTGACATCATTGTTGCTGACTCCCCTTTCATACTCAAGTTCATGACAAATAAACAACTCAAAGAGAATAGTGAAATATATATCAACAGCAGAAGCACTGGCATGTACTCAGGTTGAAGCAAGTGAGTTTATTCGACTACTAGTGACAATCTAGCAAACAACTTAACAAAAATAAACTAATTAATCGACTTTTGTATAAAAGGAGTAACACTGAGTATCACATTTGTAACATGGCTGTAATATGGTTCTAATAGTTCTATCGTTTTAACATCGCCATACAATCACAGAAGACTAACCCAAGTGGTATTACTAAACTATACTTTAAAAGACCAAAGTTCTAAAAGCATTTACTTTGCACTTTTTCATTTCATCTTATTTTCAGACGAAAAATAATTTTAAACTTGCAATCATATTATTAAACTTGATCCCTTTTATTACAATTTGAGTAGCCTCATCTGCTTGGAAATACAGCTATATGCGTATCTATATTATTTCTATATCTGATTCTTTGTCAGAGAAATATAACTGGTTTTGTTGAAGCCTTAATAAAGATTCTATGTAATTTAATTTTTAAATATTAGAATAGCTAGAAAATATTAATGATATTGGATCATCTTTACTTTCAGTTTACAAGTTGTGGGGTTTACCGGTTTTTAGCCAGCACTGAATCATGCGAGAATGGTTTTTACGAAGTAGTAAAAATGGCGCTCTATTTGATACACCGCACTGCTCGATTAAAAAGTATTGTTTCTCATGCAAGTACGGCTATATTTTATTCATAAATTGCGTTGATGTACAATATATTTTATTACAGTACAAGTCCAACAAAATTTCTCATTGTCATCGAAAAATCATCAGAATTATGACATATTTGCCTCAGTGTGTCTTCAAAGGCAACGTGTTCTTACGTCCGAGAAGACACCTCTAGAAATAGAATTTTCAAATTTTTTGCAAGATTTGGAAACAAAACAAAGTGTTTATAACGATCATGAGTTAAGACATTTTGAGGACTTACGAGTCGCTGAGCAGAGAAAATTAGATATTGATGCAGACGGTGACATTATTCGAGAAACTGCTCTAGATTTAGAGGATTCTTGGGATACTGAATACCAAAATTTTAAACCTGCTCCCAGGACGACTGAAGATGATGAGAACAAAAACTTAAAGTCTCACAATAGAGAACTAGATTCGAAATTATTGCTGCTAACAAAATCAAAATTAGGTGATGCTGAACGATGGGTGTTGCCAATGGGAAAATGGATTAAGGGAGAAAGTCTGAGACAAGTAAGCATTTACCCATACTAAAAATTAGAATCTTTGACTGAAAAATGTTTAATGAAATGAGGCTTTTCTAAAGTAAAAAAACTGCTTTAAGGAAAAGAAATTGTATGTAAAATATTTACAATTCAAATTTTCCTCATCTTCATCTTGTATTTCAGACAGCAGAAAGGATTCTAGCCGAGCAAACTGGCTCTAGCTTAAATGTTCAATTTCTAGGAAATGCTCCGTGTGGTTTCTACAAATATGAGTATCCTTCTAAAGAACAGACCATCGGCGCCAAAATATTCTTTTTCAAAGCTGATTTAAAAGATGGTCAAATCACCAAAAATATAAACTTTCAGTGGATAAAAAAGCAAGATATAAAACCTCTGTTACCTCCTAGATACTTTAAAGTTGTTGATCGCTTTGTTCTCGATTTTTAAATTCATTCATATTTTATAAATATATGTTATGTATGCCTAGTTGTTCAAGTGAGTTTTCAATTGAATTGTTATTTTGTAATATTCTTAATTTTCTTATTTTGTAAACTCTGAAAATAGAGGGATAAGTTCCGATAAAAACACTGATATCGAATTAATGTGTGTTATATAATACGTTTTAATGCAGTTGAACGTAACACACCATTTCCCTGTATTTTGCTGAAAGAATTAAATATAATAGAAAATTACATTTAACCAAAGAGAAGAGTAAAAACACAGCACGTTTAACTACTATTAAATAAGCAATTTAGGTACTAACAGAAAGGTACACTTCGGCAATTAAAAAAAATTGAAGCCGTGTCCTTTTGAGTATATGTATAGTTTTAAACGATAAATAAAATAAAACCCAACATGAACAAGCGGAGAAACAATACCTGCTATAATGAGAACACATGGTATACTAATTTGAGGCTTATTCCAATTCAAAATCGGATAAACAATGTTATGCTTTTTGTCAACGCTCCAATAAACAATATTAAAGATCGTGTAGATAATTCCATATGAAAATGGATAAAGAAAGTGTAATATACGAACTGGAACTGCTGACGATAGAAAGTGAAATAAAACGATGGTTGAATTAATTGCATGAAGATTTATATTATTCCATAAGCCTATCATACTAATCTCATCTTTTTTCAAAAGCGGCCAGAGAACAGACCAGAAAGTTAGAGAGACTACTACGGATGATGTAGATGCAGTATTGAACAATATCCAATCTAATTTGATGTATAGAGGTAATTTTCTTTCTTCAACATTTTCAATTGTCATGCTTGTGTCAATGAGAGCTCCTCTATCTGATTCCGATTCCGATGATTGAGAATTATCAGCTACTTGTAATGTGTTGTTTTCATTTCTTCCACAAAATTGAGAGCAGAAAAAATAAAAGCAACAACCAGCTGAGTATGTTAGATGTATGGTCAACAATAAATAAGTCCATATTGTTAGGAATACGTATGGAGGATGACGATGAGATGTTGTGTTATCAAACCAATGGTAGTGAATAGTGGTATTTGAAGAATGTGCCAAGCTCCTGGTCAGTATCAAGACATTCCAAGTTATGAGATAAATCGCAAAGAACAATTTGATAAATATCATTAGAAGAATTCCAATTTTTCTCTTATTTGGATGAAGCCACTAAAACAAAGAATATTAAATTTAATTGGTACTTTTAAACATGTTGAAAAGTTTTTTACTTGAAAGGTATAAAATGCTGAAGGATGATCATGATGTAAAAGTGCAGCACCCAAGGTACATTCTTCTCTGATTCTAGGCATATTTTTTTGATATTTTCAATTTTTTGTTTAGTTTCAGTCTGCCACTTCCTTATAGTGAGTAGTTGCCTTTGAAATTGTTATACGACATATGAGTTGGGAACGGGTAACCTGGCAATCTTTAGACAAGAAAACACGAAACGAGGGTGGGCATTCCGTCCATTAATCTTGCGTTGGCACTGTTCTATGATTTTTCCAATTAGGATTAATTAGTCAAACAATCATAGCCAGTGTAAATATATTTGTTCAAAACAATTGCGAAGAGCTCAGAAGATTAAAGTTTTGCAAGATTGATTAAAACACTAATTTTGAAAGTGCACTAGTGCCAAGTTGAGACACGCATGAGTCAAATTTCAGCAGTTGTCATTCTACAATTACGTTGGATTTGTTTACTACGTTACCAAAAATATCGTGGTTGGTAGACTAAATGTGTCTAGCATTACACAAGCATTTAATTCGCGGTTAATAGATGTTTAAGTCAAATCGATCATTGAGGTAATGTCTTTGGATAAATATACAAATATAAGAGTAATTGGAAAGGGCAGCTATGGAGAGGTTTGGCTGGTTCGTCATAAGTCTGATAGAAAGCAGGTTATTATTAGCATTTGAATAATAGCGAAATAGTTATAAGATTCATATGAATGCTATGTCCTTAATAGTATGTGTTGAAAAAACTCGAAGTTAAGCATGCTTCTAAAAGAGAAAGATATTCTGCTGAGCAGGAAGCCAAGCTCTTGTCAAAACTTCATCATCCAAACATTGTAACTTATAAGGTAATAACTTTTTTTAATTTACATTATTCTTATTATAAATATTACTTGTGAAGGACTCCTTCGAAAACAATGGACATCTATACATAGCAATGGGATTTTGTGAAGGTGGAGACCTCTTCTCAAAGTTAAAGGAGCAAAGAAGTGTACCGTTAGAAGAGAGACAAATTGTGGAATGGTTTGTTCAAATTTCAATGGCATTACAAGTAATTTTATTAAGAAACAAACCTATCATATTTTCCATTTCATATTTATTGTTTTAGTATATGCACGAAAGAAATATCTTACATAGAGATTTAAAAACTCAGAATATCTTTCTTACAAAGGCAAGCATAATAAAAGTCGGTGACTTGGGAATTGCTAAGTAATATTATAGCTTTGTGGTTTAGATTTTAATTTTTTTAAAATTTATTAGAGTCCTGGATAATCCTAATGATATGGCTTCTACGTTAATTGGAACACCTTATTATATGAGTCCAGAACTTTTTTCTAACAAACCTTACAACCATAAAGTCAGTTTATAAATTTTAATGAAAATTTTACAATGTATATTGACGGTTGTTAATTTTTATTGTAGTCTGATGTTTGGGCTTTAGGTTGTTGTGTTTACGAAATGGCAACTTTAAAACATGCGTTTAATGCTAAAGATATGAATTCTCTAGTATATAAGATTCTTCGAGGTAAATTACCGTCCATGCCAAAAATTTATAGCGATGAGTTAGTAACTATGATAAGAGCGATGCTAAACCAAAATCCCGATAAAAGACCTAGTGTTAATAGGATACTTAAAGATCCTTTTATAAAAAAAAATATTGCTATATTTCTGGACGGAACGAGAAAAAAGTTGGTATTTAACTATACTCTATTAATATTTATTAGTAGTCAATATTATTTGAAAAAATTGCAGCAAGGCTACATCAGCGAAATCGAAGCGTCCTCCTTCCGGGGAGAGATCAAGAAAATCAAGTCAGACAGATGATGATGCAAAATCTGTACTCAGCGTTGCTAGCTCCGTTGGGGTATCCTATGAAACAAACAACATCTTAGAAGCTATTAACGACGATGAGAAATTAGAACCTTTACACCCTTGTGGACCAGAGTTAACACCAATAGCTGAAGAAATGACACCTCGTAAACAATATCCTCCACCAAAATCGGCAGACCAAAGCCCCAAAACATCTTTTGAAGCAAAACAATCACGGCCTGCATCAGGCCAAAATTCTAGATCATCGACACCAACTAGAGCCTCTGGTAACAAGGTATTTACATTAAATATTAAGTGGAAGCTTCTTAACCAAATTTATTAGGAATTGCCTCCAAGATCACCTGATGTTTCCGGGACTGGTGCTAGAAAGAAAAAGAAGAGTGTCTTAAAAATGAGACAAAGCTCTAACGAAAATTCTGAACCTAATAAAGAGCCTTTACAGGTAATACAGCTAGAGAGGGACAGTCCTTGCCATAAATTTCAGGTGCATGATCTTAAATTTTTGTTTGTTTGTATTTCTCTGTTTTATCAAGATTTTTATGTTGAACATTCTCTTCACCATTTTCTGAATTTTTTTTAAATATTTTATTCAAAAATTTATATCTATAAAAAATATGTAAAAACATATATTTTAGATAAATTTGCAAAAAATTAGGCCTAAAAACTGCAATTCTAGAACACAATTAGCTAGAAAACACCTTCTACCCCACACAAAATTATAAACTGTATACTGACTTTGGGAAAATCTTTACTTAGGATCCTATAGAATCACGCCCTCTTCCCCCACGCCCTCTTATGTCGGGGAATCCAAAATCTAAGAATTCGTCAGCTGTTGTTCATAACAGAGAATCAGGGTAAGAAATAATCTTATCTGCAGTAAACTTTGTTGTAGACTGTTCAATTTTATCTTAGATATTCAAGTGAAATTATTTCATCTTGCGATCCTGTTGTAAACAAACCGAAAGGAATGTCCAAGTCTCACGATCCATCATCTCCAACGGAAACTAAGTTACCCCCATCAAGAGTTGTTAGCAAATCTCAAGACATTCGTCCTCAAATGAAATCTGCTGCACCACGGGTAAGAGAGTTCAGTTATCTTTTTGTGACATATTGATTTTGACTCGTGTTTTAGCAGAGTAATTTGTCTGCAAGAGCTAGACGTCGTGAAAAGAAGGAAATGGAAATTAAGGAAATTGAAACACCAAGAATGAAAAGTAGTGTTGACATTGATCCATCGAGAAGATCGATAGATATTGATAGCCGTCCTTCAAGCGCCAAAAGTAGACCTAGTTCAGCTAAGGCTGCTTTAGAACAAAGATCACAAAAAGCAGATATCTCTGCAGTAAAACGTACTCGAGTGAGTAAGGCTAAAAACAGTACAATCATTATGTAATCAACATATTTTTTCACTACCAGAGCGAAAGTGACAAAAGCAAAAAACCCTTGGTCCATCAAAGATCATTTAACAATAGCTCAAGTAGTGATGAAGATGAGATCAAGCGGGACGAGAGAAGGTTAGGATAAATTAGTATAATATTTTAATAATACTCTCTTCTTCTAAAATAGAAATCATAGAGACGTCAATAACCTAGTTTGTGCCCTCGAGTCTACTTTAAAGGCAGCTTCAGCTGTTAGGCATAGCGGGGATGATGATGATGATAACGGAGACGTTATTATTCCAGGGGGCGCGAAGGTTCCAAATGTGAGGAGAAATGAAACTTTTGTTATAAGGGTGAGAAAAGTCTTGATTCCTTATCTAACTCTAAAATAATATTATTATCTCTATAATTTGTAGAAACACGTGGACCCACCTCCCCAACGCCTACAGGTTGAGCCTTTAAGAGCAATTAAAGTATCAACAGACCCTACTGAAGATGCTATTCATCCAGGTACAGACTCTTAATTTAATCTACTTCAGTTAAATTTTGGCTATTACAGCTGAACGAACCTTGGGTACAGCAACAAGACTAAACGATCGAATACAACAATTGAGAAAGTAAATGACTAACATCATAGTTTTTCAATAATATAATAAATATTATGCAGGGATGTTATAAGAGCATTTGGAATTGCTAAACTGAAAGCAGCTTATGATGTACTCGAAAAAGTTGAATCAGAAGATGCTGAACCGAAACTAATTAAAATTTTGGGACAAGATGGTTTTGATGAATATGCTGGGAAAATTTGGCAACTTAAATTTTGTGAAGATGTCCAATCAGGCCTTGTTTGAATTCACTTTTGCTGTATATACTGTATACAGTATACATTTATACATTGCATAAAAATAATTTCAAGATTTAAACTCTAAACTTTTCTTTTTATAGCTCATTTAATTACATCTCATACATATTCATTCTGTAAAAAGATCTTTTCATTCACACTCATAACTGTTTTTCATTAAAAATTTCATTGATATGATAGTTGATTTAAAATGACTCAAATTATCGGGCGCTTTATGTTTCTTAATTCAATTTTTAACATTTGTAAATTAATAAGAAGTTTGTTACAATCTAAACGAAATATTGTTTACAATTTAAAAAATGAGACCTAATGAAGGTCATTTGTAAAGTAACTACTCTATCAAGAATCAAAAAATTAAGTCGATATTAATATTTTGAGGGACAATAAGTCATTCAATTATTCACAAGAGTCAACGTAAAAACTTTTAACGAGAGAGCATAGGCCAATATTGCACCCGAAATCTTTTAATTTGACCTTCACAGAGCCGATCCATCCAGGAACCTAACCCATTCAGGACGTCATTGATATTAATTGTAGAATCAGTTTGATTTTCACCATCGCTACTATCATCCAACCCAAGAAAGTCATTAGATGGCAGCTTAGGATGAAAAATTGAGTAGTAATTTCTTGATCCATTTAGGGCTAGAACAGTTCCGACACAGTTTTTTCTGAATAAGGTTTTTAAATATGGATTAAAAATTATGAAGAAAAGTGCAGAGTATTATATGTAATTAATTTCGAACGGGTAAAATATGTGACAAAACTTGAAACTTGTAATTCATATTAAGTTATTTAAGACTCTTACTTGTTAATGGTACTTAAATCTCTTCGAAAATCCAGTGTTTCTTCTAACAAGTGCCTATACCAGCCGAGATATTCGTCCAAATCTAAAGCACAAAATATGAAAGCATCGCCGCTGAAAAAAATAGTAAGGATAAAGATCTATATGGATATTTTTATTTATCATTTTCTTACTTTGTATAAGGTAAGACAATTGAAGCGAATTTCTGAAGAAGCTTATTTTGGTATTCATTGTCAGTCATGATAATTAAGGTTCTTAAACCTCTCTCGCCTCTTAAGACATACTTATCGTATGTTTGAGCGCAAAATGTTTGCAAGTAAACAGTAGGCTTCCTAAAAAATGTCATTGGTTTATTAGTATTGTCGTAAATATTCTTACTTATAAGTATTACTCTTTAGGTAAATTTTGGTTCGATCGTTCTTTATTTTTTGACTGAGTTACTGGCTTATCCAACTTAGACAGCGCAGATGACATAAAACCAATCCCTAGTACCACAAATATTGAAACAAAAATTGCCAACCAAGTGGCACTATCCATACTAGAAAGTATAAGATTAAATAAGGTATAATGTTAGCTATATAATGACAACCCACCTTCTTATCTTCATCATTCCCAAATCATACCAATCATCCAGTTTATTCAAAATTCTTGATAGTAAGGGCTTTAGGAGTAATTAGATATTGAACAAAAAAAGTAATGAAAAAACATGAAATATAACTTACGGCCTGGTGTTCATCTATTATAGATGGCTGATCTATTTTAAAATCCAAAGTGTCTCTAGTGTTTACCGCTGTATCTACTAATTTTTTCAGAGCACTTACTGACTCTTCATTATATTCGCCAAGTTTCCAGCCATCTTCCAATAAGCTATAATATAGATCTAGCTTTGAATTTCTCCAAATTAGAGCTACTTTTAAAGCTTTCGTAGTGACATTTTCAATTCCCTCCTTTCTAGTAATTGCCTCAGCAAATTGAGTTTGCGAATCGGCATATACATATGCATATTTGACCCTTTGTTGACTTGATTGCTCTTTCACATAATTCCTAAAGCTTTTACGATATTCTTCATGATCTTTGATATTATATGTGAAAAGTACAACACAGACAGCTTTAGAGCGTCGTGTAGTTCCAGTAGGGCATAACTCATTAAAAACGTTAGGTGAGGAAAGACGAGGTAATATGAGGTATTTATTTGAATTTAGAATATTTTCAATATTCTTTCCTTGCAATTTTTGCTCCTGCATGAACAGATTGAGTCAGTTAAACATATTGTATGCAATTTAAAAAAGATATTACATTTATACTAGCAAACGCAGAATCATAATATTCATGAAATAGTAGCAAAGTTTCTTTCCCAGGATACAGTTTGTATAAGTCTTTAAAGCTTTTCGATTTTTTACTGCAATGACAAATGAAGTTAGTTTGAACAACATGATAAGATTATGAGTTCTCACTCTGAATTTGAAATAAATCCAAAGTCGAATCTTTTTTGATACTTAAAAGCTGTTGAGAGAAATCTTAAAGATGGCCGAGGTTTGGAGCTGGAAAAAATGACTCTGATTTTGTTCGCTGAATAATCTTGCAAAAATTCGGCAACTGTATCATCGTTAAGAATTCTAATAAGGTTGTTAGGTAGGTTATTTCTAACGAATTCTCTCATATTTTTTTGAGTATATTCATCATTGAAAAATTTAACTTTTTTGTTAATAATCATGACAATGCTTGGTGGACTTGTAACCCCTACTCTGTTTGATAATGCTCGGTCCAACTCAAAATTAAAAGTTCCGATACCGAAATCTGTAAAAAAAACGCTTAATTGGTAGCAAAATATTTTTACAAATATGTAACTTTAGCCACTACAATTGAAAAATATATTACCTATATCCTCTAAATCTGTAACAAACTTTTCCCATACTGCATCAACTTTCATGCATTGTAAACACGAATTTGAATAGGCAAATAGTACATATGGTTTTTTGGATGTCTCGGGTAAAATTATATTTGTATATTTCCTGCAAAACTTAGAGAGTAAATACATGAAAAAGAATAATATTATCAATATCACCTAAAAGTGACTAGATATCTTTCATCCTCATCTCTATCAAACGTAAACCGAAAATCTCCAAACATGGATCCGCCAAAGAAGTCTCGGAAAGGGTAAAAAAATTCATTATCCCCTCTATGATTTTGATGGCCAGTGCTTGATGCTGTTTTACCAAAATTATCATACTGTCGACGTTTTTCGTCATCTATAAGAGTCTGTTCAAAGAAAATGAGCTTAGAGCGACATCTATAATCAATATATTGACAAAATATTATTGAAACGAGCAATATTACTTTCTCGTAGGAAATTTAAACTTCCTAAATGTCTAATCTAATTTTATTTTCTCTTATAGGCTGTATGTTTAATATAATTAATATTGGAGAAACATTTCATCGAGCATGTTACTTTCCAAACTGGGCTTATGAAAGAACTGGAGGATATGATTTTAAACCAGAAGATATAAAAGTGCAGTTATGTTCACAAATCATTTTTGCTTTTGCAGTATTTGATGGAGAGATGCAAATTCAACCAGTAGATAATAACGATATAAAATTGTAAGATGTAAATTCACTAATTATTTCATTGAAGTTATGTTTTTATTTAAGATTATGTCTGATATAGTAAATGTATCAGGAAGTAAAATTTATTCAAATGACTAATACAATTTAGAATAAATATATATATATATATATATATATGATTTTGTAATTTTAGTTATCGACAATTAAAGGCAGTTATCAACGAGAATAATCCTACTGCTGACTTATTACTAGCTATCGGAGGAGCAACATTTAGCGCCGAAAACTTTTCAAATATGACTAAAAGCTCACAGCTTAGGTATACATTTGCAAAAAACCTCGTAGCTTATGCAAGAAAATACTATTTCGATGGAATAGATATTGACTGGGAATTTCCCCAGGAAGGCGAAAAAGACAATTTTACGGGTTTGCTCGAGGTCCGTCTTGACAGTTAAATTTTAAATATTCTAACGTTTTACATTTGATTTTAAGGACTTACGACAAGAGATTGATAAGGAATATGGAAAGAGTTTTGATATTGTAAATGGTAATTTAAAAAAGAAGCTTATTCTGTCAGCAGCTGTAACTCCAAGTCCTTATAATGTAAAATATCATAAGGATATTTTTTTCAAATATCCCCTGGATTCATACGATATATCAGCCTTATTTAGGTAAGAAAACTAAATAATTTATTATTAAATTAATATATTTAATTTTTAGATTACTGGATCAAATTCATCTGATGACATATGATTTAAATCATCATGAATTTATTTCACACCATAGCCGAATTAATACCACGGAGAAAGACTCAAGCGTAACACGGCAGTTTGCAATAGTAAGATTATCTCAGCTTGAACAAATGAAACTGAAAATAAATTTTGCAGGAACTTCTATTAAATGAATGGCTCAAGTATGGCAACGCATCCAAAATTTTCCTTGGTTTACCATATTATGCACGTACTTATACTGTAAAAATCCCTAGTATTAAATCCTTAGATGATCCAAACTTAAATGTTAAAATTGCTGACATTTTCGGAAAAAATATGAGGTTGAATTTATATTGAATTATATATTTTTCCAACTTTCTTTAATCGATTAAATTCAGCTCAGGAAGAGGCAATCCTGGTTTAATAACAAAAGAACAAGGAATTCTTGCCTATTATGAGGTTAGTATCATTTTTAATAGAATATGTGAATTCAAAAAAAAGTTTTACAGATTTGCGAACTATTGAAGACAAAATCGGATTCTCAACAAAAAATAAGCGAACCATACTTATACGAAAATCTAAACGTTCCCTTCTTTACTATTTCAAGGATAAAAAAAAATGAAGGATTAAATTTACAATGGATAGGATATGATGATCCTGAAAGCTTGGCATTTAAAGTAAATTTTGCAAAAAGTAAAGGTTTAGGTGGCGTAATGATATGGGCAATTGACATGGACGATTTTAATGGTAAGTCTTGTGGTAAACTTTATCCGTTGAGTAGATCAGTATATGACGCTGCAACGGGAAAGAATGCATCGGAATTCCTCCCCAATTTTCACCCAGCAGCAAAGTAAGTGTTTCAAAAAAGAAAAATTTACAAATTGACTTTTAACCTTTCTTACAGTTCCATGATTGACCAAGCCAATAAAGTCCTAATCAGTTTTATATTTGGAATATGGTTTCTAACATCATAGTATTGCTTCTTTTTAGTTAAATAAAATGATTCGTATTGATACAAACCTCATATGCCTCATTTATTTTCATAAACTTTTCGTTTGCATCGGGATCCCTATTCTTGTCAGGATGCCTTTATAAAAATAAAACTGTAGACAAAAATTTTTCCATTATTGCAAATTAAAACACATACCATGTTCTTGCCAATTTCTTATAGGACCTCTTAATTTCTGCATTATTGGCTGATTTTGACACACCAAGAATCTTATATAAATCCTCACCCACACAAAACTCAAAAGATGATAAAAACACGCACAAAATAACGATTGTTAAATAACTTAAGCTTTTCATGTGCTTTTTTAATTGATTCAACAACCAGCCCTTAATTTGGAGAATCTTTAGTGAAGAACGTCGTGTTGATTAGGACCTAAGGCAAAATATTACTCTATAACCATTTTACTTTGAAAAACTGACTATTGACAAAATATTATTTATAAAACATGTTTTATAAATAGAAACATATAGTTACAATTATTCTATTATTTTTTAAAAATACGAAAAAGCGCAAGGAAAATAAATTTCAGTTTGAAATATTGTAAAAAATTTTTTTTTGAAGTAACAGGTACATATAATCTCACTGTAAAATTTTTTGTCACATTTCCTGGAATTTTTAACACACGTGAAAAATTATTCTTGGTAAAAAATTACACAACGATCATCTAATATTGATGCAAATTGGAATATTTCATGTTAGTATAAATATATATCAAGTAATAGCTGTTCCAGTGGAGATGCTTTTTATATTTAAATGAATAAAATTTGTTTTTTTATCGAATCATCAAAAAATGCAAATATATTTTTAAAATAATCATATATTCTAAGAAATTGATGATTTTAAAAAAAAATTACACACATATTATACATGCGTTTCTCGCTTTTCACAACAGTTTTCCAAATACGAAAATAACACGACCGGAAATTACAATTTGTTGTGTTCGTAAATAACATTAATTCTGTTTAAATCAGTTTTGCTAAAATAAAATGAGCAAAGAATGGCTCGAATTAGAAAGTGATCCTGGTTGGTATAGTTTAACGTAAAATTTATATGATAGAAGTAGAAAATATTAATGAAATTTTATTTCAATTTTTCAATAATTTTAATGTTTAGATCATTAAATTTTGATTAATTAAAAATATATTATAGGATTATTCACTTTGATGGTACAAGAATTTGGTAAGTAGAATGATATATTATTTTAACAATTTAACTTTTACTATTTTATAACTCTGCAATTTGTTCAAATAGGTGTTTCTGGTATTGAGGTAGAGGAAATTTATGATCTGCAAAAGACGTTTGACGGGTAAAGCCTTTTCAAATTTTTCAAGTTTTTTACACATGTTTATTTCTTTATTTTTTATAAAGACCAGCCTATGGATTCATTTTTCTATTTAAATGGATTGAAGAAAGAAAATGTCGTCGTAAGGATGAGGATCAGTTTGTGTTTAATGAAGAAATGGTAAACAATATGTTTTTTGCTCAACAAGTAACTATTTTATCTAATTTAATAACAACATTTATTATTTTTGACATTTCACTTACAGCATATTCCGAATTCATGTGCTACTCATGCTCTGTTAAGTGTGCTACTTAACTGTGACCGTACCAACGTTAAATTAGGAATGCATTTAGAAAGACTCCTAGACTTCACTAAAGGAATGACACCAGATGAAAAGGGATACTCAATCGGAAATATGCCTCAATTAGCTAAAGTTCATAATAGTCATGCTAGACGAGAACCACCACGATTAAATGATAAGCAGGCCATGCAAGTAGCAAGTGGAAAAAGTGCAGAAGCTTTCCATTTTGTGAGTTACGTGCCCATTAATGGTAGATTGTATGAATTAGATGGGTTAAAGCCAGCTCCAATTGATCATGGTCGTTGGGATAATAAAGAAGAATGGACTGAAAAATTTCAGCGTGTTATTAAAGAACGATTGGGAATGACGAGATCATCAGCCAATGGAAACTCTGAACCATATAAAGATATTCGCTTCAACCTTATGGCAGTAGTTCCAGATAAATGTCAACAACTGAAACGACGTATACAAAAGTTAAGAATGAATAAACGTATAGTTTTAGAGGCATTAGAAAAAAAAGTTCGTCAGAGATCGTCACAGTCTCCATCCCCTGTGACTGGAAGAACAAGACATAGACAAAAGCAAGCTGCAGCTGAAAGGCAAGCTGAAGATGCAGCTATAGCTGCAGCCCTAAATGATTCTCATACAAGCATATCACCAAACACTAGTGGTAGTACTGAAACAGCATCTGAAGCCTCTTCAACCTTCAATTCACCAATTAGGCCTTCAACACCTCATTCAATTAGAAAGCATTTATGTGAAGATGAGTGCATGCAGAATCTGCTCAATTCGCATGGAAATCACAACAGTCAAACTCCTCCATCAGCAAGTTTCAAAGCAACACCAAAAGAATTACTTGGGTTACTAAGCCGCCTGGAAAGTGAAATTACGCAAGCTGAAGATGCACTAGTTGATCACACAGAAAGAATTCGAAAATATGAAATTGATGACAACAGGAGAAGGCACAATTATGATCGTTTCTTGTCTTCATTTTTATCGTTACTGGCAGAAGAGGGCCATTTGGCTCGCCTTATACGCCAGGCCACGACTAACTCTTCAGGAACTCAACGTAGAAATTTAAAAAAGACTCAAAAGCGTCCCGTATCGAAGAATACAGGTGCATCGAAGAGAAGAAAGAAGAAAAAAATCTAACAATAAGTATCTATGTATATAACATGACTCAATTTATTATAACAAGTAAACAAAGAAACGTTTAAAGTTACATGTTATCTCTATTAGCTAATCTACTTTTGTAAAAAAAATTCTCTTGACGAGAAAGCCTTATGATTAGATAATCCAATCTGTAACTTTAAAAGATACGGAATTTTTGGCTTAAATCTTGAGATATAATAAATATACCTTAAGTGAACTATGTTCCAAAGACCTACACTCTTGGGGATGAGGCGTCATTGATAAATTATGATAACAATGCCTAATATTTTTTGATAATTAAAGGAAAATGATATTTTTTTTGCAATGTTTTCGTCGCATGTAAAAGACTTAATGAATCTATCTAATTTAGCCAATTAATTAATGAAAGGATAACCTAGTTTCTTAGTAACAAGAAAAATATTTGACAAATATTTTCCTATTAGTATTCAATGTAGCTATATCTACTTAACAGAAAGCTGTCGTTGAGGTCTAAAGCTTACATTATTTGTATATTAGGCCATATACTTTGAGCACAGAGTACAAAAATTAATTCTTTCAAAAGTTCCAATAAATCTTTTAAATATCGCAAGTTTTTGTGTTCTGTCTATTATCAAGTCAAAAGCTACTTGTCCTAGTTTTTATACTGTTGACGGGAAACCTAACTAGTTAGGCACCAATTCCATACTCTTGTGTCCAACACTAAATGCATTGAGTATTGTGAATAATTCTCACAAGCCGCTGCAAATGAAGTAAGTATCTAAGTTCTGCATTGGAAAAATAATCTATTAGTCAGAAAATATTGTAATTATTGTGAATATTAGTGCTGCATTTGAGTAAAAATAAAAGATATGAATAGATCAACTAGCGGAAAGAAATTGCATTTTAAGCGTTGGGTTCCAAACTCGAACGTGCCAGTAAGGGCTCTTGTATTTTTCTGTCATGGTTGGTCAGAGCATTCTGATTGGTATGACGGGTTAGGCGATGTATTATCGTCCGAGGGTTTTTTATGTGCTTCGCATGACTGCATCGGTTAGTATCCTTTACAAACTAGTAGTTACGGCTAAGGATTTTTAATAAGCAACCACCTCCACAGGACACGGTTTGAGCGAGGGAGCTAGGGGTTATGTAGAGAACATTCAAGTTTTAATTAATGATGTTATAGCGCATTGCAACCTTTTACGATCCGAATTTGGGGATGACAAAAAAATTTTTCTCTTTGGGCACTCAATGGGAGGTCTAATTTCAGCAATGATCGGAATTGAAAAGCCTGAAATTTTTGCTGGTATCATATTATCGGCACCGTACTTGAACGTTGGAACAGTTTCCTCGGTCACTGTGTTTTTGGGAAAGATTGCGGCTTTCCTCCTTCCGAGAATGAAAATTTTACCGAGAATGCATCCTGACCAATCCTATAGAGATCCTGAAGCAGTAAAACGAGTTTTGCAAGATAAATTGTACTATAACGGCGGCATACACGCTCAGACTGCGGCTCAATTTTTACTTTTTACTAGCATTGTTAAAGATAGGAGGTCGGAATTCAGACTGCCCGTTCTATGTCTTCATGGACAAAAAGACGTAGTTATTGCACCTGAATCATCTAAAGAATTTTTAGAAAATTGTCAATCGACCGATAAGAAGTTTGTGGAATACGAGAAGTCTTTCCACAATCTGATAAATGAGCCTAACGATTCAAGAGAATTGATCATAGGCGAAGTTAAAAACTGGCTAATAAATAGAGTTTAACCCAACATTTTAATAAAGATAACATCTGAATTTCAATGCGATAATACTAAAATTTTCGTAATATATTTGCGTTAGGCCTGATATCCAATACGGTTTCGGCCTTGCGGCTTTCTTATAGCATGAATTGTCATATTTTAGTGGTGAAATGAGAAAAGAGGAGTTGTTACTGAGAGTTGTAAATAGAAATATATTTAATACCTGCTCTAACTTTTGGATTTCTCTATTCACTTTTAAGCGATGCTGTAGTAGTAGCGAATCAAAACATTGACTTAGCTATCTACTATATATGTATATAATAAACTATCACAATTGTTAGGATTAAATATGACCTGTTATATCTAATGTTTGAGTTGCACTAAATAGATAAAGGTAAAAATCTTTAAAAGTTTATTTAATGTAGTAGTCAACGCTTATTTCCTTATGTTGGTAAATGTTTTTGAGTGTTTTTCAAGTTATTAGTTTATTTATTTTAACGCAGGAAATCAGTTAAGGTTCAAGAGGGTATGGAAGTGTCGACTAACGGCAGCAAACTCTTTACGAGAGAATGGATGCCCGAACCTTCAAGTGATATCCGAGCAATAATCTTCATATGTCACGGCTTTGCTGAACATAGTGCTTGGTACGAAGAACTAGGTACGATTCTCGCTACAGATAGTTTTCTTTGTTCAGCACATGACCATTTTGGGCATGGTAAAAGTGATGGAAAGAAAGGACATGTCAGTGACCTACAAATTTTGGTAGATGATGTTATTAGACATTGCCGAGCTCTAAAAGAGAAACATCAAAAGAAGCTATTTGTATTGGGCCACTCAATGGGAGGCCTTTTAGCTATATTAGCGGCCTTAGATCAGCCTCAACTATTTGACGGCCTCATTTTAATTGCACCTTTTTTAAGACCTATCAATGTTCCTACGATTAAAGTCGTCCTAGGCAGAATGGTTTCATACTTAATGCCTAATATGATTGTTCTGCCAGCTTTGGACGCAAAACTCATTTCTAGAGATGAAGTAGTAGTTGAGCAATACCGCCAGGACGAATTGAACTACCACGGTGGTATAACTGCTAAAACAGGACAACAATTTCTTTATTATCTTGAAATAGTGGAAAGAAGTATTGATCAACTAAAAACACCAGTTCTCTGTTTACATAGTAAGGGAGATGAAGTTGTACCTGTTGAATCAGCCAGACTAATAAAAGAAAAAGCTACAAAATGCGAAGATAAGAGGATTGTCGAGTTTGAGACAGGCTTTCATCAACTGCATCATGAACTTCCTGAGATTAAAAGTCAAGTTTTTAGCGAGATTGCCTCTTGGCTAAATAGTCGGACTTGATTATAATTTTAAATTTTGGTTTTACTTACTAGATTTTAACAGATTAATTTTAGATAATAAACATTTACATTATTTTACTCAGTTTGCCATTCTTTAAAGAAGTCATTTCCTTTGTTGTCAACAACTATAAAAGCAGGAAAGTCTTCAACTTCACATTTCCAGACAGCTTCCATGCCAAGTTCTGGATATTCTAGTACCTCGACCTTTTTAATATTATTTTGGGCTAGAATGGCAGCGGGTCCCCCGATAGAGCCTAAATAGAATCCTCCAAATTCCTGGCACGCTTTTGTGACTTGCTTACTTCTATTCCCTTTTGCTAGCATTACCATACTTCCTCCTGCTTTTTGAAATTGTCCAACATATGAGTCCATACGTCCTGCGGTGGTTGGACCAAAAGATCCACTAGCATATCCTGCAGGTGTTTTTGCTGGACCAGCGTAGTAGACTGGATGATTTTTTATATATTCTGGTAAACCGTCGCCGTTGTCTAACCGTTCCTGTAATTTTGCGTGTGCAATATCTCGAGCAACAACAAGAGTACCACTTAGACTTAAGCGGGTTTTGATGGGATATTTGCTTAGTTCAGTCAGTATTTCTTTCATGGGCTTATTTAAATTGATTTTAACAACATCACCCCCCAACTGTGTAGGTTCTACTTCAGGAAGATATTTCGCTGGATTGGTTTCAAGCTGTTCCAGGAATATTCCATCTTCATTTATTTTACCCAAAATTTGTCTGTCGGCAGAGCATGAGACACCTATCCCTACAGGACAAGAGGCTCCATGTCTTGGCAATCTAATTACACGCACGTCGTGGCAGAAATATTTTCCGCCGAACTGAGCACCAATTCCGGTACTTCTACAAATTTGTAATATTTCTTCTTCTAGTTTGTGGTCTCGGAAGGCTCGTCCATGCTCATTTCCTTCAGAATGGAGACCGTCCAGATATCGACATGATCCCAATTTGACTGTTTTTAAGTTCAATTCAGCTGACGTTCCTCCAATAACAATAGATAGATGGTAGGGTGGACAGGCGGCTGTTCCTAATGTCTTCACTTTTTCGTCAACAAACTTTAAAAGTTTTTCTGGGTTCAAAAGTGCTTTTGTTTGTTGATAAAGAAAAGTTTTATTTGCTGAGCCACCACCTTTTGCTATGAAAAGGAAATTATATTCATTCCCTTGTGTAGCGTATAATTCTATTTGTGCTGGTAAGTTTGTTCCGGTGTTGACTTCCTTATACATATCCAAAGGAGCTACTTGAGAGTAGCGCAGGTTTTTAGAGGTGTACGTATTGTAGACTCCTTTCGAAATTGCTTCTTCGTCCTTTCCTTCAGTCCAGACATATTGACCCTTTTTACCTGTAACAAAAAATTGAGATTTTTTCTTATATACGTGAAATTTTACCAACCCATGCAAATAGCAGTTCCCGTGTCTTGACAGCCTGGTAAGATCATACCAGATGCAATGTTAGCATTTTTTAACAGTTCTAATGCAACAAATTTGTCATTATTTGAAGCTTCTGGATCCTTTAGAATGTTTGATAATTGATTTAAATGTCCAGGACGAAGAAGATGGGCAATGTCGATAAAAGCTTGCTCAGAGAGACGGGTTAGGGCTTTCGGCGAAACTTTTAAAATTTTTTGACCATGCAATTCTTGCACTGTTACACCATCAGCTGTGAATTCGCAAATAATTAGTGGTTGTTAAATGACTACTACCTGAAACTCACATCCTAAGCTTTTCCATGGAGTATCAACCGGTTTTTCAATAGCAAAGAGATCTTGGTAGGTAAAAGCTTTCAATGATGAAAGTCTTGCTTGCAGAAGAATTGGGTTTTGGAAAGATCGTACCAAATTGTTACCTAATTTTCTAGCCGAGAGCATTATGCCTGAGAAACAAACAATTTTGTTGTAATCATAATGTGGCCAAACACCAAATTATATTTTTTAAAGATAGATTGGCGGAGAAAGCAATTTTCAACTCTTACCGAAAGCCTTTCTTTCAATTATTAAATTTGACCTCTAGTTTACCAGTTTATTTTCCCGAGGTCATTGATAGTCCTCCGGAACCGGAAGAATACTTATAAAATTATTAGTTTCAGCAGCAAAATAGATATAATTACAAAATATTTATTATATACATGCTTATGTCATATATGCATTAAATATTTTTTACTCTACATTATTTCTGACATTGTCTAATTATTTCTTAGTACCTTCCTTAGTAAAAATTTTGCTGTTTTAGTGATGGATTCGTTTGTATTTCATTGGCTCCAAGAATTATTTGAAATAGATTGGGCTCTGTCTCTTCAATGCTTTCTTGTCTATAGTTTCTAAAATTTTTACTATAAGAGAATTTAGAATTCTTTAAGGCCAACTCTGTCAAAAAGAATTTTTTCCCAAGTAATCGAGCTTCCCCTCTTCTACGCAAAGCAGATTGTTTCTTCTCCTTGAAATTATTCCAATTAGTCTTAACGATTACTCGTAACTATTAAAGGATTTTGTTTAGATTACAATTCTGATGAATTATATGCGTTGGCAATACTGATGATAGGAAACAGCATTTTAGATAATAGCAAATCAAGAAATTAGTTCTCTAATAGAATATGTAATCTGTCAAAATCCTTGTTGAAAATTTCTAATAAACAAAAACTCTTAATTAGTTTAAAAATAAATGACTTTATTAACAGCATCATTGTTATAATACTAGAATCAACGGGTAAAGGAACGTAATCAGCAATGTTGATACCAAAGCAAGTGAAATGTCTGATCTTTTCATAATTCTTACAATACGCGTAGCAAAATGGTATGAAGAGTACATAAGTCATTACTGAGGAAATTAAAACAATTTTTATGATGTCGAAATGTTCCTGTATAATATCATTTTCCTTCACTAATAGATTTGGAACATTTGGGAGAGTATGCATAATTTTGATTTTTAAATTTTATACTATGTCAAATGTATATGTTGTATTATTGGAATATATTGTAATATATATATAATATGACAAATAGAAGATATAATTTGAATTACTGATGCGTCACAAGCTTCCAATAATATTATTAACCATAATAGTATTTGTATTGTATCTTGCTTAGTAAATTTTGTCTGTTATTAATACAACAAAGGGGAAAAAAACGTAGAGGGGGTAAATGTATGTTTCTCCTCTACTTGATATCGAAATCTAATGGAAATTAAATAAAAATAACACCTGTAATTTAAATGGGAGTTTTTATTATCTAATCAGAATTCACACACACCCACTAATCTTTGTATATAATTTATTTAACAGATCACTTAAACATTTGAACCATTATTGATTCCTAGACATTTAAAAGTTTGAAAAATTCTATTCTGAGAAAATTTCAGACAGGTATAAACGATATATTTATGTGCTGAAGGCAAATTACAATAATTAAAATTTAAGTTATTCCTTTTAATTCTAATTCTTTTATTTTTATTCCACGTAGCTTCGTTAATGAGAAATTAAGAAATCAAACACTGAATGATAATAAAAAGAATTAAAAAGGAATTATGGTTTAGCAACGGTAAAGGATAAAGCTTATAAATGGTGTAGACTTTTTGGAAGACATAAAATTTTTTAACTATGGCTGGTGTATTGTAAATGCCTGTGGTTTCATATTCAACCTATATACGGTAAATATAGTGTATAAAGCATAATACATGTTTTTTCTAAAACCTATATTTCTTATAAAGGGGAGAGTGACAGCAAAATTGAAATAGGCATAATCATACATGGTACCTCTTAAGAATTAATAAAAAATATGATATTGAATTGACTGCTGGTAATTAGTTTTTATTATAAGCTATTTATTAACATAAATGTGATAATGCAATTGTAAAACAACAAAAGGTCTTTTTGGGTGAGCTGGCTTCGGTTGGAGCTTTCTATAAGTAGAGGCAATGCAGCAAATTTACGTTAACTTATTGATTAACTGTTGTGAGTGATCTAATCTTGGTTCTGTTCCATAATTCAGGCAATCTGATATATTTCAACACCTTATGTTCATGTGTATTGGTATATGTCACGACTCGCTTCTGTACGAGTCGCGACTTTCCCTTGGGTGTCTTGCGAGCGCTCTGTCCACACATCACTTGCAAGAAACGAAGGAGATAAGCAGAGTAATACCTCCGAAGTATGGCTATTTAATAAGGAAAATATTTAACGCCAATTTATACTTGATACATAGACAATTCTTAGTTTTGATTTTAATTGGGAGTCAATTACAACAAGTATAGTTAGAGAAGGAGGTAGGACTTTAGTGACCGCAAACAAACCTCCTTATACAAAGCGGCTATGAACTTGGTTTGACAGAAATAGACATGAGTAAGGGTTGGATTTTAAAAGATCGATACTTTTCTGACTTATCAAGATCCCAATCCTATTCCCGTCCACTATGTATCAATCTGTACAAATGTTCTTGTAAAAGAAGATGGAAAATGGCTGATAAAATAGAGGAGTATAAATTATGCTTTTACTGTTGCGATTGAGACAAATGAATCTACAAAACTATATCCTACCCTTTGGCTTTTGTTCATCTCAATTATAGACGTTGGCTTGCTCTTTTAAAGTGTATATTTGGGCTTTAAACTATTTGTTATCTAAGTTGGTATTTAATATAATTTATCTACATTATATCTATTTTCATTAATTTATGCTTGAACAAGTTTCTCCTCATTGAACGCACATAATTCTTTAGGTACAAGTGGAAGGAGAAAAAAATTATGGAATAATTATTGGCAATTATAAGAGTAAAACTCTGATATATTTCTTAATTATAGTTGGGGAAATGTTGCCGAGGACAAATCAGCTGTTTAATTTGAAACAATTCTAGGTTAAATATTGGATTTTATCTATTTTTTTTGAATGTATTAACTAGAGGTTTAGAGGATTTCCAAAGATAATGATGAGCTTGGCTCCTTTTCTTCAAGAAGGCGAATCACTATATCGATCGATTACCAAAATAATAACAGCAATCTATTTAGTAATTCATAAACGAAATCTGTGAGAGAGATGACCTTAGAAATATATGCAACCGGAAATTCTACCAGTCGTGTTCCAGGTGATGGCGTTTCAGGCGTTTTGGATTATAGAAGAGGATAAAGGATGTGACTTTTTGTTCACAACTGGCGGAGATAATAACTAAGAGGAATGATCCTTATAGTATTATTCTTAATTGTAATCAAGATCAAAAATTTTCTGTAAAAGCTTGCCGTGGTACAAACTTTGTAGTAGCTGCTTCACAAGACGGTAGAAACGATAAGACTGAGTTACGAATGAGAATTCAAAGTAACATTGAAAGTAGCGTCAGGCTATTAGAGCTTTAAGGTGAGATTATCTCTAAAACGACAGAAAGTTATTATTGTGATAGACTTAGGCAGTTGTACATTGTAAGTTAAAGTAGTAAATTTTTATTACATTTTGAAGAGAGCTGGCAAGGGATGACTAAATCGTTTCTTAGCCAAAAATTGAAGCAATTTCATATAAGGCATAGCATTATTCTTGGTAATCCTGATAACAAAGAGCAAAAATGGAGAATTCATACAAATCAAGGTAGTGCAAAGATTATGTTTACTATAGTTATATATAAGGTTTACCCCGCTATATTGCGGGTCAATCAGCTGTCACAAATTCCTTTACTGAAGCTGACTGTGTAAAAACAGGGTTATCCGTCAAACTTAAAACCAAAATATCTTTTAGCATTCAAATTAATTCTTTAGCTTGGATAATAGATCAATAGAGTCACAGCTGAAGATTATTAAATATCCTAGGAATTGAAAATGATACAGAATAGAGGGGATCTAACTTTTAGAAATGTTCTATCTGATATTCTTAGATGCAATGTATCTCACATGAGCTTTAATCTGTTCCATTTTTAAATTGTTTACAGACATTCCTTATCTAGGAATTTTGGCTCCCCTTACAACAATTTTTATGAGAAAAGAATTAGATGCTGATCTTATTTCGTTTATTTCTTGTAAAGATCTTAATTCCCTTGAGGACATTAATCTAGTTAGTTTTTTCACTTGGAACACTAATGATCTTTTTTATTTAGAAATTTGATTAAATTAAATTTTCCCACTGCTTATCAGCTAGTGCACTCGACGTTTTTAAGTCTGAACGTGCCTATCCTATTTTATAGTACAAATCTGATAAATCATCTCAGACTTCGAATAAAAAGTAGACAGCAATAGTAGTTTCCATTACTCTCCGAATTCTTTCAATACTTGGTATCAATTTAGTATTTCAAGAATGAGACGAAAAAATTAAGGTAATTTTTTAAAAGGATGACCCCAAGGTTATCCTGATTGTATTTTATGATTGTATATATTTCTTTTTAAAGAGGTTAAGATACCTATAAAAGACTCGTATCTCAAAGCATAAGAACTTATATTGTAAAAAATGTTATAATATTTTATATATTGAAACAGAAAAGGTATGCCTGATGCAAAATACTCTAAAATAATCATACTGATAGCTTCCAATCAATTATTTTGTAAATCAAAGATTGTAATATGATCTCGTTATAATTAATTGGTTGCCATGTAAATGTATAAAATAAATCGATGATATAACATCAATATTTACTAAAATGAATGTCAAATGTTTTCTCTTCTCCACCACCAACTACTTGTGGTTTTGATTTTTCGAGATTCAGGGTCAGGCGTTTTCCATCTGTTAGGTTTTGGGGTGTGAACTTTTGCAATGGAAGGTAGAGGAAGGCTATTTAAACGTTTAGATTTTCTCTTTGTTGACTTATTGATCGACTGACCTTCTTTTGTTCGGACCCTCGAAGCTGTCTCTGCCCTTCTTGAAGTTTTCCAAAAAGAGCTTTCTTCAAAATAGCTACCGAAAGCAAATGTTTTAGGCCTTTGCGGCATAGAAATAGTTGAACGAAAGTGCTCATAAATTAAACGCTTATTCGTATTCGATTCCGTCTGCAGTTTAGAGGCCTTTGTCATTCTTATAGAGCTAATGTGACTTAAATTAGATTTTGAACGGAGGGGAAGTAATTTGCCATTGCTGGTAGAAATGGAAGAGTTCGTATGGTCACTTTCGTTTGATTTCAAACGATTCTCTTTAAGGTCAAATTGACTACCAGCCTCTGACTGTTCCGAATCCTCATTTTCTTCTTCGCTCTTGCTTACTTCATCATCTTTATCTTCTCCTGAAAGAAAAACACGTTACAAGTCGATATAAAATGAAAAAAAAATTAAATTCAAACCTTCTGTTTCCTCAATGTCCTCTAAATCTGTTGAAATATCAGAATTTGAGTCAACACTAGAGTCACTTGAATGAACATCCTCTGGATCGACTCCCGATCTTTCTCTTCTTTCTCTACGTCGCCTCCGTCTTTTTTCCCTGTGGAATTAATTACATATTCTATTTAATAGGCTGATAATTTGTTTAAAAATCTCTGACTCTTTCCGCCTTGCTTTTTCTTTTTCTTCGGGAGTTTTTTTCAATCTTAATTCCCTACTAGGGGGTTTTTCCCATGGCCATAGTGAGTTATTCAAACTATCTATTAGATAAACAATATCTGTTAAGCCAACGTCATAGGCCATTTGACGACACGAATCTTCGTAAACATTAGCTACATCATCATCATCGATTTCCTTCAAGATTAAATTGTTTATTGCTTAATTACAGATAAATATGCTAGGTGAATTTTTACTATTCGGGAAGTTTTAAAGTTGTAATCGATTCCATTATCAATGAGAAATTCACACATTTCCAACTGACTTTCTCGTATTGCAGCCATTAGAAGATTTTCCTGATACTAACGGGAGAAGGTAAAGTATTTCAGATACTTTAAATAAGATAATATTTGACTCTTGAGATCAACTAAGTACCTCTTCATGTCATTTTTTAAAATACCGTATGAATTATTGAAGGGTTGTTAAAGGAGAGTATTTAAAGTGTATGTTATTCAAATTTCTTTGGAAAAGAAGGAAAGAATATTCAAGCTAATTTCTAAAAGAAAACCAAATAAATGACTATAAATTGTATACTCTGGATTATCCAGTCAATATTTTCTTGGTCCAGTTATTGATCTTGTTACATATTTTTGTGGATTTTAACATAATGAGATAATAATTTTATAAAATTATAGGGAAATAGTGCTATTCTATTTCGTTGCTACCGCCAACAATTGCTATTCAAACGATTCTAGCTAAAGATAGATAGCAGGGATTTCAGTTCGTTGATTGATTGTAAATTTCAAAGTTTAAATACAATGACTTAATTCGCCAATCTAAAATGATTCTTACTGAAACTTTGGTTTGAAAGAGCCTAGACTTAGGATAGTACAAGCAGTAAATAAGACTCACCCAAACGACGTTAATATCGGCTTCTGGCGCATCAAGAAGATCGTCTATCTCGTTTATATTTCCACATCTTGCCGCTTGAAATAAGGCCTATTGAAATATCACATCGAAATAAATATCGGTTCAAAATTATTCTCCACTCACTTTAGTATTATTAGTTAATTCCTCCTCGTCGTCTTGTGATAAATTTGTTTGTGAATCAATTGGTGATATATCCCTTTCCAGCTAAATATCAATGAGTTATAGTGCTCAAGTATATCTTGTGAAATTAAACATCTGCTCTTACTCACATAAGTCTCTTTTTCGTCGTTTTGAATATTTTGGCTACACGGTCTTGAAGAGAACTGCACTCGTCTATCCATGACGTCTAAGTGTAGTGTCAAACTTTCACAAAATCAATTGCATTTGTATTGATTTTTCATTCAAATGTTTAAGTACGTATTTGATTGAGGTGCTAATGATTGATCAATAATCTGCCGATTTGGTGATATTTCGCAGATATCAGGACATTTAATGGAGTAATGTGTTTGAGACATAAAATAAAATTGTGTACGTAGTCAACGCTGTATTGACAACGTTATATTGACAAGAGTTATTCCCTTTCTTTCGTTCGATCGTATCCTCTGTATTCATTTATTCACGAATGATTTGGCTTATGGATGGTCCAGAACAGTAAAATTTTCTCATATTTACATGTATTTCATACTCTTACATGCTCTATATATATATATATATATATATAGTGTTCGTATATTGATATATGTATGTATACTATCTATGAAAAATATACTGCATATATATACGTTTTAATATGTATATAGAGATGGATGGAATATATATATATATATATATATATATATTGTATTTATAAATATAGACAATGACTAGAAGATAATCATAACTCGCGAAGACAAATAAACTTTGCAGTGAATACATCGTATTAGGGTCACAATTAGAAAACTTAAATGATACTGGATAAGCCATGAGTCACGACACCAATTTTGTTTTAGCAAAATAAAGAAGGCTAACAATAACACTCAAAACGCTAATTAGGTTCTAAGAAGTTAAATAATTAGGCATTTAGTTACTAATAAGCATATAAAATAACATTGATGTATATCATTTTAAAATACTGTTAGCTTACACATGAGTGCTATAATATATAAGCTGTACATTGACAAAATTTAAGAAATCAAGGACGAAAGTGACTGAAATTTTGTTCAAGATTCAATTAAATGACAATTTTTTTTGTACAATATTCCGACCCGACGAAATAAGCGAAACTTAACAAAACGTACTCGATTGATTATTAATAAATTACTTAAAAAAAGACTGAGATTCTTCTTTGGAATGAACATATTATCCAGCAAAATACATAATGCTTAAATTAGTTCTCTTAGAACGTCAGAGTGGAATCATCCCATTCCAGGTCTTTTCTGGGCTTGCGAAAATTTACGGCACAATCTTCTTGTACTTTGTTTCTGAGACAGGAGTTGTGATCATCGTCATCGTCATCGTCATCCGTAGAATCATCAGCATTATCGTCTCGGAAGTCGCTTAGCTCTTCTTCGGAAGAATCCGTTTCCATTGCGGTTCCACGAATAGTATCCAGGTCATAGGCAGCCGCCACCTGCATAAGGGCATAAATGAAAATTTTGAAATAATTCTATTTTTCAATTACTTGAGGAACGCTGGATTCTTCAAGGGGGTTAACTGTAATATTTAAAGCTGAGTTATCCCATTCCATTTCCGGCTTCTCTTCTTGTACTGATGATCGCGCGTGCGCATTTCTAATTCTAACTACACCAAGGACAATCATAAATATCAGAAATCCAATGCACACAACGACAATAACTATCATTCCTGAAAAAAGTGATGTCTTTAGTAAAAGAGTTAATTTATATGTCTCAATTTACCCATGCTAGGTGAATTTTCTCCTATGTAGTGTGTTTTCTGGTTTAGTTTCAGCTCGGAAAAGCGGACGTTCTCCGCTGATAATTGATTAGCTTTATAGTGATGAACGTCATTCTTTGCATCGGCTATTACGTCCTCGATTTGTTTCTTCTCATCATCGCTTGTAAATTCGGTCTTTTCTACTTTCTCATCCTCATTAATGGTGACAGTTATTTGGTGGAAATGAGATTTATATTTTCCATTCAACTCTGAACATCTAATATTAAACAATCTTCCACTTTTGGACAGGGATTCTGGCTTATCATCCTGGTAGACCATTTTTCGTAAAATTTCAGTATATTTTTCTGGGGTTTCTGTGCCATCTACAACAACACCTTGCCTAGTTTCGACTACTTTTAAGTTGAGTCTCTGAATTATGTCAGCAGGAAATCTAAAAATTAATAAGAGTTAGCAGATGGCGTTACTTAATCAAAAAATTAGGTAACCTTATTCTCTCATGCGATAAGTCTAAAGCTGTTTCAGCCTCGACGGTACAAGAATCGATTCGGTACAGATTTTTGGAAATGGCACCTCCCTTTGAAGAGGTTAGTAGAATTTGAGTTTCATCCAGAAATTTTATCCCAGCCTTTAGATTTTCAGTGATTGTTTCATATGCCACACTTCCGTAAACTCTTATTTCAGGTATAGTTGACTTTTCAACAACTATAACACCAACGTATTCGGGTAGAGTTTTCTCTCTTCCATCAGCACATCTACAAAATTCCAGTTGTTGAAATTCCAGTTCATATAGAGAAACATTTTATTCTACTTACTGTATAGCTGTATTCATGAAGAATGTTCTATGACCCGGAGACGGTAAGGTTCTTGGATTCATATACACAACTTTATGAGTTTGCTTTTCTACTGCCTTCACAGTATTGCCAGTAATAGTGATTTCGGTTCTATTGTTGTTAAATCCAACAGTCTGTTATTTTGAAAAATGTCTGATTTGTAGAGAAAGATTAAACAAGCTATTTGCCTACCATTCCCGTTGCAACATCGTTTAAATCCAAATCGAGTTGCTCGTGACAAGAGTTCATACAACGAATGATTTCTTCGTTCTCAGTTGATCCCTTTAGTATTGACATACCAGCCAAATAGCCTCTGAAGAATTGAGCTACTTCTCCTCTACCTGCTTGATAGCAGGCTCCAACAAGGAGTCTTGTAGATTTGATCTAGATAACAAGAAAATTAAATAGATCTGTAAATATACAGTATAATACAAGTTTCAACTAACCTTTTTCGTATAATGTAAGGGCCAATCATCTATAACTTCAGGATTGTCTGCTTCTGATACAAATAAAACGCCATCAACATATAACTGAACTTGAAGAGAGTCCACGCTAATGGCGTAATGATGCCACTTTCCATCACAAACTTGAGATAAAGTCCAGCGCCATTCAGCTGGTTTGTAAGTGTTTGCATTCTTACTACCAGCTTCTTCTCTTAAAAGCATAATAAGCTTACAGTTTCGTATGAAAACAGAGTAATGGTGGCGATTCATTGCTAGATTTAGTGATTTAATAAGATTAATAAGCGAAAAATGCTAATCAGTTTCTGTCATACCTTTAGCATCAGCACTACAAATGAGATGCTCTTTTCGGCCTTTTGAGGCCCATCTTTCGTGCTTCATCCATGTCATGAATGTAAAATGCATTGGTAAGGTATGATCGATTTTCGACGAGGGAATATCGTAGGATTTAGTTCCGTCAAAATAGAATTCATTATCCGTACCGTCTGCTGCGGTGGGATTTCCAGTTGTCCAAGATGATATAAGAGGTGTGGGGAGCATATCCTTCTCTTTTTCAGAGGCACCTTATAATAAACAACAAGCTATAATCGTCATAATAAAAAACACTGATTATTACCACAAAGTTTTCTCTGGGCATGAATCGAATAAGGATCCATATTACATACTTTCTCAGCTCGACTTGCTCCCAGGCGAATTTTAGCCACTGTTTTCTTTGACTCACATACATCATCGCAAGTAAATAGCAAAGCATCAGGTGCTAGAAATTTCTTTCCTTCTCCAGGTGTATAGTCGATTCTAGACGAAACATCTTTCCACCCCGGCTTACAAATTTGCTTGACTTGAACATTTATTTCAGCGGGCGTGCTTGTTCGAGGGTCATCCCGAGAACAATCAGTGGCAGTGACTCCGAAAATGTAATTATGAACTTTAGAGTAGTCCAGAGGTGCAGTGTTGTATAAAACACCTTCATTGGTCACTCCAAAGGGAACTCCACCGGTTATAATTTTAAAAGTACAAATATCTCCATTAGAAGAGTGATCTGTGTCGGTAGGCTTTAATTCGAGGACGTTATCAAAGATTTTTCCTTCCAGTACTTCTATATTATAAACGGTTTTAGGGAATTTTGGAGCTGCTTCGTTTAGATCTTTTATTTTAACAATAATCTTCTCCCTGTTGTTTGATAATAGTTATAATTAGAAAAAATAATACATTTCTATTTTTAAGTACATTTCTTTAACAGCCGCCTACAGCTTTCTGTTTTATATTATTGATTTTTCTTTCCTTCCCTATTTACTAACCTTGGACCGTGTAAATTCGCCGAGCAATCCTTTGCAGCCACTTCGAAAATATACTTATTTTTTCTTTCGAAATCAAGGGGCTCTGACACTTTGATATTAGCTTCTCCTGTCCATTCGTCTATAACTTCAACTTCGAAAGGTAATTGCTCATGAGGATGAAGCTGATAGCGATTGTACGAGCAATATCGTCCTGATGATTAATATAGCATAAAACAATCGACATTATACTTAGTCATTATCATATTTAATATTTAAATTTGTGAATGGCTTACCAGATCCAAAATTAGTATGAACTCTAATAGGTTTTTTGAAGTCCAATACAGTTCCGATAGGAGAATTTTCCGGTATAGTTACATGATGACGAGGCATTCGATGGGCTGAAAATAATGGTTAATAAATGTGACCACTATATGAAAATTACGCACACAAAAAACAGAAAATCGAACGAATGGAATAGTCGTTAATTGCAATTTTTGCCAAATATTTGAGCATAACCCAAATTTGGACTCTAGGAAATATATCAATCGATAAATAATTAAAATGACCACTAGAATAACGAAACAGTCAAGACATCCTCTTATTCATACAGTCGGTAATTTTACTAAATCATAAGTTATGGGACATAAACACAACTATTGTTCGTTTTTAACTCGTCTATATCATATATTTGCTAAAAACTGTCGTGTGCAAGGTGTATAAGTGTCTAGACTTAAAAAGATGATTCAGCGTCTATTAGACGCCACAGTCATTCACTAACCTATGGTCGAATGTAGACTTAATAGCAGATAAGTCTGAAGTAGAATTCCACAAACTAAAGATCGCATCATTCTGCAGATTTTTTGACGTCGTCACTTTTGAGACAGCAAATTTGAGATTAGATTCTACAATTTTAATGTCAGAACCACATTGGTTGCGGGCTTGTTTGCTATGTAAATTAACTTGGCTGTTGCTGTGGCTGTACTCACTCCCATCAAATTTTAGAAAAGGCTTTTCTACGATAAATTGCACCTGTTCTTTATGAAATTGTTCATATGCCACGAAAGACTAATAATTTACATTATCACACTGCCTTATAAAAACATAATAAATAAATATATATAGTGAAAACAAATAAATTCAGGGGGTAGATAAAAACACCGCAGTAATCGTTAAAATGATGTACCGCGTCCATACGATGGAAATCTTGAAATGCTAAAGGTGGGTTAATTGAAAATAGTGGTATTTTTATTAAATATTTGGAAATTAAGTTATCATTAGCTAATATTTCTTATAATAATAATAGATATTTTTACTCTAATAGGACAATGATTATAAATCTTACATAGAGATTACAACAAACTTTAAAAATAATATCTTTTTGCAATATGAGAAGACTGGTGTTTTTTTAAAACTATTATTTATTTATTTCAAATATTCTTATGTAAATTTGTGCTATAAAATTGGTTGTTAAATAAAATCAATGTTTTCTTAATATGTCAAAACCTGAAAAATTTTTCTCGACATATAATTGGAGATATCTTATTTAAGAATTACTGGTTCTACTTTCTTGTTAAGATAACATGCAATTTATTACCACTCCATCTGCTAAGCAAGCAGGAAATTACAGATGGTTTCGCTTCTCTTACGCTATACTTCCGTTAGTAAAAAATGAAAACATATAATTTGTTTATATGGCTTGTCTAGTCTTTTTATCCTGAATCTAATTAATAAATTTTCTTGAAAATACTGTGTAGTTTGACAGGCTTTGAGAAACGTTTACACATAATAAGGAAATTAAAAATACATATCGGTTAAAATATGAAGGGAAAGTTATTTACTACGACAAATTTATTTGAAACATCCACACTCACTCACGTCATATACATGCTGTAGAGTAAAAAATATTCAGCACGTACACGTAAAATACTTTAAATATATGCATATATAGTATACTTTATGTAAAAACAAGTTCGTTTTGCGGTTCGTTTAATCAAGCTAGCCCGAATCCTTCCGAGCATTCATGTATGGCCAAAAGTAGCATTTTTCGTAATTTGTCGTAAGTTTCATACGCTGGTAGATCAAGTTGATTAAAACTGAAAAATATTCATTGTCATATGTTTGAATACCATGTACAAATATTTCTTACCAGGTATGAGCACATGGCAATCTTTCTGTCGATCGATCATCTCGATGAACTTGAAATTTTTGTGTTCCATTCATTCCTTCCAAATGTGCAAAACCCTTTTTTGATTTAAAAAAATATGTGTAAATCATTGACATATTTATTTAAAAATGTAAATTTACCTGTAAGGGAACTTTTGAAGTTCCTGTGACGAATTGCAAAAATGCGGCACGGTCCGCTTGATCAAAAGATCTTAGAGCCCTCCAAAGCCATTGAATTTGCAAACTGGTAGCTTCGTATTTATGATATTCAGTGTTTGCTTTTAAATCGTCTATGTCGATATTTGGTAATCCAGAAATTAACAACTCCAGTTCTTGTTCGTTAAAGATAGAAATCAGTTTATATGGTATAATTTCGTAAAATCCTTTTAAATATTGCTCTAATTGATCTCTGATGGCAACAGTCATTTTCATCTGGCATACTTTATTAACATATTCATTCTTATTCTCTTCAGTTACTGGAATGTTTCTTCCATTCTCTATAAGATCACGGACGGTATTTACCCCGTATTCATTTACTTCAGTACTAAAAGTAAGCTCATAACCCAATTCACTAACGTGATGATTGAGTAGAAATTCCAGTCCTTGATAAAAGCTATAATCTTCGCTCTCCATATCGGTATATTTTACAGGTTTTCCCAATAAATGTTTATACAATGATCTAGTAAAATAGCAATCAAGGAGTTTATTGTCATAAATAGCCTTAGCAATCAAACGCCCAACAAATTTGAAGTAATCCAAGTGATTGGGATTGCCGTAAGACAAAGGATTAATATTGTATGTTACTCTATCAGCTGGGCTTATGGAAAAGAGAGCGTACATTGGATTAAATATGGCCTTGGAAATAATTTGATACCATTCTCTTAATAAACCACCGGCATCCTGTCCTTCTTCTCCTTCAAAAACTATATAGAATCTATTTTTCCACTCTTCTGCTCGTTTATTATTTAATTCCTTAAAAGAATCATCAAATACAGATGTTCTTTTAACATGGACGGCCAGATCTTCTCTACGAACGCCCTCATCTAAACGCTCAAGTTCTTGACGGAAATATTTACGTTTGACATCAAAATCCAATATTCTGGTATGATGGACAAGAACAGAAAACGGACCATCTGCTAAAGCAATTGAGGACTGGCGTAAAATTTGGTTTAGAACAGTGCGGTGGCGATCAGCAAACTGCAGGAATTTTTTTGTATCAGAATCCGCATTTTCTGGCAAATGGAATAGATTTGCAGAATTATCAGTTGTCTCCAAGCTGGCTCGGTCAGATCTTCTTCGATCTCGAATTGTTCCAGGTGTTTTCTCAGGTTCATCGCGATCTCTTGCACCTGCATGAACTAAAAAAAATGCTTCCACTGTTGATTGTAAAACAAGTACAGCATGCGGATCTGGTGCCATCGACAAACTAGTTAAACATTCACTAAGATTGATCCACAAATTATCTAGTTGAAGAGCATCGCTTAGTTTAACTGTTTCCACTGTGGTATCCATTGACGCTACATTTTCAGCAGTACTAACATCTTTATCTGAAGAAAATATAGTATTATTACTTGAAAACTAAAAATAGTATATTAGTATTATACCATTGGTATCTTCTGATTTTTTTTGTTCGCTTTCTTTTTTTTCTTTCTTTTTGTCAAGAGCTGTTTGTCGTAATTCAATTATGATTTTTAGTAGCCTGAGCAAATAGTGTTGAGATGATCCTTTGCATGTAAGATCAACCATCGAAGATAAATGTAATTCGCTATGTTGCTTAACGTTTGAAGGTGCATTCAATACAACATTATTTCCAGTGTCAAATCTATTTTCAATTTGCCCTTTAGTTGAATTGGTTCTTTGAACGGTTTCCTGTATATCTTCGTTGTCATCTTCGGTTTTTAAAGTGACATATTTTCCTAGTTCAGTTCTAAGTTTTCTGATAATCATGAGCAAATGATAGTTTTAGACTAAGAACGCACAGAAGTTAATTAGCAACTTACATAATCTGTTCGCACACAACAACACCTAATTGAGCAGCTCCAGAAAGAAGCAATTTGTCTATCTCTCTATTGATATCTGGATGCATGTTTGAAAGACGAATTAGAACACTAGAAGCATCCGATAAGCCGTCTTCGGAGCAGCATTTGGAGGTGACAACCTGAATGAAAAAAAGAATAGAGTTACAGCTTGTTAAGAAATTCTTTTATAAGAGTATACATCAATTAGCAGGGCCAATTGAGAAGGTATAGGTGCTTTTTCAGACTCCTCTTTCTTCTTTTGTAGAGTATTCGAGGCTGCTGTTTCACTATCAGCAGGTAATTGCTCATCAGTCTTGAACTCTTTTTCTTGTTTTAGTCCTGGTATAGCATTGGAGATAGTTGATAACAAATGAAGGAGTTTATCAGTCAATGATTGCGATCTTTTAAATATGGGTGTTGACAACATTTCCATTATTTTCGAAAAAGCACTATCACTAAGGGATGTATTTTCGAAGTCCGACAAGGTATTAGAGTCGGGTGTAATTGTTCGTTGTACATGCTTTCCTTTACCTTTTGCAGCACCACTATCTAGCTTAAGCAAACATTCCCAAATATCTAAAGATCTGTTTTGTTGAGGCATAACAGATGATCGTTGATTTAACTCGGGTAGGAATTGATTTGGGAAGAACTTCGCCAGTGATGTTAACGTTTCAAGAACTTTACGACAGACTGCTGAAGCAGCTTGGGGATGAATAGAAATTGAAGGTTGTTTCTTTCCAGTTTGTCGACAGATTTCAAAAACATTTGCTCGACAACCCAAAGCAGCATCTAAAGATAATGATAACCAATTTGCTTTAGAGCCAATCGACTCACTACTGTTTGAGGCTTTTCGAAGGACACTAAGAAGAGCAGATACTATCCATTTTCTTGTGGGCGCGTGATAGCTTAAATTTTTTAGAATTTTTTGCAGCTTGGCAAAATTTAAAGACGACTCGTTGATAAAAAGTAAAATTAACAGACAAGAAAGTGGCTCAGCATCCAACAAATGTTTTCCTCTATTTTTTTCATGTAACGCCGAACCTGAAGGGTCATCGGTGTTGTATGGCGGATTTCTGGGACCATGGGCGCTTATATGTCTGTTTCGACGGATACTTGATGAAACATAAGGATTTCTACTGCTAGCAATACGTCTAGCAGTCACATTAGCATGACGCAAGAAAGTGGTTAAGCTGTGCGAGTGATCAAATAGTCTCTCTCCAAATAAACGGCGCTGTTGTTGTTCATAATTCCGTCTGTAAGATGCAGCTTCATTTCTTATATCTTCTGGAAGTTGAACTAGATATGAGTCATCCATATCTGCCAACACCTGTTGCCTTACTGCTGGAGTTAGGGTGTTGAGGACAGTATTCGCATCAATATCGTCAGGAGGAACTGCAGTTGCTTGTTGAGCCCGTTGGTGAGCTAAAATCTCTTCTTGAATGTTAGGAGGTAGTGCCGCTAGAAATTCAGCATTCACAGATGAATTTAAGTCCATGCCTGTTTCTTCCGCTCGTCTTTGTATTCGCTGCATTTGTAGTTGATTGTTAATTACTTCCTGACGTATGTCAGATGGTAAAGCCTCAAGAAAAGAAGGATCTATGCCTTCTGGAATACTTGAGCCGGAGTCTGCTGAAACAGCTGCCATAGCTGATGATACAATATTTGATGCTTGAGCAATTCTATTATCCGTTGATGACGTTTCGGGAGTAGTAGTAGGGCTGAAAATAGATGATTTTATCGAAAATAATTTTAGACATCTAATTAAAGTTACTTTGGAGCACTCCATGAAGCACTGGCGGCAGCGCTGTCTATCCTTTCGACATCTACTTCTTCATCTGCTTCCTCACGTGTTCCAGCTGAATTTATTACCACTTCCCTTCCACTTTCTTCAGGAACTTCTCGGTTACTTTCGATTTGTTCAAGAGCCATGTTTTGAGTCGTTTCAATAGGTAAGGCCTCATTAACTATTCTGGACGAAAGACTCCTAAAAAAACATTAAAATTAATAAAAAAAATGTAACGTGGAAGTTGCTGATTACATTTCCAGAGATTCAGCTGCTTCGCTTCTAATAGGGTCAACTTCAATAACATTTTCTTCAGGCTCTTCCTCACCAATGCTATCCTCTATGCTACGATCTCCAATATTTATCACTGAGGTGCACATATCTGTACTTTGTTTCTTGTCACCACCATCAGCGGCTAATTTCAATTTTAATCGCTTTTCTCTTCTACTGGCGATTTTTAAGTCTCTCTCCCTCTCCAGTTCCCGACTAACGGATTGTGATTTAACTATGAACATTTAAAAAAATGTATTAATAAACCAGTAGAAAGTTTTGATCTTACTCTGAATTAAGGTATATAAACTATTTGAATCTAGAATTTGAGATGTTTCTCGCCAGCGTGTTAGAGAGGATGGTATTCCTGCTAGGCTTCCAATACCAGGAATATCGATTTCATCATTATTCTATTAAAAATAGATAAAAATTATAAAATTGATCCATTGAAAAAATTCAACTTTTACCATATCGTCTGGTGAAGATCGCTGTAGGCGAATAGCATGTGGAGCTAGGGCTGTTAATAGACTTCCTCCTCTTCCAGTGCTGCCTATTACATCTGCTATATGCATAATATCAGCGCCAAGTAACCTGTTCAAAGTAAGACATAGTTAAGTTGTTTATACAGTAATCTTTATAAATATACCGTTGCAAAACAGCAGGAGGGTGATCAGGCGAATAATGAACATGAATTGCGTTAGTACCACTATTATGGGTCAGAACTCTATATCTGAAAATTCTAAATTAAGGAAATCAACTGAAAACAAGAAAAATACCTTCGAGCTCGAATTTGTCGATTTACAGCGTTAGCTGCTGAACTAATTCCTGTTCCTCTATTTGAAGTTCTCTGATCTACTGCTGAAGAACCTTGCCGATTGAGAATAGGGTGAGATGGTTGGACACTTGTATTTGAACTTGACAACACTAAAAATAACAATTAAGTTTTAAAGCTATAAAATACTTTTCATTTCGCTACCTTCATTGGCATTGTCATCAGGACTAATAATAACAGGAAAATTGCGCATACCAACTATACTGTCTATATCTCCTAAAATTAAATTGAATTAAACCTCTGATATGTATTTAACACTTATACAAACTAATGTTAAATTCTTCGACGTGAACTTCTTCCAGGGCATCTTCTTCATCTTCTTCCTGTCCTGCTTCCATATCGGATCCCTAAAAGAATATATTTTAGCCAATTTTTTAAATCTTTAATAAGTGTACCTCGTCCTCATTATCATCTTCGATTTCCTCATCTTCATCTTCTTCATCATGAGCATTTTCCTCTTCTTCATCGTCGGAATCGTCATCGTCGACATCGTCCTCATCAGAATGATGTTCCTCCTCCTCTATCATGAATGAATCTGCTCCTGTCTCACCGTCATTCTCGTGAACATTTTCATTGTTTCCTTCTAAAGTTTCTTCATGAGCATCCTCTTCCATTTCATCATCATTGTCTTCGTCATCATCTTCATCATTGTGATGACGAGGTGTGGAAGATGCAGAAATGATAACATCTCCGATAATTTCATTACCTTCAGGTTCATCTCCCACAACATCTTGTAATATATCTTCAATGAGTTCTTCGAGTCCTTCAGCAGCTTCATTCTATAACAATATTATATATAGAAATATAAGTGACATATTCAATTTTGTCTTCGTTACCGTTTCTGAAACATTCATGACAGTTCCATCTGTTGGATCAACTGCGAGCGTTGTATCGGGACCTTCTTCTTCGGCTGTCGGTTCAACATCCAACCTCGAGCTATCACCTTCCTGAGGAATCGATTGATTTTCCTCTGTTGTGACTGCTAATTCGGTATTTGAACGTCTTGTTTTTGGCTTTTTTGAAGTTGCTGCAGTTGTCTGAGGCTGATTAACAAGTCTAGTTAGCAATTCAAGTGGACGAAGTGCTTGATTTATCGTTGGAACCAAGTATCGTCCTGATAAATCTAAAGAATGAACTATTCTAGCCAAATCGACAACAAGATTTTTCTTAACTAGTAGCTTCACTATATTAGACATTCCTCCCGTTTGCTTCTGATCGATGAAGAGGGACCGGCCTCCTCCGGGTAAACTGCTACTCGGTGGTGGACAAGCATCAATAGCTGTATTTATAAGCGAACAAAGTGCCTGCATATTTTCATGCTTCGCTCGGCTCTCTGGCATAACAACGGCTTTTTGAAGACTAATTTTCAGTTCGTTTACTAAACAACTCTGAGCCTCAGGCACATGTGAACAGGAAGCAATACAGGCCACAAGAGTTCGTACAAGTGGATTACATTCCCGAATATTTGTTTTATCATTACTTGCACCTTCCACTGTTAGTAGTTCGTTCAGAGCATATGATAATACTGAACAGTCCTAAAAGCAAAATAAATTGTTTAAAATTCTTCTATTTATGTAGTACAAACTTTTCCTGAAGATTGATCAGTGACTAGATAAACGCATGGAGTATACGCTCTTACAATTTCAGCAATCAGGCATAGTAATGAACCTTTATTAAACATGTATTCAAACTTGCTGTCGTTTTCGATAGTTGAATCTTCAACATTCATTGGAGTTGCTAAAATTAAAAGAAGTTATTTAAACAATAAAGGAAATATGATTGTACCTTCTGAGTTATTTTCAAGAAGCATTCTTTTCATAGTGAAGAATATATCTATGATAAATTTGGAATCCGCTTTTGCAAGCTCATTTTTGTTTGGAAGAGGATTTTTCACCTCCAAGCATTGAGGCTGGTTGGTGGTATGTAATTTTGCCTCATCTTCTTCTAGAATATAAAAAATGATAGAGCTTTGTATAATTTTTAGGTTTTTTACCTTTACTTATCAATGGTAAAGCTATGCAGAGTAATTGCTGAGCAGTACGGTCGAATGCTTCTTCATTTCGAGCGCAAGCTGGGGCTAAACAACGTAATATGCAGTACATTTCTTTCTTAGGTATGCCTCCAAAGTCCATATTTTGAGATGAAGCAACAGCAGATTTTATAACTTTTTCCATCGTGTGCTTCATGAGAACTTCATCATGTTCCAAGACATGACGAATGATCAGTGTACTCATTGTTATGAATCCTTGGAAAGGTGGTTTAACGGAACGAAGATTTAGCAGTAGCTTTACGCCATCTTCATTATAAAATTCCAAAGCATGATCTTTTTGACGTGTAACTCTCAAAATTAATCTTGTAACAGCATTTAATAATGACTCGTCAATATTATCACGTTTCCGTAAGATATGTAGCATTGCTCTAGATTCATAATTTCAATCAATCAATAAGTTTACAGATTATTTAAATTACTTACTGTAAAACGAAGCTCATGGTAGAGGTTGATGACAAACTGCTAACAGCGTAGCTAACAGCCCTCTTTGTTTCTTCTGCACCTACAGCAGGAGGTACGGTGAGATCTGCACTGGCTGAAGTGACTGTAGATGCACTAGAAGGAGCGAGATTTTCTTTGAAATTTTTAACAACATCCAATCCCTCAAGCGTTGCCGCATTAACAGTTGTATCTCCCGTTTCAATTAAGTTTTTCTTTTCAATAAGCTGGACTGGTCGTCGCTTACCAGTTTCTTCATTAATCTAAGATTTTTAAAATGAAATTTTGCCTTAAATTTAATAAGACTTACTTGAACCATATTTAATAAATCAATTTTGTAATTACGCCGGCTGGCCGTAAATTTAATAAAATCTCTCCCATCTTTGATTGCCTCGTCAATTTGTTTTGCAGTTCCTTCATTGAAACTACACCATTTATTAGATCTGTCATCTAACCACTTCCACTCATATTTGTTTGTATTCTACAAATACAAATATACTTAAAATTAAGAGCTGAAGTGTATATATACTCACGAGAAGGGCTTCCAATTCAGAATGTCTTTGAGAAGACACAGCTACTTTTTCATATAAATCAACAAGAACCAGAGCAGGAGTGATCCATCTGAAATACAAGAAAAGAGTTGCAGGATATATTTCCAAACAAAAATCTAAATGTTTACTTATTTAACGACTCAGGAATTATTGGTTGATTGAACTGGTCTTTACAAGTGAAAAGACATTTTGCAATATTTCCTAATAGGTTTGTTCTCTCGATAACAACGGCTACTTGAGTACCTAAATCTTGAATTAGCAGGCACAACAGATGTAACCGAACAGCCAATTTACGTTGGATTTCTATTTCATCTTTTTTGACTCCAGTTAAAGTATCAAGGCAGCGAGAGATGACATGAGCATTAATCTGTTTTAAAAATTATGTAACTTTTGCGAGATGAATATTAGAACTTACATCATCACAAATTGTTTCTACAAGATATCTTGTCCAGTCTTGACCATTGCGCTTTGAAACTGTTACAAATATTTCACACACTTTGAAAGTACAGTCGGGATAATCATCCACAGCTTTTATGCATCCTGGTATTAAAGCTTCAACAAATCTATCCAGATCTTCTGTACTGATAGGATCACAGGGAATCGGAAGGCTCTCCTTAATATCTATTTCATTTAGGCATTCAGCTTTTGAACTCTCTCTCTTAACCTCAGCTGCAGCCAAAGCGGCGGCAGCAGCTCCAGAAGAAACAGAAGGCGCCCCTCCGACTCCTTCCATAGATAATTGTACAGCACGGCGCAGGTTCTCTTCCTCATCTGCCATATCGACATCTCCAACATCATCATCGGGTAAATCCATATGGGCCAGAATCCAATCAGTTGCTCCTTCTAAACTGTTTGTTTGTCGCAGAGCTCGTGCCACTAGTGCAGGTCTGAACCCCATATCTATAAGGAGGCTCATATGGGTTCGATTTGGAGATGTTGGTCTTGGAGCAGGAGACATTTCACCACTTTCTACATCCGTCAACCACTTAGAAACAGCCGCACTCGACCCATCTTTATTTCCATCTTTTTTTCCGTCTTTGTTATGTTGTACATTATTCTCTGAAGATAAAATATGGCACAAAATAGATAGAGTTGCTTGACTTAAACGTTCTCCGTATCCTTTAATGGGACACTTATTCCACAAATTGTTAGAAATCAGTGAGAATATCTCTTTTTGGAATCCCATCATAAAGGCAATATCATTAAACAAAGTTTTTGGTACTAATGTATGAATTGAAACAAGAAAAATTTTTGGATTAACTAGTCTTTCCGCTAGCAAGAGCCAAGAATCTAAAAATTCTCCAACACCATCTGGAACACTGTTTTCATTTTTACTTTCGTTTTCTCCATATTCTAAAACCCACTTAAAAGCATCGACAAGCGCCTTCTGGCCTCCAGCTTGAAAAAATTTATACATCATCAAATGATATGCCTGTTTTTTCTCATCGAACAACATTGGCATAGTAAATCCAACCGAGCAGATGAGAAATGTTAATCTAAGACGTGGTAAATTTTCTAAATCAGGTGGTATCTTCCATGTCAGGCCTGCAGTAAGTAGTTGGGTCAACGTTGTCGCTATTGCTTTCGCTGCTTCAGTTGGAGCTGTCGGTGCTGGTGGATGTTGACGAGGTCTTACTCTTGAAGTTGTTCCAACGGCCATTTTAGAAAGCACTCCAAATAAGTCTGCCAGAGCTCGTCCCAGTCGAGATGTTACTGACAATAAGGGTTTTAAGAATTTTATTTTCGCTTGATTTTGGGCATGCTTTAAGAGCTTTTCGTTCTTTTGTTCGCCTTCGATTTCCATAGCCTGTGGAGGAGAATGATCGGCGGTGGATAAACTTTCCATCGCTCGAGAAACCCCATTCCCATCGCCTAAAGAAGAAGCTTCTCCAGTTCTTTTTAATTCTTTAACCATCACTTCAGTCAAAATATTCAGTTCTTGCCTCCCTGGAGCTGAATTTGGATAGTTGGTGTTCGATTCAGAACACAGCCCCAGCAAAACTGTACTCTCCCAAACTAAAGCCAAATATAACTTACATAATGTTTGAACAATTTGATAATTTGGTGGAGAACCAAGGAGATTTAAATTTCTGTTACGAGCCTCTGCAATAGACTGCTTGCAAGTATTCATCATAGTGATAACATAAGCATGAACAGAAGTTAAACTGTGTAACATTGGAGATTTGTCTGGGTTTGTCAAGGCATCGAAAGGATCGTCACTGGCAGCCAATTCTTGTACAAGTAGTGAAGTTCGGGGTTGCTCATTTACATTATGCATTCGTTCAAGCCTTTCGAGAACAGGTTGTATTCTAAGGCAACACGCGCTTAAAACGCATTGATTTCTTGAAAGAATCATTATGCTTTTGCATACAGTTGATGTCGCCTGGCATGCAGTAGAGAGAGGGAAATCAAGAGGCAAATTTCGCATATCAAAAATATTCATTAGGGGAACTAAACCATTTTGATTTAAGAATTCTTTACAATGATCATCAGTCGTATTGTTTGAAAGGATAGCATCAACAAATTTCATCTGAAAAGATTTAATTACTTAATCCAAAAAAAATTTTAGTTTTTAGGTTCAAGCTTACCACGTTGACAATGTAATCTAAAAGTGGAATAGGTATCTGCCTTGCATCAGATACTTTAGATTTTGCCTCTACAGCTGGAGCAGTAGTTTCTGTGGAAGAAGATTCTTGCATTGCCACTCGTTCAACATCATCTGTTTCATCATCTTCCTCATCATCGCGATCATCGTCTTCAGATGAACTCTCTTCATCTTCGGCAGTTCCTTGAGGTGGTGCAGTTGAACCAACATTCCCAGCAACATCCGTATTTCTCCGATCAGTTTCAGACATTACACCATCTGGAGTTGCACTGTGAGCAGCACCAATTGCAGCGGTTGAAGCAGTTGTCTGTGTCGAAAAATAATGATTAGTATTTATGAATAAACTATAATCCATCATACTAATAAGCCTGCAGCATGAGTAGTTGCTCCAACTTTTTGACAGACATATGTCGGATCATTTCCTAGTTTGCACAATTGATTTAGTAATCTGATTATTGCTTTAGTTGCTTCTGTTCTTAAAGATGGTTGATGTCGCATCAATTCATCCATAGCAGATCCTAGATTCGAAGCTGTATCTCTTGATCCCACTGAATCAGATGTTCTACGACGCTTCATTGCGGGCAGGTAGTAAGGTGACAGTAGAACTTTGAATAAACGTTTGAATGGCTGGCATTTAACAAATGCTTCCAGACCGCGTGTATTCAAGCAAAGTGCGCTGAAAACATTTGGTAGAGATGCAAGAACTTCCCTCGTTGCTGGTACATCCTTAATAAGTAAAGCATGTAAGACCACGTCTGTTAATCCACTATCTTGAAGAGAGGATAATAAAGAAGGTTCTTGGAAAACGTATACAGTAACAACATCCGTGGCTGTAAATAAAATGATCAAATATACGAACATCACAATAATTATACTAATACCTAATAAAAAGAGAGATGGCCCGTAGTAGTCAGCATTTGATATTAAGTGCCGCAGTGCACCCGGTAAAGCTCCCTCCATAACTAAATAAAGCTAATAAGTTAAAATTTAGCTGTGTGCGCAGACACTTACGATGTCGAATACTATCCGAAAATGAAACATCAGGTATGGCTTTTTTTATGAAATTCAGCATTGATTTTAACAGAGCTGAACGTTGAGGATAGCATTGCCGACCTGAAAAATTTCTTTTAGTTTTGATTTGCATAGAATATGGTCAAAACCTTTGGGTTGAATTTTAGTTGTTAAAATGCTCTTTTGTAAATCGTAGTAATCATTCTCCTCGGACGCCAGTTCGTCTACTTCCATAGCACCAGATCCTGATCCACTTTCTTCTGTTTTTTCAAAGGGAACAATCTCGTAAGACTGCTCTTCTCGACATATTTGAATTTCATGCTGGAGAAAATATATTCATAAGAAAAAATTCCTTTGAAAATAGTTCAGAAATTGTGATTGAACAACATCAGATGGCCCCTGTGCACGCTCTAGAGCATCAGTTATCAGGAATAAAGAACAGCTCACCAGCTGTAATTCATCCAGCGTGCCCTCTCATCATGAAAATTTCAAAGTCCTACAGTAGTCTTTAACAAAATTTTTTATCATACCTGTAACCGGTCATTAAAAGCTTGAAGACCGGAGTGAGATGTAAAGGCAGACATATCCATGTTTGTAATTAAATCGACAACTCGGACCGCTCTTGTCACATACTAGAAACAATGTATTGCTTCACAATTAATTTATAATATGAAAGAAATTCCTTACCATAATATTTTCCTGATTTTCACTGAACCACTTTATGACTTTAATCAAAGATTCCATCATTCCACAAGAAACAAGAGAATCGCAGCCATTTTCGTAGCTGGCTAAGTGGTATAAAAAACTGAAAAGAGACGTGGCAAAAGTTTGAGGGAACGGCTTTCGTTCTGGATCTGTCATATTTTGAATGCAGTTCCGTACTAGAACTGGTAGAAATCCATGGTAGGATGATGCTCCAGTTGCTTCAATTATGTTGGTCAACCTGCTAACATCTTGAGTTATTAAATTTTAGGAGAATGCATATTATCATACTTAGATGGAATGTCCAAATTAATGAAAGCCGTTAATGTTTTCAAGGCAGCTGCTTTTATTTCCATCATTGAATTACAGATTTCATCATCAGCCTTAAATGATAGTAAAGTTAGGATTGATACATGAAAATATTAATGAGATTTACTTCCAGTTGAAGAAGTTCAACTAACTCTTCAACCAAGCCATTGTAAAACAGTTTATTCTGGAAAGCAGAGAACATGTTTGCGTAAATCAGTATAGATATCGCCGCAAGTCGGGAGGCAACCAGTTGTAATCGAGCTGATCTTTGTAAAAAGTATCTTGCTAGTCTTAGTCTATTATAAACATGAAGCCGTTCACTCTCTGGAATACTGCTACGCGTAACTAAATCATCCATAATCTCTGCAGCACTCCTAGGATCGCTAGTCAGGTTCTCCTCGTGAACAACAATCATCAGCTTATTAAAGAAATATATAAACGATTATTTTTAATAATTTTATTTGAAGACCTACTTTATCTGTTTCTTTTCCATCATCAACATAACATTCGCAATGTAATGTTGAGGCTCCCGTTGGAAAAGTAACTGACCCATCAGGTTTACAGCAATCTGCCAAACCAAATCCATTTTCTCGCCCTCCCCAACTCTATAATTAAGCATAGTTCTTTTAAACCAGAAATAATATTTTACTACGAACCTCGGCTAATAAGACTAAGCGCATACATATTTGTTCTCGACTTCTTTCATTTAATCTTGCTATGAAGTTAGATCGTTTACTGAAAGAAATTGTTAATTACATACAGCGTAAATATTTTTTAAAAATAACTCACCTGAACACATAAAGTAGATTCAATACACAGAGAACTATGCTGAAGTTCGTGGATCCAAGAAGTACAAGTAGATGATCTAATGAATTATAAAGATGTCGAGTGAAACTATGCTCTACTAAATGAGCAGTAAAATTCAAAACTTCCAAGGTAAGTTCTCTTAGCTGAAATGAATATTGTCAATTTACATGTGTTTTTTTTTTAGCATACTAACTTTATCTTCCTCGGGACTATCAATTCTGATACAATATGAATTTTCTTGTTTAGATTGAACTGCTTTGTCAAGAATACTATCAAAACGGTCTAGTACATTGGCCCAGAAATACAACTCACACTGCCAAATAGATTTAAGTTAAATTAGCTAAACAAAAACAAATTGCCTTACCTTTCCATAAGACCAACTCTTAAGCTTACGGAGCTCGTCTACTAGTTCATCGTCCGAGCATTTTAATATGTCGTTTATTACTTGCTTACACTCAGGGGTCTATCGAATGATTAATCTCAATTACACAATTCTACCTAATAAAAATATGGACAAAATATTTTACTTACAATTTCGTTAGAAGTGCGTTTGATTTTTGTTCTATCGATTTTCATAATAGTATTTTAATTCTCAAATTTGCTTTAATGATAAATCTTCATTCTATTGAATTACGAAATTCCAACTTGAAGGTCTCATACCTGTTCAAAAGTCAAATTTTAGATAAAACAACATATTTGTGGGTAAATCTTTTTGTAAAAATCGTTTTAGTTTTTTATACAATCCTTTTACAACGTTGGAAAATATTAGGTTAAAACATGGGCTTGACGTAATCTTTTAACGAATAAATTGAACTAAACGAAAATTTAATGGTAATGTCTGATTGAATCAGACTGTCTTAATTCTATCACTATTGTGCTCTCTAGCTCGATATATTACTTTATTCTTATTGAAAGATAAATAAAATTGCTTACTCTAAATTATAAATATTTTTATTGTTAAACAAAATATTAAAATTAAAAATCGAGTATACTCACGAATAACGCCATCTTTAGCGGAAAGATGCGGAATAGGATACTTCTGTTGTCTGAAATACAACCGTCAACTAAATAAGATGAATATTCATAAACGTTAGCCTGTGGTGATTGGCCAACGTGTCCACTAGATGGCTAAATATTATCCGGGTTATTTGTTTGGACGACTATGGCGGATACTGAATACAACAAATAGTTCTCTAAGTTCAATTTTTCTACTAACATTTAATTGAATTTCTCTGGATTCCTTTTATAAATTAATAAAAATTTTGTGGAATATATCAACCATTATTTTAAGCACCTACTTATGACATTTTGACGACTGAATTTAACGAAAATGCGGTAAAGGACACAAAAAAGCAGCCGATGTTGAAACGTGTTCTTAATTATGTCAAGTTCTACAAGTGATGTAAACAAAAGACGTCGAATTCATCACGATTATAGAAGATTATCTTCCTCAGGATACGTTGACGATTACACATCCACTCAAAGAGATTTAAAGTATGCAATTGAAAGTAGCGAAATAAATCAATCTATGTCTACAACCACGGATATGTCTGATAATCAACAAAAACTGAGACAAAAGAAGGACTTTCCCAGCTCCTCAGTGAAAATGAATTCTCTGAATGCTTCAGGAAGACCTAAACATTGTACTGATATTTCTCGTCGAACTGAGCGTTTAAGGTATACCAACCGATTGGTCTCAGAAAAGCGAGAAAAGCCTGACCCTACCAATCGGGGTATTCAACAGAAAAACCTTGAAGAAGGTGTAAAAGGTGACCTGAAACTCTCGGAAAAAAATTCGCCGGTCTGCCATGATCAATTTTCAAACGAAACCCCCGAAAAATGTTCATCTTCAAAAATGAATCGCTCTCCTATAGTTAAGGAAATGTCGAATGATATTTATCCAGAAACAGATAAAACATCTGAGATAAACTTGACTAAGAATAATGAACTAGGAGATTGTACAGAAAAAAACCAGGAAGCATCAATGGAACTTCCTGAATCCATGGAAAAATCTTACAAATTATCTAGTCGTGATGCTACTATTGGCCATATCTTAACAACCTGTACGAAAGAAAAATTTATTGATAAAGTACACTTGACTGTTGCAACGTCCGCTGTTGGAGAATCTAATGTCCCTTCGAAAACACCAAATGATCAATTAGTTTCCCAAGAAAACGCTGAAAATAATAGCTCAATAAATATTTCAAAGGGGGCTACTGTTAAAAATGGTAAGATTGAATATATAAATGACCAAGATGCTGTATTAAAAGAAAATGGCAACGATAAATCAGCTGTTAACCCTAATGATAGCGAAAAACCTCATAAATCTGAAGAGAATACAAGTATTCAGAAAGAGGGAAAAATGAATACTTCATCACCCTTGATCAAAGTAGAAAATTCCAATTCGAAACCAGTTTTACATAAACAAGAGAAAAAAAATCCGGATATGTTTACTCTGATGCAATTATATAAGCCAAAGGAGGAGAAAAACATGATGGGGAAAAGTGAGACGAAAAATATTCCAAAGCTAAATATATTAAAAGATTCAATGTCTTTGATTTGTACTGACTTACCGCAATCTCACAGATTAAAAAGCAAAGTAAATAAAGAAAAGGACACCACTCAGGACCAATCTATTTACTTGAACAAAGATGGGCAAGGAAAACACTCAAAATTTCTTACATCTAAGCAAGAATCATCATCAAAACTTAGTGACAGTGACGCAAAAAGAGAGAGACAAAAAGTAAAATCTACCTCTCCAAAATCAGGCACTAATCATTCCCATAAAAGAAAAAGGGAAAAAGACCAAAATAGTTCTATGATAATAGAACAGGCTAATAATCAAGAGGAAAAAGAGGCAAAATTTGGAAATTCCGCCTCAAACGACTGTAAACGAGTCTCAGAAAATCAGGAGAAACGGGACAAAGTCAGTATCTCGTCCAAAAAGAAACACAAGCAGAAACAACTCAAGGATCACTTATCAAATGTTACCATCAAAGATGTATCAGATAATGAATGTAAGAAAGTAAAAGTTGTGAAAGTATCCTCAAAGAAGAACAAATCATTAGACTCAGAGGAATCAAGCAAATTATCAGAAAAGAAGGAAATAAAGAAAAAGATGGGTCCTTTATCGAAGAAAGAAATGGAAAGTATCGAGAATAGTCCGACTTGCGCTGGGAATTCAATACCATTAAACAGAAATGATACATATGGTGATCCGGATAAAAAACCGGAATCAGAACAAAAACAATCCAGTAAAACTTCATTAACACCTGCAAGAAAGCACTATAAAGAGCAGAGCCCAGTCAAAAAAATTCAATCAAATTCTGATAAAGTTGACTGCACACCAACTAATGAAATGAATAATAAACCAATAGTGAAAAGTGAAAGCTTTAACATTGACAAAAATAAATATGCAGTCACTCTACCTGGAATCTCTTCTGTTGAGGCTGTACAAAGAAAAAGGAAAATACTAATAGAGAGTAGTGATTCTTATTTATCGTCAGATGATGATGAATTCTCTTCCAAACAAACTACGAATAAAATAGCAAAACAAAATAAGCCGAAAAAGAAAAAAAAGAAGTCAAAAGAAGAGCCAAAAAAACAAAGGTTTAACCCGGCTACTGTGCAAGCGGCCAAAATTGATCGTAAAGCTTTTTTGATGAGCAAAACGTCGCTTCACAAAAAAATTTCATCTGATAAAGATCTTATACGGGTTGAGGTTAATCCGAATGGGGGAGCTTCGGTGCTACACGTTGAATCTGAAGATTTGCAGGATTTTTCGGACGAAAAAATGGAAGAGTTTGTGGATTTCTTTTTTAGAAAGTTATTTAACGAAACTGAACCAGGTGTTTGTGATCACGTGATGGGTATAATTCACGGAGCTGCGGCCTATCTACCAGAACTAATCCATTACTTTGCCGATAATTTTGGATCCATGTACGTAAAAGTAGGTGTATTTGGGAGAAGCAGCGAATTGGAAACGACAACGATGGAGCAATATAGAGAGAATGTTTTGCGCAGCTACTCATATGGTACTCACCGAGCTGGAAATCTCGATCAAACGTCCCTCGTTGGCACTGTACATGAAGAAAGCGGGGCCTATTTCCCCCAATTTTTAGATGCTCTCGAAGCTGAACCTTTTCTGAGAGCTGTTATGCCCTGGGGTAGATTATCGGCCCTAGAAGGTCTCGAACGAAATCGAAGTAATGATGGACCTATTTTATGGTCTAGACCTGGAGAACAAGTTGTTCCAACAGCCGAATTATGTAAATCCCCAATTAAGCAGCGAAGGAAAGGAGTAAATGAACTGAAAAATTTACACTACTTACCTCGCGCAACAGAACGACGGGAACAGCTGATTGAAGACCGCACTCGAGCTCATGCTGATCATGTGGGACAGGGACCAGATAGACACACTACTGCTGCTGTTGGGGTCCTGAAGGCGATACATGATTCACCCATTCAGCCCCCAACATACCAGAATAGAATCGTTAAAGACGTTGTCTGCTTTGACGCAAGCAATTTTATACAAGTTGTTAATGATTTGCAGCTGGACCTACATGAGCCGCCTGTATCCCAGGTAAAGATTATAAATTTTTTTATAATTACTGATAGTAAAGGAGTTTTTATTGCTCTTTTTGCAGTGTGTGACTTGGGTTGAAGATGCGAAATTAAACGAAATGAGACGAGCGGGCATCAAGTACGCACGCATATCACTGCGGGATAATGATATTTACTTTATCCCAAGAAATATTGTTCATCAGTTTAAAACAGTATGTTCAGTGACATCTCTAGCCTGGCATGTTCGACTAAAGGAATATTATCCTGAAAAAACTAAATAATGTCCATATAAGAAGACCGATATTTTATAGTTAATGAGGGTTATTGTACAGTACAAAAGATAAAAATAAACTGAAAGACAAATAATGCATATTTTACGAATCAAGAGATGAGAGTCCTTCGAGCTCCATCTGTACTTTTCTCTTGAAGAAACTACTGCGAGTTGTTAATCACTATGAAAATTAGTTATTCAAATCGCGAATTGTCCAGTCTCGGTCGATTGAGTACTGATTAATTATTACTATTGGTAAGGTTTCACTAAGCATGTATGCTGCGTTTATTTTTTTACTTCATTCGGAATTCAAGACGAAACAGGCCATCGAGCAACTTGATCTTCTGTAAACCGACCGACTCGAGTGGCTATCGAAGGTGAAAAGTTTGCTTTTAAATCCCTGCATTATATACAGAGCAACGTGTAAATAAAGTTCAGATCTTCAGTTTTATCAGTTAATTTTTGCCTACATATTTTTTATACTGAGCCGACTCGTGCTCAGCCCTTCCCATTGACTAATTTCTGAGGCTGGGGCGTCCCAGTCGTTAAATATTTAAAATAGATCACATTATACACACATCATTTTATAATAAACCTTCGAATCTTTACTTTTCTAGTCAATTGTCTATGTACAATTTTTTTTGTAATTTATTAGTCTGCCTTATATTTTTATAGTCGGCATCCAATATGGCTTGACCTTGTTTACAGACAGTATAAACCCACCTCACAAGTTATTTTTTTTATCAAACGTCCTCTTTCTCTTATATAGGCATATTTACAAATACAATATGAGTCATTTTCTTCTGCTTAATTATTATAAGAGTAAGGAGGTTTGAGCATGGTCATTTCGCTTTCGTCGGCGCTGCAGGAGGCTATAGGTGGAGGGGGTGGAGGAGGTGGTGTTCTGCAGTAGGCTTCTAAGCGATCGTCTCCGAAAAACCTTATTTTACCGCAAAGCACTCTTCGGAAGGCTGTTCTGAATGTCGTGTTGTAGAAGGCATAGAGGAATGGATTCAGTGTGCTGTTTGGCAAGTATGTAATGAATAAATCATTAAAACATCGTATATACTTTAGCGCACCTGTTTACATATCCCAGCCATAAACAGAACAAATCCAAATCCATGTTCACTTTATTTCGTAACCACGGTTTGACAGAGAAAAGAAGAAAATAGGGCACCCAGCAGACTACAAAAGCTACCACTACGCATCCCAGAGTTATTGTGGCCTTTCTATCTGAGACAGCTCCTCTCTGGCTGTCGCGTTTAACGCTTCTTTTTCGACTTTGTCCAAAGCGAAGGAATAATTTTTTTTTCTTTTTAATTGTTGATGTATTTCCATTTTTAACAACTGAATTAATTTGTTTCACTTGTGATTTGGCAATGGAATAGACTCTCGCATAAACTGCACACATGATGATGAGAGGAACAAAATAAGTACCAATACTAATAAACATGGCGTAGGTTTTGTTACCCAGCTCGAAGATACAATTTTCAGGATTTTTTACATTTTGGACACAGCCGTTCTCCGTATTCCATCCTACGTGAATAGGTACATAAGCAAGAAGAAGTGACGACAACCAAATACTGGCTATGCAAATATAAACTCGTCTCTTTGTTACTAAAAACTCGTAGCGAAAAGGCCTAGTGACGGCCAAGTGACGGTCGAGAGATATTGCAAAGAGGTTAAGTATTGAGATGGTACACAACCAGACATCGTTGGAAATATATATATTGCAAAAAACACTTCCAAGAGGCCATTTAGCCCAGATTGTCGTTAAACTAGAAAAAGGAAGAACTAGTAATCCGAGCATAAGGTCTGTTGCGGCTAGAGAGAATACAAATAGGTTTGTTGCCGTGTGAAGACGGCGTTGCGTGACGACGGTGACGCAAACGAGCAGATTACCGAGAACCGTAAGGAGAATGATGATGCCTAAAACGATAATCAGCAGGACGGACGCCCATAAGGGACGCAATAGTTGATTTCCGTCATTCGACGCCGCTTCCGCCGTAGTATTATTAGCGGCCGTTGACGTCTCCATATCAATCACATCATTCTCTTATCGATAGCAGGTGCCTGTATATACAAAAACTGAAGATAGTGATAATCAATCGTGAAATAAAACGTTTGTAGAATTGTGGATAAAAACTTGATGGGCAAAAATCTTGTAGATACAGTTTCCTTGCAATTTGCTATTTAAGAGCAAGACAATTTCCTTTTGCCGTTCCCTAAGGGATTTACTACTCTATGATTGCATCAACGAGCAGCAAATCGAAAATTGTAGTTATATGTAGTATATTATACTACATCCGCACACGTAATACATAGCCTATCATAATACTGTTAACACTGTAAGTATATATTTATTTTACAAATCTAATACATCCAGAGCACACAATTTATATAGGATATACACAGTATATATAGAAGTATATGTATATATATATATATCCTGTATAGAAACTTGTGTTATACTAATATCTATATATACAATGAATATGAATATATTTATATACGTATATAAATAAACCAATATTATATTTATAAGATTAGCATATATATATATATATATATATATATATACACTTGTATATATATATAGATATATATAGTTATATGTACTGTATTCTGACTAAATTGCCGATATATTTGCACATAATATAGGTGCCTTTGTTGTCTCTTATCGCTGCCGCTAATCACATCCTGATTTTCTTGACGCGTACAGAATGAAAAGCCTTACAAATCCCAACTGCCGTCTTTTTCTAATTGCCGGCGTCTAGAGACGCGCAGATTAATCGACGAAACGCGATATATTTATCCAAATAACGAGAGGCATCCTGTCGGTCGATATGGCTATAGACTGTAATTTTCGCCCTAATTAAGCCTTGAAGCCTGCGTAAATATTACGTGAGGATATAACTGAATCATTTTTTTTCTATACAGGTCATATATATATAACCTCCGTAGTCTATACGCACTTGCTATTTTCCGATCAAACACCCAGAACAAACGAAAGCATTTATATTTTGATTAAAAGTAATCATAGGCAACAGATTAACTAGCCTGATCTTATTAAACACACTAAACATATACTACGCTCCTTAAAATACACTGATATATAACTCTATTTGATAAATAGGTCTATCGCGTAATTTTCAAAAAAAAGAAGAAATTTGCACGCATTTTAAGTTGATATTCAAAACGTTCGATTACTAAGGGTAATCTCACTTTTTACGGTTTCTGTTGTGGTGTTTTTATTACCTTTAGGATTCGTTCATGCGGCAGGTATATTTTTGCGGTCGTGCCGTGGGAAGTATAAAAAGAAAACACCCAACTGCTGTATACATATGTATACGTGTGTATTTTCGCTTAACTGGTTAAAAAGCCTCTTTTGTTCGAAACTCGTTAGACGTCGATAATTCGGACAAAAGCCTTATAGTTTGTCTAGCGCCAAATTATATTTTCAGGCCTACACACCTTATACATGTAGGTCTGTAAAAAATTATACATATATGACAGAAATCACGTCTGCTTTAATTAATTGACGGTGATGGAGGTATAATGATACTCGGCTCGTCGTTTATACTCGCCTACAGCCCTGTATAACCCATATCGATTAATAGAGAGCTTTTTGTGTACCTTCCTAACCTTCGCCGTAGCTGTTTGACTTTGTTATATTTTCCTATATTCGACGCCTCCGCTATATATACCTATACACATCTGTAGCTATGCAACTTGCTTTCAGAATCGGATTATATAAAGGTACGGTATAAAGGGACTGTTTTAAAACTTAGGGCACAAAATTCAGCCTAAGCAACTAAATATAAATATTTTCAACATGTTTGTGGATACATTGATGCATAGTATATAGTACAAGTGTAAGAATGACAAACTCACATAGACCTGTGCTTGTTTCATACCTTTCAGCTGCCTAATAAATTACACAGGCAACTCGATAGGCCTACGCGGCCGGAATTCCGTAATCCGATCATAAAGGAGAAAAAATGAATCGAGAGTTCTGTTTGGCTTCTATACCGGTATATGCGACGGTTGTTTGTCCGAACGACGCCCCGAATTGTTTGTATTTGCATACTAATAGGCCTAATCCCCTCCCTATTCTGTATACGTGGAGCAAAGGCGACGACTGTTCCCGGGAGATCTAACGATCTTTTCTCTTTTATTTTTCCTTTCCCCCCTCTTTCTTTAAAAGTACCATTATTGTATATGTGCATACTAAATATAATAAAAGTGTATATGATACGACACCAGCCTGCTCCGTACGTACATACGCTGGTAAATTCATCTGTCAATCATCAATCTACTTATCAAATCATCTGAGGCTTTTATTATATGTTATGTATATATATATATATATATATATATAAATTTATATACATATATATATATATACTGTAGACATATAAGATTATATTTTTAAGTTGGAATTAAACGATTACGTTTAAAAATTTTCCCTTTATATTTTGAGTCTGTTGATGTATAAAAACGTATATAAATATAAAAATCAGAGTATAAATAGATAGACATTTTAAATATATTCAGGCGTATATATAGACTTAAATCCTGTTTATTGCGGAGCGGAAAACTATATTTATATGTAAAGAATTAGATGAAAGCGGACAAAAAAATCCTTCCTCTCTTGCCTTACGGCATTCCTTTAATAAATGCGATTAGCCTGTTTTCTTTTTCCGGAGCACAAATCAATCGATCACATAAAAAAGCATAAGCCAAGGTGTGGAACGAGATGAACGAAATTTGAGCTTAAGCTCATTTGTAGTTGGTCGAGCGTTTGTTTGTCGTCTCTTTTGTTTTACTATGCGCAATCACGTCGTACGGCGAAAAACGAAAACGGCAAGAAATAAAAGGAAGTTTTACAATAATGAACTCCACTTTTTCTTCTCCAATGGAACAGCCGCTCAACTTGGAGAGTTTAGTAATCGATTTCTACGTCAATCTCGTTCTAAAATTCCCTAAAAAAACTCACTCTCTCAGGCGTTACCGTATCGTTATTTGTTCAATTGGAGTACGCGCGTGTTTGTTATTTTTACTTCAAATAGATTAAACGGAAAAAGTTATCTCTAGTTTACTCAAAAGGATCAGATTTTACTTACCGTAGAGATAGTGTCTAATATTCCCGGTCGCTCGTCTTCTTTTCGACCAAATGTCGGCTCGCTCTCAAGTCACGTGACTTGATGTCAACCAATCAGCTTTTTACAAACAGGCCTAATAACGACGGCGGATTGTACATTTTTGTCTAGGCAAATTACTAATGGAATGCTTTATTGTCGGCTTACTTTTTCTATCGCCCGAGAGATTTTCATTAGTAGATGGTCTTATTTCTTTCCTGTTGACTAGCGAGTTGTAATTAATAACACGCCTATGAGTGCGCTACAGACCTATGATAAAAATTTTTTTGCGCCTAATTAAACAGAAGCGCCATCTCTCGTGCGCAAATTGGCCCTTAGAAACGGTTGTTGACGTCACCGCTCAAACGGAAACTCTGGGAAATGGCGTATGCTCCTGACTATAACACTGAGTACTCCGACAATTTCAGACTAAAAGCGGAAGAAAAGGGATTAAATAAAGAAGATATATTTCGTAGTCAACGAACGCGGCCACTCGAACAATGCAGCATTGAGCAACGCAATAACTTTGCAGGTTTCATTTCTAACAAGCACAAGTCGATTTTCCGCGACGAACCCAGCAAGGATGTCCTGAACAAACCCTACGGACGTCGGTTGATGCATGATGAAACTCATCCGGATCTCATTTACGGATCACAATGGTCGAGTGAGTTGGCTGACCATAACGGATGTTACTCTTTTCCAACAACGACTAATTTACAAGCTGAACATCCATTTTACAAAAATCTTGAGTGGATGAAGGAAGGGGAAACCGGTAATTGGCCGACAAATGCTTGGAAGGAGTGGACTCAAATTAGTGAGTGTCCTAAGTACGACGGCTACAGCGATCAAGTCGAGTATAGCAAATACAAAACAAATGTTTACTAATATTCTGTGAATTTGAGATAAAAATAAAATTAATTGGGACGGTTGTATTAATGACAGTCTCTTCGAATAATAAAGTTAGCATTCACGAAGTATATTGTACTGTAACAGAAAAAGTTTCTTCTGTTTTATCATCTTCGTCATTAACAAATACTAAGATATTGACGACCCCTGTACTTCCTACCGGTATGAACCGTAAACCGATATTATATGTCTCCTGACTCATCAATTCTATACGTGTCTCCTTGAAGTGCAATAAATCCGGTCTGGAAGTGAGAATGTGAAAAGCCTTCTTTGACGAATACGGATTAGTAAACGCCAGTCGTTTGTTAACTGCTCTTCCGGTCGCTACTTTTACTTCGAAAGACTTTCCTACTTCAGGTGATTTACAATTGACACAAACGAGCCATGATTTGAAAAGCGTCCTACAGTCAACATCTACGACGTTTATATACATAAACCTAACTCCTGCAGAACTTCCTCTTACTCCGATCGCCAATTCATAAAGAGAATTGGCTGTTAACGTAAAAGGTTCTGAAGGTGAAACGGACATATGCATCGGATGACTGACGTAGGCCTTTACAAGTTTTGACGAATGACCTCCTTTTAATACGACGTTAGTCCTCGTTGTTTGCCCTTCAATGCATGCAATATCAATCCTCTGCAAGGAATGAATCAGTACTTTCCAGATTTGAAGAGGATTTGCTAGGTGTTTTTCCGTATACAGCGCGAGATAAAATTTTTTTATCTGTGGCGCAGCTCCACAAGCCACTTTTATAGTTACGTCGTGAGGTTCACCAACTAAAACTGCTCTTGAATTTGCTATTACATTTGGATCGCTACACTTTACATAAATTTGTTGAGCTTGACCATTACCAACGATTGCTCCTGGTAAATGATTTAACGGAGGAAGTCTCAACGATTGACGAAAAAAACTGTGTTCCGGATGATGAAATCTGAATGTTTGATCAATTACATGTGGTAAGGGCTCTATTCTTAACTTTAAAACTGCTACTGGATTTTTAGATTCCACAGTTCTACAATACACTTTTACTACTCTGCCTTCATCTTTGAATTTTTCTTTCTTAGCTGACGCCTTAAAAATATTTACGGCGCCTGTCGTTTGTACTGTATTATCAGCCTTAAAGGTGAGGAATTTAAAGGGCACGTTTACCCTTTCCTTAGGTCGCAAGTATATTTGTGGAATGCCTTCATCTGACGAGCTAAATAAGCCTTCCTCTGTGGGGCTATCCAATAAGTCATTTATTACTTTAAGATATTTCCATTCTTGTGAATCGGTAACAAGTCGTAGTTCCGCGTCATCGCATTCGATTTCGACGGTATGGGCGGTATTATATGGATTACGTAATGAAAATTCAAAAAAAGAAGTTTTTCCAAACGAAGGATGAATTACGTGCTCCGTTGTAATAGCAGCACTCAGTACATTTAATATACCATCTCTTTTAGAAGCAGTTCGGTAAGTATCGATTGTTTTCAGGTCTCGAGACCTCTCTTCCTTAACGGCTCTAAAGGATTCGACGATGGGCGGAACGTTTTCGTCGCTTTCTGTCTTCCTAACGGCTTGCATTCTAGACAGTTTCTTACGCCTCTCCGAACTAGTTTGATTACTATCATTCTCGGTATTATTCTTTTTTTTGAATGAGTTTAATACTTCTGCAAGCTCATTGTTTGCTTCAATCATGTGATATGCTCTAACAACTTTGTTGCATTTCACATCTGCGAAAGGAGAGATATTCTTTAGATTTAATTAATTTAACAACAATTCACAGGCTACAGACCCTGTTTATATTTGTTGAAGCTATGCAAACTACCACCTGCGAACTGCTTTCGGATGCTATCATCCGCTGAAATTATTGGCTTGGAGCAGACTATTTCAACTTGTTTATCTATAAAAAATAAATATTAACCCTATGAGCAACAAATATTTGTGTTTGAACCTTTTTTACAAACAACTTCTGACTTTATTCCAACATTAGCAGCTCGGAAATGCAAGCGTCCACGTAAAAGATTATTAACTTCAACTGGTTTAGTTGGTGACTCCTGAATTATTTCTTCATGTTCGGTGGCAACAACATCCAATTCAAAAGTTACTTGTACTGCAGGTCGTCCTTGACGACAAAGATGCTTTTCGCAATGATAAATATATAAATATATATATATATATATATATATTTATGTACATAAGTGTACATTTATAAATTGACCAGGTTTAGAGCACTTACTTTTAACTCAACAGCTGCGGAGCCTATGAGGAGAAGGGAATCGCCATCCCAAGCGTCAATATGTAAAGTTTGACGTGATAAATAATCTAGGAATAACCTCTTTTCACCACTTTTCATATAAGCTGGATCTAAATCGTATTTCACTTCATATCCCGGTTGTCCTTGTGCAATTCTGCCGCTTTTATCAATTTTTTTTAATATAAAAGGGGCAGTATGCATATTATTCGATAGATCACCCTCCAATTCGGCTAATGATAATCTCTCTGTGGTTACTTGAGGAAAACGGTAAAATTGAAAGGTGAGAAAAATCGATGAAGGTGTCGGTTGCCCTCCAGTTAGTTCCAAGTTTTCCAATCTAGATAAAAGTATCGTAACAGCTTAAGATATCATAAGTTAATAAGTAAAGAAAAATATATATCTAACCTGGAAAATGCCAAAAATTGAAAGATAATCTGATTAGTTTGAAGTTTATCCGCTTCTTCTTTATAAGGATCAAATTGTAATTCATCCATAGGATCAACTACCTCGGCTGAGCGGCCCTTGGAATCCTCGATGGCCGGAAATCCGGCACTGTATAACTTAGAATAAGCAGCTCTTGATAAGCCTTGGCTATGTAACCGTAAAACAAACTTGTAGACAAGTCAGATAATCGTACCATGAAATTACTTACCTCCTAGGTCCTCCTCCGCTTGCGATTACAGGAGCGTGAAAAGGGGTAAAAGGTAGCTCGTGCATGATTTCTCCGCGCGTGCTCATATAGGGCTGCGTCAATAAAGCGTCAAAATTCAATTGATTGTCAAATAAAAAAGGCACATATAAAAATTTCTACAGCACGTACTGATGTCGATGTAGCTCTCAACTGGGAAATCTCAAGGGGCAAATAGCCTTGTCCTACAGATTGGGGTCCGTAAGGAATAGCTGGACCAGTAGGGTATCCAGAAATCTGTTGCTGGTAAGCCTGCTGAGTCCCAGTTGGCGATGGAGTTAAGCCTAATGAAGGAATGTATGGCATGCCTTGTTCGTAACTTGTTCTGGCTGTGATCTGATCAGTTCTAAAAAGTCACAAGAGGAATTCTCAAAATCATTTGGATATATTTATAAGATAAAAAGATTTTTCATAGAAAAGCAAAAAGATTATTAAAGCACCTGACAAAGGAATCGGGAGAATGAACCGGAATTTCTGGCACTTCCCGACCGAAAGTCTTTGGTGTTCTAATTTAAGACAGACAGAAATCAGACACGTTATTACTTGAAAGGTGAAATGTATTAGTAAGCATGTATTTTAAATAATAAACCTGACGCTGGATGGATGCAACGGTGGCTTTGTCGATATCTCTTGCAAGCCACTTTCGTCTGAGTGAATACTAGTTGTATCTTGATAAGCGGATTTGAGCATTCCTATTCTATTTGATTCAACAACACCTGGAACCTGTAAAGAGGATGATCTTCCAGAATATTGATCATCGTCATAAAAGTGGAAATTAATGACGGAAGAGGAGGAAATACTGCCATGTGATCCAGTAACATCAGAGTCGGCTGTTAGCTGTTTGAAGATGAAACTTTGTTCTGGATTAATTAGAGGACCGCCTTGAAGATATATGACATTCTCCACGCCATGTTGCTTACTGAATGGACACCAAGAACCCCATCTAACAGCAACATTGAACGTTGGTGATCTGACCATACTCATCTGAAAATATTTTACATAATAGAAACCAGAACATATATTTATATAAGTATATTAATAATCATCAGAAAATTAAAATGTATAAAAAGTTAGAGCTGTTCGGTAGGTTTGAAGCACAGATAGTAACTTACGTTCAAACTTTTACTTCCTTGTGGCATAAACTTGGGCTATAAAAGTTAAAACAAAAATCTTGAAAGTGTGTAAAATAACTAAGTGCAAGTCAAGCTATAAGTTACAACACGACATTGAAAATAATAGCACTAGTAACGTTACCCGTCTATTTTTATCTGTAATCGTAGGTTCACCAATTAAATATTCGATTACAAATACTATGGCGACCATTGGATCTTGCACAAGTCCGTCAATCTGGATTCGGCTTTTATGAATTAAAGCTGAGGCACCAGTTGCATTTTGTCTTTATAATCAAAATATCTTAAATGTAATTATGTGAAAGGTTATAATTAATTACAGTGATCCGGCACTTGAGGTTCTTCTGTGACTGAAGCTACCTCTCCTCATCGATCCAGATCTTTTTGATTGCTCCCCATCCAAATGTAATTGAACAATTTCCGGTTCCGAAATGAAAGTCCATCCATTGTGAACGCCAATCTAAATAATATATTAGAGAAAAATTCAACTAAAGGAACTCATTATCATGTAACAACCTTTAGGCGCCTTTCGATAACACATATTCCACCTTCTTCTATTCCCGAGCGATTTTTGTTCCGTCTATCTTCTTTTAAATATTTGCACAACTCCTCTTCAAACTGATCGACTGAACAACCAAAATTAACGTGAATTTTCTCGATAAAAGCTGGTTTTTTCTTTAACTTTTTTGGTAATCTTAAGTTGTCTCCTTTCAAGAAGTTTGCTTTATTATATAAATAAGGATACTGATTGTTAAATACCTCCAGAATTTTCTACAATTCCAGGAATGCTGTCATTATTACTGACTATCGCATTTTCTGGTATTAAGTGTAGGACTTTTTTTAATGTTTCATGAGTTCTTAGCTGAATATTGAGGACACAATTAGGGATAACTTCTATTTCTGAGGAATATAATTAAAATGAAATGATTAAGTTTAAAGTTCTTAAATTTTTCTCTTGAAACAGACCTTGTCTCTCCTGATTCAAGAAAAAGAGTGCTCTTGGAGAGCCATTGCATAATGGAATTCTATAATTGAAAAATGATGTAATTGTTTTAAGAATGCAAATGGTATTACTTGGAAAGGGGCGCGTTCTTCGTCTCAGACGAATCTGGGACATCTTCAAAAGAGAATAATTCAAACTTTCCCCAGCCGCAACTCTGTTCAACATTATTAAGAATAGCCGCAATTTCCACAACCAACAATATACCGGGATCGATGATTGAGGTATGGAAATAAACGTTCTGTGAAAAAGCGTAAATAATAAAAAGGAAATCAAACATCCTCCTTTAATTATATCGTACGTGATTGAAAACGACTCGTAAGCCGTCTTTTTCAACTTTCGCATTAACAGTTGAGCTGGTAAAAGACTTTCCAAAAAATTGCTGATAAGACGAGTCATAAAGAAATAAACGAAGTTGAAAAGCTCTCGCTTCAGGCTGCTAGTAAAAAATGACTAAATAATTACATATAACGGCACTCAAAATATCGCTAACAAGTCTCGGTAGGCCTTCAACAGTTTTAATAAGTAAGTTGAACGGGAAACTAGTATTTTTTACATTGGTTTTTATTAAATTTACATTAGGAGTAGTTGAGCTCTTTCTTAAAATCTTCTCAAAGGGAAGAGCGTCTTTGGATGTCCATTTTGTCACACCAGTAATTACATCTGCATTAGTATTAACTTTAACTTGCTTCTTATCGACTTTTTTGACGTAGCCTAAATCAGAAAATATCCGCGAAGTATCTATAGGTAGAGGAGTAAACCATCCATTCTTCATTGTTGAAAATTTAATGAAATATTCAGAATACTATTGATCGAGGCGTAAAAGCTAGAACCAGTCGATAAGACAGTGTAGTAAAATGGACTGCACGGCACAGAGAAATACAATACGATAATCAAATACAACACTGAATAAATTATAAATATATATGAATCTATCAATAAAATGACTTTTCTTAGAAAATCTGTATTTATTATTTGAATTATTATTGAAAGGTTAATAAATCTTTACAATGAATCCCTCAAAACGTTAAAGGATCTTCAAAAGCAGCTGAACTCCTCTCTTGCTACTTTATTTACTATGTATAGTGATCAATAAATCAACAGCAAAGTGATATATATTCAAAGTAGCTATTTTTATCATTATCAACAAACCGACAGTTGCCCAGTAACAACCTAAACCAACTAGAAGAAATTGATTGTTGATTACTTATTACTCTGCTACGACCAGACATTTAATTATATGATTCGATATTACGTTACACGCAACCTGTGAAATACCATAAATCTCTAATTACTCTTGATGTTGTTGCCAAAAAAGAATTACAAAATTTTGTTGACTATAAGCTAAAGGCAATTTTTTATATATAAACTTCCGCTATATAGCATATATTTTACTACTCAGAAATAAATTAGAATGTGTATTATAGTTATTTTAGCCAAGTAACGAAAATTGCTAAGGAAATCAGGTTGTTTACTAAGCATTGTCTGCCATATGCTGTCGCTTCTATTACTTACAATTAGTAAATTAATAAGACCTTTTAATGAATTGATGTTAATATAGTTGCAGAGGCGAAATCATGACTAATTTTAGTCATTATAGAGAAAGAAAACATTATTAAAGTACTATTAACATAATCAATTATTTCAAAATAGAAACGTGCATTTGCATATTACTTTACGATTCAAGGTAAAATTTCAATTCATTAAAATAATGTGAGCTACTGCGCTCATATGGCACATACTGCCATCTGCATTTGATTGTTGATAAAAGAATTACTTTTTAATCTAAGATTCGATTGAATATCAAATATTTCAAGTTGATTGACATCAGCAGTATTCAAAGCATTATTACATTCAAAGGAGTTAGTTATTTGTCATCCTTACAACTTAATTTGCATCGCGAACCGAACAATTTTCATAATAAATGAAAAAGTATTGCTTAAGCTCTGTGCCTTTATATAAAAGATTAGAAGTTAACAATATTTAAACATGAAAATAAAAAACTCGAAAAAGTTTTAGATGATTGCTTAAAAATATCTTACGAAAACAATTTGTTTGTCTAATTTATGTCACTGATATTAATCTTTATAATAAAAACTACAGTAATTGAACCTTTTCAGGAATATTTTCACTTTTTTAAACGGATTATTAAAAAAGCCGTGCCGAGACATGTTATTTTCGTTTGAATCATATAATTCGTGCTCTTAGCTACGGAAGAAACAAATGATTTACCTGACACTTTATTCCTTCAACACTTTTAATATAGACGCAAAATGCTGATGATTGCTTTGAAGGTGCATTCTGCCTATCAAAAGGTATTGGTAATACTTTTAAAGAACGTACAATATCACACCAGTCTCTCGGCCTCTTCATGACCCAAGAATTTAGAGTGGTTATAGATTGCATTTAACAGAGTACCCCTCTACGGTTCTCACTAACTACCAATAGAGAAAAGTGTTTGTTATTTTTTCATCCGTCTTTTTTTTAATTATAGCTTAATAAAAGTTTAGTAACACAATATTTAACAGTTCATTATACATTATTTGCTAAACTTTATTTATAATACAAACGATAATTCTAGAATGCTAAAACTTCAATAAATTCGGTATATTATTGTCACATGATGATTACATTTACGTATACTATAGCATAACACATTTCTGTTATCAACAGAAGTATAAAAAGGAAGCTATTCAGAAAAGAATCTCAAATGAGTTTTTTCAGCAAGCTTGTAAAAAATCGTTGGTGTCTCGCTTTCTTAAGATATTTTGTTAGATGGTTTACTTTATCCCACCAGGACCCAGCAGAGAATCTTATGTTGCAGAAAAGGGAAGATGTAATAAAATAACCAATACATTTTCCTATATAATCCAGAATCTTCAAAAAATAGCAGCAAGGACTGATAATAATATAGACAAGTGAGTTTATAAATGATCGGAGGAAATACTAAATTCTAAAATATTCTTTCAACAGCTGCGAATTGGCTAACGCACTGTGTTCAATTCTTGAATCTATTTTATTGCATCAGCATAGGGGAAATAATAAAGTTTGTTGCGTAATCAAACGTTTTACCTTATTTTGTTTTTATTTTTGAATTTTCCAGGCGCTTTGGGATTTCGTTTGCAAATACACACATAAAGAGACAATTCAGGAATTGAAAACTGAAAAAGTTCTTACTTGTGAAATAGGATTATGCCGAGTAAGCTAACTGACTCAAACAAAAGTGTAGTCAATCCCTATTAATTTTAGGCTTGGGTTCGCTTAGCACTTAATCAGAATTTATTTGAAAGTTACCTTAAAGCAATAATAGCTGATTCTAAGTCGCTCGAGTAAGTCATATTTGGAAGGAATTCATCCAAGATATAGCTCCTTCACTTTTTACAGAAAATATTATAATAATACTGCTTTCTTACGGGATTTGGATCAATTATCAGTCGCTCAAATGCACATACAATATATAACATCATTAAAATTTTCTCTACCTATCGAAACCGGCTTAATAAATACTTGGCCTGAAACAACCTTAATTCTGGCTGGCTACGTTTCTGGCGACGTCGCACCCTCATTACTAGTTGGACCTGAATTTGGTTCGTGAATATTTTAAAAAACACCCTTTTAATATTGTGTTTTTTTTTAGAATCGCTTAGTGTAAATTCCTGTGATAATAGTCAACTTGTAGTAGAAGTTAGTAGGTCACGGTCGAAAAAACTAAGGAAATCAAAACCCATTAGTGCTTCTGGAGCCAGTTCCGAGGAGTGTAGTGTATCGAATGCTTCTTTTCAATCTTCCAGCTTAAGCTTTGAAACAGGTTTTCCTGTAAACAATGAGAGAAAACAATTCCCTGTTGAAGATAATTCACCGCAAGTAGAAGTTGATTTAAATGAATCCAAGTCGAAATCGGATGAAACTCTAGAAACTGCAACATGTGACATTCCTTCAACGAAAAGTACAAACCCTTTTGATGAAATAGATGAAAAGTGCTTTCCCACATGTCCTTCGCAAGAAACAACCGTGTTTGACAAAGAACAATTTGAAGAAAAAGAATCTAAACAAGTTGTAGAAGTGATAAATTCCATGCAGGAATCTGAAGCGATAGCAATTAAGGAAACAGACAACATCCCAACAGAAGACAATTCAATCTATGATTTAGACTATTTGGTTGGAAATTCTTTAAATAGGCAATTAGATCGAATGGCATTTGTAAAAAAAGAAAAATCTTCAACCGATGATAACACATCCAAGGAGGAAATTGAAACATTCTTAACTCATGCAAGTTCCTGTAAGAAAAAGTTCATGTAAATAAATAAAATAACAATAATATTTTTACGACCAGCTACCGAAATCATTGAAGCTACTGATCATAGAAATGAGTCTGATTTATCAAAGCGACATTCTGTCTTAGTTAGTTTTACATTTCTTTACTGTTCAATTGAATACATTTTTTGCAGTCTGAAAAGGGTTTTGAAGTTATAACTGTTGATGATGAAATCATTAATAATCAGGAAAGCTTTGATTATCAAGAAAGTTTACTTGACCGCTTGTGCACAGAAAATGGCTTGGATGATCAAAAGTTTACCTGCAAAGGCTGCAATAGAAATATTGGACTCAGTTAGTTTATTCCCTTGAATTTATTTGTAAATTATTACATATAATTTTTTAGTTTATGGCGAACATAAAGTCTGTTGGTTTGACAAAGCATATTACTGCACGGAATGCCAAGGCGATGATGAGTATTACATACCTTCGAGAATTCTATATAATTGGGATTTTAATAAATATCCAGGTATGAGATTAACAATTATTAATAATATTTTACAAAATATATTTATAAAAATATTTACACAAACATATAGTTTCAAAGAGAAATTTGCAATTCATTAAAATGATTGAACATGAAGGTGTCTTAGATATTCAAAAAAATAGTCCTTTTCTATATGCAATATCTGATGGACTAAAAAATTTAAGAAAAACTAGACAAAGACTCTGCTTTTGCAAAGATTATTTATTGAATTGTAGTTTGTCTGTGAGAGAACATTTTCGTAAAACGGCTTGTCCGAAAGAATATTACTACTGCCATGTGGACACTTACTCCTTATATGTAAGTTATATTTCGGCTAAATTGTTATCTAATTGGTATCTCTCATGAAATCCTTACAGGATTTGCTAGCATTGGCTAAATCGGATGTTCTTGAAAGAGAAGTACATGATATGTACACATACGCTAAAAAACACATTTTTGAGTGTGTTTTATGTCGTCAAAAAGGATTTTATTGTGAGATATGCCGAAATAATGAAATTATCTTTCCGTTTGAATTAGAACGCGTAACAAAAGTAAACGTTTGATTTTTATTTCTTATGGAAACTAACTTAATATCATTTTAGTGTAACACGTGTGGATCAATATTCCATAAAAATTGTAGAAATAATACTTCCCATTGTCCTAAGTGCCAAAGGTTAGAGCAGAGAAGATCGAAAGAAGATGACTATGCCCTGGCACCACTATAAATGACGTTCAAATCTTAGTGTGGATACCTCTAATAAGCGATTCACAAATGATAAATAATATTCTTTTTAATTTGAATCTAAATTCATGAGTAAATAAATAGCATGTATTTTTTAAGCATAATAAATAGAGTAAAACTTTAAACACTTTAATACCTTAAAATGAACTTGTAAATGAAAACTTTTTTTTTTCGAGACAGAATTTTTAGAAACAGTGACAACACAAAGTAATTACTTCGGATAACGAGTCTTTTATATTCACTCATCTCAGTAAAATACTTTGCTTAAGAGGTGGAAACTGCAAGAATCTTTATCACACACTCTGAAAATTTCATAAAAATATTTACTTTTCCTATAAATATATTCATATGGAAGCACATTTAGAATAAAAGTAACCACCAGCATTTCCTGTTAGTGCCTAAGCTTTGACAATAGTCTCTCTATTACAAAGGATGATAATTAATGGATATCTTTATTTAAAAAATTTTTACTCGAATCATATTTCCTGTTTAGGTTAACAATTATATATCTCAGAAACTGTATCTAAGAAATTTTTTTATTAAAAGCGATATCTGTCTAGAATATTAAGATACTTTTGTTAGATGGTTTATATGTTATAAAAACAGATTTTAGCGGATGCTTTGCTATTCTGCTTAGAATTTATTCAATAAGACTGTATTGAAGCAGTTAGAGACTGAAAATCTGAGACGCGGTGTCGACTTTTTTAAACCGTTTAGCTATTGCTAAATATCTTGGTCTAAACATTTAAAAGCAATTGTGTACCAATATGTACTAATATAAATCAATTTTGTTATTTCCAAATCAATTTTTATGAATAGAAATATTCATATTATTTAGCTTTTTTTGAATGAGGTTTTATACTTCTTAGTAGTACTCCAATATGGAAATTGTATTTCACAAACGTTCTCTTTACGTACTGAAGAAAAATATGATGTATCGAAATTTTTGATTTATAAACATGAAGTGCAGAACATATTAAAGGGAAAATTTGATTCTTACAGGAAAACACTCGATAATAAATTAGTATGGCAAAAGACAACTTATACATGCTTTACAGTTTATCACACGTAAAAAATATCATGCAGAACAATTATCTTCCTCCACTTTAACCAATTGAATTTTTTGACCGGAGCCAGTTGATGTTAAGAAATTAGCCATTTGAGTGTGATATTCACTCGAGTCAATTTTAAGAATGTAAGGTATTATTGAATCTATCGAGACACTCCCTATTAATCCAGCAAAAAACAGTTCTTCAATGATTGAGGAGGAGAGAAGACGCAACGCAGGAAGGGCTAGAAGAAGATTCGCCTGTCTATCTATCCATATTTCAGAATAGGTTGACTGCAATAGCTCCCTCAATGAGTGCTGGAACGTTTTCTGCATTTGGCGTAGTTTGTTAGCTTCCGTTCCATGAGCGTGATCTATCAATATTTTTTTATTTTAGGTTTGTTGACAATCTCATATTATATTTCTCATGAACTTACCCGGGCTGAAGATACATAAGGCTTTTAAATGAGCGTATTCGGGAGCAGTAACAGCTAATCGCTTTAAATTCTCCATGATATCCCTTATCTGTTCAACAGTTTCTAGAACCAGGCTAGCCCTGTCTGCAACTGATTTTTCTATTAAAAAAAAATATTTATACTAATTGCCAGTGTAACCAGAAGTTTTATTTACCCTTGGAGGAATTATTATTTATGTGATGGATAACGGCACTGAGGATCAAATTAAGGTTAATAACGTCTGCACATTGGGCCAGACCAAGAGCAAATATTTCTTTCCAACATTTTTTAACAGTTACAATTTGCATTCCTTCACTGAAAATAAAGAAGAAAAGTGTTTAGCTATATATATCGACTACAATTGATTTCTTTTATTTACTCTAGCATTTCAAAGGCAGATAACTTTTTGGTCCAGTGTAAAGTTAGGAATAAAAGTCTGGACGCAGTTTCGCAAATATAATGAACGTTTAGGTGAGAAGGCATTGGTGACGGTGTAGCTAACGAAAAGTCGTAATTAGCGTCAGTCATTAAGGCACCGTCTACATCTAGGCACTCTTCTTCCACGTTCAAGTCACGTGTTTGGTCCGGTTTACGATTTTTGTTCATAGATACCAATGAAGTAACGACATTTGCCAAAGTGCTTAAATCTGCATTGTTATGATCACTATTTGTCGTTTGACTAGAAGCTTGCTGCATGTCATTTAAAAGGAAAACACCACCATCTTCCGTCTGAACTAATCGTTCCGACAAATTGGACAAGAGACCTTCCGCCTTACCTTCCTGTGATGTTATTATTTATTAGGCTAATGAAGACGCTTTATGCAAAATTTAAAATACTACCGTATTTGGCAGATCCTTATTCAAAAATAGTCTATCTCCTATTGATTGACTGTTTGACATTTTCTCATCAATATTGTAATTAGGCTTGCGTTCTTGTTGAACGGCTGAAAAAATTCATAAATTAGCAATTATAATCCTTCATAATGTTATCTTACATTCCGATCTCATTCCTGATGCGATGCATTTTTGTAAACGACAATATTGACACCTGTTTCTATAATGCTTTGTGATAGGACAATCCTTACTTCCTCTGCAAGCGTAGCCCAATTTTTTTCTTATAGAGCGTTTGAAAAATCCTTTGCAACCTTCGCAAGATAAAACTCCGTAATGTCTTCCCGATGCTCTATCTCCACAGACCACGCATTCTTCTAACTTGAATTTTGTATCAAGGGACCCTGGTTGTTGTTGCCCCTCTTCTCTTACTCGTACGATTCTTGCATTTGGAGATGTCTTTATTGATAGGAATTTAATTTTTTTTTTTTATGAACACGCAGATGATATTTTACCTTCAAGCCCGTAGACGCAGCCATGTAAAGTTGATTACCACTGGCAAACTGCAAAGTCAGAAGAGAGGTTGCTTAGAGTCATAAAGTGGTTCTCAACATTATAATTTTACCATATTCGCTAAAGTAACGGGGAGGGTAATAGTTTGTACCGAACTACTGATATCTGGTTTGCTTTCGCCTGTCACTTGCATTATTCCTGCGACGATAAAGAAAATATTAAAAAAAGGCAACACAAAGAAATTGGTTTCATTTAATACCCTGAGGACTCTGTTTAGGTGGTTATAAAAACGTCAACATTGATAGTAACATTCTAAATTGAACGGTTGTACTTATATGCTAAGCTATACAATGCTGTTCGTTATTCTGACCTACCACACCTGTATGCTAAAGGTCGTGACCTTTCTTTGTCAAAGGTCAAACGACGTTCGAGGACCGTATGCTCTTTCCGCTTGTTTATTTGTCGCGATCTCCTTGCTTCAAGCAATAATATTCATCATAGCTTTCTTGACGTAAGAGTTGTATTGATAAGTAAATTAAAAGCAAATTAGCCAAGGTAACAAAATGTTGCTTAGGAACAGCTTGTATAATGCCCTCTTGTGACCTTTTATCAAGGGGTCATTGGGTTGCAATATCACTACCTAAATAATAATTAATAAATTTTTTTCCTCAAAAAAGATATATTTCTGAAGCAACGCTTAAAGGTACACATGCAAACATATATTTTCTAAATGTTGAAATCCGTGATTCTAAAGCCTTTTTAAAAATACCTAAATTTGCCCTGGGTCAAAGCCCTAATATGAATAATATATGCAGCAAACCATGCAAGCGCACGCGATATGTAGCAATATTTACGGTATAATTTACTAGTGGATAGTTCCTGTATTCACAATAAAGTATTGATTAGTGATGGTTACTCACGACAGATGTAACCGTTTAGTAATTTTTTCGAGGAAAGGATAAAAATTGTTACAATAAATTTGCATATCTGTGAAATCATAATCTAAAGAGGCCGCACTAATCTAAGTCAAGAAAAAAGCTAACAGAAATATGAATAGAAAATAGCCTTTCTTATAATTATGCAAAAACTTAGGTGATATGCAGGTCGTGTCATGTCGCCATGTGTTGACGTCTTGAGAAAAACCCTATCTCTCCTTACGTGCAAGTAACTCAACATTTTTAATCAATGGCTGTAACTTTCATAGACATGAATACAATATCACTTTACTTCTTAATAACAAGCAGAACAGTAGAGTTAGAGAACCCTTCTGTTTTCGCTTCCTTCATAAGGATTCACTACAAAAAAATTTTACGTCTAAATGATTTGTCGAACGTCAATCGTTGGCAAAATAAGTTAAAATACATAAAGATCTACTAGAAACAATATCATTATTTGAAAAATACTTACTCCCTCACTCCTATTTTAACGAAATTCGTTACTTGTTGGCAAGAAAGGTCAGAGTTCGTGACATACTCTGTGTGTCGACACTCCCAGTTTAGAGAAAATATTTTGTCTATCTAAACTAGTGACATCTATCTTTTAATCAGAATAGGTAACAAATATGTACTGGCCAACAAGATATATTAATTTTTTCGACATTTATGTGAAGTACTCAATAGAAATATTCTCTTATAAATATTCTACCCCGAATATTGTTTGATAGCCAAATACATACTCTTTAAATATTTATTTTTGAAAAATCAACCGTCAGGATCGCTAGTTATAAAAGATTAGGTTTGTTCATCATATAAGTTGCTCGGTCATCAGATTTGATGGTGATTGGTTAATAACTTGACACGCTCATTAGAATACTCAGACTTTTCATACATTTAATTTGATTATAAATTGTTGAGCTATGGAACAAATATATATGCTCAAACAATGAATTGACGAAATTTGTAATGATGAATGCATACAACAATTTATCAAACAGATGTCACTAATAGTTGTCAAAAATAGCTTTCATAAGATTGTAGCTATTTTACCTACAAATAAAGTAATTTTGCAAATTTATTGTAATCAATCGCATATTACTTTAGCAAAAAAAAAACACCACAACATCTAGCCTATTGTTTTACTGAGTTAAAAAAATGATATTATCCGGATGGAATATAAGCATGCCAACTATTCCTTACGATGAAATAATATAATAATAATAATAATAATAATAGTAATAATAATTATTATAAAGAAAAAAATAAAGTAATCATTATAACAATGATATAAAACTACAATTTTGACTACATCATACAAGTTTATCCATTTTTCATTAAAACACCCAAATTGAAGACGAAATAAACGACGTTTTGTGCAGATGCATAATATGATTCATGTAAGCTTAGTCACCATACATACTATTACACTTAAACATTCGTACGGTAATTAAAAAATGTATCTGCGTAATACAGTCACAAAGAAGCAGGTAGCTATAGTGCATACGAACTACGAGAATAACGCGAATTTGATGAGGAGCTACACAACCTAAGCGACTGTTAACAGTTCGAAAAGGCGGATATGCATGAGGGATGGAAAGGAAAGCTAATGTGGCGTCAGAGTTCCATATCTGCAGCTTCGTCTTCGGAAAAATCTGAGAGCGATGATTCGCTTGATGTCTGCATTTCTTCCTGCTCTCGCAGTGCTTCTTCAGTTGCATACTTTCGAACGTAAGCTAAGAAAAAATCATTGAGAAAAGTGGCCAAAATTTTATTTCAGACATACTCTCAACTTTTTTCTTGTAATCTTGCGGCTTGTGCAGGAACATTGCGGCAGCATCGCCATTCAAAGGGTCGATGGGGTTTGGATACGAAAGAAGCTGAGGTAGGAACGATTCGAAGATGTTGCACAAATCTATTGTCAAAGTGAACAACAATTTAGTTTCAGAAAAATTTACAAAATATTACCGTATAAAGCAGTCCATGCTTGATTGATTACGTCCAAACAAACAGTTCCTGAAACTTCGTCAATATTGGGATGAAATATGCGATTAACGAATCCGATAGATGGCGATTTAAAAGGATATTTATCAGGTAGGTCAACTCGAACCTTCCAAACGCCTCCCTCATACGGTGCTATTTATAAATAAATGTGATGACAAATAATTTCAAAATGAGCTACACTTACTGTCTGTTGGTCCGTAAAATTTGACGACAAATTCGTTCAAACCACTAAGAATGGTCACTTCGTGCTTGCTTTCAATTCTAAAATCAGTCAAGTTAAGGAGCGCTCTAATGTTAAAAAATATGCAGTGCACCGCTATCGATTCGTTTTACTAGGCCTATTGCGCATGAAATTAGCCTACGCCAAAGACATAAGTTTTTTAATTAACCTCTTAATAAGCTCACCCATCATATATATATATATATATATATATATACTGCTTTCACTATGATTTAAAAAGAGGACAAACAAGAACTATCCAGCATGAAACAGGTCAATCTAGTTCGTTGACTTTCTTTGACCCCGGATTTCCAGCAGCTGACGACCGTTTTAGGGTACAAAATCCGGAAGAACCATAATCTAAAAGATATATTACATTCAATATTCACTGAAAGGACTCTGAGTCCTTCGATTTTTACAGCTGTCGCAGAAATACCTCAAAATTTTCAACAGCTCATTTCGACCTGTATCACCATTATTCAAAAACGAGCGTTTAAAAGGATACAATTTGACAACGTCTGTATCAATTCGGCGCTTCCCCGGACTAGGTGAGGACATCTTACGACGCTTTCTTCTCTTTTTTTTCCTGATCAATCAAACAAGTTCTTCGTCTAACAGAGATAATAACAACAATGGCGTTTGGTCACGTGATCCGCAGTAAATGATCACGTGATAGAAAAATATTTCCCTTCTTGGCTTCTAGACTTATTTTCCGAATCGAAACTGATATAAAATAATCACTTTTATTTTATAATCACTAAATTGTATCATTTAAGGGAAAGACAATCCGAATTAGTCCTTAAACGTACATAACGCAGGTCATGACCTGCTTATTTGCATGCAATCAGCTGTTTGCATGTAAACAAACGATATATGGTGTAGGTGATGTCAGTGATAGCCTGCATTTTATTTATTTATTACATCTCTAACTTATTTAATTTATTCTCGTAAATTATAATTTTCTTACAATATTTGTCAATTCAAAGTATATTCTTAGCAGACACACATTATCATATCGCCAAGAAATGAATGCGATACAAGCAGTATGTCAACTGTGGAAGACATTCTAGTTTTTTTTTAATTTAAGCAACAATTTTTGGTAATAAATTATTATACAATTCGCAGACGAAAAATACCAACCAAACCAAATATTAAGAAATTTCTAGAATCTAAGCAAACAGAAAAATAAGCATTAGGATTTAGGCTTCATGATACAATTTTGTTGCAATAATTTCTCCAGTTGAAAGTGTTTGAGTACTGCTGTCAGTTGTCTTTTTTACCGAACAAATTGATGAACTTGAATTTGAAGCTGTTTCAGTTGTTGGTGGTCGGGATGTATAGGAGCACAAATCCAATCTTAATTCGTGTAAATCGGTCAATGAGCCATTAGACATAGTTCCATCAAAATCATCAAGATTTTTATCTGATGATGAATCTGACGGTATTATGCTATTTATCTCGTCTTGAAATGAAAAAGGAGCTGATTCTTCGAACATAGCAGAGTTAGGAAGTGAAGTTGGGGCAACTTCATCTTCTTTCCATACGTGAGTGGCTCTCCATTTGGCTCGAGATGTCTTAGGTGCAAGAACAGCATTGAACCACAAAGTCTCTCCAATTTTGAACTCTGTTTGCATATCCTCTATCGCTTCCACCATTATGCTTTTATCAAAAAATACGTGCTCATGTTTGCCAAGATCAACTATACCCCATAATTTTGCTACATGATAAATAATTCCGTTGCAGGCTGTCAGCACATTTTGCGCTGAATGAACAAGGCCACTTTTTGGTTTACTTCCTGTAATAATTACATTAAGCTTGGCACTTTTTAAAAGTGTTACGCTTTGATCAGCTCGATCATAGTTGAAAACCGAAGAAAAAGATTCGAAAAAACTCTCCAAATCCTCTTTATTGGAACCCATAACATTTTTCATACTTTCGGGCACGCTGGTTGTAAGGGGGAGTAAGCTTTGTATAGGGACTGTGGTACCCGAGAAACGTTTCTCCAGTATATCTTTAAGGAACATGACTGATTTATATTCAGTTGCAGTCATAGAGACCGGTACGTTTGTTTTTCTCTTTTGAGATAAGTCTGTTTTGTCATTAAGGGATTTAGTTCGTTTTATATTGGAGCGTGAGTTCAACTTTGAATGCCCATTGCTCAAATCCAAATTCCTAGCTGGTACCGCTGGGGTTGACAAAGAAGCGATGTCATCTTTAAGAGCAACAAGCTCTCCTTGAACCTCGAAGATATGAGGATGTTTCAGTAACCATTTTCTGAAATCTAATTGCGGACCAACGATACCCCTAATTTCAGCATTTGCCTGACTTAAATGTCCAGCTAATGATTTTATATTGATCCATTTCTCTTCCTTCTTTGCTAGCCATGACTGAAAGTAATTTACAGCTAGCATCTCAAGAGAAACGTCAGGCACAAGGCTTGCTCCAGCTCCTGGAACAACGTTTGAACCGGCTCTCGAACATGAGACGCCGTCATCCAAACTGGATTGAGTAGAAGGAGATGATGCCTCAAATAGAGATACAACATTTCCCTTAATAGTGAAAAGTGACGGATATTTTTCTAGAAAGCTCTTTAAACCTAGAAAACAAAATAATGATGAATCTAAACACATATACTATAGATGGCGCTAATCAGCAATTATACCGGCTTCGTTTCCACCACAGGCAACTCGCATTTCTGCTGTAAAACTCTGTAAAATTGTGTATATTGTGTTGGTAGCTAGTATTATAATTTAAAATAACTGTACCCTGGAGTTAAATCGACCAGCGAGCTGCGAAATATTCAAGCTTCCATTGCTGTTCATAAGTACTTCAAGAAAATAAAGCATCGCTTTATGACCTGCTTCCTCGGTTGACATTTTTTTTATTGTTTCCTTTTAACATTACAATTAAATGTAATTAAACTACATAGTTTAAATAGTTAAAAAATATATTAAACATAATAGCTTTCTAACTCACCAGATATTAATAGAGATTTACTGAAAGACGGTTGATTTCCTACTCTTGGGTATTGTTAAAAAGCCCAAGTTAGTGTCTAATAATAGTTAATGAGCGAGGAATCGAAATGAAGAAGATCCGATTAGCTCTTCTTCCTGAAACATCATCGTGAGCCATAAAGTTTGGGGTGATACAATATTATAACAAACTCCATAAATCCTATTGTCAGCTTAGTATATTTCATGGATACTTTATACATAAAATAAATTTATAAATCATCTTCATAAATTTTATTTTGTTAGCGATGTTTAGTGAGCTAAACGGCTTGATTGTAAAAGAAAAACTTAGCAAAGTGAAAGACGTAAAAAGTAATTTTTTGACCTTTAAAAAATTGGACAATGCTGATTAGAAAATGATCAAATAGAAAAAATATTATTGTCTTTTAAAATAATAAAAAAAAACCTCAAAAAATTGACGAAAGCGGAAAATTCCTGAGAAATAAGAATCAATTAAGGATGATTCTTCGGCTGAACCGACCACTGAACCTTACTTTTATTTAAAAATTGTTTTCGGAGACGTAACAAATTAGTAAGAATTGTTATTTGATACTAGTAGAATTATCTCGTCTTTGCAAAAAAGTTATCGTTAATATAAATTTTAATGCGCATGCGCAACATACATACGCCATTTTTGTGTGCTGAGCTTGACAGGTTCCTTCAAATCGTGCCGGTATTAAAGAGTTTTTAAGGATTATCTGCTAATTTTATATCTATTAGTTAATTCAACGATATCCTATTATATTTATCAAACAAAATCTGCATTTAGGTCAGAAATCAGACGAGAATTGAAGTTAGTATTAAACATTTCATTATTTGTGTTCTAAATCAAAACAAATTTCAAATGAATTACGTTCGATTTTTACTATAGCGTCATTAATTATATATAAAGGAAAATGTTATAATTGCAAAACTCATTGTAAAAATTGTAAAGTCTCTTGATCTGAAATTATTATAACAGGGGCAAACTCAAATTTGTTTGTTTTTTTTGTATGGATATTCTCGATATTACTTAGTATAGCAAATAGTGACTTTAATAATTTTTCTTACAGTACAATTAAGAAAATGGTTTTAGAGACCGCTCATGCGGTTCTGAGACTACTGGGCTTTTGCTTCTTGGATTGGATATTTTTTATGCTCATTGACAATGCGGTTAAATTTAGTCTCCGGTATGTTCAAACATGTTGTTTTGCACAATTTCACTCGTATCATTTCTCTAGGAAAAATGTTTTTAGTCGAGAAGTTATTTGGGCTTCAGAATCAGTTGTGTTTGTAACTGTTGCATATAACTTGCAATATTCTCACACATTTATGAGCCATACCCCATATCTTTTATATATTGCTGCTCTCATAGAATTTGGTATCACCTTATACTCTTCTAGGTTTTATGCTAGGTGAGATATATTCTAAGTTTCATCCATTTTTAAGCTTATTGAATCTTAATTATCACTTTTAGAAATTTGTTATCTTTTATTGGAAATCGTTGGGAAGAATACGAACAACACGAAGAAAGTAGAGAAAATCAACAGCGCTTATTTGAAGCAACAAGACATACTCAAACACTCAATCAGACATCAACAATTCAACGTTCAATAAGTTGTGCTGAAGTACCATTGGTGAACCAACAAAAATCTCAATATAGCTATTCACCAAAGACAAATTTTACAATGCAATCAGGATTTGATTTTTCAGTTCGTCGACCTATTCAACAAAGTGAGCCATCTTTTCTTCCAGTAAGGAATCTACAAGAAAGTAATTTTCCACCTCCTGGCATATGTAATTCAGGCAACATGTGCTTCCTAAATAGCATTGTGCAAGTACTTGCACATACTCCTAAATTAGTTGAGAACTTAAGCCGAACTAACGACTCTGGATCAAACTTTTTGAAATCATTTAAGGATGCATGCTTTCAATTGAGATATAACAGAAATGCTAAGAGTTATGTTGAGCTCAATCAGTTGAAAAACTTTATTCGGTGTAAGGACCCAAGCAAAGAATTTTTAAACTCAGATTCAATCCAACAAGAACAGCATGATGCCAGTGAACTTTTTCTCTGGCTTTTAGACTCTTTACATACTGATTTACTTTCAACTGACAATACACGTAAGCTTTTAATTCATTTGTATGATAATACTATTTTCAACTTATTCAGTTAATGGAGCTCTCTGTGGAAGACAACCTCAGAATTCTTTGGAGGCTTTAAAGTTTATTTATGGTGACATGACGGTGAAGGACATGGAGGAAGTTAGAGATACAAGTTACACAGAAATAGGCAAGTCAAGGAATATTGAGTCGGATGCATTTGTCGAAGCTGTTCAAAGATTATCTGACATTGAGTGGTTAGCTTACAAATCGAAGAACTGTACAGCAATTGACGAGCTATTTACGGGGCAGCAGTTATTTATTTCCCAATGTGCCAAATGTTATAAGCCTTCAGTGAAGGTTGTATTCATTTGATTTTACTTCCTCAAAGTAACAACATTAACTTTACAGGTTCAACCATTTAGGGTTTTAATGTTACCAGTCAGTGAATGCCAAATAAATCACATTAGCGGAGTTCTTCATTTGAATGACTGTTTTCAAAAGTTTGCGGCAAGCGAAAGCGTTCAAGATGCAGTTTCATGCAAATCATGCTTGAACACTACGCTCAACGGTGCAGATTTGATGGGAACATCAACACCAGTTTATCGGCGTAGACTACCGACTGATGCATCGCCTATACTATCTTGGAATGACGAGAGAGTGCCAGCAGAAGAAGGTACAACTCCCTTTAAAACTTCTACACCGGTTAGAGGACTGTCATCATCAGACTATTTTTTAAGAGCCTATTTGCGACAACTCCCACCTTGCATTGCCATTCAGCTCCTACGGTATCGTTGTACAGAAGAACATATATGCAGAAAAATTGATACACCGATTAATATACCACTAAGGAATTTGAATTTAACAAAGCTACTTATTGGAAACTGCACAATTTCACCTAAAGTTGAAACAGTTTTTCCAAGTGCTATTGACTTATTATATGATTTGTATGCAGTTTGTGTTCATTTTGGTTCAAATTGCAGCAGTGGACACTATGTCACTTATGCTTTAGGTCCAGATGAACTGTGGTATAAATTTGATGATGACAAAGTGACTCGTATTACTGGAATGGACTATGAATTAACCAAGCGACAAATAAAGGAAAATGTTTATTTACTTTTCTACAAACGCCGTATTTGTTGAACAACTTGTTGCGATATTGTCGCATGATTTTGTTTATTTTTTTTGAATGAAATATAATTGGTGCTAGTGATAGGAGTTCGATTCGGTAGATTGGGTGAGATAAATTTCTAATGTAATTAGGCCAATAGAAAGAGTAAATAAAGCTTTTGACAGAAGTAAACTCCAAGATCCCAGACTGAAACATTGTATCAAAATTCTGAAAATAAAAAGAAATTTCACATTTTGTTACTAAAAAAAGTATATAGCTTACTGTATAACTATAGGGCGATAAACAGACAAAAACAGAAAGCCTACTACAAGAGGTAAGAGTGCTTTATGTAAATAATAACGAGAATATAGCCAAACCAAAGTAGCAACAATCACGTTGTGTATCTGCAAGTATAAGCAAGTAACTATATAACAAATATATTCATATAAATGAATTTACCAAATTGATATTGCTCTCAAAGCTCATTTGCATGTACTTCCAGTCAAATTCAACCCCTCTAGCTCCGACCCACAAAGGTATAAAGCGTGTAACAAGTAGCTCTGCTCCTGCCCATCCAAGACCAGCAACCAAAAATTTCATTTGACCTTTAGCAACTAATTTTGTCATTACCAAATGAAGACCAACTAAGTCAGCTATATCAATGGTGCATTTCATTAATTCCTAAGAGAAAATAGTAAAAATAGTACGTATCTTCCATAAGCTTTAAATTATTTCAATACTCACGCCGACAAAGTCAAAAGATGAAGATGAATCGTATACGGGGAAAAATGTTGCTAATACGAGCATTTTACACAATTGTGTAAACAAATAAGCTGCTCCTGCCTGAACACATTTCCAAAAAACGCTGTACTCTTGCCTGTATTAAAGATTACCACTTAAAATTGCATTATATCGTTCAGTTGTCTCGTTGTATGACTGTTATTTATACTTACAGCCCGGATGTTCTGTATATTAGTACATAAGGAACGTACGACACAGCAACACAATTTATAAAATGAAAAAAAGTCATTTCTTTTCCAATTTAGGGTAATATAAGAAGTTGACTTTGGATCAACTGAAGATAATTAAAATATTCTCGAACTTGTATTTTCGAAAATATAAAGTGGCTCCTTGGTTATGCGCTCTTTTCTTGCATATTTTGAGGAGAGGAAGCCAAAACCACACTACCTCAGTTTAACCCGAGAATTTTTATGGATTGAGCGATGGCGGCAATGGCTGCGATGCATAATAATTTTACTGAGAATCATTTTTAAAAACTAATTTATATTGGAGTTTCGTAGAATCTTAGCGGAATGTTTAAATACTGCTGTTCTATCACTATTCTCCCTTGAACCGTATCATGCTCAGTGATGAAAATAATAATTCTAATCATCTTTTTCTTTGCCTCTAATTCCCTTTACTTCAGATTTGTTCAAACAGGTAGTATAATAGTGAGGTACTGATGAAATTATTAATATTTTTTATTGTAGATACGAATGTTGAATCTTTTACAATCGAAGGCCAAGCAGATGCACATATTGGTGGTCCAAAGAATATTCTATTTTTTCAATGCAATCATTCCAAGCATGATTTCGTTTTGACTTCTAACAACGGATCAATTTTTCTTGCAACAGTTAATTCTACTCATGAAGGCGTTTATCAATGTTCATCATTAAATTGTAATGATTGCTTACAGTGGAATTTCACATTGCACGTTGAAAGTACGTTTTTTATTTTTCATTACACTAGATATGTAAAATTTATTAGATATATCTTGGTAAAATATTCCTTTTTAGTTCAAATTCTACTTTTAATAACTAAAAACTTTGATACATAATTGCACAACAGAAACAGGTACCAGGGAAACTAAAAAAACCACCCTAAATGATCCCATTACTACCAATACTGTAACCACGTTAGCACCGACGTTAACTGTTGATATAATGGAAGATACTGAAGTTAAGGGATTTAAAATAACCAACAGAACTTTTAATTCCGTTCAAGTACACTTTAAAATTACTGGCACTATTCCTCTTGGTAAAATATATTGTGAAAAAATTTGTGGTCTACAATGTCGAAACTTAACTCTTTGCAAAGTGAATCGTACATCATCATCTGTAAGATTTTCGCAACAAGATTTAGCGATTATTCTTTGAATTTTTTTTCGTTTTATATATTTTCAGATATATAATATTCAAAATTTAAGAGAAGGTAATTCATATGAACTGAAAGGTATTTTAAACAATAGTGTCACATTGTATATTGGAAAAGTTACAACGCTTAAGAAACGTATGTATTAGAATTCTAAATGATTTAAACATTATAATTAGTATAAACATTTTCAGCCTCAATTAAAGTAACATCGATTTTTACCTCTAAATTTTGCTTTCAATCGGAAATAGAATGTGCTAAGTGTATTAAAATCTTATTGAAGAAAGCAAGAAGTAATGAATGGAAACGTTCATTTTATAATGGGAGGACTTTTTGTATAAATTATTTAGGTTAGTGTTTCTCCGAACTTCTAGACTGGAGAGTTTACTTTCTTTTATGATGTAATAGATTCCGAAGAAGAGTACGACATAAAAATTGACATATATTTCGGAGAGTACGGATTTCTTGAAGCGAAAAAGTATAAGTTAAAAACCAAAGCTGAAAGTATGTGTTCTGTGCATCTTTAATAGTGATTTGATTATTGATTCTTTTAGTACCACCGTCTCCAAAGATTTTAGACCTCGAACTTAAAAAAAATGTTTTAACTTTGTGGATAGAAGTCGATAACTCAAAGAAAGTTGAAGAATTTTTCATAAAATTTCAAAATTGTCCGTCAGCCAAAGAAGTTAATTATACTACAAATGTGTCCGAATTAAAATTAAATAATACCCGATATCAGTTTATAACAAAGGTACTTAAGTAATTAAAGGATATTCGAAAAGTTTTTATTTTACATTTGTGTCATAGCTTCCTGAAATAGGATGTAAAGTTTCTGTCAGTGCAGTAAGAAACTTCAATGGAAGTTCTCTTTATAGTCATTTTAAACATATTGATGATGCCATGCTGAAATATAGTAAGTGATTTAAATTTATGTTCTATCCTTAATAGAATTTTCATTCTAGAAAACATTCGCCCACCGAAAGAAAAGAAATCAAATCAAACTGTTATAATAGCTGGCACACTACTTTCATTTTCCGCTATAGCAGCAGGAGCAATATTTTTCTTTCTGTACAGGTAGAAAATTCCTCATTTCAAATAGATGGTTACTATCTAATTTTTCAGGCGATTTTTCCGACATCGTCAAAGATATGATTACAATGGATTTTTTTTACAAAATGGACCATCCTCCATCGCAACAGTTGCCATAAATTTCAAATCAGAATTAACTAGTAAGTTTATGACATACATACTACTTTAATTTCGTACTATAATGTTACATAGAATTACCAGATAGTGATACCAAGCCAATACTTCTTGGGGATTGGGAAAATTATGTGCAGAAACTCCGCTCCGATGGAGATGTTGGATTTTCATTGCAATACGCCGAGTTGGAAAAAGCAACTGCTCCAACCCACTTTCAAGCACATGCTTCCAATCTTTCTGAAAATCGTTTAAAGAATCGATATGTTAATATAGTTGCCTGTAAGTGATACTTAGGTTTAATAAACTTGACCTAGTTTGATCTTTATTCAGATGACAATACCAGAGTGATTCTTGGAACGAGTTCAAACCCCAAACATAACTATATCAATGCCAATTATGTTGATGTAAGCTATGGACAACATTAACTTTCCATTTACTGAGTTCTATTTAATTGTAGGGTTATCATGCTGAAAAAGCTTACATAGCTGCACAAGGTCCGCTGCCAGCTACATTTGTTGACTTCTGGAGGATGATATGGCAAGAAAGATGTACAGTTATTGTTGTTATAACAAACATGACTGAAAAAGGCAGAGTAAGTATTTATAATTCTAACAGTAGTTTTTCAAAAATTATTGCTATCAGAAAAAATGCGATCAATATTGGCCATCGGAGGGTGAGGAAACATATGGTAATTTTACAGTAAAATTATTGTCAACTACTGAAAGAGCCTTCTTCACAATACGGGTATTTTCTATCAAGCAACATAAAGAATCTAAGGTAAATTCACTTTGTATATTAGAAATTATACATTCGAATCAATTCAAAATGACCTCAGGGAGATGATTCCGATCCTGAAGAAGAGCGAATGGTAGCTCATTATCATTTTACGGACTGGAAAGATCATAGCCGTCCTGCATATGCTTTGCCAGTCCTAAATTTTGTTAACAAAAGTGCTGCTGCTAACAGCGAAAATTCCGGACCTATAGTCGTTCATTGCAGGTATGCTTACGATGTTCAGGTTGTGATTTAATTCTAACACGCATTATAAAATTCAGTGCTGGAGTTGGAAGAACAGGAACGTATATAATGTTGGACTCTATGATGAGAGAAATTCGAGATAAGGGAACTGTATCTCTTTTGGCTTTTTTGTATAGGATCCGTCAACAACGAAACGTTCTCGTACAAACAGAGGTCAGTCTATATTTGATTGTAACCTAGTATTTCAGTTAAGAACTTTTACAGGAACAATTTGTGTTCATTCATGATGCAATTGTCCAATTTATAAAAAGTGGAGGGGACACAGAAATAAAAGAGAGTGAATTGACAAGATACTGTTCTGAACTTGCTACAATAAAATTACCTTCTGGCTCTGATGAAGAAGATGCAACAACTTCCCTTTTGTCATCATCAACATCAAGGTCTTCTACTTTAAAATCTCGGAGGGGCAATTGCCTGACTCCTCTTCATTTAGATGCCCAATTCGATGTAATTCTAATAATTTTATGTGAATCATTTTAAAGTCATAGCGAACAATTTTTCAGCTCATCACCTCTCATCAGCCAAAAGATTATATGTTCAGCGTGTCCTTAAACAAGGCTAATATTGGAAAAAATTTCTCACCAAAATTCTTACCTTGTAAGTAGCTGATCCCTCTTTCAACTATCAAATTTGCGTTACATAACATTAATATATATCACAGTAATAAACTCTCGAATAAAACTGCCTATGAAACCTGGAGAGGAAAATTCTGATTATATTAATGCTTCTTATATGCCTGTATGTATATAATTTATGATAAATACTAGAAAATTTAGGAAAAATGTTCACAGGGCTTTTTTAAACGTCACGAGTTCATTTTAACTCAAGTTCCACTACCTCACACAACTGAACATTTTTGGATTATGGTTATAGATCATTCTGTCAAAGTTATGGTTAGACTAACTGGTGATGAAGAAGAGGATGGAGAGGCTTTTGAAAACTTTAAATGCGAAAAATTTAAAGTTGATATAGTAGAAGAATGTCATGAACTGAATTACGCAAAACGTATTTTTAGAATTCGTCTAATCGACGAGGATTTAGAAATGAAAACCACTTTAATTACCAGTAGTTATTGGCCTGAATCTTGTACGCCTATAACTACAACTTTTGAAGTTATTGATCTCATTAAAGAAAGCTACCAGGATGATTCCAGAGAATTAAGCATTATTATAGACAAATATGGTGGTAGAAGAGCTGGATTATTCTGTGCTTTGTCTGTTCTACAAGATCAGCTACGTCAGGAAGCTGTTGTTGACGTTTTGAGCTTAATGCAATTGTATCAATTAATTAGACCAGGCATACTACAATCACAGGTAGTGAAAGAGTGCACCTTTTGCAAAATTTAATTATTTTTGATATTTCAGATGGATTTACTATTTTTATATAAAGCTATTGAGAGTTTAAGCAGCGGTTATAATCGCGATCGTGATTCAGGAATTGGAAATTGTCCAGATTCATCAAAGGCGGTCGACGACCATATTGGCAATGATAATTAAATTAGAAAATTTTTTACGTCGAAACATTATTTTCGTTTTCGCTTTTTTATATTGTAGACATATCTTTGTTGTTGTTATTATTTTACAATACTGCTTTATCTAATTTCTAGTTGCTTGTGTGATACGTCGTGAACGTCCTAAATGTTTTGAACACTGATGGTGCTCATTAGAAAATTCAATCAAATACAGCCACGAGTCATTCGTGTATTATTTCTAAATTAGCTTTTTTTTACATATATTTTACAGGGAAAATGCTTAGCAATCGAAGTCCATGTAAGAAGATGTGTTGAAACGCTTTCATCAAATATAGTCTTGCTTGAATTAATGGTAGCAAATTTTCATGAGGATCCTGAATAAATTATGGTCAAATAGGTAATTTTGTAACAAAAACTTACTCTTAGAATTCTAATTCGCCCATAATAAGAGCTAAAATCTTTTGCAAAATTAATAAGAAACTGACATAGCTGGAAAACGTAAATTTCACGTAATCGAAACACCTTACAATTATCTTCTTACCGTATGAATTTTAAAGTCTGCATTCGGCATTTCGGTAAATATACTTTCAAATGATACTTCCAGGTTATTGTGAAAACACGTTACATAATTAAATAGTAATCCCCATTCTTCCTGAAATTTTTCAATTATTATATAATTAAACTATACTCAAACTGATAAAAATAAAGGTGTTAACTTCGTCTGTAAGTAAAGAAAAATCTATCTCTGATAGAGAAGGCAGGTTTGGATAAACTCCATCTTGTACAAGTTTATCAAATTGCTGAAATAGAGTTGAAAGACGAGCACAATTATAAAGAACAAATTTTCCACTTTTTGAATTTAGGTCAGCTTTCGTCAGTTTAACCTATTTGAAAATGTAACGTAAGCACGCAAGAAAGTGTGATAAGTTTCTTTAATCGAATTTCTTACGATTTGAGAAGGCCTTGTCGATAAAAAATCAAACTTAAGTTGGCAAGTGGAAATATTGGTCAGCCATTCAGGATTATTTCCTTTACTGTTATATTTTACTCCAAAAGCATCTTGAACTGCCTCAAATTTTCTTTCACAATACTGTTGCAAAGTAACACCATCCTCGGAATCAGTGATAATTACCTTTGCTACGCTTAAATTTTTTACCTATGTGGGTTATGGATCTTATAAGACTAAAATTTCATGTCATAAATTATGATATTTACAATTAATTTAGGTTTTTCTGACAGTAGCATCCTCACAAGGATATTTAATTTTTGACATTTAAATTCATTTACTTGAGAACTTACGAAGATCAAGGAATTCTCTTTCAGAGAACACAATAAACATCTATCCTTAATTATAATACGTAGATATGACAGTAGTTGGGCAAGTTCTTCATCTAAAATTTTAGAAACTTATATTATGAAAACATGACCTAGATAGATTTATACCATCTAAAATTGTTAAATTTTTAGAAAAGTATGAAGAAATTTTATTTTCCTCAGCAAAAGTCTTTATATCAAGGTAACTTTTTTCTGAAATATAGTATTTGTTTTTCCTAATATTTTTTTTCAAGATCTCCATTGAGCACTCCTGTTTACACACTAAGCATTTTTTTGATAAGTCATTTCTGTACTGTGGTGCGTCAAGTAGAGGACAGAGATATCCCTGATTGGAGCTGATATAACTTGTTTTTGAGCTGCCAAATAAATTGTATTGAATTGTATGAAAAATTATATATCACCGGACTTACTTAAAATAATTAAGAATTTCACATATATATTGAGCTGTCAAGGAGACTCTTGCTCTTTGAAATTGACAAGTATCTTGGGAGAAGTCATAGATGATGTAACCACACTTTTCAAAGCTATCGATTCTTTGATCAGAAGATATAATATTAGTTATGGCATACTGAAAAACTCTTTTGCGGTTAAGATAAACACATAAGTCATCCTCTCTCATACATTTGATGAAATTAATAATGTCATCAGCCGAAGCTGCCTCTGATTCAAAATCCAATTTAGGTTTAACAAAAGAGGAAGGTATGAAAAAGTCACCCAATGTAAATTTATTGGTACGTCTACAAAGAATCTTTCTAAATTCTTTAATATCCTTAATATAGTCTTTTACATATTGATGAACACTTAATGTTAAAGTTTTAAGAAGATTTTGGTCTTCCATGCTATGTTTTCAATGGTCAAGGTAACAGGAAGTTATCACGGCGGGCCCCCGTTCTTCATATTTTGAGGTTATTTTATAGAAGCAAACTAAAACAATTATGCGTTAAAGAGATATTTAACAATTATTTAATTGTTTAGCAAATTACAATTACCACAGCAGATTCTCATTTAATGTATATTTTATTTAATACATAATACATAAAACCTGAATAACTATCAATTATATTTTTTAATTCCATTGGGTAAACTATTTCTGTAAGTACAATAATTATTTTACAATAAATTATAAAGTATAAGAGATGTAAGAATGATATAGATGAAAAAATACGAAACTAGGACATAATTTTTTAAAAGGAATAAGTTTCCGATTTTGAACATGTAACCAGTTTTCGACCTCATTCACTGCACATGCGTACCTTACTTAGCTCAGATTTAACCGGAGGTAAAGTTATCTTTTGACATAAATAAGTGATTCAATTATCTTGTTCCTTCCATTTAACAATATAAAATACTGAAAATTATTTTTAGTAATATACAATGCTTCAATAGTCAGTAAATGCTTTAATATGCTTACTTGAAGTCAACTTACGTCAATTTGAAATGTATTATTGCATTGTTGAAAGTTTGCCGAGTCGAAGCAGAACAAAATCTGTCTACATTTCAGATATATGTTTCCATACTAATAGAAGCTTAAGCATATGAGAACTGAAAAATTAAAAGTCGTCAAGAACCTTTTTCTTATGTCATTTTGTCTAACTTGAACACCTTACTTTAATAATTTACTGAATACTTGAATTAATTCTTTGATAGATTACGTGCAAAAGAAAACACTTCTGAAAAATACTGAACCAGCTCTTTCGTTCTGCCAAAAATATTTAAATTTCAAAAAAAAAGTGAGGTGATACAGTGAATGATGTCTATGCAGTTGGTTCAAGCAAGAAATTCTCCTGTTCAGAAAAAGCCATCAGGTGCTGTAACATTACGACCGCAAATTCAAATAGTCACTGTAGCTGGAAATGGTATCATTCGTAATGCCATAACAACTCCTTCTAGAATTTTGGCTCCTAGAACCACAACTCAAATTGCTCCGGTTCGAATAGCACCTCAAACTAGGGTCCAATCGCCTGGACAAATAGTTCTACCTCAGGGTATTCGTCAGAATGCAGTCATTATGAAAAGTGATCAAGGTCAATGGGTCTTATTACAGAGTCAAACAGCTCAAAGGACAAATGCTACAACTGTACAGGTTTGTAATATTCAAAGTTTCCTTGAAAACGCCAAATTGAAACCATTAACTCCTCAAAAATAGCCTAGTTCAATGATTACATCTTCAATACCTGCAAGATCTCATCTTCCTGCAAGGACCATTGCAAATCGGGTATAGATAATTTAATATATAATATTTCATTACTACTGTCTATTATTTATTGGCTAATGATTTTCAATAATTTATTTTGTAGCCTCTTACAACGTTGGTAAGACCAGCTCAGCAATCGGTTGGTAAATGAGTTGATTTTGTTAAGTGCAACTACTTATAATACTTTTCAGATTTCACATACTCAACAAGAGAATACAAAAAAATGCAAAAATTTCTTACAAACTCTTCTTAAATTAGCTTCTAATCAACCTCAGTCTACGATAAACAACGTCCGTCGGTTAATTCAAAATCTAATAGATAACGTTATGAAACCAGAAGAATTTACACGACTGCTTCAAAATGAATTAAAATCGTCACCTCAACCATATTTGGTGCCTTTTTTAAACAAATCTTTACCACTTTTGAGGAATGCTATGTTGCATCAAGGTTTGGTTATTGAAGGAATTAAACCCCCAAAGACTGTTTCAACGGTTCAGACGATTCAGGCACCGTCAACACCGAAAATTATTAAACAAAACGTTAGCATCGGTAATATAGAAAAAGTATCAACTTTATCAACAATAACAAAACCAATACCATCGCCGGTGACGGCTGTTAGTCCGATAAAAATAAAGAATAAGTATGAGTCGTCTAAGTATGTACACAATATTTTGATTTCGAAAATGAATGTCACTGATTGAATATTGTTTTGTTAGAGATGATGACGAATTCAACGACGTAGCAACAATGGGAGGCGTAAATCTGACGGAAGAATCTCAGAATTTAGCTTCAGTTAAAGATTTCGGAACAGTTTTGAGAACTTACAAGGATGAATTATTATTATCAACAACACCCTTAGAATCTCTGTTGAGTAGAGAAATGTTAGAAAATGGTTTAGATATCGAACAAGACAAAACGAGTATTGTCAAAGCTATATCTGATGCCTGCCAACTACGCCTCACTCAGTTAATGGAAAAGCTAATTGTTTTATCAGAGCATCGAATGGAATTGTACAAAGGCCGGCGTGATTTTGAACTAACGTCTGACGTTAGGTCTCAGCTAAGATTCATTGAAGAAGTAGACAAGGTCGAGAAAAAACGAGTTGATGAAGCAGAGAAAGAACAGATGATGAGAGTTGCAAAGAGCCGCTCAAAAAATGAAGATCCAGAACAAGCAAAATTAAAACAAAAAGCAAAAGAATTCCAACAGTGGCAAGCAGAAGAATTACGACAAAAAGAAGCCAATGAAACAGCTCTTGCTGCTATAGGGTCAAGAAAAAGAAGATTAGAAGGTGAAAAAAATAATGAATTAAACTCCCCCGCCAATTCGAATCATGCAGGAATCCAAAATTTGGTTGGTACTTCTATGAATATTTTTCTGATTCTATAAAACACTCAATAAACTGTTTTATTAGGCTAAAGGTCGTCGAAAGCGAATCACAATTAAAGAAGTTCTTCATATTATGGAAAATGATAAATATCTTGCGAAGTCGAAATTAGCATACGAAATGGCATTAAAGTAAATTCATTGGCTACACTGTGATATGTTTGTGCATATGTTTCTTTTAAGGAAAAGATTTTTATATATAAAAGTTGATTTCTAATTATTTTTTCGTTTATTTAAAAGCTTGGAAAGGGAAATTAATCACCGCATGTAAATTTTTTCATGGAAAACAATAGGAATCTTGTTAACTGTATAGTTTTTAAAACATATTCTTTAATAATCTGATTCAAATTATTTTTGAAGCAAAATACAAATGTTCCATCACATCTCACTTTCGAAAAGATTAGTTATTAAGTGTCAGGAAATCCCAGTCTTCAATATCTGAAATTGCTGGAACTTCGGCCTGGCGATTAATTTAGCTTGTTGCATGAATGAAACCCAGGTTCTGAGGCGGGTATGTCTAAACTTCCATTTTTGAGAATAAAAACGAGCGACAACCAGGGAAGTAGTTGAACTATACCAAACTTTGTTGCCTTTGAGTTTTGAGACTAACATTATCAAATGACATCATCTCAAAAAGTTATATACAGTACATCCAAGAGTAATTATTAAAGAACTTCACTCATTTAAAAAAATGACGTCATAAATATTATATAGTAGCAAATGTTCATAAAATAACTAATTGTTGCACTAATAGCTGTTATTAAAACCCATCAGATGGCGTTGAATTGCATAGCCACGTTGTGAGATTGACATTGGTGAAACCATGTTGTTAAAATTTCATAATAAAATTTGCTCGAAAAAAATGAAAAACAGTCACTTTTTGAAAGAACACCTTAACTTAACATGCTTTCTTGGTTCCGAGAATTTCTCTCAAAATGGCTTAGTTAGTACTATTTTAAATAAATTATTTTTTTTATTTTTCGCAATTTATTAGCCAACTATTTTCGCGATCAAAAGAAAACTTTTGTAATAATTGGTTTAGACTACGCTGGTAAGACTACTCTGACAGGGAAAATAAAGACTGGGAGAATGATTGCTGCAAATCCAAGTCTCCGACCTAGTAAGTAAATACCTAATAATTCGTAATATAATGTTCATCTTGAAACTCACAATGAGCTAAAGGCTTGTATTTTTTCTGGCCACTTATTAAATTTCGTGAACTAGTTTCAAACTGTTTTTAAGGATCATATTCAATGTGCAATTACACAGCTGCGCACTAATTTTCTCCCAGAGTTATTTTTCGTAGATTCTCTCGGTTTCAGTAATTAATCATTTATATTTTCGGAGTGACTTTCAGGAACAAACCAAGTATGCAATAAATTGTATAATCATAAACAGTATAAAAGACTGTTTCTCATGTAATACTATAGATGTTACATATACTGAGAATAGAAAAAATGTACATATAGTGCAGATAGTAGATTATTGTTCACTTTTATTATTTTTTTAAATCTGTACAAAATATATCTTTACAAATAGACTTAGAGGAGCTGCGACTTGGGCAATTGACATTTACCGTGTATGATCTTGGAGGACACAAGCTAGGTTTAACTTAAAATTAAACCATTTTCTGTTACTTAAAATGTTTCTTACAGTTCGAAGGGTTTGGAGGGAATACTGTTATGCCGCGGATGGTATAATATTTGTTTTGGATGCCGCTGATAAAGAGCGCATGAATGAAGCAAAAAGCGAACTACATGTAAGTATAATAAAAAGCATTTTAGTTAAGCGAATTTGTAGTGCTTTTAAGTGAAGTTTAATCATCTAAATTACATTTCAGAATATACTAAATGATGAGGAATTTTCCACTATTCCAATTTTAATTCTTGGTAATAAAATAGATATTGTGGATGCTATGGGACGCGAAGAACTAATCGGTTGTTTGAATATATACAAAAATATATTCCAGGAGGTAATTAATATTTCCATCAGAGAAAATAAATAATAACTTATTTTCTAAAAATGCATGACTTTAGGGAGAAAAAGGCGTGTCCAGACCAATTGAAATCTTTTCTTGCAGTACAAAGTTAGATCAGGGTTACGGAGCGGGTATTCGATGGCTTGCTAAACAAGTGACATAATCGAGAAAACTAAAAACCAGATGTCACTCTAAAAGTCTGGATCAGTACTCCTTGCTATGAATGAATCTTCTGATTAAAAAATTTTACACTAACCTCTTTGCAAAAGCATTTTTTTTAAAACCGTGTCAAGGTCAATACATAAAAAACACAACAACCATTTGTTGAAATGTTGTAAATTTGGGTTAAGTAAAGATTCATCCGGCAACATCTATTACGGAAAATGTAAGTCGATTCATTTCACAAAGTTAATGTCAGAACTTCTGAAATCGTACATTGAGATTACGTAATATCGTGAGATCCTGCGCATGTCTCGAGCGAAATCTCGCTGTTCGATGACCTACTAATTTCTGAGCATGAAAAAGTGCGTAGAATATTTAGAGAACAGCACATTTTTTAAAAGTTTCTGCTACAATATTACTTTTTTTAAGCATTCATGCCAATTTTATTTCAAAATAGCGTTAATTATATTATTACGTCTTACTAAGCTTAAACAAGTAGTACTCAAGCCAATCGCGTTGCTGATTGAATGCTTTGCTTTCTATTTTAAAGTAAAAATATTAGAATATTATAAGTTTCTACAAAAAACTGTTGCGGAAAATCGATATGATATTTTATGATTGCATGTCTTTATTGTACGCTGGTTGAAGTTAAATTAAGAAAAGCCTTGTTTAATTACTAATCTAGAAACAGGCTAGACTGTGTCAAATTTGACATATTCTGTTGATTATATGTTGTGTTGTGACTCAAACATAATTTTAAAAATTTAAAACCATGTTGATACTTCAAATCGTGCTATGGTCATTACTATTTCAATTTCTATCATCATCGTGCAAAATGAACGATAATTTTTCACTGGTGTGTAATGTTACTTCTTCTGTGGAAAATGTTATAAATTACTTAAAAGTATCACAAACAAAACATCTTAAATATATCAGCCTCGTTTGCTCGAAAATACTAAAAAAAGTTCAATATTTACCAGCTTCTTATTTTGGAGATGTCGAATGTATTAAATTAGATGGTTGCTCTTACTTTATAAGATTCAAAGGTTCGTTGATTAGTTCTGTTTTAAGACGTTTTGTTGTTAGGGATAACGGTTTCTACAAACTCCCTCCTGTGTGCCTTATACATTCATTTGATGTTACCATATCATATGTAATTACGGAATGGAGGATAATTGATATCGGGAGTATACCTCCTTTAGAAAATTGTAGGAAAAACTACAATTCTTCTGTTGTGTATATTATACTTGTCGAAGAACCAGGGCATATAAAGATGAAGAGATATATTGTTTGGACAAAACCTATACCTCAAAATAGTCATATAAAATCCTTAAAAATCATTGGAAACCATGTTATTAGTAGATTTTATAAAAACTTCGGAAATAAGGTCTCATCTCAACTAGAGAAAGTTTCTGAAGCTCTCGAAATATCTGGAGCTCAGTGTGATTGTCAAGATTCTTGGATTTTATCCATAATGATTCAAAAGAATCTAAAAGCAAGCTTCAAAGCCTCTCTCAATTGTCGACGAAATACAAAGAAATTTACAACTAGAAAAGATATTACAGAATATCTCTACAATCTAGAACAGAAATTAAATGAAAAGTGCAGTATTATAAATTTGATGATTACGTCAACTTCAAAAATACCCTATAATAGTCTGTTTATTATCATTCTTGCTGTTACCTGTGGAACTATTTCTCTTGTTCTTTTCATTATATGTCTTACCTCTGTTATTGTAAATATTTTATCTCAAACCAGACAACTCTCGGTATTATATAATTTAAGACACAGTACACCATTGGAGTCTAATACCATATTAATAGCACAACGACCAGAATCGCCCAATCAAACCAACTCATTTTCACCTGCTGCAGTCAGAGATGTTAACTCAAATATCCATTCACTGTCTTCATAAATTGGCTATATAATTGATGTATTCTTGAAACATATTGTTCTTTAGATTAAGATAAAACTACCGCTAAAGTGTCAATTCTTCTTGAAATTAGGCAGTCTTACATAATAAACAAGTATTTTTTTAATGCTTAAAAAGTGCGATCTCTTTGATTAAACTTTCAATCGGTTTTTTGCTATGTCTAATACAAAGAGTGTCACGTAGAGTAACAATGTTATACTATATCCCTAACGACTGGAATCTAAAACGGAGATATTGTAACATACGCCTGATTAATTGATTGAGTGAAAATGATGAAGTCTTGCAATATGTTAATTTTGTTTCTTGAATCATTGATTTTCCAAGAAACTATATCATATTTCTTCAACAAAATTTACTCTCAACAATAGTGTTAATATATCTCTTCTCCGTTATTTCTTTTCTTTTGTTGAGAAATTATCGATACCCAGTGCATGGTCACTCTGATAGTTGAACTGTTTACGAAAAGAAGAGAATCTTCATATTTCAAATGACTGTTATAAACAGCATCTTCAAAGGTAATAAGATACGTGTCAAACAAGAAAGTATAGAGACCTGCATATAATTACAATGGACATTGTAGTATTATGGGCGAGGCTGCCTCCATTCGGTGAACACCATTATTGTTAATTTGCCTGTCAGAGTGAGATATGAAGTCGATTTTTGGCATATTACCTACTGTTTTATTTTCTAAAAAATTCCACATATTAATTAATTAAAAAATTAAAGAGAAGAAAACATAAAGAGAGAAAAACAACCTCTCCTATAAAAAAAATATTTTTGCTAATGTAATTATCAACATTAGGTTATAGAGTAAATTTAAATCACTTGATTAAGAAAATACTTTTGTAGTTTATATTTAGACAAGGTTGATGAAATTCTCTTTTATCTGGATATATTTCCTAATCTTATTTAATCGAAATTAGGTGATAGTGTGTTGATACGTTGCTAATAATTCGCTAGAAAGGTGCTTTGGACAATCATGTATTAATTATTTTCGTTAGAAAATCATAGGTTCATTCATATTCGTATTCCAATAATTTAAAACGTTTTATTTTATGAAGTTGGATTTTTGGAATATTTCGCTGTGATAATTAGCTTTAGCGTTCATTGTGTGTCTTAAATATTCTTGGCGCCCTTTTCAATGTAGTCATAAATCTATTAAAGTTAACATCCCGGACACAATTCCTCAAAGCGTAACAAAACTGAAACATAAATTTGTCTAATTTATAATCTTTTTTTAAGTTGATAGTATATTTGAAGGTCAGATCAGGATGTTAAATGGGTGTGTTCTTTACACCTTATCGTAATTAATTTAAACAAATTTTTTGTCCTGAATGAAATTATAATCAAGTTTGTTCAGGATGTTTTTTTTATGTTTTCTATTCTGATTGAGGATCTGTGAGCTTTTAGGTAACGCACAAAGCATATTGAAAATTCTTTTGAAAATATTGTAGTTTAATAATTAGCCATTGCATAATGTATTCATTTCCTTCTAATTTGTATAATATTTCTGAAAGAATCGTACTTTTTCATTAAGAGCAAAATATATTATTAGCTTGGCTCTAAAAAGAATATGCTTCTAAATATCTAGGAAGTATTACTGTTCCATCAAAGAGATTCCAAGAAGCTGAGGGGATGACGCTTTGAGAAGGTGTCAATTCTTTCTTAGTTTTCTTTACACTGTTACTTTAGTACGTACCAAGCTTTGTTTTGTGCATTGTCTATAAAAGTCTGTCTTTTAATTTCTCATATGTAGACCTCCGCAAGTTTTTATATAATTTTTTGCTACTATGTCTCTTACATAACTTCTATACAAAAAATTTTTCTAACAATCTATTTTTTTTTATCAAAACATAAATACGACAATTATTTCTGCCAAGGCAAAAATTTGATTTAAATTCTATGCGTAACTCCCTCTATTGGCCTGTTAGTAACTGGTGCATTTCAATTTGTCAAATGCGTCTATAGATTTTGTATATTATGCTGCGCGCTTGTAATGTATGAGACTGAATTTTTTTACGGTCTCTGCATACGATTCTGTTGACATTTGTAAGCTGTGCTTTGGATTATATTCACTAGAAGAAAATGTTAATGACAAACTGATACACGCTTGTTTCTTGTCTAGACGGTAAGCGTCGTTAACTTCTTACAGATGCCTACTCTAGTTTACTAAATCAATAAGAAGAATTTTTGTAAAATATTTTACATACTTTCTTTCTATGGCTTGTATCAAAAATATCTAGCTTTAAAAATCTTATTCAGGCTATAATAGCCTGAATAAAGAGTCCAGTTTATAAAAGTTGTATCAGTACGTTCAGTTTGGAATATCTAGACGCGATTGTTTAAGTGATAGGAAAATATTTAAATTAACAAGAACTACTCATTCCTTTTCAGGACTATATTTTACTCGTTTGTATTAGCGTGTTTCAAAGCAGAATGTAAAAACTGGGTCATCTATGTAATCGATTACCTACTTTTATAAGGAAAACTTACCAGCAGTTACACAACAGGCCTGATTGTCGTGTTGCGTTGTAGAACACATTAAACCTGTTTTATCTCTTGACTATAAACAAGTTGACATTATTATGTTGGACACCGTTCTGTTACATCGTATATTGATATAATTCAAAGCTTATTCATAGAAATAAAAAAAATCGAGGTATAGTTTATGAATAATAAATTTTCAATATATTTTTTAATGAGATGTAGTCATTGAGCCAGTTATGTTAAATTGTGTAACCTGTAAACTCAAGATCGTACATACTGTACTATCATATAGGTTATCTAATAACCTTATTATGTTCTGTTTTTCGTTATTCAATATGTTTCTTAACCCTTGTAGTTATATAGTAGCGAAGAGTGTATTGTTTATTTGAACGTACTTTTAATGATTCGTATTAAGCTATTTTTTCGACTTAGGTCAAAGTATTATTCCTCCTATTTATAAAAATTACGTAAGTTGAAGCGCCTTTATTTAGAACTAAGATTTACAATACAAAACATATGCCCAGTGTTTTCAATAAAAGACATGCGAATTGTTACAAAGTCGAACAGGAGTCACAAATATTTTATACAATTTTCATTTGCGAAAGTAACTAAGCGATGAGTGAATTACGAGAATATTCCTATATGAGGTACGTTCTAGGCGCAGAAAATGTTGATCTAAGGAAGTGTCATTGTAAATTTATATTACAAAGCAATTATTTGTTTACAAGCGATTACTGTCATCTAATTGGGACGCGGCAATTATTAAGTGCTTTATTTACAGTCCTAAAATCATAAATCATCTATAATTGAACATAATTTAAGAATATAATAAATTTATCTTTTTTAATCAGAGCCAACAAAATAACAATAATATAATATTAGCCAATCAATATCAGTTGTAACCGGAATGCTAAAGTGAAGTAGAGATTAGGATTACGTAATCAATAAGTGATGCTGTTTATTTTTTCTTTGTATATATGCGTATAAATGCGTATATTCGCTTTTAGAGACTGTTGAAAGCAGTTAGAGTAAAAAAGCCTATTTTCTTGCAGAATTTAGCAGAAAAATCACTGAAACTCTGACAAAATTAACACAGGTAAGCAAAATATAAAAAAATTATCTTATTTAGTTAGTTATCTGTCTATCTGGCTATCTCTAAACAGATTTAGATACAATCTAATATATCTAATTTAGCGAATAACACAGTATTTTGTATAATACTGCATAACAAATTTTACCTAACTGGTAACAAGGCAATCAATAAAATAGATAAAGAAAGATCCTTCCGACATGATTTTCTGTGTTTTTTACGAATTAGGTTTCTCTAAAATTCAATATAATAGCCAACATACTAATTCAAATGCTTAAAATTTTCAGATTTGACATGATGCAGTCAACGGCCATGGCAATGACATCGGGAAGTTCAAAGCCGAAAGGTCCCACCTGTAAAGTGTGCAATGATGAAGCAAGTGGCTTTCATTATGGTGTTGATAGTTGTGAAGGCTGCAAGGGCTTCTTTAGACGCTGTATTACTCAGGGAATGACCCATCGGTGTTCAAATGATGAAAAATGCGAAATCACCCCATTCAGCCGCAATAGCTGTCAGTACTGCCGCCTAAAGAAGTGCTTTGCAGTTGGTATGTCTAGAGAGGCATCAAGATTAGGACGTCGGCCGAAAAAACTGAAAGAACCAAGTGGTGGTATGAGAGTAGTGCCTGCTAGTCAATTATCTCCGGTGACCTCTATTGTTCCAACGCAACCTATCAAATCGCCTATTTTATCTATTCCACCTAACTCTAACGTAAGTGGTGATATACAGAGAATGGTGCCTTCTGCAAGAGCCCGTCAAAATGCCATACATGCTCCTTATTCTCATTCTAATTGTCTTACACCACCACAAGTTTCAAGTAGCGGTAGAGTTATAGATCAACTGCAGCAAGAAATGGCACGGTTACATAGATCTCAATCGCATACTATCAATCCACGAGAATTTTCTGGCGAGAATATGTTTTTTAATCATCACTTGGAAACTGACAGCGAAACTGGATATAGCTCGTACGGTGGAGGCGATAGTACTCCATCAAGCGCTAATAGCAACTCACCTTCTATGGCCAATAATCAGATCAATGATCCATCTGCCGTTGGTGATCAATCGTTACAAGTGAGCGATAAGGAATTTCTAATAATTATGACAGCCATGAAAGAGGAGGCTCCCTCTGAAGACTATGTTCCTCGGACAAATCCTATTACAGAAGACACAATACAGAATTTCCTGGCCGAAGCTCGATCTCCCCCAATGGAGGAGGATCGCATAGCCGTCATTGATCGTATTATTGCTGATATAAAAGAAGCTCAGCTTCAGACTTGTCGATATACTACTGCTAAAGTACTTGAAGGTTTAAGAAAGTATGAGCAAGCTCATGCTCATGAACCGGCCGGTGCCTCCACTCATCAAATAAAGCTAGAACAGGACAGTACTGGATTCTCTCAAGTAACATTAAAAAATAAATATTTTCTTAAACTATTTTAATTAGGTTTTCATTTGTACAGTTTAATCCCAGTGAAATACCTCTACCTTGTATGAAAGCCTGGAAGAAATTTGTTGAAAACATGGTTCCAGCTATTGAAAGAGTTGTTCATTTCTGTAAATTTCTTCCTGGATTTAAGGATCTTTGTCAACAAGATCAAATTAAATTGATAAAACAAGGATCATTCGAAGTAGTTATGATTCGATATTTACCTCTAGTTGATCATAACAGTGAATTGATGTTTGATCCAGATATGGATTATAAAATAACCAGGTGAGTGTTAGAATAATTTTTAAATAGCTATAACAATTTTTTTTCGCAGACAAGTGATACGAAAAATGCCCATGGGAACTCTAATGGAAAAGATGTTTGATTTTGCTAAGATATGGAACCCTTTGAATTTAGATGATGCTGAAATGGGTTTAATCTCTGCAATTCTTATGGTCAATCCTTGTAAATATTTTCTATATCAATATACATCCGTTTTAATTAATTAGTTGTTCTAATTTTTCTTTATTAGATCGCATAGATGTTGTTAATCGTAAACAAGTGCATCGACTGCAAGGTGTCTATTTACAGAGTTTATACAAATATCTGCTAACTTTTAGACCAAGTTTGTAATTAAAGCTTTCACAAAATACTTAAATCTTAAATCGTCTTTTGAAATAGATACCTACGAAAATCAGCTAGAAGCGATGGTTCGAACAATTCCAGATTTATCCAGCATAAATGAGCACCATGCGAAGTCATTGAACAGTATGATGCCAGGTGCGAATATGTCACAAAATTTACCTGACCTGCATACAGAAGTTTACCAATCGAAGGATTTTTGTTAAATTTTTATTGTATATTGAGATTCATGTGCCATTTTTTTCCTATATCTATACATGCCATGTTTCGGAAATTTCTGGGCAAACCTGCATGACATTTGTCCGGTGAATGTGCTTAAAAACAACTGTTTCATTGTTATCTCTAAGATGTTTACGCTTATCTTTTCACTGCTAGAACACATTTTGGCTAATTTTTTATGAGCGTTCATAAATATTTTGACAACAGATGACGCTAGCGCGAAGACAAAGATTATCAAAGTTTTTTTTGTAGTTGTATATTTTTTTGTAGGGTATATTAATCAGCGAAAAATGCCATTTTTAAATATGTACTAAAATTATAAATTAAGCTTGTTTGAATACGTTAAATTGAATACTTGTATACATCTTTGTACGTATATGTGTATACAAAAATATTTAATCAAATGTGCCATGCTGTGCCTTTTTTAACGTTGTGGATATGAAAAGAACTAATACATAAAATTTATCTAACTTACCTAAATTTTCTCTAAGAGTCTTCAGGCTTTTAGATATCGTTTTGTGTCTTAAAGATGAGGCCTAGTTACTTCTGGCCTTTTGGCCACGTCAAACTTCTCAGTAGTAGGCCTAACTTCTTCAAGCCCGATTCAGTTGAAAAGCAAAAATTGATTAGGAACATAGCTCATTAGCATAGTTAGCAGTATATCGAGTTGCGTTGAATGGCTAGTTTGCATAATTGATTATATGCTAATTTACCGCGTGAACAGTGAACAGTGACGTATTTTTTGGCATAAAAGCTACGAATTCTTGTCACTTGCTCATTAAAGGTTTCGATTACAAGCGAGCAATTATATATTTTTTGAGGTAGGTAAATTGTCCTCTTAAGTTTTACTTGTTTTTTTCCATTATATAACAAGAGATTCCAGAGTATTAAAAAGTATTATATTAAAATTTGTTTTAAAATCTCTCAGATATTCCCAAGATACTTTTTGGAAGCAATTCAGGGTTTCGTATCATCAATTTCGTTATTAACAGAAATGGATTATCTACCACTTTGGTCAAGTTTGGAGCTAGAGAAGAGCACTCTCTCTAGCATTAATTCATGTGGAGAGGAAACGGACAATTCTAGTCTTCCAGAATCACCAACAACTTCAGATATATTCGACTTGGATACGGATTCTTTGATAAAAAGTTTGTTTGAAGAAGGAGATGATATGAAATGTGACGATATTAAAACCGAACCTGATGAAATTGACAACTGTAATTCAGTTGGCGAGGACTTTGTTGTTCTAGGCGTAGACATAAAAAATTTGTTGCATGTTGAGCCTTTTACAACAGATGTGAGCGCCTTTACTCCAGATCCGATTGCTTGTCATCAACAACCCCAGTATCATACTACATCGTATCAAATGTATCACAACCATGAGCCACTAATTCAGAGTTATTATCCACCACCATCAGTTGCTCCTCAACCTCAACCTCCTCTACCCCCGCCGCCTCCTCCTCCTGCTCCTCCTCAACAGCAGCAGCAAGACTTAATCCAATATCACAGCCCAATCAAGAATACAGACGATAAAGTTCACCCATGCCCTTACATTGGTTGTGGAAGAGTTTACAGTAAATCGTCTCACTTGAAAGCTCACTTAAGACGACATACAGGTAATTTAAATGTCAACAATTTTTTTTATAAATAGCTTAAACAATGATAACAATTTTCAGGAGAAAAGCCTTTTCCATGCAATTGGCCTGGATGCGGTTGGCGATTTTCTCGCTCGGACGAATTGGCAAGGCATAAAAGATCGCATTCTGGTATCAAACCATATCCTTGCACGCTTTGTGAAAAAAAATTCAGCAGGTCGGATCACTTGTCCAAGCACCTAAAAGTTCACAAGAAGCGTATGATGTGTGCCTCTTCTTCTTGATCATGTTTTTGCTAATAAAAACTTTTTGTGATTTTTATACAAAGCAGTTAAAAAATTGATTATAGTTGTTGCCTGATATTCTGGGCTGTTGTGTTGTTTAATTTATTTAGTTTCTCTTAGATTGTTCTCTTTACTTTTGTTGATTCTAATTCGAATGTTATTCGTTATAATCGAAAATACATGCAGTGTTTGATTGCACAGTCCAACCGTAATTTGAAACTACACATTTGTTTGCTATTTATATTTTTGGGTTGTATGCCAGAAATTTACATCATATTACATTATTTACAAATAGTGAATTTTCTTGAGCCCCTAAAATATCAACAAAAAAAAAACAGATACAGAAATAATGGCAATTTAACAATTATTAAGTAGTTTTTTTATCTCTCTTATCACTCAATAAACAGATTCGCTTTATCAGTCTATTGTTTCATCGTAGATCAACAATGGTACGTCTTATCAAATATATTACAGTTAAACAAATTTATATTTTTGTTTTCTATAGCAGCTGCGTGATAAGATGACTTCTTGAAATCTCTCTGATTTTCTTAAGCTATTTTTAACTTGTTCATTGCAAAATTTTCTAAAAAACTTTTCACGGACATATGTGCCACATTATGTATATAGTTTTATAGGTTTTCCCATTTTATAAAGTGTTAAACAGAATCATTTGCAAGGTATTAACAAAAGTATACGAGATACCTTTTCAATTTTAAATGTAACTAATAGAAAAGAAAATTTTGGTAGCTGATTTAGTAGGTAGATATAGCAGTTTAAGCAATTTACACAAACTTCAATTACAGACGTAAGCCTGATAAACAGTACATTTCATAAGAATAGCATAAATTGTAAAGACAATAGGAAGATTAAATTATTAAGTAAAAGTATTTAAGGTATTCGAAATTAGAGTAATCATGAGCTTAATTCGTGCTTACTGCGTGAAGAGCCACGATAACAAGCTTAAGTATTCAGAACGACCTCTAAATATCGAATGACAAGCAAATGAAAGGGAATTGCGCTCATTATTTGGAAATAGACTAGATGACAAACATTTTCGAAATTTAAATATGTAATCTGTTTTGCTATCACTACTTCTGCTATTTTAAAAATAACTTATTAAAATAAATAAGTTAGTTGTTCTGGATTACAGTTTAGGCCAAACTTAACTACGACCATTCTTCAGTCGTAAATTGACAGAACTTGACTGAGATCGTTCTGTAAGTAGTTTGAGTTAAATATTTAAATCACAGGGAGGGTGAAGGAAAATTCTTAATACTTTTAATGTGTCCCATTCTGACCCCAAGAAACAGAAGTATTTATAAATGAGGCTTATCTAATCATAATACATTTAAGAGGTGTCAATATTGACCAATTATGGCTGGTGCAGCAGATAAGAAGCAATCATTGATTGTTGATATGACGAATTGAGATAAAATATATCAAATATAGATTACTGAATTCTGAAGCAGCATCATTGAAACACACCCTAAGATGCGTTGATAAGATTTTTCCTTAGAAGTTCGAGGCACCGTTTTATGGGAGTTAAAGTTCACCTTGAGCAATTTTCTGAAAACATGGCTGATTGGAGTAGATAAGCTATCGTATTGTGAAAATGTATAAATTCTTCAACTGGAAAGTTGGCTAGTACATTTCTGGTGAACAACTATATAATAATTTAAAATATCTTACCAATTATTATCAAAAATTTTCTAATTGTACTTCTATATGTGAAGCATTCAAGCATGATATGAATTGGTAAAAGATTCGTCACTCACCCAGATACTATGAAACTTTAGAAAATCTTTATAAAAGACGAAAGTTATGCTTTGTGAAAGTATCCAACTTCGTTCAGGCTATAAAAAAAACATTTTTTATAAAATCAAATTTTTCAAAATACCGCCATAAACAATACATCCGTATCCGTTTTGTAAGACGCCATTAAAATAAACATGGCGGATGAAACAAATTTCACCGAAGATTTTATTCACACCAACGCACAAATGGAACAGCAACCTCTCCAGCAATCGATCGAACAGAATGCCGGTGGGGATGGTGTTAGTGTAATAAGTATGGCTAGACCTGAAGATGATGCCCGAAAAATTTTCGTGGGAGGATTAAGTTGGGATACCACAACTAGTATATATCTAATATTTAATATGAGTAAAACAACTGAATTATATCTCTTTTCACATAAACAGAAGAACTAAAAGATTACTTTTCCCAATTTGGAAAAGTAGAGGAAGCTCTTATCAAACAAGACCCTATTACAGGACGATCTCGAGGGTTCGGATTCGTATTGTTTGAAAAGGAACATGCTGTTCCACCAGCAACCGTAATACATTTAAATTAAACTAATTAAAATATAAAGACTTTACCGTCTTCTTTTTACGTTTTAAAGGATACGTGCCGTGAGCATAGTATTTTGGGAAAACACATCGATCCTAAACCTGCTAAATCCAAAGATAAAAAAGATCCTATAACTAAGATTTTCGTGGGTGGTCTAGATCCTGAATTAACCCAAGAGCAAGTCAAGGAATTCTTCGAAAAGTTTGGAAAAGTGGAACAAATAGATCTGCCTCATGATAAAACAACTAATAAACGCCGAGCCTTCGCTTTTGTTTCATTTGAATCAGAGGCTGCCGTTGATGCAGCTACTGCCACCCCAAAGATTAATATACATGGCAAAGATGTGAGTTTTTTTTTAGTTTCCTTAGACTTAATGTCATTCGTGAATGGGTTTTCTTAGATATAATCGTTCAAATTTTTATTATAAAATATTAACATTTTTTTAAAAAAAATTTTAGTTAATTTTTACAGATAAAAAAATATCGTTGTGTAAAGGTGCTGTTAAAAAATGTAAAGGAAAGCTGTTGGTTCGATAAAAAAAAATTTAGAAACGTGATTATTAGGCGTCGAGCAGCATATTAATTGTTTGTTTTTTAATTTTACAGCAGACCTACAGCAACATGTGTAGCAGTTGTTGTTTGTCAGTGTGAGGTTGGTGAAACACGGCAGGGATCAAATTCGGCCTTTAAATTGTCTTAGTCCTATAAAGTTTATTGTAAAAAACGTAAAAGGCACTTTTTGTAATTTTTCGGCTAGGTCGATGTTAAAAAAGCTACACCGCACCACCAACAAGCCGCCTATCGAGGAGGACGAGGCGGTATGCGAGGGCGTGGAGTAGTTAGAGGTTATGCTTCTAATAACTGGAATGACTGGAATCAGGGAAATTATGGTTATGACTATAATCAGGGAGGCAATTATCCTGGGTGGTATGATTACAGTCAACAAGGTTATGGTGGAGGTTTTCCTAGCGATTATTCTTCTTATGGTGGCTACGGTAATCAAGGATGGGGTGGAGGGTATGATCAGTCAAGTGGTAAGCATACTTTAGCTTATTTAAGTATGTAAAATAGACTGCAGAGACAGTCGCTGTTTGGTCACCAACTAATATACTTTCAGGAGCAAAATACCACCAAACAATCACAGCTCCGACCAAAAACGGCGACTGTGGCCCAAGGCCATCGCAGCATCATTCATACGGTCAACCGTAGACTCTTTTTTACATAAAGTCTTTGCAGGACAACAACATCAACGACAATGGACTACCCGTTCGTGAAAATAGAAGCCAAAATGATTTTTTTGTTGTTGAAAGGAGATTGTAATATATTTAATAAATAAAAAATAGCTGGATGTTACTTCTATACTTTTAAAAATTTTCTGATGGATACTGTACTGGTCTGAAAGGACTTACCAGTTTTCTATCACCGGCCGAATACGGTCGAGCAATTTTTGAGACTGGAGTATGACGATTGACTGGAGTAGAAATGCGACGTTCATTTGATCTTCGTTCTCGCTTCTCTTTTGCTTTGTTACCTTCAAGTTTGCGTATAAACAATTCTTTTTCTGTGGACATTCATCTGTCAGCGATTATTTAGATCTGAAATACAATAATACCTTCACTTTCTAACGGACATTGGGGGAGTAAAGCACGTTGAATTAAGACATTAAGGGCCGTTTCAATCATATTCTTATCTACATTTCTGCTAATATAGGGAACAAAAGTTTTATTCCACGTAGAGACAAGCCATTCTGATGTAGACCATATCGCTCCTGGCTCGATATCTGCTAAAAAGAATTTTGTTGGGCCAAACTGTACATTTTCTAACCCAAGTCTCTTTGTAGCATTATTCAAGTTTTGATATACACTAATTATCCAAGAAGCACAAATCCAAGTTTTCATATTGAACGTCTTAAGTAACTTTTTGTTCCAAAACCTACTAACAATGGAGAAAAGTGGTTCTTCACTCGGTTGTAGAAAAAAAGTTTGTAGATTATGTTTGATAGAAGGAAAGATATTCTTGTATCTAAACAAAAAATTGTAAAGTTTTTGCTGTCCAAAATCTATGGGTTACCAACCGAAATATATCAAATGATATTATAAAATAGCAAGTTGGAGGCATAAAATACTCAGCTGCCTCTTGCTCAGTTAATTTCAGTCGAACACAGTTTTCTGATCCTCTTTTGTATAGGAAGTGACTAATGGCAGAGAACACGTTAGCACAAGCCGAATTATCAGCACTAAATACAATAATCCGATGGCTTCTCTCGTTCAATCGCTTGGAATTACGTTCAATTAATGCTCCTTTACAAAATAAATTTATAGCACTAATTTAAATATAGAGTATAAGATTTGTAAACCAGAACTTACCTGTAGAAATTAGTTGCAAATATATTTCATTCTCATTATTATTAGTATCTGATATAAAATGTATTTGGACAGCTGAGGTTCTATGCAATCTAGCTTGGAAAACAAGGGCAATTTTCTGACAACAAAACTTTTTACCAGAGTTTTTCGAAGATATTAATATCAAGTGCTTCTTTTTCTCGAGCTGTTTTGTAGAAACTTGTAGAAAGAATATCACACTTGAAGTAAAAAAAATACCTTGGAAAGCCATTCATCAACAACTCGTATAGGCATCAAAGTGGCATATGACAAGGTAAAACTACTTCCTTCTTCAAGTTGAACTGTGAGTATTGGTACCTCATTTGTACCTAATATATCAGAAAGTCGAACTCTAACTTCAGATGAAGTGCTTTTTGAAAATTTGGTAGAGCCTGAAAAACTTGCATTTTGACTTATTGAATATTAACTATAATCACACACCTATTGAACAATATTTGATAGCATGAGCTGTCAAGTCCAACGAATTTTCCACAGTTTCTATATGATTTATATACCGTAACCAAATATCTTCTGCCTTTCTGAATAATTGAGACAATATTAACAAATCTCCAAGATATATCTTACAGATGTCATCTTTAGTTTGGCAATATGAAACTTGAACGAGTACAGTCCGAAATAATTTATTAACTGTAAAATTTTATAAAATTTAAAATTCTACAAAATTAAAGGTAAAAATAATAATAACGTTACTTACAGTTTAACACATACTGCTTATTGTTCTCGCTAGCAATCGAATACAAGGACTGATCTTCACGAATCTTATATAAATCTAAATACATGTTTTCTAATATCTTTGTTAACCATTTCTGTTGGCGAATTCAAAAGTACATAATGTTTAAATAATGATAGCTCCTTACAGTTTCGTTACTACGAGCAGCAATTTCTGCCACGGAAGCTGAATGCTCATCCTTAATAAATAATGCGTGAGAACCTCGAATACTTGAGGAAATACATAAAATTATATTTTCAAAAGCCTCAAATGAGTTACTTTCTATAGCTAAGTGAAGTGGAGTTTTCTTTTGCTATTTAAAAAGCAAATTTAATTCTCTATGTAATCATTTGTGATTTACATGCCTTATTTTGGCAGAATATTAAGTCAATAGATTTTTCTAAAAGCAATTTGCAGGCTTTGGGATGGTTTCTGGAGGCAGAAAAATGTAAGGCTGAGTTTTCATCATTGGTAAGCACATCGATACTTTCAGGACTTCTTTCTAGCAGTACTCTTAGACATTCTGTAAAAAATATGTTATTTAAAGCTCTTTCCTAAATATTTAAATACCTGTATGACCATATATGGAGGCAAAATGCAATGGACCTAGGTTACAATCAAGAAATGATTCACTAACATCGATATCAGAGTTATTCAAAATCATATGGAGGTCTCCAAGTGATCCGTTGATGAGCGCAGATTTCAGAGCTGCAGCATCTTCCGAAATATTTATGTCTGTTAAGAATTATTCTAATCTGAAGACATTGTCTTGTTTTATGTAAGACACAAAATTAGCAATATTAAAATATGTAAAAAATGTATTGAGAAAAATTTTCAAACAGAGAAGCATTCTAGGCATTACCTGTGTGCTTCTATGTACTGTACAATTATTTTTAACAATTTTCAACAATACCTGTGAGGCGATTTAGTCAGAGAGGGACGTCATATTATTACAAATAAATGTACTGTATTATTGAGATGAAGAGAAAATATATTAGCGAATAGAAGGTGCAAAGCGGCAAGTTGAAGAGTGGTGCCCAATACCAGGATTTATTAAAATCAAAAAGCAAGACACAAAGAAGAAGCTTAACTTAATACTAATGATATTACCTTGTAAAGAACCGTATGTTTTTTGAAAGTCTTGAATATTTTGATCCAAAAATGACAGATCTGATTGCATGCCGCTTTCTCTTTCATTCGCCTGCCATAAAAAATTCAGCATACGTTAAACGATTGGCGGAAAAAAAGATATTCACATTATTCAGTAGGCTAACCATCAAGTCAAGTGACAAATAGACGTTCCTACACTTTCATTACGCCTCACACTGTACAATTCTTAAACACTATAAATAAACAAAAACTAAGATAAATTTAACGTGAGCAAAACTTATTGAACTTATGCACATGACGAATACAAAAATTATAAGATTCTGAATTATTATCTATGAACATAAAAGTAAAAACATTGGCCGAATTCCACTTAAAAAAAAAGCGTCATGGACGTTGAAAACTACCAACCTAAAAATGAGACTAGACAAAGCAGACCTTTCTACCAAAAAGTAGAAGTTAGTACCGAATCGATATGAATAAATGAAAACATTTACATTTTGACTGCGCAATAAGAGAATTACTACGTATTTAACACACCTGCGGCCCGTTTTTTGTCTCTCTCTTTGAATTTTCTGCAGTTTGATATCGATCAGAAGGAGACTGAAAAGTCCTTATGGGTGCATTTCTTCCCACTGGTTTATTTGGCGGAACTGGAGGTGGCTGAGTTGATAACGTACTTGTTCTCACCGGTGGAACTGGTTTTTTTCCTTTATTAACTGGAGATAGACTTGCTTGATTGCTCGATATAGCCGAAGCAAAAGCTTGAGGTCGTGGTGCAATATTTTGCATTGTAGTATTGGCACGATTTTGTGCAAAATCTGCAGTTGGTTTCGAACTAATTGGAGAACGGTTTGACGAATTGATACTATCTTGAGGAGAAAGTCTTCTCCGCTCTGCTGGAGGCGTTTGTGGAGGTGTAGGCCTGTTAGAACTGACCTTGATAGGCAGTTTTGATGAGATTACATTTGAGGTTGATGTTTGGCTGTTGACAAGTACACTTTTCAATTGTTCAATTTCGCTTTGTAAATTTTTCGAACGATTTTCCTCTCTTTCGATTCGAGCACGTAATTGCAGTCGTTCCTCGTGCCATGAAGAACTTAAAGATGTTGATTCAGAGCCGCCAACTAAATAGTTATCTTCTGCTAATCGAGCTACGGCTTCCATCAACTGCTTCCGTTCTTTTAGTAAGAGTAAAGCAACATGCTTGTTCTTTTCCGCTTTCGTGTTGGTTTCTGATAACATAGTGTTTAACTTTCGAACCTCTTTTTCCAAACGATGAGATTTGGATTTTTCAAATTCAAGCTATTTATAGAATTGGGATCATTACTTTTGAACGTTGCACTCTAGTATTATAGTCACCTCATTTTTTAAACGTTCCCGTTCTTTTTCTAACAAGTATGTAACATCATCACCCTGGGCGGTGTCTTGTGCATGCTTTCGCTTTTCATCTTCCAACTCGGCACATACCTAATACATGAACACTTATAAACCTGTGAGATGTAGAAAAAATATATACCTTATGATATCGCTTTTCAACTGATTTCAATTGCTCTCTCATTTTGAACTGAGCTTTTTTCTGTGTTTCAATTAAATTATCCAACTGCTTCATTTGACTTTGATACATTCCATCGACAGCTGCTCGCTCCTCATTAGCAGGACTAGCGTCTTTTTGAGCAGTATGATCTCTTTGTAAGGCAAGCAAAGGATCTTCCAATCCGAAACGTCCATACTTTGCTTGATGAACTAAATTGCGAGTTTTTTCCGCCTTAATAAATGTAAACAGTTATTTTTTAAATAGATCTTTTTTAATATGTACCTTTAATGCTGCAATTGTTATATCCCTTCCTTGTAATTCACCTTCCAGATAGCTCAGCAGACGCAATAAATCAGTTTTATTCAATTCCATTTGAGGACGTCTCTGCAAAATCCTTATTAGAAATATCACAAAACACACCTGAAATACAAGATACCTTCATCGTTGTAGATGATAATCGGTCGATCGGTTCAAAACTATCGCAATGCTCTGGGTTTTGATCATCTTGTGCATCATCCGCCATTTTGGTATAAACACAATTAAGCTATCAATTTCCGAAAATCTATGAAAAGCAATGCTGTCTAATAATCCTCATCCGGAGCATATTTCGTTTTATCAAATGATTACAATTATAACAAAGAAATAAATAGAATAAAATTAGCGTGTTAAGGATGTCTTTTTCTTTCCGTAAATAAGTTTTGGACATGCGCACTGAGGGTGGACAGCATGCGCTCTTCGGAATCATTTCTTTGTGAGCGATATATCACGAAACTTCTCCTATATGCCGATTAAGAAAATATAGCATCGAATTGTAGTTTCTATAATAAAGAGCCAAATCATCACAGCCGAAGAATAAAATATTACATCAAATTTATTACAAATAAAAAACATTATTTATTTTTCTAAAGAACAAATTTCATTTTTTTTCTCTTTATTCGGTTAATAAGAAGTTATGATTGTTGTTATTCAGCCAGGTTCTACCTATTTGCGGATAGGAAGGTACATAAACCAATAACGTTGTTTTAATTCATTATCCTTTGCAATTATCCAGATCATCAGATCATTCTCCCTTAATGATACACCATTGCATTGCTCGAAGACATAAGAAAGTTTCTCAAAAAAAGGAATATTTCAACTATTATAGGGAATCAGTGACGGTTTGGTTTTAAATTTATTTTTTCAACTATTTAAGGTTAGTTGTTTTATTCGTAGGATAAAGAAAATACCCTACAAGATAAGGAAAGAGGAATAGCATATGCTGAAAGTTTACTGGCCTCCAAATACATGAGTAATAATTCGTATCGACAACCAACGTCAATAAAAAAACATACCAGTGCCAATCAAAATGAAGAAGTTTGTGAGATATCTTCTCAGAAATCCTCTTTAACTGATTCATGTTTTGATAAGGAGCCTGAATATATTGTTGGTTCTGAGGCTTTACTGTTATCTGTAAGTATATTGGCTATTATTAGTTGGCGTTTTGGTTAAGATTTTTCTTGAAAAAGCCGGATGCTCCATATAACATACATTGGCCGGTCAAATGTGGACGATTAAATCTTCATAGCAAAGTAAATGGGGGTATTACGGGCGTACAATCTGATTTGACAGATATTTGGAAATGGGTCCTGGAAAATCCGATGAAACTAACGCCTGAAGAAAGACGAAAGAGTCGGGTTGTTGTTGTTGTACCTGACATATTTGAAAGAATTTACATATCAACTATAGTGGGTATTTTGTTGGATCAGCTGGAGTTCACTGAAGTATTTCTGCACCAGGAAGCAGTTTGCTCAGCTCTGGGTGTGGGAGTTATATCGGCATGCGTCATTGATATGGGTGATCAGAAAACAAGCATCACTTGTGTTGATGATGGTATAGCCTTAAGAAATTCGAGGTTGATTAGAAACTAAACATCGAAGATACAATATTAATAAAACTTTTTTCGCATTGATAGGCTAACTTTAGAAGTTGGAGGATCAGATATTTCTTTAATTTGGCATTGGCTCTTAAGAAAGTTAGGTCTGCCTTGGGATCAGTTTGATTGGAGACGCTACGATCATTTTTTACAATTGCAATCATGGAAAGAGCAGTTTTGCACTCTTGATCTGGTTGTTATAGTATTTGTTTGCCCTCAAAAATTATATATGTTTTTGTTATTATAATTAATAGGATGATCATGGATCACATCTTCAGCATTTACACCTTAATCTACCTAATACACGCCTGAAGAAGTTTCATTTGTTGGTAAGTTTGTCGACGAAGCGTATTTTAAGCAAAAAAGATATCTGTTGTTGTAATATAGATGGGAGACGAACGCCTATTGGCACCAATGGCAGTCTTTTCCCCGAGTCTGTTTTCTAAATCAAGTCACAATATAAGAATTCCTTCTAAATTACCATCGAATTGTTCTGATGATCCATTCGACGATGTTTTCGTCCAGCAATCTCAAATCAGGGGTCCTGGAGCTGGATCAGAAAATGTTGGTTATTATTAACTAATCATCAAAACAGTCGTTTAGAAATTGGCTATTGCAGACTAAGAAAGCAAAAAAGAAAATGAATACTGAGGAAGATTTAGTCGAAACTCACCATGCCGACGATGAAGATTCTTGTGACGTTGTTGACACTCAATCTGTGCACTCTTTTGAAGTGGGAAATTCCAATTTGGCAGCAGTTTCCATGCGTGAGTATTTTTATGTTTCAACAAGAATTCACTTCTACATTTTTACAGCTGTTGCAATGAGTGGTCAAAGTGGTCCTGGACGACCGCCTAAACCAAAAATCACAGATGACTATGATCCAATCACCCTGACGGATTTTCCTTCTTTACCCCAAGCTATTGCTCTTTGTATAGGCAAATGTGGTAAGGTACGACTTATCCGAAAATTCAAGTCTTAGAAGCTTTTCTTTCAGAAACTGAAGAGCTACGGCGTAAAATGTGGTCAAATATTGTTTTAGTTGGAGGAGGTCTACTTTTTCCAGGTGCTTCCAATTTCTTACAGCAGTCATTATGGCCCTTACTGCCAGCTCATCTACAGCTTCAACCCGATTCTCTTGAAGTTCTCTCTCACCCAAAGGATGTTGATGCTAGACTTGTTGCATGGAAGGCTGCAACAGTTTTGTGCTGTTTAGACTCTGCTCAGGAGTTATGGATCTCAAGGACGGAGTGGCAGGACTTCGGTACCCGAATTATCAGAGAAAGAGTACCATTTGTTTGGTAAAGTTCTAGAAAGTACTAGTTTTAAATGTATATATCTGTTTATTGATATGTTTAAAAGAAATAAAACTATTTTTTGTTACATATCAAATTTCATTTTCATCTAATTATGAACTAGCGAATGAGTTGTTCAGTAGGGTGAACAACACTTTCAATTTTTTACATATGAGTTCAAAATGTGACTGTTTTTGCATATTTTCTTTGGTTACCAGTATAATCATTAATTAAAATGACAATCGTTTATCTTAAGTCTCTATACCATTTTATAGACAGCCAAGTTTCGTCTAAATTTGCTGTCATCACAGTATAAAGTTTTTTTTTCTAAGGTCTTTAAAGAAAAATCCTGGGACTAAATTTGTTAAATTCGAAACAGGTCATGCAAAAGTGTAATTTTGACTTGATGATAACTTAGATTAAGTATGATAAAAATATTTTATTTGATATTTATTTTTTACAGCATATTATATTAAAATAGAGTCAAAATTTTGACCATTACAGTTTCGTTCTCTGCATCCTAGTTCGTCGATTTCATTCAACTGTCTTCTGCAAATTTTACATACCTTGCTTTTAGAGCATGGGACTATTTCTCTCCATATCTGTAATAATTCAGACACCTGTTTTAGTCATATTATACGTCTATCTTATCCGACAAGATAATTTGCATGATTATAAATATTTTACAATTATCATCTTCAATAATCATGACGAACATATTGGATCTAGCAATTTCTTACTTCTATAGAACCCTTGTTTATATATTCAATAAAGTAATTCTATTCATAGAGAAGCATATAAAGCATGGAAAATTGTTCACGGTCAATTATGATAATATTTTAAAATCTTGCAATGCGGCTGAGCAATTTGAAACATATGACCCAATTATGATGGAAGGTTTGGATAAATGCCTTCCTGCTTTAGCTGATAACAACGATCTAAGACCAATGGGACGTATTTTACACTGCTATAGAATACAAGCTGCCCTAAAATCAAGAGCCTCGATTAGAAAATATCTATCGCTTAATCCTGAAATAAACTCTGAACCAGTTAATCGACCTGTTTTCATTATTGGTTTACCCAGGACTGGAACTACTCATTTGTTTAACTTATTATCACAAGATAGAAGGTTTAAAGCACCCCTAACATGGGAAATGAATTTCCCAGTCCCGCCGCCTTTAGGTAACGAAAGTTCACAAGACTCTCGAGTTAAAGCTACTAAGAGTATGTTTGGTAAGTTGAATAATAATTAATTCTATCAGACTATTCCATATACCGTTTTTATTTACTGTACAGAGACTCTGGTAAAAATTTATCCCTCAATCAAATATACTCATGATTTGCAAGCATTATCACCAGAGGAAGATGTTTGGATATTAGAGCGCTGCGGAATTTTCTCAGAATTTGAGTATTATTTTAATAATACCGAAGAATATTCGAATTGGTACAAGTATATGGATGAAGCTAAAATGATCGCAAGGTATCACTACTACAAACAAGAGTTACAATGCATCGGAAAAAATTATGATATGAAACAAAGACATTGGTTGATTAAATGCAGATTGCATCTCTTTTGGCTTAGATCACTGCTGAAAGTGTTTCCAGATGCTGTTCTAGTTTGGACTCATAGGCCTTTACAAAAATGTGTCCCATCTTATTGTTCTTTAGAGTATATTTTTTCTGAAGTTCAACAGATAGACCTACCAAATATGGAAGCATATAGAAAAAGAGTGTGCAAGCATTTATCGGATCTTGCGAATGAAGGCAAGTTTAATTCTTAAAAGTAATATGGTTAATTATTTTCTCTAAATTAAGGTACTATCGTAAGAAACAAACTCGAAAAAGAGCTAGGAAAGAAAGCTTCTCCATTTTACGACATTCAATTCAATGATTTGTGCAGAAACCCCCAGAGAGTTTTAGAAGATTTTTACAACTATCTAGGTTGGGATATCAGCAAAGAACTTCAAAAAAAGTTTGATAGCTATTTACAAAACAACCCAAAGGATAAGCATGGAGTTCATAATTACTCTATGCAGGAGTTTGGCATAGATGAAAAGATGTTGACAGAGGAATTTAGTAACTACATGGATTACCATAAAAAACTTTTCTAAATATTATTCTTAGAAATAAATTCTTACACTACCTGTTTTAAAACGTCTACAAATTCATCCATCATTTCTTTTGTATGATGAGGTGTTGGCGCTACTCGTAATAGTTCTTTCCCACGGGCCACCGTTGGGTAATTAATTGGCTGCACATAGATATTATTACGATCGAGCAGAGTGTGACCAATCTTCATTGCCAACTGAGCATCACCTACCTAATGAGCAATTTTTTACTGGTTAAAACTATTTCCGTACTAATTAAGTAACACCTACATGAATAGGTATAATGTGACTTGGGCATGGTACAACAGGAATATCACTCTTAATAAGCTTTTGCCTCAAGTATTTGACATTTTGCTGATGACGTAAACGAAGCAGTCTTCCTTCACAGCTTTTCAAAATCCTCACTGATGTTAATGCCCCAGATAGGACAGTAGGAGGCAACGAAGTTGTAAATATAAATCCAGCCGCATAGCTTCTTATAAAGTCAATCAAGGTAGAATTTCCAGCAACATACCCACCCATGTTTCCAAATGCTTTACCTAGAAGCATAAAATTTTTAACGCAACAAACTATGAAATATTTTCTAACAATACCTAGTGTGCCAGATATTATATCTATTTTATCAGTAATACCATCGCGATCTGATATTCCGCCTCCTTTTTTACCATACAGTCCTACGGCGTGAACCTCATCGACGAATGTTAAGGCGTTATACTTTTTCGCTAAGTCGCATAATTGTTCGGCTTTACATACGGCACCTGTGTATATAAGATTAGTCACAATCCATTAGAAAATATTTTTTTAAACTTTAGAATATTCTATTTTTACCTGTCATAGAGTGAACTGTTTCGAATGCTACTATTTTCGGCTCTGAAGGATCTGTTTGTCTAAGTAATTCTTCCAAATGATCAGGATCATTGTGTCGAAATATGGTTTTCTTTGCGTTACTATGTCGTATTCCTTCTATCATGGAAGCATGATTTCCGGCATCGGAAAATATATGACAATCTGGGAGCAAAGTTTAAAGCAGATGCAATTTAATTACAAGGAATTTTATGTTAAGTACTTGGTAATAATTTTCCGAGAGTACACAATGTCGAATGATTGGCTACGTAACATGAAGTAAACAATAAAGAGCTTTCTTTTCCATGTAAATCTGCTAATTCGGTTTCTAATTCTTCGTGTGTAGTGGAATTTCCCGAGATATTCCTCGTGCCTCCAGATCCGGCACCTTGTTCCATTAATGCAGTTCTATCAAAAAGTGTGTATAATGACAACAGATGCAACTAACTGATTTTGAACGTACTTACAAAACTGATTTCTGAACGGATGGATGCCAACTCATACCTAAATAGTCATTGCTACACCACACAGATACTTCCTTATGACCAACCTTTTCATCAACTTCAGCTGATGGAAAGCTGGATCCTTTACGATTAATTTTCCTAAATATACGATATGAATGGTCTTGTTTTTTTTTCTCAATTTGTTCGCGAAAAAAATGATTGTAAGTGAATTGCTCTTCTGCCAATTCATCATGACCTATAAATATATAAACTCATACATTTGTCATTCAACTGGCTATTGTTGCCAAATACCTCTAAGTTTTGGCTCGACTTGGCTGGAAAAGTGTCTTTTAACGGCATTGTAAATTGGTGTGTGCTTATTTGAACTTGTTTTCAGTTTTTTTTGACAATCGTCGTTCTTTTTCGCTATTAATGAGTTGTGTGTACTAAAGTGATATTTATGTCGTTTAAATATATTACTTACCTTTTAGAACATAGTTCGCAGCTGCTGTTAGCTGAATTACGTCACTCATGGATTCCTTTGAAAGAAGCTTTTTTGACAGAAAAGGGCACTTGGATAGTGCCCGACTTATCTCTTTACCTTTACCTATATCCTCTACTGATTGTTCCCAAACAGAATATTTGCTTATTACGTGGGACATAACTGGACAACGTAGAATATTTCCAGAACTAGCTTGAATTTGTCCTACATTCAATTTCGTTAAGAAAGGGCACTTTAGTACGTTCATTTTCCCGTTCGTTGATTCTGTTGCGGCAAGATAAACTAATAGTATATATGAAATCGAAAAAACCTGGTTTATCATGCGCATGTAATAATTTACATATCACCAAAAATATTAACATTCTATCTTAACTGATAGAAGTGAAATTTTCTGGAGGTTAATCTTATGTAAAGTGTAGAATAGAAACTGCTAGTCCATGACAGTTATCGTAAAGGAGGAACTTGGAGGAAAACGTAAATTGAAAACTTACAATCAAAAGGATTTTTTCATAGGAAGTTAGAAAACACAGAAATGAAGAATAATCAAAATATGTGCTCCTCTCTCAGAGCGACAAGGTCAAGGCGAAGTCGATATATCGGACTATGCAGATCAGGTAACCAGTTCAATTTTTTTATATGCATCGACTATAGATGGCGTGTCTTAAGCCAAACAAGTAGGCTTAACGTTTAAAGTTGGTGGCGCCGAGTTTTTATTGGCCCACTAACCCATTTCGACCTCCTTGTACCGGTTTCTTTTTCACGCTAGTTGTCGTATAGAGCACTCCTGATAATCGACTTATATTTAAATAATTGTCGAAAAGTTGTTTTATCGTAAACTACGCGAATAACCGACCTGTTTCCTATGTAAGTCTTGGTTTTGTATTAATATCTGGGAAACACATCCAGATGCGTATATCATACACGCCTAGCGTTCTGCGCTAGTCTTCTACATGTTACGCTTTTAACTGTTCGCTTTCTCCTTTCAGATAAAATTCGAATGCGAGGTATCAGGTAGCGGTAATAGAACAAAGATAAAGTAATGAATGCTTGGATTTTAGGATCCTGCCTAATACTATTCCATTGTAAGTACTTTTATTTGCAATTTTAGCGTAATATTTTATATGCTATTTTATTAAAATATTTAACAATCTTATTCCTAAAGTGTGATAGATGTTCGTAAGATTCTTTTCTTTGAATTAATCATTATTGTAGGCTTGATATTCCTTAAACTTTTTATCCATCTGCACTGGACCACCAATAGAGATATCAAGCTACATAAAAGCATCATAGGCCTATAAGAGTTTTTACGGCTTGGTCAAAGGTGATAGGGTTGTGTTTGTTCGCGCCTTTGCCGTATCGGCGTCGAGATAAATTAAGATAAAAAGGGAGAGTGAATTTTTTGTTTACGGTCAAAAGGCTATTGCACGATATTATCAAAATTTTATAATAATTATAATTTGCGCTTTTAAAATTTGGAAAAAGGTTTTAAAGCAACTTGTTTGAATTTTGCTTTAGATGCCTTGTGCATACAAGATCGAAGCTACACTTACTCGGACAGACCATCCTATTCTAATGAAGCACAATGCACAGATAAATTTTGTCGTTTACGTTCTGGTAATCTTATGATTGGAAGAACGAGTCCAAAATACTTGCGAGCATCTTCGACTTGCGGTACAAATGGAACGAGAAGTTCGTACTGCGTTATTCTTAACAAAAGATGTGGTAATTTAGAAGAGAATTCTAAACGATGTTACCTTTGTGAAAACAATGCGCACAACATTTCAAATGTCTTGAAATCAAATTATGAATACGAAAGGCGAAGAAAAAGAGATACTGAAGCAGCATGCGAACCGACTTACGCTACTTGGTGGCAAAGTGAAAACGGTATCCATAACGTATGGATACAGTTTGATCTACACGCAGAATTTTACTTGTCCCATATTACGATTTTGTTTAAAACTTTTCTGCCCGCCGCCATGTTGATTGAAAGAAGACGTGGACCTCCCGATTCTTGGAACGTGCTCAGATATTACGCAGAGGACTGCAAATCGAGTTTTCCTGGAGTTTCAACAAAACTTCCCTCGAAAGTTGAAGATATAGTGTGCCATAATAAATACTCGAAATCAATTTATCGCCCTTCCTACTTAGGGCAGTTTCAATTTCGACCTTTTCCGCCTTATTCAAACCCTTCTGAGTTGGAAATAGACACATTTGAATATCAAGATTACCTTCGATTTAACAGTCTGCGCATCAATTTTACGAAGTTGCACACCTTTGGAGATGAGTTATTAGCCAAGAGAAATGAAATTCTAAACAAATATTATTATGCAATATATGAATTAAGCGTCTATGGAATGTGTTCTTGTTATGGTCATGCTGATAAATGTCAGCTGGGAAAAATTGATGTGGATGATTACCAAGTTGCGGCTAACAAAGAAGAAGGAGTAGTTTATTCCGTTTGTAATTGCTTGCATAACACTGATGGTAAAAATTGCGAAAAGTGTAAACCTCTTTACAACGATTTACAATGGGAGCCAGCTATCAGTAAAGTCTTCGAATGTCAAAGTAATTTAATACTTTATAAATTGTTTTTATATAGAACTATTATATATAAACCTTCATTGTATAAATACAGAATGCGAATGCCACGGACATGCAGACTCTTGCAAATTCACACCAGAAATTTATGCTGAAAATATGGCAAAGTACAATAAAAGTTCAGGTGGAAGCTGTAACTGTTACAAAAATTATACTGGAAATAATTGTCACATGTGCAGTTTGGGTTTCTATTTTCAATACGAATATCCAGATGATTTCAGACGCCACGATGCATGTGTTGAATGTAACTGTGGAACAGGTAGTCGAGTAATTGACGCTCCTCGTGGTGGAGATCAAACTGATGTTATACAATATGTTTGTCAACATCAAACTGAGCGAGACAGTCAAGGAAACATCCTGAAGAGAGCAGGGCAGTGCGAATGTAAAGAAAATGTTGAGGGTTATCATTGTGACATTTGCAAAGACGGGTTTTGGAATCTCACACTTGACAATCCTTTGGGATGTGAAAGTAAAAACGCTTCTTTAGTCACAAAAAAGATATTATAGTTCTGATATTTTGTAACTTTAACAGAGTGCACTTGCGCAAAAGAGGGGACGATTGAAAATAAGGGATGCAATAAAGTTACCGGAAAATGTGAATGTAAGCGTAATGTTATTGGTAAAAATTGTGATCAGTGCAAAGTAAGAATTTTAATGAATGCTTAGAGGATATTTATTATTTTAAACTTATTTAGGAAAACACATACGGTCTCTCTGATAGAGAAGATGGATGTGCCGAATGTGACTGTCACTCCGGCGGTGCCAGAGAAGCAGGTTGTGATGTAAATACTGGTCAATGTAACTGTAGACCAAATATGGCTAATCGGACTTGTGGCGTTCCTAAATCTGCCTATTATGTGCCGAACATGGACTCTATTTTAATAGAAGCTGAAGTTTCCGTTATAGTAAGAAAAAAAGTTATATGATATCATTCCTAATTTAAAAATCAATAGGATCCTACTCCAAATACACCAATTGAAGAAATATATGACCTGGCTGGAATTCCTTCGACAGGCAATGGTTTCATAGAGTTTCCGTATGGAGAAGAAATAAAATTTAATTACACACATAAGAAGCCGGACGGTCATTTTTTCATTGCCCTACGTCATTCTTATTTGCCTGTATGACTATCAACTTTTACTTATCACCTTGAAATTCTATTTCTAAATAGCATTACACTTTCAGAGATATTCGAATTTTGAAATAGATGTTAGAGTCGATGCTCATCAGCCTCAAAATAAATTTTGTAGTGAAAAAATTCAAACATCTCGACTGAAAGTAGAAGTAGATCAAGTATATACATTGGGACATTCCGATAAATGCTTTGAACAATGGAAAAATTATACGATAACGCTTGGTCCTATTTACGAAAATGAATTCTACCTCGATTCAGTTCGTTAGACTGACCTTATGATAAAATCAAATTTCACTTAATGTTGTCTTTTAGGTTATACTCTTTCCAAATATCGAAAAAGTGGACATCTTGGAATCAAAAAAGTATCCAGCTGGGACACTCCAACGTCGTTTCTTTTATCATCACTGTGAGAGTCCGATTTTGGATTTAAGATACAGACAACAAGACAAATTAAGTGAAGATTGCTCAGATATGGCATATATTATTATGGCTGTTGCTAATGATGGAGCTGATCGTAATTATTTAATTTCATAACTCAGGTCACAATTTCATTTTGTTCCGTTTAGCTTGCAACTGTGACAGCGAAGGAATAAATAAAACAAGTGAGTGCGAAAAACTGGGAGGAGATTGCACTTGCAAGAAGAATGTAGAAGGGACGAAATGTGATAGGTGCAAAAAAGGATATTTCAACCTCGCCCATCCTAACGGATGCCAGTGTTAGTTTCTTTTATTTCTAATTTTTATTTTCTTTATATTGAACCGAAATACACAGCATGTGATTGCCACGCTGAGGGAGCAACGGGAATTTCGTGTACTAGAAATGGAGATTGCATGTGCGACAAAGAAAAAAACATTACCGGTCAAAAGTGTGATCGCTGTATTGTGAGTTAGTTCATTTTTCAAGCTAATGATTTAAATTGTTTTATACCTCAGACACTTCACTACCGTTTCCCATTTTGTGATCCATGTGAATGCAATAACATGGCTGATACCTGTAATAATCAAACAGGTGAGTGTCACTGTAAAAGTCATACAACTGGATGGAATTGTGATAAATGCGAAAAAAACTATTACAACTCGTTGAAACCTTTGGGAAAAGTTAGGTGTGAAGCATGCAAATGTCCTGGAACACCTGACTCTCTTTCATACTTTGCTAGTGGTTGTGAGTTCTTGCCAAATCTGGGAAGAGCCAAATGTTTTTGCGATATTGGCTATGCTGGGTACGCCTGCGATGAATGCGCAAACGGTTATTATGGTAGACCAAAGTTTGGGGAGAAATGTAAAAAATGTGAATGCCACAATAACGTTGATCCTGACAGTGAAAAGATATGCGATAAGGAGAATGGAACTTGTTTTGATTGTTTATATCACACAACGGGCAAAAATTGTGAACTTTGTAAGAATGGTTATTATCCTAACAATAAACTGCTCGATGGATATAATGATATGCCACCGTGTCTAGGTAATGAATTTAAAAATCAATTGATAAATTACTTCAAATCGTATAATATTAAAAACTTAACATTTTGAACAGATTGTAAGTGCAATTCTTTTGGAACAATCAAGAGAGATGAAAATAATTGTGTCAATGATTATTCGGGGCAGTGTCGCTGTTTACCAAATGTGGTAGGGCGCGCATGTGACAAATGCGTAGATGATAAACATTGGAACTTCTATAGTGGTTTGGGTTGTAAACCATGCGATTGTGACATAAAAGGGTCGCTGGATCCATTCTGTTATTCCGATTCAGATTTTAGCGGTCAGTGTAAATGCAAAATTGGTCGAGGTGGAAGAAAATGTGATGAATGTGAGAATGATTATTACGGCGATCCTGAAGCTGATAACTGTCAAGGTAAAGACCTCATTCTTAATGTTAATAGACTCTTAAAGCATTTTTTTTTTATAGAATGTAATTGCAATCCTTATGGAACTGAATACTCCGAAAGAAATATGCTTCAGCCCTGTAATAAAACCACAGGACAGTGCAACTGCACTACAGGAATAACTGGTTTGAAGTGTGATATGTGTGCTAGAGGTACTAAAGGCAAAGCTCCTGCTTGTGAACCATGCGGAGAATGTTTTGATAATTGGGATAGAATAATCAATGAACTAGCTGATAAAACAGATAACTTAATAAAAAATGCGACAAGTATAAAAACAGACGGAACTTCCGGTGCATTTAAAACAGAATTCAAGTATATGGATGATGTTCTTTCGAAAATACGAAAAATCATTAACAGTAACAATTTTACAAGAGAAGATTACGTGAAGAAACTTGCAATGGCCAAATCTATAAAGTCTGTTACATAAATTGTTTTATGCCTTCAATTAATATATTTAATATATCTTAATTTTTAGCGATTCTCTTCAATCCGTCGAGAAAACGTTTGAGAATTTGATGAAAAAAGTCGTTCCTCGAGAATTAGATCTAAAATCCTTGGAGCATGATAATTCAGAAACATTGCAATTATTTGACAAATTACAAGCAAATGATACTAAGTTAAACAAGGAAGCTCAGAATTTACAGGACAAAGTAGTTAAAGGTGATTAAAGATTCACATAGAATTCGTGAATTAACTAGAAAATTCTTCAATTAAGGTGCTGAAAAGAGTACGAAAGAAAGCTTAGAGAAAGTCAGACAAGCCAAAGAATTTTTGAAAGCAGCAAATGTTACAAGAAGATTAATAATTGAAGAAATTGATGAAGCTAGATTCAACATTCGATCTGGATCAGTAAGAATAATTTTAAAATATTTGATTTAGCTTTAAACTAAAAATGATATTACATTTTAGGTTCATTTTGATGAAAAAGTTGCTAAGAACAAAGAAAGAATAGAAAAGCTATATCAAGATGTTTCACTTCAAGAAAATGACTTCTCAAATATCAACAGACTTGTAAGCTTAATTGTTTTCCACTGAAACAAGCTGTATATATATAAAACATTTGGTATTTTTATAGATATGCGGAGTTCAAGTGAAGGACTGTCACAAAACGTGTGGTGGTATAGGATGTAAGAAATGTGGAATTGAAGTTTCCTGTGCAAACAGCACTCTAGAGATCACCAATAGGGCTACAATGTCAATTGAAAAATTTCACAAGACTGCTCAAGAAAAACGTGGTTCAATTAAAGATGCATTTAGTAAAACTGAAAAGAAAAAAAATAGCATGAACAATTGGCTAAATCAAATTGATAATCTGGCAGAGAGTATACATGATTTTATGAATACTACCAAATCGACACTAATTGATGTAAATGAGGTTTTAAACTATGCAAAGTTCGTAAAAGAAAGTAATCATAATCAGGATGATTTACGAATCGTATTAGATCAAATTTTAAGCATGTCTCATGTTTCGAATCTTAATGACGTAAAAAATTTATCGGAAGCCATAACGAAAATTGCGTCTAGCTTAAAGAATATAACTAAAATCATAGAAGAAACTGAGTCGAAGAAAAAAAAAGCAAACGATCTTCTAAATAAAGCTAAGCTTGCAAGGTAAGGTAGTACTTTTAAGGGTATGAATAGTTTGCTAACAAATTTTTTAATAGTAATTTAGCTAAAGTTGTTCTCAAAAAAGTTGAAGATATTGAGCGTAACTTGAACATATCAACGAACTTAACATCCGTCATTGATGATATTATAGCTAAAAACAAGAAAGCATCAAAGAAAGGAAATTCAACCTTTTTCAATGTAAGCATCTCAATATACCTCTTAAATTATAAGTTAATTTAAAACTTTCAGATTACAAAACGCATGGGTAAAATAACAGAGAAATTGAACAAAGTGCGAGCCACAGCTCAAATCGTTCGTTCAAATCTAGACAAGCAGTCTGAAAATAATGCAATGAATCAAGAAACTTTGGACAGGTCCAACAGCAGTATTACTGACTCAACCGCTCGTCTTAAGAAAATGGACATTCGCTCGCTGGAAGCAAGGGGTGAGAAAATTAAAATAACTTATAATAAGACACTGGAGACGAAGAAAAGTCAATGGACTAGGCTTAAAAAACTCTTGGCCCAGTCACAGAAACTGCTCGAAGAAATGGAAGAATTACCAGGCAAAATGGTCATGATGAATACTGAATCTATACAATTAAAAATGAAATTAACAGAAAAAATCAAAGTTTTAGAGGACAACTTGCAGAAAGTTATTGTACTACAAGCAGAGTTCCGCATCATAAATCAAAAACATAGTCAGGCTCTTTCTGATGCCCAGGGAAAGTAGACTTATTGTTTGTTCATTATGTAGTTCCGTGTTCAATGTTCCGTAGATTAGTATTTCTTCGATGCTTTTCATACAGTATATAGCGATTAAGTGTTCGTGTATGCACATGTGTGAATGATCAAATAAACAAAAGTCGTTCTTATTTGTAAATCTGGAGTCTTTTGCCTACGGCACGATCTCTTAAAATTCTTCGTAGATATCTTTATTTTTCAAATTTCAATGAATCGAAAAGAAGAAGCCATAATTCAGAGAAAAAGGGCTGTTGAAGAAGCCCGGAAAGAACGAATTTTTAATGCCAAGACCAGGTTAATTGGAATCGATGCGACAGCTCTTGAAGAGCAAGCAAGGGAGCGCAGACGGATGATGAAAGAGGAAGAAAGAAGGAGTGACATGTTTGACCGAGATAGAGTCAAAGCAGATTTGTTATCTTTGGAATATGAAAGAAGGCAAAAAGAGGAAAAGAGAAGATTAGAGCAAGACCTGAATCGATTTCGGTTTACCTAACGTTAAATTAAAAAATAATGAAATTATTCAATTTTTTTAATAGATTTGAAGAACAAGGGAAGATCAGGCAGCGGGAATGGGATCTTAATGATCCTTTAGCTCTGCAAAGACAACTTCCTATACGTTGTGGAGATACTGACCCAAGATTAGGTCCTTCTTCGCTACAAGTCTTTGGAGGGGAAGATTTACGAGGTAGCTTTTTTTATTTTTCAAATTAGACATTTAAGAACCAAACTTTTAATAGCAAAGGAACGAAAACGGCTTCAGCAGGACCAGATGAGAAATTGGAGTCTTGAACAGCAAAATTTGAAGCGCGATTCTAAACAAATTGAAGAAGAGGCTAACACTTACTATCAAAATCTTCGGAAAATGGAGGATTATCGGTGGACGGAGTTGAACAGACTTCTTGACGAGGCAAAATATGCAAACAACAAAGCTCAAAGTGAATATAACATGAATTTGGCTATTTGTCGTGCTAAGAACAAGATGGAAGAAAAAACTCGGGACGAAACGGATAAAATGACAGAAATTATGAATAATTTGAATGGTGACCTTTTAACCGAGAATCCTGCGCAGGCTATCAGCTATGGTCCAAGGAAGGTTATACCAGATCGATGGAAAGGATTGCAGGATGAACAACGAGCTTCAATTAAGTACGACTTAATAGAACAAATGAGAAAAAAACAATTAGAAACAGGAGAGCTTAAAGAAATCGATAAAGCATGGGAAGCAGTTACGTTGAAGAATATGAATGACGGGCTACTGAAGGAACGCGAAAATGAACGTCTTGAAGCTGAAATGAAACGCAAGTTAGCTGAAGAAAACTTATCCTTAGCAAAGGAGCAGAGTCAGCGAAACGAATATTTAGAGCATTGTGTCTATACAAATCCAATAGGGAATGAATATTTCAGTAATTTTAACACCACAACCCGTTAAATTATGTTTGTGATTGTGATATGGAAAATATTTATTTTCGAAATAAATCCTATCAAACTCTTCAGTGTTTGAGTACAGAAAAACCTTAACAACCGCCTAGTGGCGCTGTGAACGCGAAATAATATTAAACATAAGATTATTTGTTGTATTAAAGTTTACGGTAACAACTTGTATTTCAAGTTTTGTTTATAAGATTAAAGTGATGTGCCTTTGTTCATTAGAAGTCATTAAATATCTAAATATGTCAACTGTTATATTTTGATATATTGCTAATTCTGTGTTCTTGAACTTATTTCATGTTCTTTATGTACTTTTTCAGATGAAAACATTGTGAACGCTAGCTAAGTTAAATTAAATTTTTTCCTGTACCTGCCAAATATCACTTTTGTGCCAATCACATGCTTGAACTCCCGAAATGGGCCGAACAACAAAACCAAATAATCAAACAACATTTGAAGGTAAATTAGAGGAGGAAGAAGACTTGCAAAGTTCAAAGGGAGGTAGAAATAATGGAACTAGAGAAGTAATATATGAATCAAAAAGAAAAAAGAAGGAAAAATACCCTCCTGGTACTCACGAAGCCACTTTTTCTGTCGTTATATCTATGTCAATACCCTCCAGTAATTATTATATTGACGATTACAACAGAATAATTAATTTCATTGATTCATTATTTAGATACTGAGGAAACAGTAACCGGTACTATCGAAAGCTCAAAAAAAAAGCATTCGAATATAATTGATTCGCCTAAAGCTCAGAATTATTATCACATTGAATATGGAATGCTACCAGGGGAAGAGGAAATATTGAAAACAGATATTGTGTCTTTCGGACCCGCTGCTAAATTTTATGCGGAAAAGCAAGAATCCCGAGTTCTAAAAACGTTCCAATCAGGAAATTGTTCTTGGATTGCTTGGACTCAAAAGTTAGTATCAATGTACTTAGTTCTTCGGAAATGTTTATTTAACAATAAAAAAATTACAGCCACACTATACCTATGACTGAACAGAATGTGGATAAGCTACATAATCATATACTTGAGCTGCGTCTATGGAATCAAAAAGATAAATGCTCTTATAAAGCCAAGTTTGATAGGCCGAAAGCTTTCAAACTACCAAAAGGTATATCAAGTTCAATTTTTGATGCGTGTCTTGCAAAACACAAAAATTGAAGAACCTCAAAGGATAATTGCAATGTTTTTCACAAAAATAGTTTATTGATTAGCACTATAGTGTAATTTCTTTCTTCAGGTGAGGATGACTTAAATACTGGAGTAGGAGGATTGGTGTTAAATCAGATCAAAAGTTTCGTTGATATGGGACCGAAAAAATTATATTTGCATAAAGATCTTCCAAACATTTATAATACATCGGATTCGAATAAGAAAAGTAAATATTTTTACATTTTATTTACGAAATTTGAAAAGTATTTTAGCAGTTGTACAAGAATATTGTATTCGATATGATCATGGATTTTCTCTATTTTAGTTTATTAAGTAAATGGAAAAAACAGAAACACAAATATCACAATACCTGTAACATAAAAATATTTTTATTTAAAATGGCGTTGCAAATTAACTATGTATGCTATCAATTTGGGGATGGCAAAAACGTTATCGCTCCTCAAACTTAAAGTTCATGTTTAGGCTATTAATTTTATTTTAAAAAGTTGTTAAATGATGAATTCATGATTAGGTGAAGACTAAGGCTAGGGTTAGGCTCAAATATTCAGAATATAACTTTACTAACTTTGGTTTAGGGTAAACGGGGGCGATTCTTCTCATACCCCTGTTCAACTCTGCTTGGTCATAGTTCTTAAATACTGTTTTTTATACCCAGTTATATCGCTTAAACAACAATTACCAATAAGTGACCTGTCTGAAAACAAAATTGACAACATAAAGTATGCCACTTCATCGGAAAATATCGGTAAAATAATTTCTCTCGAGATTTATTTGTAATAAAATGCCTCTTCTATATAAGAAAACGCACCAGCCAGCAGGATTCAATCAGCTAAGAAATCTCGCAATTCTAGGGCAAGCATTCATACTCCATCAAGAGATGTTGGATCTACAGAGGACGGAGGTCCTTTAAGGTAATTATGAGGATTATGGAAGAGACTTGCATATATTTGCTATGTTGTATAGGATATATGAAAATTTGCGTCAATTGGCCAATGGAATGCCTTCAGAAGATGACGACCTAGAGGAACTTATAAGCCTGGGTGGGGGAACTTCTGCAGATCTTGCAACATCTAAACGTCGACAGTCTATTAACAGCAGGCAGTCAAAGTCTCAAATGAAAGCAAAGGTGAAGAAAAAATTTGATGTCGAAGAAGTAGAACGTATAAAGAAGCAGGGCGTTGCATGTATACCGATAAATATGGCTGAGTTTTTTGCTCGTTCGTTTTATTGTGATAGTAAAAGTTATTTTGTTAACATTTCGTTAATTTCTTCTTTAGCTGGAACTACTTGTGTGACAAAAAGACTATCGTCAAACGTGCCGGGAATAGAAGATTTTTTCATTACAATTAAATTGACAACTCCAATATTATCAGATGAGCAGATTGATTTTTATAACCCATTATCTATAAAAATTCATTGTGCTACTAATATGCCAAATGAGCCATACGACTATGATATTCTCAGGGAAATATGCGAACCAGCGTTTATTGAGTGTCAATTTCTCAACAGTGACATTCACAGGAGTGACGGAGTTCTGCAAGACCAGGGTATATACTGGGATGATACTTTTGTTGTTCTATTGGGTAAGATAGATCCCAGTAAAGTACGAGAATTTCTCCTAGGACCCCACTTTGAAATAAAAATTCATGATAGAGATAAAAAAATAGACGGAATAAGTAAAGTAAAAAAACCGGCTTTATTTGGAGCTGAAATTGAAGACGAAAAAATTTCTAATGTGGGAGTGGTTTCTTGTAAGCTTCGCCAAAATTGTCACAGATTATTTTTATTTGCATTATTTTCTTTAGCTAAAAGAACTTTGTACAATGCGTTTGATGCTAACAAAAAACCTTGGGACCCATATGGGATATCACGATTTGACCTGTCAGGACTCTTATTGGGTCAAAAAATAATATATCTGCATTCTCCAATTTTACCTTGTAAAATTCCCGATGTGCTAGGAAAGGAGATGAAAGACAATGCTTTGCTTGGAATTAGAGGAGCCGTAGATGGACCAGGTGCAATACGATTAAATATATTGTAAAGTTTAATATTATTAATTAATTAAATAATGTTATAAACTTTTAGAAATAGGACCAATGCAACAAGCAGATTATATGGGATCTGGAGCTGAATTAAAAATAAGAGTAGAAGTAGCGAAGGTTTTGGTTGGAGAGGATGAGATAAACAAAAGGACAGATAGAAAAATTTCATCAGCGGTAGTGTATAAATCTAATTACCCTTTAAAAAATGTCAATTTTGAACAAAAAAATATATATTTAAAATTGCCTTTTAGGTCTCTTTTCGTTATAAAGATATTTTAAAAATTGTAAGTGATAGACCGAATATGTTAACTTTCAAATGATTTAATTTATAAAAGCCAGTAATAATAAATTCATTCTTGGAAGTCTAACAGCTGTTTTTTTCAAATTAAAAATACTCTTTATAAAGTTTTTGTTTTCTTACTGATCTAACTGACACCAGTGTTAAATTACACTTAAATTTTGATAAACTACTATTTGAAAATTATAAATTTGTACAGTGTCCCTTTAATCGCCTGATATATGTGGTTGATACACAACAACAAAATTTTCTCCGACGTTTGCTTGATAAAATTTCTAATATAAATGCTGAAGCTCTGGGTTTAGCAAATCTGGATGAAAATGCTGTTAGAGCCATTCTGTCAACTTTTAAGCTGTCAACGTTTGTGTTTTTTTCATATTCTCTTATAATTAATGTTACATTTAAAAATTTCTCTGCAGTGAGCAGCAGCAATCCCCCTCTTTAGATATTATAACTGGTTGTCAAATAATAGATAAAACTACAAATATACTTATTTTGGAGGGTTTGGCTGATAGAGGTTTGGCAGAGCTATGGGCTCATTTACCTCAAGAAGCTGATTCGAGCACCAAAATTCTATACAATTCTGACACAAGATTTACTGAACGACTCTATGGAAAATTGGATGTTGATATCGTCAAGATTAAAGTAAAATACATCTTTTACAGATATATAAATAAATTTTAATACAAAACCGATTAACAGCTGCATGAACCATTAGATTTAATTATTCAACAACCCCTCTTTTATGTTCGGGATATGGTTCCAAAGGATTGTTTTGAAGCCTTAACGAAACTAAAAGACATTCTAAATTGTAGTAAAATAAGACAGATATGTAAAAATGATCTATGGCCCACAGCCAATATGATAATTGTACTAAGTAAAGAGTTTGGAGTACCTTTAACGAAAGACGAACTGAAAGGTAAAATATTGTAAATAAGTTACAACTTGTAAAATTTTATTCATTTCAGACCTCCAGGAAAATGAAGAAGAGAAAAAGCAATTAAATGATAACACTAGAGGAACAATAACTAGATCATCTCGAGCTCGAACTCCTCGTACGCCTCTAGATAATGCGAATCCTGAATTTGTCAATCAGCTTTCTCGCAGAACAGTCTCTCCGAACTCAAGGAATTTTCTGGCTGAACATAAAAAAACTTTGAGAGAAATTAGTCGCTTAAACGCTGAAGAACGCTCAAAAACAGCACCTTCAAAATTTTTTGTTTCAAATTATCCAGTTCATAATTACAGCAGTCACACATTTAATCAGATTGAATTAGCAAAAGAGCAAATTAGAGACATGATACAATCGGTATAGTTTAATGATTAAAGTCTTAATTTAACTAATTTACTATTAACATTTTAAAAGGATTACTTAAAGAGATATTATTCATATTGTCCTGATTATCACATAAGTGGCACATTCTTTCCTAAAGATTTTGATGACGAATATAGGTTAGTGTTCTCTCTAGTTGGAAAGAGATTGGAAATTATTATTTTGTTCTAGGAAAGACAGTGTCCCCAAAAAGTATCTTTGGAAAACTCAAGAAGGTTGGCGTTATCCAGGAAAACAACATATGGTTCAAGCTAATCAACATCCTTTAAAACCCGACGATGCCCGAGCTGCGGAGCTAAAAAAGGTACCATTTCTTTAAACGTGTATTATTTGATGACTTCAGAGCTATCTTTATTAGGAATGGGAAGAAAATTCTCTTCATACAAATAAATTCGTTCCACCAGTTGCTCAGAGAGAAGCATTCTCGTGGTGTCATCGTGCTTATGACTTTAATTTGTGGCAAAAGGCTGTTCCAATAGATCAAGGAGTCCCATCCATTCATCCAGCAGGCATAACTGCCCAAGAAGATAAGATAAAGGCCACAACTTTGGAAAAACAAAAATGGAAAGAAAAACTTGTAACCGAAACTGAACAAATGAAATTCCATCGAAAAAACTGCAAAACAGAGATGACAATGTGTGGCTCCAAGTCTTCAAATCAAATAGATAAGCTCAATGGACTTCTTAAAGACGAAGCTAAAAAAGTAGCCTTACAAGGAAGGATGGCGAAAATATGTTCAATACCTCCCTTTCAAGTTGTTGCACAGCCATCTGTCGACACCCAAGCAAGAGAGATGGACAAAGCTATAGCTCCCGCGATTGATAATGAATTTGAGGATTTCAACATAGGATTTTCTCCTGGTGAACGAGGGAAGTCGCTGACTGTAGACTTCATTTCAAGGCACGATTACGATAGGCACAATTTTCCTTTCGCTGATGATTTCAAGTAAGTTGATATGCTACAATGATAATAACTTATTCTCTCTCAAATTCTTAGACCTCGGGTAAATCATAAATCTAAAATCTACAAGAAAATACCTAAACCTTTAAGTAATGAAGAATATTCGAATAATTTGTACCAATTAACGCCAGATTTGGAGGAAAGGTTAAAACTGCTGCCGAAACCTCTTGAGGTACCCAGCATCGAAGAACTAAAAGAGTTTTATAACAAATTAGGCAATGAGGGCTGCTTTCTTCCACCCATTAGCTAGCTTAAGTAAAAAAACGTGCAGTATTATCAATATATAAAATATATATTTGTCAAAAAATAATATATGACCTCGTAGACAACAAAATTAACTCTTGACTATTATGTGAAATTGTATCAATATATCAGATTTTATTTCCTAAGTAAATAAGTTACAATTCTACAGTATATATGATTTATGTACTCTATTTAAAATAGCTTGTGATAAGTAGAATTGAAGACTGAAAAAGATATTTGTCATAATTTGAAAAAATTGTTTGTGAAATTACTTTCGTAGTATTCGTTTAATGTAGCTCCCAGAAGTCGAATAACAGCAAGAAAATAGTGAAAAGTTTAGTTTAGAGTAATTCATTAGGTTTCTGCTTCCTCACACAAGCACTTATCAAACAATTTTTCAATATGTCTGATTTAGTAAAATGATATTTTATGGATGGGTTTTCTGACAATTTCGTTAAGCACTCCTTTGAGAGTAAATCATAACGAATCTTCGACAGAATATTTTCCACAATTATCCTTGACAACTTCTTAGTTTTAAACTGTAGAGTTAACCAATAAAGAGCTAGTTTTAACAACTCCTCTTCATTCAGGGGTGTATTTGTCGAAGAAAGCATAAGGGCAAAAACATCACTTGGTAGAGATCGGAGTTGAGAATTAAGTAATTTCTTGTTTTGCAATTGCATCCCAAATCTAGTCATGAGATTTTGTGCAGCTATAGACTTTAGGGGATATTCGGTATATTTTATTATGTTTATGATGTCGTTGTCCAATAGATAATTATTACTCGGAATATTAGTAAATTTTTCAGTCACTTTGCAGTCATTTTTAACTTGATTTTCTAAAAACTTTAGCCAAAACTGAAGACAAAGGGATTTCAAGCTGGGTATGAGATAGTAGTCTGCAAGACAGTAATAGACCCAAACGTTTCTTTTATTTAGTCGTAAATCGGATCCATAAAGGTAGAGAATTATGTTTTCAAAATAGTTTAAGCTGTTGGGTAAAGGAAGATGAACTTCTGTCGATTCTCTTGTTTTCCATCTCGATGATAAGCAGCAATGAAAAAAATCACTCTTGCTTCTCAAAATAATTGAATGAACATATAGAACTCGTTGATTATTTGAATTCGTACACGAGACAACAAGCGTCAAATCTCGTCCGTCTGTTGAAGATAAATTTAATTGGAAATCATCAATAATTTGCCGTTCAGAAACAAAGTCTTCGCCACTATCATCATACTTAATAGAAACTATTTCCTTTTCTACAAAATCCATAAGTGAATCCGAGACTGGGAGATTACAATTGGTAGAACTTCCTCTTTTCTTATTGTTTTTCGCAGTAAAACAACAGGGCTTATCACTTTCCAGTCGACAAATTGAATGTTCTACGTCTAGAGCGCCTTTACTTTCTTTGCAAAAGTTATCCATCGTCATGTAAGTGAACGGTAACTCTCAAATTGTTGTTACACGAGGCTAGAATCACTAATAAATGCAAAAAAGAGCTTCCAACATTTCGTGAATATTTATTATGTTAAAAGAATATTAATTTAAATAGTGTAGCCTCAGGCAAGCCGTTCTGAGAAATATCCCAGAAACAAAAAGCTATTGATAAAAACAGGCTTGAATAATACATATAATGCATCCTGGATGTTTTTGAATTATAATCAATATATCCGAGAAGTAGATAGGTGGCGTATTCGATCACGTGATTCTTATATCATGTTTATTTTATCCAGCGTCATTTACTCAAATAGTTTTATAAATACGTAAAAACATTGTAATGTCTAGTTAATTTAGATTGTTAATTTTTGTACATGATACTCAAATGGTGGATTAATAAGGAATTGATATAGAGGAGAATTAACATTGGCCATAGCAGTATTATCTTAAACATAGGCCTTTGAAATATATTGTTTAGGCTCTAGGAAATAGAATATTGCTTTTAAACAGTTCTTCCTGGAGGTGTAAAGACTATACAAGAGTTCTTTTCTGAAAGAATTACTAAGTGAAACGTGAAATTCACTATTTCCCAAAACTGTCATCATAAAAATGATAAAAAATATCACTTCTATTCTATTAATTTGGTAATACAGAAAACCCTTATTCATTAATGTTTAGCATAAAAAGTCTTAATAGCTTCTTTATGATATCATTTAACATTAGGATATCCTCTGAGAAAATGAGAATATACGACCTACGTATATCAGCTAAAAAAAAGTGCGTATCAGAGCCGTCAGTAATGCTTTAAAAGAATCTTGCTGATAACTCCAATAAATTTAAGTCTTTTAGTCATCTGACCTTGCATAACTATTAACCTTTTTATAATCTACTGGGAGACAATATAATTTATATTTTGAAGATTAATTAACTCAACAAATTTCTTGTTTCATTATACAACTTCCTTTTATAATTTCGTATCTTTGATTCCTCCGCCAGAGGTCGTTGTAAACCAAAACGGGTATATAATATCGAAAACATACTGTCAGGTACGTACCGCATATTGAACTATTTCTAAATGATTCCCCCATCGTTTAAAACACTGGACTCTGTATCTGGTGGAAAGAAGTCAGAGAAGGGTCTTTATGAAAATCCATCAGTTTTATTGTTGTTACGATAAATAAACCGCCGTATTAAGCGAATGATAGTCTCAGCTTATCCCCGTTCACTTCGCATTTATTGCTCTAATATAGCTAGCGAATGGAATGTTGAGCTTCACCAAGAAAACAATTAGTCATGAATTACTAAAATTTCACATAAACATTATTTTTAAATAGTATTATCAAATTTATTTCATTGATCGATTGTTGAATTGTAGAGGACGATGAGAAAATATCATGTCCAACATTCGGATAGTATCAAATAATACACCGGGTACATGTGTCGATTGTAGTCCATGTGCATACGATGAAGAGAGTAATCAAGTTTGTGAAACATGCTCCCGAATTTGCAGTGGAACGTTAAAAATACGATTATCCAAAGTATGGGATACTGAGCTGCTGTCAGTACTTCTTGATGATATGGATAATATCTCAGAATCATCAACCGAAAGTCTACAGCGTCGAACTAAAATACGAGATATCTTCTCAGAATGGCTGTTCAATCATGACATGATAGAATGCACTGATGAGACTGAATTTGTATTTGAGGAAAATAACGACGAAATTGATTCTGCATATCACACAGCAGAGAGCAATCCAACAAGTCACGGCAAATTTTCTCCTAATTTTCCTAAAGAAGATTTAAAGCAACAGATTGATTCCTTCAATGGAAATTCTTACGGTCTGTCTATGAGTATAGATGAAAATGGTCATGGGTATAATGGTCAGATACGTATTCATCTGAATCTTTATCGTCCAGTGAAAATGGCTGTTCAATGTCAAGACGCGATTCTTAATAATCCAGAGAGTGAAGATGACGAACCTAACATGTGCACAGTCAAAACCTCCGCCTTTCAGATTCCTCAAAATAGCAGTCAGGTTATTCATATCGCTAATACCACCAACACTAATGAGGCTGTAAGAAAATTTTTAGAAAAATTCAGCATTATTGATAATCCATGTAAATTTTCTTTATATGAAAGTGTTGACAAAGGAGAAGGCCATGGTATTGCTTAATTTTTTTTAACCAAATGTCAAAATTAACGTTTGAAACTTTCAGCATCTATAAGACGAGTTTTGGATGATGAATATCCTCTTTCAATATGTTTGGGTTGGTCGGCTCAAGGGTTAAACACTAGAAGTTTCGTACTGAGAGAAAATGATTCTAATGAAATTCAATGGGATGCTTTCTCCATACCAGAGCTACAGGCTTTCTTAAAAATTCTACAACGAGAAGAAGATGAACTACAAGAGCGAATTAAACGAAAATATGCAACAAGACGTGAAACTTTGAGACAACACATTGGTAATATTAAACAGCAACAATTTGCAAATGACAAAAGAACGCCCGTTTTTGTATAGGATCAGTACTATCGATCATGACTAGTAAGCTTTTAAACAGAGATTGCTTAGAGAATTTACATTTATAAATATTTTTTATTTCCTTAATTATATCATATGTCATTGTATTGATATTATAATTAAATTTATAAGTCAAAATTAAAAAAATTATTTGCCGTTAGATGGCACTTACGTTGTTAAATAAGTAAGAAAATAATTCTGATAAAAGAGAAAAGTATTTAAACAAATATACAAACTTTTAGCTGTAAGTCATAAATTATTTTTTAATAAAATTTACTAGACAAGATATTTGCATTTACTTTTTTTTGACAAAGTAAATATTAGACATTTATATAAACGGAATTTGAGCTGATAGAATAGTATGGGATAGAAAGAAAATTTTGCTTCATGAAAAATGTCGGGTCTGACAAAAGGCGCACAAGAGGTCAATTTTGTCAGAGCAATCAGATAAGAGAGCTTGTTGATAAATGTTCTCTGGCATATAGCCACAGGTCTAAATTGAAGAGAAAACGAAAGATTGCAGCAAGAATAAAATTATTTTCTAAAATGACTGCAAATGAAATTTTAAGGCATGTGATTAAAAGGGGACCATTCGAAAGTAAAAATTTAGAAGAATTTAACCGCCAAAATACCAAACATTTGTCAGGGTAAACCCTGCGTTAACACGTACACAATAGAAAATAATATAAAAAGGGTTCGAGGCGACGCTATGGTACACGTGGCTCCGCCTGTTGTCCCAATCGCCGCCAGTATGAAGACGAACAGCGACCAGCACGAGAGGTGATGGAAAAATTATGCTACGTCGTTCTGTACCTAGCAGGTATTTGATTAATTTTAAAAGCTAATATACTTCAGATAAATAACATGGATAATATATAAAATTACATATTCCGAAGAATATATTCAATTGGATTTAAATAAGTGTTACAATTTAATCTTACATGTACCACGAAATTTATTTATAAAGATGTATTGCTTTTTAAACGTTTTATTGTATGAATGTATATTTCTATTGTTCATGATTTTACCATGTGGATTTAATCTTTTTCTTGGTAATTATTATGTTATAAAGAATAGTTATCCTAACAATATCGCATCACATCCACACGTAATATACAGTATATTATTTGGAAATATCGGTTTCACACGAATCAGGAAAAGAAAATAATAAATATTTCTTATATAAGACCAAACTCGAATAAAATACTTTTCAGTAACATTATCAAATCTCTAAAAATTGTGATTAACTTAAATTATTCTTTTTTATTAGTTCTCTTAGAAAAAGCGTCAGTATAAAATAACCCAACTCTGGCAATTGATTTTCTTCTGGCAAATCAAACAAACTATCTTCCTTTTCACGACTTTATCTAAAATAAAGGAATTACTTTGCTAAGATTTAGAAAATAATCAATTACTATAATATGTCTTCGAAAACCGTTGCTTTACTAGTTAATTCTTGTCTGCCCTGTATAATCGATTTATGATCTCAAAGGCCGATTTTACTGACCTATTTATACTTTTATTCTGTTTACAAAAGCCAATTTTATGTACTAACCGAACGATGATTTACGTTGCCATGCAATCTAAGCGAATAAGCGTCAGTAAGAGCGAAAAAAGGCGAACAAATACTTCTATAATGAGAATGCATAATACGAGAATATAGGACACAGTATTGATTCACAGAGCGTTACAACATCACTTTCTACTTTTTCTCTCAATTTTAAACCTGTCAATTAAACTGGGTATATGATTGCATAATACAAAATCAATCTACCAAACAATTAACTGACTGAACTGACATCTCCTATAGTTACCCACGGCGCAATCATCACTATTGATTTCTAAATCATTATATAACTAATTGTGACTGTTTGTGAAATACAAATCAAAATAGATATTTTGATCGGCCTATAATGAAAGCACGCTCGCCGGTCAAGACTAATGTAGGTGGCGCTGGTAGGGGTCATAAATTGCTGTTCGTTCAGTTAATGGCCCTCATCCGCCATGTTTCTCACAACCCTTTTCTTTATTCGAGCAGTTTTCTCTCAAACAACGGAATCTACCGACAACCTTTTCTTTGATCCATCTCCAGTTGACATCACTGTTAGGGACGGTGAATCAGCACTCTTCCACTGTGACACAAACTCAAACGACGATATAATTCTCTATTGGCAGACAGAAAATGGAAAGAAGATAAAGAATACAAGCCGTTATTTTATTAAAGGAAGAGGAAATCTGTTTTTCAAGCGAGTAGACAGACATGGCTGGCCAGATAAAACGTCCTTCATTTGCATTTGCTATCATGAGTCGGGACAGATTCGATCCTCAGTTGTTCGGCTTGATATACAATGTAAGTTCGACATCTGCCTTATCTATACCTACTAATCGCTGTCGTAAATCTGTCGGTTTCTATAGTGGAGTGTACAATATAAAAAAATTCTGGGGTATTTCTGAGTTTCGAGGAAAAAAACTCAACTAGATAGGGTTATTTTGTATTCACTTATATATATGCAAGTATTTATGTAAAAAAGTTACGTTTGATTACGAAAACGACTAAAGCAGATTGGGACTTTTACCAACTAAGATTTATGATAAATATCTTACAGTTTTATTGTTAGTGTGTTAACGGTCGAGGTGAAACGTTATCAATATCCTCAAATTTCGACATGCCCTAGAATTTTCTTGGTTATGCAATATATTTGACCTTTGAACTTTCCGACCTACTTGATAATTAACCAGGGAACGCGCGTCGTTCCTTGTGATTGATTACTCATCAAGCTGCATGAAAGTTATTCATCATGGAGGTAATGAAAACTTGTTCTTTAACAGGGATATCTGATAATGCTGATGTTCAACTAGTTCACCCAAAACAAGAATCTACGATACGAAGAGGCTCAAACGTTATTTTGAACTGTTCAGCTGAAGGGAATCCGAAACCGGATATAACGTGGATTAAAAATGGTAAAAGGTAAGACGTGCAAAAAAACAAGCGAAATCGAAAACCAACGCAAAGTGTAATCTAATATATAAAAGCAATAGCAATTTAGGCCTGTTTATAATTTGCTGGCGTCCAGTTGAATGCTTTCGATTTTCCAGATCCTTTCGTTCCCTTCTTTGTAAAATGTGCTTACGAATGCTTGTTCTTTCTGAATCGCGCAACTAACTGGAAATCCTTCGCAGCTGAACATTCTTAGTACTTTTCCTTCCATATTTCTAACTTCTATTTTCTTTTGCTTATGCTGGATCATTACTAAACTATCTGGCGTTGCTAGCAGTCCAGTCGGCATTCCATCGCATGCTATGTTTCTAATAATGGAGCCTGTTTCTTCATAAACAATTATCTTTGAAGTGTTGAAATGACAAACGAAAATTTCATTATTTTTGGTAGATAAGCCACAAAAAGACCCAGATGATTTAGGTTTTTGCTTCCAGAGTTCTTTAGATATTTTTAAATCGAAGCAAATCAGTGTGTTTGTTTTTAGCAAAATTAGCTTTTCATCATTTTGAAATAAGTTTATATACTCGATTTGCTTTTTCTTGATCACAACTGATTGGAAATTTTCCAATACATTGAGAGCAATAACTTTACTATTTGTAAAGTCATAAAAGTAAAATACTTTTCCATCCGATGTTGGAACAATACACTGAATAACAATATCTAATTTTAATGTACATGATCTGAGGTGTCCTTCAAAGCTATACTTGTTTAGATATGATGGTCCTTTATTATTGTTTTTTATCTCTAAGACGAACAGATAATCATGGTCAATATAGAGATTTTGTATATAGCAACTTCCCTCATTAGGAATACCAACAAGAATTCCTCTCGGAACATTTCTTGTTGCTGTAACAGTTTTCTGTTCTGAAGCATTTTTTACAGGAGAATTTTGACCAACTGTTTTCTTCGTTGACTTCTCCTGTGATATTGACTTGATATTGGTCTTTGAAATTTTTGTGTTGCCAATGTGTAATTCAGATTTGGATGTACCTTGAGCACATTTAGATCGTTCTATATCTATCTTAATTAAAACATTTCCCCATTGGCCAATATCATCTTCATGACATTTTCTATTCTTCTCTTTTACCAAACGTGCTGCTCGTTTGAGTGATAAGTTAATTTGCTCCTCTACTGACGGCAAAAGGGAAAAAACAGCTACAGACACAGATTTTTTAATATCATCCAAAAGTACTTCTTTTTCTCTTAAAATTTTTACTGCTTCGTCTTTAATAGCTTTTCTTTGATTTTCTATGCTATTTGACAGTTCTAAGTAATAGCTATTTAAGTCTTTTAGTAGATTATCTCTTTCGTCCAGTATAGTCTTCTGGTATAGCTCTGCTTTATGCTTGCAATCTATTTGAAACTTTTTGACGTGATTAATTACATCTTCTCTATCATCCAATTTATGATCTTCATGCCTTTGAATACAATGAATACAAACTAATTCGTAGAAGCAATCCCGACAAACCATTTTCAAAATATTGGATCCGTGTTGATGACATGTTAGCAAATCGTCTTGATTTAAATTTATTGCCCCAGAGAAAGAATAATATGGAGTTATTTCTAAAATTCCTTTCTCTGGCCAAGCTATGAGCTTCTGACAATTTTCCACAGGACACTTGTATGTTCCATTGACAAGGTTTCCTTTTTGACTCGCTTGATCGCTTTCTAGACAAGTTGCACAAAATGTGTGTAAACAGGACAGTTTTCTCCCCAGTCCATCTCGAAGTTGCTGTTTACACTGCAAACATTTTCCTTTTTGGAAAAATTCTAAATTGGAGCAAAGGGAAGAAAGGGATGAAACTGATGTGCTATATGCGTTGTCAAAGAACATAACTAATAGTGAAGACAATCGAATCTTAAGGCGTGGCAGATTACAAAAATTTAATGGACATTTATTAGATTTGTGGAGGTTTTCACCAATTATTATGTAACTAAGTGTACTTGACATGAAAATGTTTGGTACTATACTGTATATGTAAATCGCAAGAAATACGCTGTTAGCCAAGACGAGTATAAATAAACAGACGGAAATAAAGTGCAGCCATTTCACCATCAAATCAATATAACGTACTGCACGATAAACAGACAATATGTAGAGTATGTGCACCACAAAAATAATCCCAAAAATAAAGAAAAAACACTTTCCTGTTTCCAATTCACTTAGCATTCTCCGATATCAATACTAATTTTCCAGGCTGTCAAATGCACAACTGTATAATTGTTATTGTAGGATTCTATCGAATGGAACAAGCTTGCAGTTAACTGGCGTAAGTGGGGCGCAAAATGGCGTGTACTCCTGCTTGGCCCGTAATACGGTGGGAATTGCTGAAGCCTTAGATGTTTTCATATTGAATGTTAAAGGTATGGATGGTCATATATCAAAATGTATATGTTATTAGATAGCACTAATAAGATGTTTGCTATATTATCATTGTTTAGAAATGTTTGCTCTTATATTAATATTAGCTTTTCTTTTCTTCAGATGAAGCATATTCTTCTCTGAGAGAGGATTCTTTTACGCATGTTTTGATTGCACGAAGGACTAGAACAGTTTTTTTTCATTGCAAATTTGATAATCGAGATATTGAGATCTACTGGAAAGACTCGAGAGGAAAGAGAATAGAAAGCAAAGGACGGTAAGTGTTGACCCTTTCAGGAGAGCGGTGAACTCTCTGCAGGGGAGCAAAATTTACGCCTGAACAATTTCCGCAGCTATTTGGTATTTCCCAATGGAAGTATGGCAATTTCTGGAGCGAGAGGATCGGATGAAGGGTATTACACATGTGTTGGGAACTCTCAATTCAAGAAAGAAGCGGTTTTTACGAGCAATCTCAAAATTGCCTGTGAGTAAAAAGAAATAAAAAATCGAATAGTAGTTGATTCGACGAATTGAGGCGTGAATAAGCGCATGAATAGAATCGAATATTGACACTTAAGCGATTTGACAGAGCTATTTCAAGAGCACAGCTGCGTGCGATAGCGCTATAATTTAGAATTACATCATTAATGATATGCAAATCAGCTCGCGTTTATTCTACAGATATACGACCGCTCTCGGAACGTCTTATTTTTCCTCCACCCGACAAAGATCGTTTTATCTTGGTGAAAAATGGCGAGAAATTAACAATAGAATGTCGACTACCACAGAGTCTTCCTAAAGCAAAACTAAGGTAATCTATCTCATCAATCATTTTTCTAGCAGCGAACTGTACGAAAGCACAGCGAATAAAAGGTGCTATCTATTTAGTTAGTAGGGCGACCGCAACAACTGGAAACGTGCAGTGTTGCTGTAGGCACCTCTCATCAACCGTCTAATGATCTCTGCTTTGGCAGGTGCATTCCAGATTTTTCCTGCACGTCGATAAGATAAAGAATGACTTTAACATGCATTTCGGTTTTTCTAGGCTTTCACGAAAATCTACTGACGGCGTGCACTATCTAAAAACAGAAAAGACAAATTATGGAATCAAAATTTTCTGGAGAAAAGCAGCAGACGAGGCAGTCTCCGGGGAATACAACTGTGAAGCAGAAAATGAAGCAGGAAAAAGAAACTACTCTTTTTTCGTTTATGTTATTTGTAAGTGTAAAGTATTAATAAAAGAATATTTGATAGTTGTATTTTTTACCAGCTAAGCCTCAATTTAAGAAGTCCACACCCATTAGCCAAAGAGTTAAAGAGGGAGAAAATGTCACATTTCGATGTATTCTACTTAAAGGTTTAAACCCAACAACAAAATTAGCATGGATGAAAGATGATGTTGAAATAAATACTCTGGACACTAGGTTTAAAGTCAATTCTGGACGTGGAGAGTTATTTATTCGAGATGTACAAGAATATGATGCTGGTAGCTATTCCTGTAAAGCAACAACTAAAAGCAAATTCTTTCAAGCCGTTCAGTCAGATAATGCTAATTTAAAAGTTATTATTAAGCTCAAATTCATTCCATCATTTAAAGATATATATTATCTTGAACGTTCTTCATATTCGAGTATTGATTGTAAAGTCAAAGGATCCGCCATACCGACAGTAATATGGAGAAAGTCGGATAACTCTAAGCTTCCTTTACATGTATATCAGAAAGGAGATAAGTTGATATTTAACAAAACAGAGCAGTCACATTCTGGAAATTATACTTGCATAAGTCGACTAAAGAATGAGAAAATAGAGAAAACAATTAATATAACAATAGTTATGAAGCCAAAATTCAGTATCCTGCCAATCAATACAACTGTTAAAATCGGATCTCCTGTCATGCTCCACTGCGTTGCTGTTGGAGATCCTCCGCCTAAAGTTCATTGGGTTCATGAGTTTAATAAAGATTTAATGAAGAATTCTCGTTTTGAATTAAAAGGGAATGGTACACTTTCAATTTCAACAACATATATGCAAGACGCAGGAAAATATACTTGTTGGGCTGGAAACACTGGTGGACTTTCTCATGCAATTGTTTACCTTCATGTATCATCAGAAGACGAAAACAGCAGAGCAAGTAAATTTTCGATGATGAAGACAATTATTATTGCTGTCTGCTCAGCAGTAGCTTATTTAGCGGTTGTTATTGGCCTTACTGTTTATTGTTCTTTAAGATTAGTCAAAAGACGAAATGCCAGTAAATTGCCAGAAGATAAGCAAGATGGAGCCGAATGTACTGAATTGATAGAAAAACCTAATAATGTTCACTCAATACAAACAGTTGGGTCCATAATCAAAAGTGATTTAAACGACAGTAGATCACATGCTTCATCTCATCAAAGTCAGTCTACGGCTACAACATCTGGCTATTCAAAGTTACTATTACGACACAATTTACAAACTATAGGTTTACTGGGTAAATCAACATTTGGTGAAGTTCTATTGGCGAAATCTAGGACTCAAGATTACTCTGACACCTTAGTAGTAGTGAAATCCTTATTATCATCCGACGAATATCACGGACAAATGTTTCGGTCTGAGATTGAACTTTTTAGTCGTGTGTCTCATGACAATGTATCCAAAATTCTTGCTGTTTCAAAGGACACGGAACCTCACTTTTTTATAATGCAGTATTTAGAGTGGGGTATGTTAAGTGCATATTTAGTTGCGTTAAGAAGAGATTCAACTTCTACAACTAGTCCTTTAACTTATGGCCAACAGCTTGCTATGTGTCATCAAGTTTCTTTGGGTTTGGAACATATTGCTTCCCTGAGAATGGTTCACGGGGACGTTGCTGCGAGAAATATTTTATTATCTCCCTCTCTCCGTCTGAAAGTTAGCACGATTGCATTAAGTAGAGACGCACACGCTCAAGATTATTATATCATACGAGAAAAACCAGTGCCAATTCGCTGGATGGCGCCAGAGGGTCTTACTCCCGCTGAACTATCTACTAAAAGTGACGTTTTTTCATTCGGTGTCTTTGTATGGGAAGTTTTTACCCTCGGACTCATCCCGCATACGCACCTTGCAAATGAAGAGGTCCTTCAAGCCCTGGAAGCTGGTACATTAATACTCGATCCATTGCAACATTGTCCGCTGTCGACTGTAATTGAAAGATGTACGATGCATCAACCAGTTCTTCGACCATCCTTTTCTGAAATTTCTTCGATATTGGCTGATATGACTAAAGATTGCCATTAAATTTTTTGTTTACGTTTTAACTGATTTCTCTACTTTTAAGCATTTAGGCAGAGTAAGGGTAAATTTTTCTGATGGTTCTAGTTCAATATTAAGTGTTAAATTATTGGCCTTAAAAACTTGCATAATTTTTACTCTATAGATTTATTTATTATTCTTAATAAGATGATTATTAATAAACTTTTGATATTGTCTTTACAAACCTTTAGCGCCATCTTTCGTTTCAATTTAAGTTTTCTCTAATAATATAGAAATAGTTCTTTAAATTACCATACATCATATAAGGAAGGTTCATACTTCATACAAAGATGGTTCATATTCCATATTGGTTCTCTGTATAATCATTCAAATCTTAGTTATTAGATATTTAGTTGAAATATCCGATAGATGGCGTGATAGTTAAAGTATGAAATATCCGAAAGATGGCGTGAATATTTAAGTATGAAATATAATATCCAAATGTGACTTTTTTTAATTAAATGTATATCTTTTGGTGTATGTAATATGTTTTAACTTTTTCTGATACCCTAAATACAAATCAATCTTCTTTATTGGATGGAGTTGTTCGAACGAACTTATTAAGATTAATTAATACCTAATAGTTTCTCTAAATATAAAATTTCCTAATTCATATGTATTTTAGCGAAAAGGTTAGCAAAGTTTTGAACAGTCCAACGTTCTCTGTAAAAATTAATAATTTTATTGTAGAAAGTTGAAAAAAATAAGCATCGCATTAAAGAGATAATCGTGTCGATCGAAATTAGCCCGCAGGTTACGGTAGTTAAAAATCAATGATGCTTAGCTGTAATCGAACGTAAATCAATGAAAACCGGATTCATTAAAAATCTCATATAAGATTGGAATTTTCTTCAAATTACAGAAGAATTGATAGACCTGATTGACCAAAATTAAGTGAATTTGAATGCTACCAGTTGAAGTATGACAACTTTTAATTCATAGACTCCCACAGATGGCGTTGCTAGTTTATTTTTAAAAAATGACATAAATGAAATTAATTTTTTATGCGGTTTTCTTAGAAGGGATATATTGCACTTCCAAATTGTGATAATTAGTTGAGGTTAACACAGGGACATTTTAATGAGCAACACATGTTATTATGTTGTAAGAAATGGCAGCTTTTAAGAGGACAAATTAAAATTGAAATAAAACAGCAGATGACTGCTAAAATACATTGCAATAATGCGATTATTATATGGCTAAAACGACGATACAAGATGGTGATTTGAAAGAGAAAACATAATAATTTTCTACACAGCTGCTCTTATAGCGATGAAACATGTCGCATGTATAAACGAGAAGTTTTCAAAGTGCATGTATACGAAGCGTACGTAAAGAAAAAAAGAGGAAAGTAAACAGAGCGAGCAATTAAACGGGTCGAGGAGGTTCTGCGGGAGATGAAAGTAAAGGCAAATGCGGACACAGTATGACACAGTCACGTATTAACATAACATCTCACTTAATGTCTCCTTCAACCCTAATTAAAGAACGTTTGTGATGTGGAACTTTTGGCTAGCGGCTATGAAATAGACTCCTTCGTCTAGCCGGCGCTTGAGGTTATTCGGCTCTTTTCTGAATAATTGGTGAGGATTAGAGTTTAAAGCTGATATGTAGTTGTGGGAATAGAATTGTGTAATAGTCGAAAGTCGGTTGTATATGCGAATGTATATACAGGACACGTAGACACGTACATTCAGTCGTTTGACATCAAAGACTCGCATGTGGTCCGACTGATCAGCATTCATCACGTCCTCATCAAAAGTAATACGGTTTGGGTGGTTTTAAAAAAAAGGCGCGTATATGGCTGAAACCGTTAGAAGGCAGGCCACTGTATCTAATGTGCTGGCGCCCTGCTGGTGTCGTTCGCCTTTCATCTTTTTTTCGGCTTTCCATTATACATGCTACACATATTGTATAAGAAACTTGACTGTGTCATTTATATTTATGTGTATATTTTTACTTTAGGTAAACATGAATCTTTTTTATTTCATTCTTTTTTGTAGCTGTCCGCTATAGTTACGCGTATCATCAGTCTCTGGAAGATATATGATTCTTATCGTTTAAATTCTTGCGCTTTTTAAGTTCACCGGGCCGTTTGAATATATAATACCCCCAAAGAGATGCTTTGCGGGAGGTGATTTTTTCATACTCCTATCTCATTCGACAATTTTCTATGAGCGAGACTAATTGTTGATTTATTGAGCAAAATATTTTTTATACCTTTAAAATACGGTTAAAAGCAACGTGCATGTTAGCATCTGCAGATATTTCAATGCAAATAAATGTATTATGCATATTCTACATGGGTGGCTTGATTTATCTGATCAACTATGTTTTTTGACCGTTTGCATTTGGGTCCTTTGGCGACAATGTCAGTTTCTCTGTAAACAAACTAGGTGCACTTAAGTACTTCTTAACTAATCCGTTTGCCGCTGATTCTTTTACCTTATTACATAGGCTTAAAATAGGACAGAAAGGAAAAATGTGAGCAGGAAGTGTAGGACGCGTAAGATTGTGAGAAATTGAATGAAGCTGGCGGGCAAATCAGGTAAATGTCAACAAACGGTGTCGTTCGAGTAATCTGCCAATGTCAGTCAAATTCGTTCCACAATTCACTTTTCTTATTCATTATCACATCCTTCCGAACCTTAAATTAAATATTGTATTTTATGGGACTAAATTAACAAAAAATGAAAGAATGTGTAGGTCACCCTATATATTTAGTTAATTACACGAACCCAGCATTGAGCGAAAGTATTTGTTGTTGGCGGTCAGAAAATTAGGTGTTTAATAAGTGGTTATTGTGCATGAATATATTCGTAAACTAGGTATAGTATACCTATTTTGGTGCGAGTGGAGAAGCAGCTGTCTAATTGCCGACATTACTAATGAGTCTACTCAGGAATGCCGTGCGACGTTACAAGTATGCAGTTATCGCGACGTTCTGGGCGTTGAATTCCATTTTGATAGGCGCGCGTGTAGAAGAGCAGGTGGAAATATATGAAAAATATATTAAAAAGACTCAAACCTCCAACGTTGTAGGTATATGTGTGCATAGCCGTTCGAGTGTATACGGTATAGAGGTTATACGGTGTCAGATGTTCAAAGATGTTCTCTTGTTTGTGTGATCTTCCCACAGTTCTTTTTCACTAGCCTATTGACGTAGTGAATTTGCTAGTGTTGACATTGACTGTACAGCGTTTCTCGGCTTTTTTTAACGGTTCCCAGCAATAGGGAATGTCAAGTAGTGCGAAAAAGACACTTGGAAAGTGGCGCCCTCCAGCAATTCACGAAAACGAGAAAGCGAAGCAAAACAATGTTCACTTTGCTGCAAGGATACACTTTAGAGATTCTACCCCAGGCTAGACCGTTTAGTACATAAGTACATTGTCCAGTTTATATATGTATAGACGCACCTGCACACATATATACAAAAAAGAATGCGCTCAATTAGCGTGAAATTGACTTGCACGAAAGTTTCATGTTTTAACTGCCGATTTTGTCTTGTGTGCTTATTTCCGTTATTTATACTACTCTGTATATACAATGTATACCTTGGTTGCGTCAAACGGCTCGAAAATGCGTGTCAATATTTACGAATTACGCCAAATAAAATTTATGCAGTACAAGCTAGTTTATAGAAAGAAGGGAAAAAGTATAAAGTAGGGCTTACGTAATTTCCATCACTTATCTAAATAATTCCCGTGTCATATTTGTTTCAAAAATATATGCCAAATCGACGAAAGTTACAGAACAGCTTTATAATATAAAAATAAGACGTACGTGTTCTATCTTATTTTCTTCTGTAGCCAGATTGAGAACAATCTTGTGTAAAAAAATTGAGGTCTATGGTAAATAGAAATTAAAGAGTTGATGCCTAAAGAGTTGATCATGTTCGATTTATTTCGTATTGTATCATAGATATAAAGATATTCCCAGGACGGCCTATTTTTATAGAGTTTTTGAAGAGGATCGCCTCACCTCGCCAGACTAATTACAACGTGTTTCATGAATAAGACAGGAAACTGTTCGAGGAGGCGCCCTTCCGTCTTTACGTCTTTGGTTTTTGTAAATCGTTGAAAGGCGACGTGCCGTTCAAGCAAACGAAATTTTTTTAGCTACCGCCTTCAAATAGTACCGCCTCAATTCTCTCTTTGCATGCTCTTCGAGCGATGACGGACTTATCGTTGGCGACATTTGCTTTGCGGTAGACTCATTTATTCTACTATTCTTTTTTATTATACAATAGACACAGTGTGAGGTCTTGGAATATTTCACACATCGTCAGGCTGACGATCGTATACAATGCTTTATTGTCCGTAATCTCCATTAAGCACAAGGTTTGAGGGTAAAAGGGAGGAGATTTCAATAAGAGGATGAAAGTATAAATATACTGAACATATATAAATGACGAATACATTTGTATTGTTTATATACAACTGAGTAAGATTCTTCTCTCGTTTAGTACTTGTGTTTAAATGGGCAAAATTAAATATCTTATCATTTAGCTGGAAAATAGAGTAACAGTAGTAAAGTTGAGGATTGTTTCATTTCAGACATCAGTGTATAACGTAACCTAACGTACTTTTTTTTTTTATACCAAACCCCTTTGTTTTCAGAACTAGCTGTTGTTCACAAACTCAGTGACGGTTAGAAACGGTAGTGCCCGCACGCGCTAAGCAGGTTGCGCAACGACGTCGGCTGAGATTACGTAAGAGTCAGTAAGCGGCTTTTGAAACAAACTACATGCGTTATATTCGCGATTGCGGAGCGTTAAGAAGACTGGCAGATGCGATGAGCGAAGACTGTCAAACCGCATCTTCTCGGGCTTCATTCAATCTCATCATGACGATTGCTCGTTTGTCTGTTTTAGGTGGAAGAGGAAACTGTGTAAACATCTTGTAACTATATGAGAAACCTAAATGACGCAATCCACGGCTTAACGGTGATCTAATCTAACTTCACACGAAATCGGCGGCGTTTTG